ACTATCCCCCACATTACATATTATGTTCTTGTCGTTATCAGCTACACGAAGTCGATTCTATTAGTATTATAAACGCGAAAATATATATAGATATATATATACAACAATATCCGAAATCAAATTGATTTTCAAATAAAGCTTTTTAAAATCAGGCAACCAACAGAACAATACACATGATAAAAGATTTTAGTCGACACAAACTGAGGGTTAATCAAAAGATTATCGGGGTTTTGAAATGAAAATTGTGTTGTTTTTCGGATGAGTTGACGGGGATCACAAGTCGGTGGCGCATGCAAAACGATTGGCCCTTGTTGTTTGATGTAGCCGGCCCTGGCAGTTGCAAGCTGTTTCCGCATCGCCGCTTCGCTGCCTCGCCGCAGGGCATCGCTCGTTTTGTTCGCAGGCTGCGGAGGCTGTACTCCCGCGATACCGCTTCATTTATTAACACAACGTAACCGGGATTCGTTCATTTTCTTTTATGTCGCCTGTCAGCTCCCAGCCGGGTCAGGTATCGCTCACTTAATAAAAAGCCTTGAAAGCAATAAAATCAAATATGTAACAAAATAATGCAATATAATAAAAATGAAGCGGTGGGGTTGTTTCATGGTGAAATATAGAACGAAATGCGCGGTTTTTGTTTTATTTTTTACGGTTTTTCCATCTGTTGATGGTGGTTTGTAACCCGAATAGACTTCCCACTATCCTACCAACATTTAATATCCATTTTAGGCTCCATTCCATAAAAAAGTCTAAAATATGGGAGAAGAATTATAAATGACTTCTAGAAACATTTCCGGAGATCGATTCCGCAAGCTAATTGGACCAATGAGCCAACAAATTTATTGCATACTATTAAACAACAATCGATTTAAAAATATATGAAATTATAAATAACGCGCACCCATTATCAATTGTCAAACTAATAATCCGATATTGGAAGTGTAATGTCTAAAGCTATTGTCCAAACTGTTCAATAACGACTACTTTCGCTCTCAACAGAATACGAAGGGACTTTGAAACCGTATTGTACAAAACGACAAATAAACTTAAGTAGTTACAATTTATCGTTCTACCTTCTGTAAGTAATTAAGTGTGTGCTTAGTAAATGTGGGCCCCGAACGACCGAAGGCGTATCGGACAAATTTACTTAAACTCACAAACTTCATAAAGTTCACTCGTAAACAACAATCTGAATATGGAGGCCAGCCGTCGGCATCGTATTAATTTAACCTGTGTTTACTTCAACGGTAAGCATCCAATTAATTTTAGGAATATATTTGTGGAATAAACAAACGCTACTGACTTCGGCACCACTCGTTACAATGAAGTGTATAGCCAAGCTATACGGAAGACCGATGTTCGCCTATACTCGTATTTCACAGTGTTTGACTTTAGTGTACTGCACTGATGCGCTAGGCACAGCAGAATTTGTTTAGTAGTTTCGTTAACAGTGTATTTAAAATTATTAAAGAGTGTCCGCATAGAGTACTTATTTTGGCTATCAAAATTTATTTTTATTTTTGCAAACCTCCTCATCTTTTTAAATTAATTGTAGCTTTTACTCACGACGTCGCTTGCGTCCTGTTGTGAAATCTCGTATTCTCCAGTGCTCATGTGGCGAACACATTTATGTGTCCGTTTCTATGCTCCGTTTAATTTACAGACAGACTTCTGTGCCCTGCCCTACTGATTTTTTTTTATTTCTTGGGATTTGAACCCCAGCCCGGAGGAGAGTCAACTTACTTAAATTTTCATAAAATGTTTTGTATATATTTTAAAACTCGACGTAACTACAACTATTCCGTGTTTTATTTTCATCGGACTATTTAAAAAACGACACAAATGCTGATTGAATGAACGCAATTGAATTGGATAAAATTTATCGAGTAGCTATTTTGTGAAGGCAAGCTCGAACAAATTCAATTTGTTTTGCTCGGTTGCACCTCTGAATGCTGGCCGTGCTCAATATCCTGGACAAATATTTATCATAGCTTCTACTTGATAAAGTAATCAAGGGAAATGGTGGGGCTATGGAAGAGTACGGGCTTCCTAACTATATATAATTTTTAAGGTATCAGTGGTGCCACTTCTGTGTAAAAAAGTAAAATATATACATTAAATATTTCAACCGATTCCTTAATTTTGTAAATATTAACTACTAACTGTGCCACCTACTGTCCGCATATAATAGTTATTTTGGTCAACAAAATTTATTTTTGCAAAATCCTGTAATTATAATGCAAGTTAATCTTAAAAAAGCGACATATAGCGTCGCAGACATTCTTTTAGATCATTCTATTATACATGCGGACTATTTGTCGCAGCGAATTGTTTTATAGCCTAAAGACTTCCTCGATAAATGCTCTAACCAACACAAAAAAATTCAATTCAAACCAGTAGATTCTGAGATAAGCGTGTTTAAACAAACAAACAAACTTTAAAATATTAGTACGGGTATATTCGGTATTTCATTTCCGACCGAAACAGTGAGTTTAGATTCTCTGATGAATTAATTAGTGTTGATTTCAATAAGCGATATGTGACTATCAAATATCATTCAAAAAGTAAATTTTATTGTAGTTTGCAATTGTAATCTGAAGCTAAGGTCACACGTCCTAATTTAACGGTTTAGGTAGCACACAGCTTACAAGTTATTAGTTCAACAAAAGATAGCGTGCCGCACGTATAGTACAGCCGTTGTAAGTACAGCGATAACATTCTGCGTACTATAGCGTTGACAAGTTTTTTGTTAACTTCGTTTTACTTATTAAGATAGATTGAAAGTCAAATCAAGTCAATCAATCTATTTTGTAAAAAAATTAGAAATATAACAAATAATTATGTAAAAATTTAAAGCACAGTATTTTTGTGTAAACTTGTATTAAAAACGAACGAAAAAAATACTATTGTTTTAAATGCATCATGTAGCATAGCTTTAATTTTATCTCTAACTACTTAAATGAGTATAAATACGTTTCCCTTAATGGGCAAAACATCAAAGAGATAAAGTTGGCAACACCGCCTAGCATACCTGCAACAGGTAGGTAGTTATGTTCTACCTTATCAAACTTCTTGAGAGCTGGAAACGCAAAATTTTAGAATAAGTAAATGTAATTCCCACGTTTGAATTAAGTATCATTTTGAAGCTATTAGAAGTGATGGATTAAGAGAACTTTGATTACGAAATCTCTTATTGCCGAGTGCATTAGTATAAAAATATTTAGCAATTATTTAAAATGATTTATTTAAAAAAAGTACTCTCTAGAAGGTACTTACCTAATATTGATTACCATTTAACCCTTATTATTATTTTTAGGAAAGAAACATATCTATCAGTGTTAAGCTATTTTTGTGTGCATATAGTGCTTTATGCCGCAAACTAAATCTATAATCTAATGAATAACCACGAATACACATATTAATTTTGCATAATACATCAAATCATGTCATATTTTGTAGAATATAGCGTTTCGAAATAGTTTTCTTTATGTATGAACTGAAATGAGCCACGAAGAAGCTCGCCTATCGGACACCTTATCCTGCAATCTCGCATTTGATTCTCATGTGGAATAAGCAAGAAATCCGATCGCACCCACGCCGTGACTTTCTATTTACTCCGTGTAATAGAATCCTTTATGAAAACATTGACCTTTATTTCCAACAACTAAGCTTCAACACGAAATTCGAAGTTTCGTGTTGAAGTTTAGTTAGGTACGAGGATTAATAAGCTCGGCCGTAAATAAAAGATATTCAATTACATTAAAAATAATACGAAATCATTTTTTCTCCCATATTTATACTAATAGTGATAAAAACATGCATTATACAAATAAGTATGAATTAATTATCACAAACTATAAATGTGCAGAATTTTATACGTTCTGTTGTATGATGACTTATCATTTCCTTAAGTCCTTCTATAAAAAGGCCTTTTTTCTGATATTTTTCAAACAAGAACTCGTATATCTACCAATCTACTAATAATCTAAATATGCAACAAACAACTTAAAAACCTTATTTACGTTTTCCTAAAAATCCTTTTCAAATAAAAGTAAGTATTATGCTGTCTATACATTCAATGTAATCTATTCACGATCTCCGGAAACATGGAAATATGAAGAATTCAAGTGTGTCAGTATTGATGCGGAATAAAATTTAAATATTTATGGCAGAAAGAACAAAAGAAAACAAGAGCAAACTGAGAAACAGTACGCCATATTTCAAGAATACTTCAGACACAAAACTATTCGGATGATATTTTTCATGTAACTTCTGGAGTCGTCTTTAATATCATCGCCGCTGAAAAATCAACTACGCCACGACAGTAGCGTAGTTGATTTTAGCGTTTTCACGTTATTGTGCGCGCTTAACACTCTATCTGCGACGGCCTCACGTGTTTGCGTGCCCCGATCGCTTGTTTACTCCGGTGCTTTTGGTCCCTAAGAAAACACAGGTGAAATATTTTGTCAATCATTACGGTAGTTGGAATGCGGGGCGGTGAGTAGGGCGGGCGGGCAGTCTGCGGCAGTCGGGCGGCCGTCCGCTACGCGAGACGTTGCGTCACCGCGCCCCGTAGTCGGCTTCGAGCACACGCTGAATGCAAACGAAGTTCCCGCGTAAACTGTGTCATTCGTTTTCATATTCCTCCGATTGACTTAAGAGTTTCGCATTTTATAAGATTATTTGGACACTAAATAAAATATGAGATATTTTTCGTTAGTTTTCTTCGATGATGAGGCACATTCGTTCCGATATTAAGACTCAATTAAACCAAAAATGTTAGCCAGATAAAGACAACTTAACGCCACGATAAGATTCCCCCAATTAATCTTTATTTACGTTTTGTTTAGATACTGCGTAGGGACGTCCTAATTTAATTTACTGTTCATTAATTATGCTTCAGTGAAATTCTTTCGAGCTACAAAAAATGTACATAGTGAGCAAAAATGGCGAAAGTTTCAGATTCAATGGGGAGATAATTTTTTAATGTAATCTTCGGTATGGCGGGGACAATTCGCCATTTATCCACCTACCACGACAGCACGCCCAATGCTGCAACAGTAAGTTAAAAAACATTTGCAAGTTACTTGTACAGTATGACATTAGAAACTCACGCTAGCCGCAAATGTCGAAGAGAAGGAACAAAGGAAATTCGTAATCATAAAGTTTTACGCACACATTGATTTAAATAAATTGACACATTCGTTTACTTCCAAAGGTCACAAGAAGATTGAAAAAACTCAGATTGACTGTCGTACTCTTTGTGATCAAAAACTTTATACTTCAGATTCGTTTGTACTTTTAAGGTCTTATACCGTCGCTACTAACGCGCGGAGAAAACCACATTTTAATAGACACGACTTTGCTAAGTCAGATAACCTTTTAGAGGAAATTTTATTCAGAGCTATAAAGTTATTCCAACCATTGCGGCGCTGAAGCTGCAGCGTGATAATTCGAGTGGAAAAAGGGTAAAACTTTCCCACGACGTACGAGAGGTTTCCTCCAGGCGATGGAAATAACATGCTTCGCGTCACATATTGCCATAACATTGCGAACTCGCTAATAAATAACGAGATTCTTATACGGTATCGCGGTTTACTTAGACCGTGTGCTAGTTTAACTTTCCAAGTAATATTAAAAGGAGCTCGTGAACGACTCTTTACAATTTCTTGTCAATTTTAAAGTCTCACAATCGAGATAAAGTTAAAATGGCTCATTAACTTTTTAATTAGTCCAGAAATTGTTTTATCGAGGAATCGTGAAAAGGGAAAATTGTCACTAAAATAACGGCATTTATAACAAAATTGTATATCACTAACCTATTAATATAATACCAGGCGAGCCAACATCTAGGGACATATTTCCTTTGTTTAGTTTCGTGTTTAACATTGATTCAAATCACACTTCAATATCGCCTAACAAGCCGAAGCCTTATTGAAAAGGGTAAAAGAGCATGCATATTGTATCTGGCGTCGAGACCCGGAATCCCAAACTAGGCGAATCTATCAAAATTTTAGCAGCAATTCCCCTTTGGCGCGTAACCGCGTGCTACAGTTTTAATTAAACCAATCAAATAACCGTGTGCCCCATTTACTGAGTTTGCCCCAACTATTACCAGATATCACAGAAATTATTTCAAACGCTTTCATAGTCATTTCATATTAAGTTAACCTTTTGGGTTTTCTTCTAATCAAATAGACTGTTTTATAATTTCCTGCTAAACATTTGGAAATCAATAATGTGAAAAGCATTATATGCTATGTGTAATAAATAACATGTGAAAAATATTAAAGTTTTCAGACGCGAAATGCACTAAAAAGTCTTTTAAATTAAGGCTTTGTTAAAAATAGTACTTAGACCCGATCCTATTAATAAAGTCTATTATAGCAATCGATGCATTTGCTCCTTGATGCTTTAATTATATACATCATTCGTTCTGGGTAAGGTGGTTAAGCTTGCTCAAAATGTATTGCTGTTTTACATCTGTGAATTCGAATGATAATAGACAAACGTCAGTGGACCACCTCCCGACCGTAGCACTCAGCAGATAGCCTGTCGAAACTAGACCCGCCACGAACACAGAATATTATATTATAAACGCATTACGCCCTGATTACTTATTCATAGTGTGAACATTTCGCAAATTAATACACTAATCACAATTATCAAGCTAATCCCGTATTATAGATGTGAAGTGATAGTTCATAAATCTATGTTTATACAGAAAGACTGAACCTGGATTATGATGCAAATGACCCAAGTTTTGCTCCACTTACATATCAAAACTATGCTAATGTATGATAATATATTCGTGAACGAAAAGAATAATTGTGAAACAAGATATCCAAGAAACTTTGACATTTTAATATTAACAAAACATAGACTAAAATGCATTTTGTTTGGAGGATCCCTATAAGCTCTAGGATATTTATTAGAGGGAATGAACTAGTATCGATCTCCAACTTATAGGCTCTTTTATCATATTACTGTAATAACAAAAACTCGAGAATCGACCCTGACTAAGCCGTCGGCTACAAAAACTTATTTCTTTCGAAGAAGCTGCAAGAGACGATTGCGTGACATATTGATAAATGACCTCATAACCACAAACATTGTAACCATAATATTCAGTCCTTTTCGATCTCTCATGTCCTAATAATGGTGGGGAAACGTGTCAAACGAACGAAAATTATAGGTTTCTTTGAGGAAATATTATGTACGTGACATGTGATTACACCTGTATATTTTTTATATGTTTTATGGCGTATACGATTACGATGTCTATTATAGAATAATAACATTGACAGTTCACGGTAATGAAAGATTACATTTTATATGATGTAAATTAAGGGAGTCCTAACATATTTATTAAATTTGTTCTATATTCGATTTTTTTTATAATATTATGAAACAAAAATATCGATTTTAAGTTGTATAGAGTTACTAGCTGCGGCAGCGAAGAACCGACTTTCCGGCATTTAAATTTGTTTTTCCAAACCTCCTCTTCGTCTTTATGAACTTAAGCTGTTAGCCACGACGTCGGTCGCGTCCCATCGCTCTTGCAAGTTAATCTTAAAAGATAGACATAAAGCATCGTGTACGTTTTTTGAAACCATTTGAAGAGGAATCCTTCTTTCATATAATACATATGTATTATTTGGGTATCTATGATTAATACTTTTCCCCAAATTGTTTGACATTTTCCGCTGTTTCTTCGCTCCTATTAGTCATAGCGCGATGCTTTATAGCCTATAGCCTACTTCGAGAAATGCTCTAACCAGCACACGTATTTTTTCAATTCGAAGCAGCTTTATATATTAGTATAATTAAGAATTAAGAAGAGTATATATTGAAGATTAGTTTCTGTGGACAAATCGAATATGAATGTATATTCATGTCATCAAAACTGACGGCAATAATAATACACCTACTTAACTAAAGTTTCAACGTAGAACCTGGTTTATTGCCAACTGGCAACAGGCACTCTTTGAAACTGATCACGGGCACTTCCGTACGCCGTTTCTGCTTACGAGATTAATCTTGTATTAGACGCTGAGTAAGACATTGAATACAATATCTCAAGCACTATAATAGCGCTGCGATGACATTGTTTTTCATAGAAGGGATGATTGATGAAGGCGGTCAACAAAACATGGAAATGAGTCACAATTGTTACAAGAGTCTGTGTGTATTTAAATAGGACACTTTTAACTGTTTAAAATACCGTGGTCACGGGGACTCGGGTTCTCCTTAACATCCGAAACGTTTATGATAGAAATAACTGAACTAATATATTTGACGTTTAGTTTTGTACTAATAAATCTTTGTAATGGTTGAAAACAAGTATATATAATATAATAATATTATAAACACAATATATTTGTAGTATACACGTGCTTTAATTTTTAAAGAAGAATAAGTTTCTACGCTCGCAATATTTGCAAACATTTTTGCAGTTAAGTCTCCAAGGTAAAATGGAACTTATTGAGATATCACATTACAGGCGCACAGTGCTCTATAACGTATTTATTTAATATGAGAAAGGTAATATTGAAAGCTATCAGTGCAACAAAATGAGGAAATCGCTACTGTACAATATCAAGTAATCGACTTGTACTCGCATTAAGTAATGGGAACTAATTTTTCCTTTTTACGCTTTTGTGTCAGCATTAAAAGAAAATTTGCTACAATATAACATACATTTACTTGAGACATGAATCGCCGTCCAAAGCGTTCCGTGCTTTTGCTTTAACCTATGGAGTTTCCGTGTCCTACAAGTCATCGTCGAATTTCTTCGACCAATACACCGGGTATCGGGTATACACGTACCTCTCGCTCGACGAGTCTTATTATCTAAATAGATTTTGAACTTTGAGCAATCGTGTGAAAAATATTATATGTATAATTTTAAAAAATAAACGTAATGTTTTAGCGGTTTTATATAAAAAGAGTACACAATGAGTTTCATATTATTCCAACGCTGAAACAACAATAATACTAATTAGCATTTTTGCGATCCCAACCGGCTCGAATAAAACAACGTCGTACGCTTAGGGTGAAAGTCCTTTATACTTACGTACGCTTTCGGCATTCCAATGCAATTTGGACTCTTTTACAAATAATTGAGCAGGTTTCAGGCAATGCTCGAATCACGGGAGCGGTGTGCTTTCGCGGCTCAAATCTCATTTTCAGCTAATATTCCAAAGGGGAACGTGCGTATTGTTCTTTCACTTGAAAAGATTTTATGAATAAATATATATTATATATATATTGTAACCGACGGTTTTGTTGAATTTACATTGAAATGTTTAAGCTGAAGCATTCAATGTTACACTAAAGTTAACATTGAAAATAATTTCATGTAAATAGTAAAAGTTATTTGAATTATAATAAAAATATATATTTGAAATAAAGTTAATTTGTTAAACCAATATGTCATAATAACGCCACGTTTACGAATACCAAGTGTTACCTAGGCAATCTTTACTTCATTCAGACCTTAATAACAAACATTGAAAATATTAAAGACACGATTGGACCAGCATTGCACCACTATATCAAATAATTCAGCACATTATACACTGTACATAAAACCGTTCGGAAGGAACACATAGTGTAATTGTGTGCTTCCACCGAACCGTGTTTGTAAGCTTCGCTAAATATTATCTCCAATGTGCCGGCACATTGAGTTCGTCTATAGGGTCAATAATATTCTTTGAAGCGCGCTACGCTTTGTGTGGGAACACTATTGTATCTCACATTCTCTTTCTTGCAGCTGATAAACGAGATAAACGTGCAGTTGGCTTTGTTCCGAGATCTACTAATCCACATCGGGCAGCCGCACGACAGCCCAGAACTGCGCGAACGGGTCAGGCGGCTCAGACGGACGTGCGTCGAAGCGACGAAGCAAACCAGCCAGCTCGTTCTTCCCACCTGTAAAAAGTACGTCAATGCCAATTCAAACCACATGTTTATCCTAAAAAGGCTTAAATAAAAAATCGATAGCTATTAAATAATTCGCATCATTAATGGAACCGTTCAACCTGCAAAATGGCTCGCCCAAATCCACCACACATTTATAAAATTAAAAAAGCGTTTTGCAAAGAGGTTTCAATTATTCCAACGTAAACTCGGGAGCAAAATATATTTGCAATTCAGAACAAAGGATAGGTAAAACGGAGTTGAATAGGGTAGAAATTCGTCTGCGCCCTGCGGACCTCGAATTGGTAGACCGGAGTAATGCCTAACTAGACGAATTGTAAGTTTTTTTTAATGTCAAATGGTATACTGGATAACGATAGAGAGTTGTTTAAAGCGAATTTTGAGAATCTCCTTGTTTATAAAACATCTCATCTAGCAAAAGGACTTTCAATACTGCAAGTTATGCTATAAACGGATTGCCTAGACGAAATTGCAACATAGTATGGGATAAGGAGGTCAACCATTATTAACACTTAGTTAGTTCTGTCATTTAAGAACAATAACGATATAAAAATATAATAATTTTTGAAAAAGTGATATGCAATATGGTTCTAAAAGCGTTTTGATAAATATAAAGGTGGACCAATTATGTCGGCCGAAGTTCTATTCCCAAATGGAGTCCTTAAGCGAAACTAATAAATCTGTGTGCCATTGTGTCCTGCACGGAAAACTTTAACAATTTTCTCGTTAGAACGTACTTTTTACGGTTGTTAACTATTCCAATAGTTCCATTGAATTCCTGACGGGCTTATTAGAATTAATGCAATAGAAGTAAATGGCTAATAATAATCAACGGGTCGTGGGTTGTAGGGATATTTATTCCAAAGCCGAAATAGGGCATTTCGCTATAATGATATATGGCGTCTCGCTTGTCTGTCCTCCTCCATAGTAAAAAAATTAAATCGAAGTAAAATGGCATTATTAATGAACAACGATAAAGTCTACGTAACGGGCAACGCTTTCAACTAAAGCTATTTCTGAAAGGTTTTCTACTTTACGTGCATAAATTTTATTCCCCTTCGGCAATAAAGTCGGCCATAATGTAGTGTACATCATAAAAAGGTACTAACAAAAACAAAAACGTAGTAATCATTTCTGCCGGCATTTAAATACGCGGTGTTTTCAGCGCCGACGGAAGGTGGATTGAAAAAGAGAAACGCGGGCACGTTGTATGATTTATCGATGAACATGCTCAATGCGAACGCAGTACACGATGCGGCGAAAACATGAGGTCTCGAGACGCCGTTTATGTCTTTCGGTTCCGGGCGAGCGTTTTAAGTGATTTATGGGTGTGTTGATACAGGTCTAGCGGGGACGGCTGCGTCGAACAGCCTCAATTGGTGCTATTATATTTTATGTCAAACCTTCTGCTGCGGGAGCTCGCCAAGTGCCACAGACTGGTGCAGTTAGTGCCCATGGACATGTCGTCTTATTACGGTGCGTATTTGTGGCGAACGCTACCTTTATGAAAATATTCTCAGATCTATTTACGTCGTGTTCCCTCGGCCGCGCAGTTTCGGTGACATTATTATGATGAATTAGTATAATGAGCTGTAGCAATTATGTAGGTCACAAAGCTCTACGTACTTGCTGTCGCGCTAACGACTGCCGGTGGAGAATTGTTAAACTCCTATTTTTTTATACACAAACTGTGTAAAGCTCACTCGTGAGTCCCGAGTAGTTAATGAGGTCGAATGGAAACTGTTTCCGATTTCCGTTTTTGACCAATATTTCCTCGAATTTATGTAGATATTTTAAGGCAATGAAACTACATATTTATGCCAACGTACCATTTTAAGTTTGTAGTTCAACACTGGAGGCTTTATGCTTCTCCAAGACTCCACCATTGAAATGCTATATAATATGCTGGCAAGGATTAACAATATTATAGTGAATACTAACTTATTTATTCTTACGAAGGGACACAGACTAGAATACGTTTGCTTATGACAGCCTGCTACGGCGCTACGGTGCAGTTAAGTACGGTGTCATGTTAATGCCATTGTTAATGTTTTCAAATGAATAACAAGTGCCTGCTTCAAACGAGTTAATCATTAAATAAAACACTTTAACGGTTTAAAAGACGAAATATATTAGTAAAACTTGGACGCGGGGAGACTCTTTCCGTGACCACGGCTGTTGCAAAGCGAAATGTCGGCCGTAGATAAAATAATTTGTAAATATTTTTATTATTTCATTTCACGTTTTAAACCGTTAACCGTTAGAGTTTTATTTAAATGTGTACTACTCACGTCAACTACAGACAGTGTTTAGGTTAATCATTAGTTAGTATATCGAAAGTTGACGTAAACTTTCGGGCTTATCTATATATTATATATTATTTTCTAAAAGATAATAATATTATCCACTTATCTCTTACATATTATGTACTTGTTGATAAACATTTGAAGAATCCGTAACAGAAAACCGAGCCGGGCCATCTAATTTTGGCAACGTGATCAGCCAAATTCTCCTCTGTAAGCAAATCACGCCGGACTTCAACCAAGAGGAGCTTTGCAGCATCGCCAAGGACACGCAGGAGATTACGAGAATAGTCAGCGACATACAGGAATACCTGCCACAACATGAGACGCTGACTCATTTAGGTATATTTTTCGTGCTATTTTTAAGTTGCGCTTCGATAACGGAGACCGGTGAATTCGTGTTTATTATTCTTAGGTCTTGTTTACTTTCTCGAACGTCGCAGGACGGGTGGTTCTGATATATGTGTCTCATCTATTTGTGTCTCATCAATAATAGTGACTAAGAACAGAAACTTGTTCAAATAATAAACAATTTCTTATTACTGTAAATATCTTTCTTTTTTCAAAATTCGAGATACAAGAGACGCCAAAAACTATATATATCTATTGTTGATTAGTGTTTATGCACACGAGATTATCCAGTCTTATCTAAAATGGTCGCCGTACTCAGAGGAAAATAGAAAAGATTATTCCCTCATAATATACGGGAATATTAATAGCTTTTGTCCCTCAGACCCTCGGCTCGCATTAAGAACACTCGGCTGTGAGATACAAAACGCACACATTTCTTATACGATTACATTTACATTTCCAGTCGAGACGTTTATTTCGTTTTTACTACAAAATGTAGGGGCACCATTTCGCTCTACACGTTCGTAATATTTAATATTATTCTGGCGTAGTTTGTTATACTCTGAAGGGCGTCGTATTGCAGCTTTTTCAAGAATAAGAAAGACGCGTTATTCGATAACATTACAACCTCTCAAAACCTTTACTGGGGCGCAGTTGTACCTTACTCGGGTCTTATAATTTAGCTGCCACAAAATTATGACACCCCCTTTCCCTTACGGTAGCACGAAACATACACATCTTTACTACAGACAAATAGGAATAGACCAAAAATTTCGTTTACTATCTGTGCCTTGCGTTCTTCGCAGAGAGCAACATCGCCCTAAAGGGAGACGAAGTGAACGGCCTATGGAGGAACAAACGAAGGGGATCCCTGTACAAGGGCATGGGTGTACTCTGCTGCATGTCGCGCCCCAACTACCTCTGAGGGTGTCGAGTGTCGCCCACGCGGCGCTCCAGCCTCTACCGAAAGAGCCGAGAGAGTCCTACTCTGGAAAAGGTGGACGCTCAGTGTTCATAAACTATTCAGTGAGTAGAGCGGAAGGATAACGTAGAGTAGAAATGAAAGGGTCCATTAGATTGTCTATGTAGTCACGCTAAAGTGTAGAATTTGATTCACCGATCTCCATAGCGTAGGCATACCGTATTATCTGTACGTCAATATAGTAACATTAAGATTCGTAGAGTAGTATCATGATATGATAACTTGTCTGGAGAGGGAACAATTTCCTTTAAGTAGATGGCGTTTATTCGTACGATTAATATTTGTGAGCTCATTTCTACTTTGTCATGAACGAGTACGCTTGCCAATTTAGGTCATATAGCCGCGAACATATTACGCGGTTACGTAATTCTACAATAAAATCAGACTGATTCTTTTAATTATCACCTACCTCTATGCGATATGTCCCAAAGATACTCTTACAATACTTCCTAAAATACGTTTTATTATATTTGTATTCAGAGTAACAAGTCGTATAAATTGGTTCCACGTTTCTAGCTTAAGCGATTGTTCCACACTTCTTTCAATCTCTCTTTAATTATCGTTACGGAACGGGTGACATTGCGTTTCATTGTCTTCCAATAGAGTTCATCGGTATTAATTAGATCTCAATAGTATTAACGTACCTAATTATTATTTTGTATCAGACGCGAAGTCATTTTAAATTTTATTTACGATAAAAATACTTCTTACACTGACTACAACATGTTGATCTCAATTTAGTGCGCCATTTCAATGTGTACACGCTGTCTTCAAGAGCACAAAACACCACACCACAACGTGTGAAATGAAAAATTTAATTAACATTATGGCCTAGTCATAGCTTGCATTCTCTAGTCAATTATTATAATGTCCTTAAAATAGTTGTTAAGAATAGGTATGTTATGAAGACATACAGAATCAAATTACTATAATTAAAACCTAACAATATTATAACTCGAAGCTTTACTAAGGAATGGAGTCTAATTCCGGCTCTGGTCTCCCTCAACAACGCTCGCTGTAAGTCTCATTACCTTATGTAGTTATGTAACTGTGTACAATATTATCAGATAGAAGAAACGGTTTCAAAGACGCGTGAAGCCTGATCGCTATATTTGTTTGGAATTCGCTTCCAATGATAACGATGTGAAACTATGGTATTTTATTATCAACTTTTAATTACGTCCATTCCTCACAATATACATATTATACTAGTATTATAAGAGATATATAATATTATTTAGAACGAGAGATTGCTGATGTTAGTACTACCAATTTAAAATCATAATTATAATATTCGTTAAATAACGTAATATAATCACGGTATAAAACACCAAATAAAAATTTACATTTTATCGAGTAGTGAATAGCTAGTTTTGAAACCTAAAAGATTTTTAATATATTACCTACGATCATTATATAATAACAAAGAAAGATAAATAAAAGTATTGTAATATTAAAAATATGACTTACATTTGGAGATTTGTCCCGAATCGACGAAACAACAATATTGCATTATACTCATGCAGGCCTTTCGAGATATCGTAAGCTTAAGATCTTATTTTGCTTCTCGAATTTGCATTTTTGTATTACATCAGGCTGAAAAGTCTATTCGGACAAACCCAACATTATTGCCTATGGATCACTTTGAAGTTAGCTTTTCCCTTAATCAATTTGGGAAAAGGACGTCAAGTTCGCCGGAGCATCCTTTGATTATTACCTCCACAAGTTTATATCACGTTTTTTACTCGACTACTACAATACGTGCACAGAATAAAGATAATTTATAATAGTAATATTTACCGTTCGCTATATACGCATACACTTGCTCCTTCAAGTCGTAGTTATGTAATATTATTCAAAATATTTGAGAAGCATTACTTTCGATCGAATCAGAATAATTGTATTGCTTGATTGACTCATTTACTTTAGTCTAAAATACCTTATGTAATACAGGAGTATTTATATAGAAGCACTTTTTGAAGTGATGACTGTGATATACTGTATATTAAATTATATATTACGTATGTATTAGTAAAATATCTAAATTAGTCTGAAGTTTTATTTCAACTGTGCGTCAATCTTACGATCCCGTATTTGTCTCGTTTTCTGAAAAGGTTTCGTTCACGCGTGTGAAAGAGATGAAGGTCGAAATATTACTACCACCTTACGTATTTATTATTATTATAAATCTGTGAATAAAGTTACTCCTTCTCGTAGATGTCTCCTCGGTGGCGTATGTAGGGGATGGCGGTTCGACCGCTCCCTCCGCCGTATTCGCTGCGCGCTCGCTTTGGCTTGTAATCACGTTCAATTGAATCCTTTGAAAATTCTGAAAAGACAGTAATATCTACGTTATTGCCATCGTAACGAGCATTCTTGACTCTATTGCATTTTTTTGCTCTCGGTATCTCAGAACAATTCTAGATGAAGAGTTCGTCACGGTTGTAGAAGGGATAAGCTTAGTTATTTTTTTAAACATTTTGATTTCTATTTACCTACTTAACGTGTGTGTTAACGCAATCGGTTTAACTTCACCACAGAGGTTATAGAGAGTGCAACGATAGAAATTACAGCACAACAGATTTCCCCTTTATAAGATTATTCTCCGATTGAGAATGACAGAAGCGATAGGCAACCGATATAAATAAGAAAATAGATGATCTTACTTTCTTTGGAATCTCTGTTTCGTCGTCTCGCAAAAAAATCATCCATTAATACAAAACCTTTGTAGCGACGTTCCCCCGCCCGGGCTTTTTGTTTCAATTGGGATTTATCCGATATTAGAGACGTCACTCTTAAACGGAAACAATACAACAGCTTTAATTACGTTTTAAATAAGACGCGCGCGTCTTCCTTCGCGCGAAGGTTGCGTATTTTAAAGAGATATGTGCAAAGTGTTAAAAGAATTTCTTAAAAAATCTGCCGTTGTTATATGATAGGTATATATTTCATGCGATATAGTGCTATACGTAGATCTATTTAATTAATATTATATGCATACAGCGAGCAATTCGAAAGGGGGGTACTTAGCTATGCTCATGAGCCAGCGCGAACGCTCCGGGCTGGCGAGTCATACAAGCTCAATAGAATGCTAACGAAGTGTAAACGGGTGAGACCGTTGATTTTTAATTAAGAATCATTACCGTGTGCTGAATACTTACATTTCTCCTATTCGCTTCACGTCTGCGGCTTTAATTTTAGCTTGCGGATCCAAGACCAAATAAACTTTAGAATATCCATCGGGATTATTGCTAACGTCGCTATCTTTAGAATGGAAATGACGATTCGATTTTTTACTAGAACCGTTGTGATTGTACAATTGCGTAAGAACGCTCTTTAATTTCTCCTCGTCCAAATCAGCGGGTGTTGCTTCTGCATTACCGAGGCCGATCTTTCCTTTGCCGCTTTGCCATGTATTGTGGCTTTTCTCCAATTCATCTTTTTGGTGGGATTTATGCAAGTGGCTATGTCTATCACTGTATTGTTTCTGCTTGAGGAGGTAATTAATGACTTGGTTCAAATCCTCGCCGTTCAGTTGTGATCCGTATGCCCTTTGTATTTGATATACTAATTGTCCTACTGCAAAATTAAAAAGAAAACTTCTGACCGTTTTTTGCTTTTACGGTTTCACAAGCAAGGCAAGATAAAAAAATAATTTAATATGGGATTGAACATTCCGTTCCAAGGGGCTGATCCTTTTAAGTGGAATCTTGTGAAGGGGCCGATGGAATCGTATGAACCAAATATAATAAAATCAGGGCTGTGTCGGATTTTGTGTTTTACTCGTCCCCCTTTTTTTAAAGCTACGTTTACTTCAAACTTTATAACTTTAAATAACTTGGGCAGAAAATTCGCCTAAATTCCATGAGTGTTTTTAATTAGGTTCCCTTTTTGTCGTCGACGCTCTTCAATATTTGAAATTCTTTTGAAATCGAACATTGCACTCACCTAGTAATTGAACCACTAAACCATACATTCTGCAAAGCACTGGAATTGGAAATAAATTTGGAGTAGCCACTTACAACGTTATCGATACGCCAATTTTAAAATTTCATTTTCTCTTATCAGACGTCGAATATAAAAAGGTATCGAAACGATGTCGAATTTATGATAATTATGTTTACTTTAGTTTCACTTATGGAGGGTATTTGATGATGTATCTTTAGGTAAAGCATATATATATGACAATAGGAGTAGTCAGAAGGCATAACAAGTCAATTTAATAATACTTTTTTTTGTAGCAAAACAAGTGACGATGCGTGTTTTCTATATGCACACGTTTATTTAAAAGCGCGCGTAGTACTTTTTTTAGTTAATCATATTCTAATGAGTCATTTCCATGAAATAAAACACTCGTGTACGATTGCAGAAGGGGAGATACCGGTAGACAGTAGGTGATAAGAGAATGATTACGCTCGAAAAACAAAAATAATTGACGTAAGCCCTCTTTGTATTCGGCCAGTGTGCCGATGCCGATTGCGAGAGTTATTATTCTATACGGAACCCTCCCTTTAACAAAGATTTACCGATGCCTTTGTTAAATTTCCCGAGGCGAACGACTACAATGTATGGTTCACGCGAGCATTGCATTGTACCCACTCTATGCATTTGACATTACGTTTCTGTCCTCGAGGACTAGTAGCCGGGTGCATTACTAACGCCTTCAGCATTTATAAAAACTTTACATGTATTGTTGTAAAAACCTAAACGAAAAAATTGTGGTTTGTAAATGGGTATAATTGTGATAATATTGAAGCATTAATGTTATAAAGAAAATACCGCTCTTCTGAGATAAGCTATAAGCATTTACGTAGATTGTAATTTTAATTCTTCTTCTACAATAGGACTTAGGTCTAACAAAAAATATAATTTATTATGTATTAACGAAGCGATGTTTTGGGTATACAATCGATAGAGTGGAGCGAAGTAACTAAGTTATACAGCGCCATACGGCTATACGACAGTCAAATAAGATTATGAAACTCTTGAGGTCAATTCCTGATCGGAAATCACTTAATCTAGGAGCTGCGTTGGATTTGCTGTAATTAAGAAAGGCGTCGCTGAGCCCCCGTATATTGCTTCCTCCGATTAACACCAAGCTGCCAGTTAATTTCCTACGTTCCACTCCTTAATGGCACCGCCTATGGAACGTTCCACCACCCTAATATCGTCGGACGCGACTGATTGGAGCCGCATTTTATTAGCCCAGTACTCCATGTATGTATGTAAAAATATCCTTCTTCATTTCATGATTTAGTTTGTATGAATATATCTATTAAACATTCATTGACTACATGATTTAGTTTAGTGTGTGGGTTATTATTAAACCATTGAGAGCCGAACTTGCACACGAAAGTTCGGCTCTCAATCGGCTCGAAAAACGACGGATTGCGGAGTCTGAGTTGCATTTTTTAGCAAAAAAGCTTAACTAAGAGCTTTTTTAAATTCTCTTTAAAGACGCCATCTCACAAAGACGTAAGTTTGTTAAGAGGTAAGTTGTGTATAAAATAGTGTTTAACTTGGCATAATTCTCTGATCTCACTGCGAATATCACAAAGGAAATCCTGCGAACTGCTCTTAATGAGGTCTTAATGACTTTCATCCCTATTTCCTTTCGACTACAACACCTGAAGCTCACTGGGAAACTCGGCTTCTAAAGTATTTATTAAACCATTAATCATTTCACACTAAACGTGTGATTTGCCTTCTCATATTACTTCATAATTATTGATCTTTTCTTAGCAGACGGTATGTTCAACAAACGTCGGTACAGTTTGACGCTTTACGTATCAATGAAATAAGGCAGACTTGTAGAATATGCAAATGTATTAAGCGTCAAGCGCGTACAATAAGTGCAGAGCCCGTTCCGATATTAATGCATAAAAATTTGTTTTAACAAATATTATTCAGTAAATTTGTCACCGTTCGGGGGCCAACATCTCGTCGTTTATATGCGGCCCATTACACTTCTCGCAGAGGACTATAAAATTCTGAAAGTAAAAAACGTTTGCGCATGTTACGATGATAATTTATAGCAGCTGCCGTTTAAAAATTTAAGCCATCATGCGATTTGACTTTGAGTAGCCAGTCGATACTTAATGTACGAATAAGAAAAATTTAGCCCAGGAAACAGAACGTTTATCTATGCCCTTTACTATATATATTTAATTTGTTAGCAATTTAGGTGACAAACAGAAATGTTCGTCGTATTACACGTTTTATTTTATTTATGCACATCACGGTAAACTAAAATGTAAAATATCTTCATCTACTAATAAAGGACTAATATTTACCAAGTTATGCTGCAACCTCACTAGATCCATCGCTACGTGATAGTTTCGCTCAGATTGTGACCCGTGCTTCTCCATCAACGTCACTGTTCGTCGGGCCTGCTCTTCCAGTTGGAGGAGACCAATTGGCATTTTCTTCATCTCCTCACGGCTGCGACCGTATCTGGAACCCCAATTGTGGTGATTACGAGGTAACATTGGACTACTGGTCTCCAGTTCCAGGAGTTTATTTAAATTCACCATAATTAAATAATTACTTTCTTTACTTTACTGCACTAGGGGTAACCTTAAACTAAACCCTTAAATGCCAAGGCTCCTTTTTATAATGAAACTCACAAAATCATCTCATTTCTGATTAAGTAATTACGTTCTTTGGCCACATATTTAGATAATGAATTAGGTTGTTTAAAATTACCTTAAGTAATCAATAGCTAGACGTAAACAATTTTCACGTAAACAATTGTTAATTGCAGAGGCAATTATTTTAAAGTTAAGTGATTAGCAAATTTTTCATAACATAATCATTTTCTTTTAACTCGTTAACTAATCTTATTCATTATCAAGTTATGGCTTCGCGTTCGGTGTGCAAACGGGAATCTACTTCTTATTGTCATCTGGTGCTGCAATATTGCATTTCGCAGGTTAATATGATGAACAAACTTTGACCGCAACTTTACCACAGCTTGTGTACTTATTATATTATAAGCTACTTCACAGTAGATGCAGAAGTCTTTCATAGTTTCGAATCTAGTGTAAAAGTTCTACAAGGCTACGGCTTCTGATATCTTCGTAGAATAAAGACGTTCAATTACTTCGCCAATTATTTTCGAAATTGGACCAAGAAGAATTCGCTTAAGTAATCAGGACGATGACTTGTCTGGAAATGAGGGAAATATTAAAGGAAAGTTTAGTGAAATATCCACTAAAGGTTTACAAGCAGTGAATAAAGCAGATTCGTTCACAAAGAAGCGGTATTACACTCTTTGCCGCTATAATCCCACTTTATCCCACAATGAAAATATTTCCTTTACCATCCTTCATCCACTTGTAGATTTTTCTTATAGCGTACGTATAACCAATTCTCAAGCACAGAGGTTTATATTTCTAACTATTATTTAAAAATATATTACAAATTTTTTGTTTCGCCAATATTACAAAAATAATTGATTAACTTAAGTATTCATTTTGGTACATCACATATCATATTAAGTAAGTTGATTTAATATTATTAATATTTAAAAAGATGTAACAGATCAGAGAATTGAACATAATAATAGTAAAGTAGCTATAGTCGTAATACTTTATTTCTAAAACATTCAATGCAATCATATTAAGGGTCAGCACCTGTTTATAAAATAATATAATACTTCAGAACTAAAGTACTGACAGTGGTTTTCAAATATACCGAACCGTATCTAATGTGCGTACCGGGCGAAGATGGATAAACAAACGGTTTGTATTTGCCTACTATAGAGATAAAAGAAAATTATTTAGTAGATTACATTCCTGAGACTTGTCGTTTTGGTTAATCAAGGAATATGATACTCCTGATAAGAGAGTTAAAATATATAATAGCGAACAAATAACTATAGAATAATTATTATTATATATTATATTATAGCATAAAATGTAGATTAACCCATTATTAATTCAAGAGATTTATGTTTATTTAATAGCTAAAGTCTAATTTTTTTTATCACCTAGGTATGTAATGTATTTTTTAAGGTACCCTTTTCCTAATCGGAACATCTATTAATATTTAGTGTCAATTGTCATAAAACAAATGATAGTTGCGTCCCTTTTAAATACATAAAATGTTGCCGTATTTGAGGAATATAGTCCTTGGAGATGTGTGAAATCATAAAAAATAGTACTTTTAAATCAAGTCATGATCAATGATAATAATAAATAAATCATATTTAGCAAATATATCATGAAATGTAAGTATAATTTTAGCTGTAGCTGTAGCAACACACAATATGTCAAGAGAGCTGCCCACAGAGTGCCTATGTATCGAGTTGTGACTAATTACTATGGTATGAAATGAAGTGAATAGTGATGGAATTGTGAGTAATTAAGCGCAAGTGGCACAACACGTCCAAGTTTGTTCATTATAAACTAATTTAATTAAGCAGTGAGACGCTGGATTTAGATATTCCGTGCACAGAAAATGTGGGATCCAACGCACGTCCAAGTCACAGTGCAAAGAGCTCGAAATTTACTGATAAAAGGTAAAAACGGTACAAATAACTGTTTTGTTACTATCTCCCTCGGCAAAGAAAAATTCCAAACATCCGTAAAACACAAAGCTGCGGAAAATGTTGAGTGGTTTGAGGAATGTGAATTACATATACCGACACAAGGAAATACCGCAGAAATCGTTTTGAAAGTCTGCGATGAAGACTACCTTAAAGATCATTTACTGGGTCAAGTTTCGATTCCGTTAAAAGACCTAGATGTGTACGAACGAGCTCGAAACCGCTGGTATCCCCTACGCGGGAAACAGGGCAAAGAATCTGATAAGAATAGGGGAGAGCTGGAGGTAAAAGTGGCATTTATTGTTAAGGAAGGAAGCCTGTCAGATCTTTCAAAAAAAGAGAAACACAAATCTTCGTTAAGCAGCCTTGCACATAATGTAGGAGGAAGTCTTATGAGTATTGGGAGTATTGAAAAACGTAAAGGCATTAAAAAATTTGCCAAGAATCTTGGTTCTAAAATAAATCTTACTAAAAAAGACAAAAAAAATGAATCATCATCCCTTGGTGGGAGTGTTGGTAATCTTCGAAGCTCAACCATTTCTACTCCGGATGCTTCCACACCCAAAAGACCGCTGGGGGAAGCCGATCCAGGTGTTATAAGTGAAGATGAAGATGAATTTGCGTTTGATGATCTATCCCATAAGAGTTCAGGCAGTTCACTGAATGTGCAAACATCTTACATGCCCCGTATAGCAAAATATACTCCATCACCAGTAAATGCATCGCTGGAAAATTTAGGTGGAGGTGAATTTCTCAGAAGATCTACCAGTAGCACTTTGGCAGTAACAGAAAAGTCTACACCTGTAAAACCAGTGCGTTTAAGCTTGGACACATTTACAGCTCCACAATTACCTGTTCAGCACCTCGGTGATGATGAGTGGTCCCAGAAATTGGTGCCACGTAAATCAATGAGTCAATTAGCAATTGATAGAGAAAAATCATCAAGCCTTGAAAGAAATAAAAAATTAGATAGTCCAAGCTCGTTTAAGGAAAAACCAAGTCCTAAGTTCTTTAAAAAGTTTGGTACTAACAATAAGCCAAAGAAATTATTAGAAGAACGTATTATAGTCGGTGAAGAAAATATTGTCGAAGAAGATATCAATCCAGCATATAGTAACATTCCTAGAACAGTTTTACAGCAGTGTGATGGAATGTCCCGAGAGGATTTAATTGTAATGATTTATAACTTACAGAAAGATGTGGAGTCCGAAAAGAAGAAGAACAAGGATCTTGAAAATTATTTAGATAATCTACTGCTACGAGTTATGGAAACCACACCAAGAATTTTGCAAAATCCATATGTAAGGAATAACAGTATGCACATTAGAAACAAGTGAGCTAACAGATTCTAAAAAACAGGTATCCCTGATTTATTTCTTCCAGCTAGCTGAATCATTTTGTAAAAAGATTTTAGAAATCATTAATAATAATGTCAATAACTTTCCATATTGTATAGTGATACTTTCACTCTACAGTTAATAGTTGCGTCCAATTCTGTGCCTTACTGTGTGTAATTATAGGTCTGTGATAAAAAAATGGTTAGCGATGAGCAATTGAGATTAAATGTAATGTTACAACTTGCACTGTTAATGTTTTTTCAGACTTTCAATGTTTACTATTATATAAATGTGTTTCCAATATGCATGTGAGTAGATATATCTGGAAAATTACTAACATTATTTATAATTTTGGAAATAACAATATTTTCTTTTACTACATGTGCCCATAACAAAAATGTTTTGGTGCTAAGAAAGCTTTGTAAAGTTATTATATAACTTATTTGAAAAGATCAGTAAAGATAATCGTAATTAGTTACATTAAGATATGATAAGTAATTACTATCACTTAAAATCTCGCTGAATCTGATTACTTTGACCCTGATAACGGTTTAAAGTGCAAAATAAATTTTGATTTAGAACCAAATTGTGATTATGATCGAATACCACTCCTACTTTTTCTTATTTGTATATCAGTTATCATTCTATATTTGGTCTTAAATTTACAGTACTGCAAAAAGTTGTAGATACATTCCTTTGTGCAATATGTAGATAATTTTAGCAAATTAAGATGTAAGAAACCACAAAAATAATTAGATATGTGTATACATTTGCATAACAATCTAACTTCAGTTGCAATTGTTATTTTCTTAAATCACATGTCTACCATAATAATTTAATATTATTTTAAGAACATATCCATAACTTTTTGTTTAAAAAGTTAAGAGAATATTATAAATTATTACTTTTAATTGTAACGTGATTTGTTTTAAGAATATTAATTATCTTCAATATATTTAAAATAAAAAAGCATGAATTTTTTCATAATATTTATTATTATAAAATTGTATAAATGAATCTTACACAAAAAACTATTATAATAATTAATCATTTATGACGACGGGTCTTTACTTGAACGGGAGGTTGGACAGCAGCACTATAAGTTTTCTGTGATAACTTGTTCAAGTAGTAAATTGTGATGAGAGAGAAAATTAAGCTGAAACAAAAATTGTAATGGTTTATATGCAAAACCAAGTAGTAACTCACAAGTAAGACTGCTTTTATTCTTCTTTCAAATTTTTAATATAATAAATTCTCATCATTCAAGTAAACATACCATGTAGTAAAGCAAATTCGATGAACCATTCCAGCTGCTATTAAGGATATTGCCATAGATATTACAATCTCTGGCAGTTTCAACTGAAAGTTCTTCCCAAAAAGAGTAGCTTCTAAGTTGCCCACTGCCTAGAAAACCTTATTAAGGAAAGTACCGACAAAAAACTGATATTCTTCATGAGATGAAATACATAATAATATTTTTTGTTTCCTTACTTCATACTGCTAAGCACAAGTCTTAATAGAATAGTTAAACATTAGACATATAAAAAGGATACGGTTACAAAGAACATAAACAATAAAGATCCAAGGTATCCTCCAAATATAATTGTTATAGGTGATTTGACTAAGATTGGTTTATACATTTGCATCCCGGAAAACAGCAATAGAGTCAATATTGATGATATAACAAACGATGTGGCGCTGTTAACAGCTGAAAGAATAAAGTTTATAATGATTTGTATTATTAAGTGGGTGTTAACATTTATTGCTGTCGTAGTGGAAACCTGTAACAATTAAGTACTAACCCATTTTTATAGAACTTTGTTTAAAGACAGCTTCGCTATCAGTAACGTATGACTGTATTTAATTCTTTAGAAGCCTTCTACACCGGTATTCATAGGTTAGGAATTAGAAAATAGTAATCGCAAAATTTCTGGAAGTGAAACAGTATACGAAGCAAAATTATGCGGCTACTGCAATACACAGACGCAACGTTACCATAGACTAATTAAAATTGTTAAAATTAAGAACCGTAAAATAATTACTTATTGTATTTCAATTACCCAAAAAAAGGTATTTTAAATTTTTTAAACTTAATTTTGTTGTCTTAGGTAGAAGAAATCTTGCTTAACGTAGGACTTAAGAAATAACATTTTGGTTTAACTCTATTCTATTATCTATAGGTTACAAAACTATATCGTCAATTGTCATATTCAATGAAGATTTTCTTGGAGTTTTTTTGTGGAAATTGTTAAATTTATAGTAAAAATTTAGTCATTCTTATTGAATTAACAACACTCTAAATTATTTAGCTTTGTTGAATAGATAAGATTTATTTATTTATTCTGCCTAAACTATTAGTACTGTAATACTGCATTTTTTTATGCTACATCAAAACATCGCGGGAAATTGAAACTTCGAATGTAAAATAAAATAATACATTTTGCAAAATTTGGTTTTGTAAAACAGGTACAAAATATTCGATATTCGATCAATAGGATATTTAAATTTTATGACAGATTTATTTTCTAGTCTATTTTTTTTCTGGCCTATAATATGTTAAATTTACTTGATATTTCCTGATTACTATGTGCATAATATACAATATAGCTTTTTAGCTATCGCGTTGAACCGTGTTCATTCCTTATCAATTCGAAGCGTAGATAATAATTAAAATAATTAAATGTAGCGCGTATTATCTTTACTTTGACATATAATTCTGTGAACTGTTTATAAAATAACCCAACATTAAGAGCAAATTAGGTTAAGTGTTACATAGTTTTTAACAATATAACCATGAAGACTTTTGGCAGACCGCTATTAACAGTGTTAAAAACGTCAGGCGCGCGATCAATTGTAAGTACTGTTCCTATTCATTAATGCAAATTTATTATCTATCTATAGACACGCACTATTGTTTTTTTAAATTAAAATATGATGACGCAAGCATAGCAAAAGTTATTTAAACAATGTATTTTTTTTACTAATTCTCAATTAGGCTAGCAATGTTCCAGAGATAAGAATTTATGAGGTGGGCCCGAGAGATGGACTGCAGAACGAACCAAAATTCGTTCCAACGGAAGTTAAAGTCGAGCTGATTCATAAATTGGCGTCAGCTGGCTTAAAGAATATTGAATCAGCCAGGTACTGGAATTAAGATACTTAATGAAACTAATGATTAGTAAAGCTAATTATTATTAATTTATTATATTCGTTTTGTTGTTATCAGTTTTGTAAGTCCAAAATGGGTAAAACAAATGAGTGACGCCGTGGTAGTTATGAAAAGTATCAAAAGAGAGTCTGATGTTAATTACCCCGCGCTTGTCCCGAATTTGAAAGGATACGAAACTGCCGTAAGTACCTGTGGGCAGATTGTGATTATTATTCTTATAGACAATTAATTACTAATTGAAGGCAAATCGTGTAAAATTTAATGACGTACCTAATTACTTGCGGTATTTGACAACTACAACTCTAGACTTATTCGTGTATTTTAATTTTAAATTAAATATTTTATTTAATTGTCGCCCGTTTTTTTTTTCATTTCTAGAAGACTTGCAATGTGGAAGAAATAGCGATATTTCCAGCGGGATCTGAAGCGTTCTCTCAAAAAAATCTGAACTGCTCAGTAAAACAGGGGCTCGATCGATTCCGAGAAGTAGCCCAACAGGCCGTCAAGGATGGCATTAGAGTTAGAGGTTACGTCTCGTGCGTTTTGGGCTGTCCGTATGAAGGCCCGATTAGTCCCAGGACTATCGCAAAGGTACGTAAATAGGGACAAATTGGCATTTGCGAATTTGCATCCCTCGGGGCCCATCTATCTTCGTGCGTTCGTAACACGAATGCCATTAATATCCCTGCAGTCTCTTAGAATATATCTAGATTTTATATAGGTATTAAATATGAGGAAAACTCTTGATGAAACGTTACAAGATTGGATTATCATGAGTTTTTTTATGGAGACGTGTTGTTGGAGGGTTTTTTATTTATGTTTTCATACAGATCACTGAGGAACTACTGGCGATGGGATGTTACGAAGTATCGCTCGGTGACACAATAGGAGTCGGAACAGCGGGGTCAGTACGGCGTCTGATGAAAGAAATACTCCAAGTCGCGAAACCGGAAAACATCGCTCTGCACTTTCACGATACATACGGACAGGGTCTCTCAAATTTACTCGCAGGACTGGAGGTAAATCGTTAAAGGCTTGATTAATAGGTGTTTTGTTAGCACAAGAACACCTTAATTTGGTTTTACTCTTATTGGTCCCCTTATAACAAGGACTATGAAGAAATTACCTACTTACTATTGCATATGCATTTAATTTGAGAACTACAAACAGTTCTATTCACATGTGTTCCTTTTGCATATGCAAATCATTTTTGTCATTGTCGGAAAATGTCTGTCCATGTTATAAAGGTCATAGACACAGATTTAACTGCGCACGATTAGTTCAATTGAAAGTAATCGAACAGGCACATAAATAAAACTTAAGTACATAACGTTTGAATAGACAAGTATCTTACTTATGCAAAGTAAGACAAAAAATAGCTATTAAGTAAGTTTTCAATGGGTCAGTCATTTTGTCGCATTGTTGTTTATCAATAAAGTGTATTTCTAAGAAACAACGATTTTATGGAACAAGAAAATATTATTGTTGGAATCCACAATGTTTACATTCAGATATCTACGTATCTCTTAACAAGATAAACACATTCTAATTCTTATCAGAATTTATCGCACTTGGGTATCCATTTGCTTTACAATTCGGCAGAAATACAATATCAAGAAAATGTTTCAACTAAAATGCGCAAATACACCCACCATGTTGCGATTTACGTCATACAATTATATTTAACTTAGCGAATTTCGTCGGCAGTTCGGCGTAAGGACTGTGGATTCTTCTATCTCCGGTCTGGGCGGGTGTCCTTACGCCCGAGGAGCTAGTGGAAATCTAGCCACGGAAGATCTCGTCTACTTGCTCTATGGCCTGGGGGTCAACACGAACGTCGATCTAGTAAAGTTGGTGGAAGCCGGCCGCTTCATTTCGAACTTTCTCGCCAAACCCACAGAGTCTAAGGTGAATCGAGCCCTGGGTGACAGGTTTAATAACCATTTGGACGTCGTCAAAATGGCATCTTGTACCGCTCAATAGCTGTGAAATTAATCTCGAAAACAATAGCTGTGTCTGTCTACCTACAGGGTAAACAAAGCATATGTGCATAATAAATGTTATTTATCGTCAATCGTTTAATATTATTTACGAAGATACCTATCGCACCGGCGAGCTCGGAAATGTACTCGTACAACATACTGGTTTTATCAATTATCATGGCGAGTGGGTACCGACGGGCCAGCGCGCGTCAGTGAGTAGTGCTGCGGGCGCGCACGACGCTGCCCGCTTTTATATTAGATTGACCTTATTTATTTACTCAATCGAGAGGTCGTTAACTTCTACATTGTTTAGTTCTTTGTCGGTACACGAGAAAACACGGTAGTTCTTTGTAATTCTATGGAAAGTTGACGTCCGCCAAGATGGAAGTGAAAATAACCGATGATATCAAAATTGGAGCGAACAATCCTTGCTTCATAATTGCCGAAGTCGGGCAGAACCATCAAGGTGACATTGAAATAGCGAAAAAACTAATAAAAGCAGCCAAGGTAAGTGTCGATTCCTTAAAACGGCAGCTTGCAAGAGGAAATCGAGTAAACAATGAACTCTTGAACCGAAGGTTAACGCGCCTTCTACATAAATTGTGAACAAAGTACTTGATTTATCTGTTTTTGCGCCCTTTTTTATAATTATATTAGTACCAGAAGAGATTGTACCAATGAGACGAATTAATTTGAAATATTCATTTTATACATCAAAAATATTAATTATTATTGACAGTGGTTGGTATTATGTACGTATTTGACACGATATTTATTAGTCATAAAGGAGATTAAAGATAACAAAGCAATATTTTTTTAAATAAGCACCATTGTATGCGGTCATATCGCCCGAGTATATTTTTGTAGGTAGACGATAGAAGAAACAAGACTTGTTTTACAAATGAGCCTTCAATAACTTTATTTTGACACGCTTTCAGGAAGCTGGAGCTAGCTGTGTGAAATTCCAAAAGACATGTCTCAAAGAGAAATTCACAAAAAAATACTTAGAGCGCCCGTACGAAACCTCCAACTCTTGGGGCAAAACCTACGGTGACCACAAACGTCACTTAGAATTTTCAGAAAGCCAGTATAGAGAATTGTTTAAATACGCTCAAGAAGTTGGAATACCGTTTACGGCTTCGGCCATGGATATGGTAATTATTTTTGTAATTAGAAAAAATGAGCTTGGCAAAATATTTAATTTTACTTATATACTTTATATTTACTTCCTATTGGACGACATAGGTTGTCATTAACTTTGGCTTCTATCTTCTTATGTCCTTAAAGTTAATAAATAAATAATAAAATATAATATCTTTGATATGGACGCCGTAACGCATTGGACACCCGCCTTGCGTTTGATCACTTTTTGGGAAACAATATTAAATTATTTATATAAACAACAATAATAACTTCTAATTAGACAAACTATATTTGAAGTAGTGATTTCTTCGGGGACAGCACTGTACTTTCCAAATGACAATGCTTATTTGTTCTTTGGCCGAAGCCATATATTCTGTAAACCTCTAAATTCTTATATCTCTATTTTTATTTTTGGTACCTATTGGTATACCTCGTAAATATAAAATTCACTTTCGGAAAAATACAACTTGTAAACTAAATTTAGGCCGCTGCATTTATCAGCATCGCCAAAATAGTGTATCGTCTTTAAAACGACCTCTCGATAACTTTCAGGTGTCATTTGACTTTCTGGTGAATTTAAAAGTTCCCTTTATAAAAATTGGTTCCGGGGACTCGAACAACCTGCTCTTCTTGAAATATGCCGCCTCGAAGATGGTGCCCCTCATAATATCCACTGGGATGGTGGACAAGACGGCCGTTAAGACCATTTACGACATCATTTCTGCGCACCATAAAAGCTTCTGCCTGTTGCACTGCATTTCGGCTTACCCTGTTCCCTTCGAAGATTGCAACCTGACCGTTTTGCAAGACTATAAGAACACGTTTGATGTTCCCGTTGGCTATTCCGGTCAAGAGGTCGGCACCGCCGTCGGTTTAGCGGCAGTGGCGTTAGGAGCAAAGGTAACGAATAATTGCGTCACAGGTTACTGAGCACCTCCCGAAGAAGAAGTAATCGAAATGCGATATTGTATGACAAGAGCCAAATTTGTTAACATTATGTCACACTTCAGGTATTAGAGAAACATATAACCCTAGACAAAAGCATGAAGGGAACCGATCACGTATGTTCCTTGACCCCCAATGAGTTCAAACAATTGGTCAGAGACGTGCGCGTCATCGAAGCCTCGCTGGGAACGCCCATCAAGAAAGTCGTAACATCAGGTGATTAAACTAATTTTGACTCGTCCTCTTGTTAACAAGCGCTAGTGTTTAGTGTTGTTTTGTGGAATTGCACTGATCTGAATTACAATGACCTCTGGCTGATAATTCTGCCGACCTTCCGTTATCAGTTTCCTTTCTTGCATATAACTGTCTTCGCCCCACACAGTTAATCATAACTGTGTTTTATAAAATACCCGGGCTTCATAGAACGGTTTATATATAGACTAGTAGTTTAGGGACCGCAGTCAAGATAATTTCCTATACACTATTTGTCATGGCTGTTATGAATTTTACAATGAAATAATTTCTCAATACTAATACTTTCCGAAAATATTCGCGTTTTTCTAAGCATACACACAAACTGCTCTGCTTTAAAAAGCTCTGTTAATTGTGATTACAAACACAACGACGTTGTATATTTCAGAGATACCTTGCATCGACAAACTTCAGAAGTCCCTTGTTATGGGCTGCACCAAGAACAAAGGGGAAATATTATACCCGGGTGACGTGAAGATTAAAGTGGCCGAACCGAAGGGGCTAAACGCTCTTCACTTCGACGATGTAATTTACAAGACTCTAGTTTACGATAAGAAAGAAGACGAACCGCTGAATGAAGGCGATTTCTGTTAAAAACTCAAAATTATTTGCTCATTAAGACTGCTCAGTGTAAGACAAAATCTATTTTGCTCACTGTTTAATACTTGTTTGTCTTGTGTATACTACTGACGAGATAATAGTCTAACCCCTTTTATCAATCAAAAAAACATTAAAAGTCACAAAATATATTGTTTAAGAATAATACAAATTAGCTTAAGGCTGTAATTGTATTATTATGTAAGTAAATTAATACTGCTTTAAAATTGTAAAAAAAATAATAAATTTTAAAATTATTTTTAATCTTTATTGCGCTAGAATTATAACAACGAATATGGAAAATGGAGCAATAGCTAATACGGCTATTTGCACTTCTAAACGTTCGTCCCAACGTCAACATCCATCGGGGACGTGACGTCACGAAATTATGACGTTCACAACTAAATTTCTGTGACGCGCACCGAGTTTTTACGTATGATTCACGCACATCTATTTTCACAAATCGAAAAGCTAACAGCGCACAGGTAATTAGTATTTACAGATACCGACAAGATACTCCGACGCAGTTATATTATAATCGTGTACCGGCTGCGTGTGGTGTAACAGCCTAAGTGGCGCAGCGATCCGTCTTGGCTCGTCGCCCGGATCTCGCCAGTCCCTGGAGCACCGGCCAGATCGCCGCCTGCGCCGTAACACCGAACTTCTCGCGTCCGACCTTCGCGCGATTAAATACAGCTAAGATTGCCCATCTTCCAGATTTCACTTAAATCAAGATGTGTTGCACATTTCACGAGCGTCGTTCGAGTCCGCGGCGGACGCCTTAAGCGGAATTAGGTCGTCCGGTTAAATCTGGCAGAGGGATATTTTTATTGCGCGGCGCGAACGTACGAGCGCCATAACCGCATCGCCAGTTAAAACTTATTGCCCTACTATTAGCCGTAAAATTCATTCCATAAAATTTCGTAGTAAGGTATAACTCGACTCTGGGGACCGAGCGACGCGACGGCGACGCGCGTGAGGTTTGAGGTGAAGTAGAAGATTTTCAGCCGGTGGCATTTAGAGGAAATCGTTACATTTGTCGAGTGCATTTGATCAGTGTGTGGTAACCGTTAAGATGCATCACTTGTATCCGTTGGCGAAGGGCGACAACTTGTGCCCGTTGGGGTTCCACCCGCAAGTGAGGTGGCCGACGCGCTGCAAGCGATGTTTCAGAGACTACAAGGAGCACGGCGGGCGGAAGAGGGAAGACGACTTCACCGCATCCACGCCCAGCCTCTCCACTTACTCGCCAGCGTCACGGTAATAAAGCTTTTCGATTTGCCCGTGTCGTTGACAGATCGCCCCTAGTTAAAAATGTATTTAATAAATCATTTGAGATTACACGTGAACGTCATTACAAAGAAGATAATTAAAATTCGATTCAATACGATAGATTTCCGTGTTAATCATATTGAGAGAATCGAAAAGCAATAAAACAATATTCGTCGTAAAAGATAAAAGGATCGAGGCAACATGCTCTTCACGTTTGAGACCATAAAGACAGGACGGTGGCACGATTCCAAATTCCAGAACGTTTCCGCGGATTTGCATTGGCCCTGCAGTGGTGAATTGATTCCTCTCCCTTCTTACTTTCCTAGTAGGTAATGCGTTTTACTATGCAAGCGTAAAATGGACATCTCTTGGCAGTAGGTATGAACATTACTTTCGCATTTTGCCAGAATTATCCGTTTTGTTAGTCGGTTAGTGAAAAATTTAAATTACATAAACAATATGTTTTGTAAGTACAAAAATGTAAGTCTTGTTATAACCATGACCACGCCTTCTACCGGTATCCCGAATAGAAAATAATAAAAGGTTAGGTAGTGTTGAGGGTAGAAACGGAAATAAAAGAAGTTTAGTGTAAACCGTTTAAATTTTAATTCTCTTCTTCGCTCTTTACTATGGTGAAGTATTTAGAATTATAAATATTATTTTAAAGTTTCAATATAAACTTGATAATTTCCTACAATATTGATTTCTAATGGACAATATGACAATTGTGAGTTGTGACAAATGAAATGACAATGAATGCAGTTGTTGAGACAAAAGATTTATTTTATTACACGTTGAGATTCTGAAAATCTTGTAAAAGTCCGAAAGTGCTGAAAACGGTGAAATTAATTAAGAAATATATAGTTAATAGTGAAATGAATAGTAGCAGCGAGTGAATAATGTTTAAAAATGTGTCGAAAGTGCATTTTGTTGGCGGTGATTTAGGTCGGTTGTAATTGTTAAAATTTTCGGCAAATTCAGTTGGGATTAGATTACTTGGTGATAAAATCGATACTAGGACTACGATATATATATATATAAAGCTCAAGAGACGCGCTAATCTCGGAAACTACTGGTAAGAATTGTACAAATTCTGTTGCATAGACCATTTATAGAAAAAGGCTTCATAACATCACGCTACGACCGATAGCACCAAAGAAACCTTGGCAAATCTGGAAAAACGGGGGATTTCTTTTTTGCAACGCTTCCAGAACCAAAAAATGTGTATATAAACGGATTCTTTTTAAAATGATCTAAAAAAATGTCCGCAACTTTATATTATGTCTATTTTTGAAAATTAACTCGTAAAAATCGTTATTGAAGTAATCAAATTCCGTCGAAATTAATGAATTATCACTTTTTAGACTTGTATCAACATAATATTGCATGCAAACAACAAAAGAACATTTGCTGGATCAGCTAGTAAAATAATAAAATAGTATTCGCCTATTGACAATATGAATTTAATGATTTTCCTTTTATCAAAAAATGGCGTAGAGATGTTAAATAATTAACTTTTATATTTTTCTCTCTTGTGACATAATAGTCTATAGGTAATATCTTCCTATGTTTAAGTGCCTGGCACACAAATCACAATAGGCAAGTAATAGTTAGATATTTGATAATAAATATTCTATTATAAAACACAAAGAGTACATAGTAGCTGTAATAAAATTCTTTTTTCTCTTTATGTTGTGTAAGGCTATCTTTAAAATTGTTCCTATGCCTTGGCAACAATTCATTTCCTTTATCTGCTTTTGCTAAAAATGTGCTTGGCCTATTCTTCTTAATTATTTGCATGGATATTGTAAAAGATAGTGCGAGTGAAATGGTCCATGTAAGTTTAGTAAAATTTTTTTGTTTATTCACCTGAATAGTGATAGGAACCAAATTCTCTATGCTAAATTTGAATTCTTCAATTGGTAGTATTACTTTTAGGGAACAATCTCTTCCTAATATTATTTTTCTTGTTTTTATTATTAAATGATCAGAGGAATACAATAACAAAATATAAAGTGTAACAGATGTTGTCCGTTTGGTAATGCTAAGGGTCAATATCCAACAGACCATGCTGTTTATCATACTTCCATAGCCCTCCAATTGTCTTAATTGTTGTGATAGTAATTTTGCAATTAATAAAAGTTTCCTAAAAGAGCAGGAAGTAAATAAACAATGATTATATAAAGAATGTCCTTCCCAATCCTTAGCCTTATCTAAAATTTTATTAAAAACACTCTTACAGTAAAATAAGGAGGCTCCTGAAAATTAATGGGAAGAACTCATTTTTTATTTTTCATTTTTTTAATGATCTTTCATCAGTATCATTATCTCACTAATATAGAAGTCGTGATGGAGATAATGGAGGAGAAGGAGAGAGGAGTAGCCGGGGCTGGTCTTCAAGTGTTAACCTCAGCTTCAACGAATCAGCCAAGAACGATATATCGGGTAATCAAGTCTTTGTATTAATTTTACAGTAGCAACAGCAGTGAGGTTTCGTTTGCCTTGGCCTCTGTAGGCTTGAAGGGTTTTAAAATAACTGGCAGACAATAGTGATTTCTACTAGTGGTACTTCTGTACAATATAATTTTGCCTATTTAGGGACGAAAACCACGACATGGACGTCGACACCCGACTTGGCAAACGATACAGAATCTGCAACAGCCATAACAGTTAACCTCAAATTGCCCAAACGCAGATCTACTGGACCACTGCCTTCACTGGACACTGGACAAGGCAATGGTATGGATAACTTTTGCAATAATAATAGCTAAGTATTCATGTATCAAGTATACAGTTAGGTTAAGTATCGCTAAGCTTGAAACGAGCAAATATGATAAATGCATGTAATCTTTTATTTCTATCTTCTCTAGAGCTATATGAAAAAACTTTTATACTTATTTACATAAAGCTGAAGAGTTTATTTGTTTGTTTGAACGCGCTAATCTCAAGAACTACTGATTCGGATTGAAAAATATGTTAGTTTTGGTTAGACCATTTATCGAGGAAGGTTATAGTCTATAAAACACTGTGACTAATAAGAGCGAAGAAACAGTGAAAATGTGGAAAAAACGGGGAAATTATTCATCATCGTCATTCGAAAGATTCGAAAAGTCCGCGTCACTGTACCTATGTCTATGTTTTAAGATTAACGAGAACGTCGGGACGAGTGCGATGTGGTGGGTAATAGCTTAAAAGTATAAAGAAGAAAAAGCGGTATGCAAACACAAATTTGGATGCCCAAAATTACTATTCTACGCGGACGAAGCTGACACAGCTAGTATATACTTATACTAGCTGTGTCAACTTAACATTAACTTCTCGTAGTCAAAATTCTTCTCGTAGTGCGGCATTTGAAGGACGGGCAAATTCTTAAACTCTTAAAAGGTCTTCTAGCTGTACCAATGTACTTTCGTATATCAAAACTTCAAGACTGCTTCATATCGTAAAATAGAAATGTAAATGATCTCTAGTGTTGTAATTTTTCTAATAACTAGTTCATAGCTCATTCATTTTAGGTTTTCCTTTTGTTGTCTCTTTCCTATTTCTCATTTCTTTTTTTCTATTTGCAGCTACACACGTCTATGGTAAACAACTTGATTACCCTTTTTAGCGTTTAACAACACGCTTAAATTGTATCTCCCCGATGGTGTGATAAAACTAATGCTTGTTATTGAAAGAAAAGTTATCGAACAAATTCAATTCAATTTGCGTCTCCAAAATGGGCCTGACTACAGTCAAGGACCACTAGAGTGCTGCTTATTTCATTCTCTGAAGTCTATCCCTTAAATCTGAATGAGGCTAATGTATTCTATGAAAGTTTTGTATATTTCTTACGGTGCATGCGTGTAAAACATTGTCCTAAATTTGATAAGTAATGAAAGACAAATACGTTGTAATTTCCCATACCCAAAAAAAAAGTTATGCGCATCTAACAACTCTTGCCAAGTTAGTAACTGAACTTAATTACTAATAGAGTGACATAATTTATTTTCGAGTCTAGGTCTTCCTACCCTTAAATTTTCATTCCAATAACAAACATAACCTTGATTAAACTCTTGCAGAATCGGTAACAGTCCGACGGCCATCTCCTTCTCCACCTCCGAGTCAACCTTCCGCTCAAATCACCATCAACAAGAACGATTCATTGGCAGAACGTGTCAGAAAGGTATATTTTATTCCTAATCTCGTCTCTAACTAACACCATCAATTAAACAATTTGTTTGTGGTAATAATTAGCCAGAAATTAGATAAGTCATATTCAACGTAGCCAACGAGGATAAAAAGTGGTACACGAAAAAAAAATTACACCTAAAAATCTCAAACAATACAAATTGTCTTTTATTGGATCATGAACAAATAGTCCAAATATTAAAATTAATTTTAAAAATACTTCAATATAGTTTCCAGGGCTTGACTCAAGGCATGGGAATAGAGTGCCTTAAGTAGGTCACATCAACAGACGCATTGCTCGATATTTCAGGCAACACGTTGCGAACCGTCGCTTAAAATAACCAAAAGGTCGCCATTATTTTGACATTTGGCAATGCAACCAACATAGTATTTAGTATAGGAAGTGATCTATTAGTTTTAATTTTATAGCGTGTTAAAGTTTCATAATTTAATTTTATAGATGCAATTAATGAAAGCGCAAAGCAGTTTCGAAAAAGAATCTAGTTCAGAAAAAGATCGTGAAAGAAGAAGCGCATCGAGAAGTAAGGAAGAAGAAAAAATCACTCGTGTTAAGGACGATAAACCCAGTTTAAAAGATGATGTTAATTTTATGATGCAGGTAATAATTGTAACGGGTAGCAGATAATAGGATTTAATTATCATTATATACATATACATTTTCTCAAATAAGGTAAAAAGTAGCCGTAACAATGCACTATCGAAGCCGCCTAAAAGGGGAGGACCCTCGCGAGATAGGGAAGAGACATCAGACGATGAACATAGTCTCGCCGGTACGACTACCACAGATACGGAAACCACGCTGATCGACGCTAATGTTAAGGAATACCAAGTGAGTAATTAATTATATTCGTAAAAGAAGTTATTGAATAATTATAGTAATTCAAAGTGCTGACATGAGATGTATCTGTCAGGAGCAAGTAGAAAGTCTGAAACAAGAAGTGGATATACTGAGAAAGCGCTGTGAAAGAGTCGAAAAGGAAAAAAGTGACATACTACTACGAAGACTGGCGAATATTGACACGGTCAATAAATATTCTATCGGGCGGTCTTCGGAAGTGTTGAAACTGCAGCAAAAGGTTAACGAGCTCACTACCCAGAATGAGGATCTGAAGGATGAGAAGAAACATTTGACCTTAAAAATTAAAGAAGTCGAAACAGAACTTGAGGTATGTAACAAAATATTTCAATTAGGTCCTGTTCTGACTATATATAACTGAAAAATATGTATAGGGTAAACCATCGGTGGAAGCTCAGACGAAGCAAATCGAACAGCTAAGAGCGAAGTTACTTGCCGCTGAAACGTTGTGTGAAGAACTTATGGATGAAAATGAGGATATGAAGAAAGAACTCCGTGATCTGGAAGAAGAGATAGAAGAAATGCAAGACAATTTTAGGTATTGTAAGAATAGGTTCTTATATTAGATTGAAACTGTTATCCAAGACATAACAAGGGGTTTGTTGCAGAGAGGATCAAGCCGATGAATATACGTCTCTAAGACGTGAGTTGGAGCAAACTATAAAAAACTGCAGAGTTTTGTCGTTTAAATTGAAGAAGACTGAACGCAGAAACGAGCAATTAGAACAAGAAAAAACGGATCAAGAAAAGAAACTATTAGAGGTAACGTTTCAAGTGCAATTTTAAATGTGACAAAGTAATGTTTCCTATTTTCAGATTTGAATAGATTCAATTCGACTTTAACAGATAGTGGGGGGAAAGCAAGGAATGGAACGCGAGAACCGCATAAAAGAGCTCGAGCAGGAAGTCTCTCGGGCAAACGAAGTGGCTTTGCGATTGCAACGTGAGCTGGCCGAAGCGAATACTAAACTTGCAGCTGCATCGGGTGCGCCTCCGGCGAACCTCAAGACTCATGCGCCGAGTGAAGGGGTACGCTTCTGATATAATAATGATCGAAACCAATGTTTCAACGAGCGTTGAAACTATCTTGTTTTTGCAGAAGAAAGTCTCCCGGTCATCGCTCACTCGAGGCGGGAGCCAGGAGGATCCCGCCCAATTGTTGCGGGACTTACAAGACTCCCTGGAACGCGAAGCTGATCTAAGAGAACAACTAAGAAACGCAGAAGAAGAGGTAATTTAACTTATGTTTATATCGCGTAAGTTGTATAGGTACACGATATAACCATTCGTTGAGCTTCTTTTTTCGCTTTAGTTTATTAACACTTTAATGGAAGTGATAATTACAAGTTATTATTCATTGTTAGACTAATAAAGTTAATAGGTACATAAAATAAACAAAAAGCCGCAGCCAGCTGGCCGTGTGCCAACATGTGGATCTGAGTCGAATACAAATTATTAACAAAATACATTCGGTACGAAATCAATAATGCATCGAATGTATTGGAAAATGTATTCCTTTTTTCCATAAAATATCCGAGCATAAATACACACGGAAGGGATAACAAATATTTCATCGTTGAACAGGGTTATGTCGATCACCGGGGCTTCGAAGACAACATGTCTGAACTGAAAAGTGCATCGTTATCTCTGCATCATCAAACGAGTAACCGAACTGCCAATAACACTGATAACACTAACAATTCTTCTCGCAAACCTTTTCACTTCCAATTGCAGATACAGAAAGAAACGGAATGTTTTAATTTAGAGAAGATATTATTTATAGGCGTTAATCGCGAGTCCCAGTGCCCTCAGGATATAGCCCTCAGTTATGCTGAAGGTTGCCAAACCGACCTTATCATGGTATGTGACGTCGCTTCGGAAACGCGGAAAACAACTCTAGACTCAAGCTCACAATGCGACAATGACATGCTCGATACGTCAACTCAAACGAATGAAAGCATCTCTAAACATTCAAGTTTACAAACCTACTGCCAAAATATTATAACTCAACCGAAAAAATCTAAAGTCAACAGTTCCGGCACCCAGGACATGCAAGGGAAGGCCAACGAAAGGAATGTTAATACCCTAAATATTACCGATCCAGTTAATAAAGGATCGACTCAAAGTGAAGGAACTCAAACAGAACACCCGATAAACGGCCGAGAGAAGTCAGATAGTCCTCCGCTCTCATCCGAAAAACCACTAGCATTGACCTCCGGCCAAATACACTTCCCACTTGCATTATTTAATCCATTGGCAGCGAGGTTACCGATTGTAGGTACATAATTTAGAGCTCTATATCCCATTCCTCGTTGCAAGGCCTAGGTCATCGCCCGTTTCGTGTACCGTAGTACGTTAACTGATAAAACTAACCGTGTTTCAGGCAAATAACTTACGTAAAACCGCGTCAAGAGTCGAGGACGACAATGAGTCCTTACTGCTACAGCTGAAGAAAATGGCTACTAAGGCCAGAAGTACGTCAAACTAATATTATGTTGTTGAATTTCTCTTTAATTAACCCTATCTTTCGAGTCCGCATCCGACTTGTATAATACGTCCTCATTATTACAGCGTGTAATAAAGTAGAATGTTTTCGGAATGGTACCTAGATTGTCGACTTGTGATTTTCTTGTTACTAACCCGCTTCACTTCACACACAAGGATACTTCAAAAGTCTTCCGTGGTAGCCATTTTCTCCGGCATAGTGTTGTACTTGAAGGCGATAAAAATCTATTACTCTTGATTTAATTTTGTTATTACTAAAACAATAAACGTTGCGCTTTGACTGTGTAATGTCATTTGTACACGCTATTTGCTTTAGTGTAACAGCACAATGCGTTTCATAGGTCGAAAGTTGTCACCGACCGCTCCTACCAATCGACTGGCGATCGAAGCCCCAAACGAAAAAGATGAAGGAATATCAGACGAAGAAGATCCAGCGGAACTTCGTCTCTTGCTCGAACTTAACGAACAGGTAAAAACTTTCCACACTGCTTATATTCTACTTTTACTATAAGAGCGCTACTTTCTTAATTTATTTAGGAACATGAATGGTCTTTATGCTCTCATTTTCAGGAAGCAGCCGTGTTGCGTAAAAAGGTAGAAGATTTGGAGCAGGATAAGGAAACGTTGAAAAAACAAGTAAAGGAGTTATCCGAAAAAGTTTCAAATGCAGCGACCAAAACGAATGCCAATACCGGAGCTGCCTTACGGCGAACTTCAAATAAGGGTAGTTTGGCGGAAGAGAAAGTCAAAGTAAGAGGGACTTGAAACACATTAAAACGCTCGTTAAGAACAGATAATAATAAGTGGCTTATAGGTACTGGAGGACGAAATCGCTGAGCTAAGAAAGAAGCTAATTGAAAAAGAAAGGGATTGTGAAAGACTCCATGCTGAATTGAGTATCGTTCAAAAGAAGCCGAAAGCCTCGTTGATTAAAAGCAAGTGAGTCAATACGTTTCTGGAATAGGTATTAAAAAATGGGAATAAATTTTGGAATAATAACGAATTTACGTGCTAGATCACTCGACGGAGACCAACAGAACGTCGACCTCAAGCGCCAACTTCAAGTAATCGAACAAGAGGCGAACGTGCTTAGGACAAAGACCCAGAATCTGGAAGTAGACAACGAAAAATTGCAAGCGGAAAATAAAAGATTGCAGGTAGAATAATCGAACGAGTGTCATAGTTTTACGTTCATTGATCCCTTACTAATTTTGTATCTGTTACAGCTTCTAAAAGGTACGAAATCCTTGAAATCTGATAAGACTTTGGAAATAACCACCAATAAAGCAAGTCAATTAGAAAAAGAATTAAGAGAAGCTCTTACAAAGATAAAGGATTTGGAAACCACAAAAGATGATAAGAATGAGAAAAAAGTCAGGTTCAGTACTGAAATATCCAAGAAAGAAAGCGACAGCTTAAAAATAAAACAGGAAGAATTAGATAAATTAAAATTAAACTTTAACAAGGTACATTATACAAAAGTGATCTGATCATTCTGTGTTTGAACGTGTTTTAAATGTATTTTTGCATTTTACAGCTTGAAAAAGAAAAACTAAAACTGCAAACTACGCTCAAAGAGCTAAAGGAAGACGCTCTTAAATCTTTCAAACCGAGGACTCCGAAAAAAGTTACAGATTTGACGACAAAATTACAACTGAAGAAAATGGTCGAGGACTTGGAAAGTGAAATTGGTTCGTCGCTTTAATTATTATTTATTGAACATTGTTCCTTTCATTTTAAGGCATTTTAAAAGCTTATTTAATTAACTTTTCAGGTGAACTGTATGTTGTGATGAAAAATTCTGGAATGTCGGCACTCGATAACAAAACCGTTACGAAAGAAATGGAAGAAGTTAAAGAAAAACTATCTAAGCAAGAAGCAGAATTTACAAACGAAAGAAATCGCTTACAAAGTGAAATAAGTAGACTAAAAGATTTGAATCTTAAAATAGAAAGTGAGAAGATTTCTCTGCTTGAAAAAATTAAAAGTCTCGAAACTGATCGAAATTCTAGTGTTACAGAATGTAAATCATTGAAGGATGAAAAGAAAACCTTGGATTTGCAAATTAATAAACTAACTTCTGATTTAAGTAAGAAGTTGAATATACCTGACCATAATTTGACAAGACTTAATCTTTGTGTTTGGTTGTTACACTGTGGTTTCTTTTTTAGAAAAGAGTAGTACGCAACACACCGCAGTTTCAGACTGTATGAAGAAAATTGAAGATTTAAAGAAGGAAATAGACGTTAAGGACAAAGATATTGAAAAGTTAAAGAAACAAGTTGAAACCTTTAACAAATTAGAACAAGATAAAAATAAATTACTTAAAGAAGTAAGTATTTACTATAGAGACCGCAGTTTACTATTACATACATATTTTAGCATTTAACTCTCTTACTTATTTTGAACAGGTCGGTGATAAAACCAAAAAGATTGGTGAGTTAGAAAAAAAATTGAAAGATGCAGAAGACAAATGCAAAAGAACGGAGAAACTTTTAGCAACACGTAAGGACCGTGTCAGTAAATTAGAGAAAGAGGTACTACAAACGTTTTAATTTCTTTTATCTTACGTCATACATAGTTTAAAAATTAGTTAAAGTATAACTTTAATGTGTGAGAAATTATTGAGTTTTCAAATCTTTATCTTCAATCATTTCTTAAGCTGCAAAGCATAACATTGAACCTAATACGTGATAATACGTAAGTGTTATGGTTGAAATTAGATTGCGCGAGAGGTACATGTATCAAAGGGTTAAAGAAATTCGACGATAACGTAACTTGGTAGCTCAATTCATTAGAGCAGCGGCACAGAATACTGTGGATGCCGGTTCAAATCCCGTGTCGCATTTCTTTTTATCTACACTGATTTTTATCTTATCAGTCAAATACTCTGAAAAGCGGAGCTTTTAAATATTTCCTACTTTGTGTACGTTTAGTTAAACGGTACCCAACATTTTTGACCTTTTCTATTAGCTCTCAGAAGAGAAAGACCATGTCGAGGAATTAAAGGATTCTAAAAGACGATTATCCTTTGAATTAATGAGCGATAAAGATGAAATACTGGCCAAGCAATCTCAAGCTGAAAGTAAACTTAAAACAGTAAGAACAGACATGGATCAACTCAAAAGAGATTACGAAAATAAAATAACTAATCTAGAATCGACTATAGCTGCTAAAGATGTTCACATCAAGCAACTGGTATTTAATTGCTTGCGTTTCATATCAACCCTGTTTTTGTCCCACTCGCTCTTATAGAATGTAGACATCCTTTTAATTTCGCATGTGCGGCCCTAAAATCGACGTCTATTTACACGCGCTAATACTTATCCTCGTCAACAGGAAGAAGCTCTCCGTGATACATCAAATCAGAAATACGATGAAGCAGTTTCGTCTGTTGAAATTGCCCAAATCAAGGAGAAATACGAAAAAACAGCGACCCAACTTAAAGAAAAAGAAGAACAATTAAGGGCCGCAAAAGATGAATTTACTAAAGTAGAAAAAGAATTTAATACCGTTAAAAACGAAATTTCTCAACTTAAATCTACTGTTAACAAGTGTGAAAATGATAAAAAGGACTTGGAAGAGAAAATCAAAGCTGAACAGAAGGATTCAAAGTATTGGGAAAGTAAAACTTCTGAAATCGAATTAGATTTACAGGTCAGACTTTATGGAAACTGCCGAAATTTTGATAATTTTTAAGATAGTTCACAAGATTATTTAAAATACAAATGGTGACTTAACTTTCAGGCAGAAAGAAAGAAATTGGAACGAATGAGATCAGCGCACGATAAGGATATAAAGAACAAAGAAGCTGAACTAGCTACGCTTAAAGGCAAATTAAAAGTACTAGAACAAACCTCAGGTGCAGGTGCTAAAAGAATAGCCGAACTGAAACAAGAACACGAAGAAAATATGAAAAGTAAGTTAACTTAGAGTTCACTGCTGCATTATGTTACACACAATTTTAATAATTATAGTAGATAATGAATTATTTCATGTTTTTCAGAGTTGGAACATACATTAGCTGTTGAAAAAGCGGAATACGAGGAGCTAACTAGCAAATATGAGTTGCTGGAAGAGGAACACGTAGTAACGAAAGCCAGATTAACAGTTGATAAAGAGCAAGCGCAAGGGTAAAAAATATAGCTAAAATAAATGATGAATTTTGGTCTAAATAATTAATAATTTATTTTTAATTTTAGGGAACTCTTGCACTGTCAAAAAGAATTAAGCGACGCCCTAGCGGAACTAAAATCTTTACAGGAAAGTTTATCTTCACAAACGTCATCTTGGAAAAGCGAAAAAACTCAACTACAAGTCCGTTTAACAATTTGTTTGAAAAGTAATTTCCCCAAATAAAATTGTATAATTCACATTTTTCTTCATGCAGAAAGAAATTTCATCTCTGCAAGAGCGTTTATGCGGAGGAGGCTGGGAAGTGGAAAAAGCGCGACTGAACACTAAACTGGACAAACAAGAACGTGAACTACGAGATCAAATTCAGAAAAATGAAGTGTTAGTACACCATCACGATCTTGCCAAAAAAGAGGTACTATAATAAAATATATTTTTTTATTCTTTTCAATATTTCATTTCTAACCGATTTCAGATCCACATACAGAAAAAAATGTTTTTTAAATGATTAAAATCGTTCTCTTGAAATTTGCTCAACCCCTTTTTCAGTTAGAAGAAGCTAAAAGGAAATTAGAAGATTATGAGAGAGTTAGCAAAGTCCACAGGACATTAACGGCCGACAATGCGGAGCTTGAACGCGAATTGGCTACGCTCAATAGCCGACTCGAGCAAACGGAGAAGGCGAGGAAGAACGAAATTAATGACACGAAGTCGAGGTATGAAGAACAAATGAATACTATGCGAGAGGAACTCAAGTCTCTACATAACCAGGTAAGGACAGATCGAACGTTGGCGTTGCGTAACCTTTATGGCCGAAGTGTGTAAAACTCAAACATCCTAGGTATCGAGATTCAAGCGAGAGCGGGACAACTACAAACAGATGTTAGAATCCACTCAGAAGACGATGTCTGAAATGAAGAATGGAAATAAAACGAAGGCCCCGCGCACCTCGATATCGAGTACGGACGATGTAAGTAATTGAATTACCTCATAAACGCTGAAGTAAATGGGTATATTATTATTAATTTAATTCTAGGAAGAATTCCGAAACAAGGTGGCCACACTGGAACAGCAGGTGGCTTGTTTAGAAGATGAGCTGTGTGAAGCGAGATTGCTGTCTTCAAAACTGAATACCGAACTAATAAGTGAACGTTCATCGGCCGAAGTGCGCTTAGCGGAGATGCAATCTCGACTTAATGAGGTCTGAGGCAATATTGACAGTTAGATAAAAGTTATCCAGGAATTGAATAAAATCACATCCATCCGAATTATATTTTCAGTATGAAGAGGATAGGTTGCTTTCGTCCGGACGCGCTCGTGTGGCCGGGCTCGCCACTCGAATGGAACTGGCTTGGCACAAGGAACGCGACGAGCAGCAACGTCTATTGCAGGAAACGTCTACGCTGGCCAGAGACTTACGGCAGACGTTGTTTGAAGTGGGTCATTTTAAAAACATACAGAATGAATTGTTTGGCTTGAGAAACCTATACATTTTGCTTAACCACTAATAAAACCAAATTACAGCTCGAGCGAGAACGAGAAAAAGAAAGGCTGGACATGAAGAGAAGGATGGACCAAATAAAGAGAACCACGGAAGAGGAGACCGAAGAGGCCAAGAAGAAGGTACCAGGGGATTCTTTAATTGGGTTAATGAGTTGCATGATAAAATTAATAGTCAAAACGAATTAAAGATATATCGTTATAAATCATTTCAGGTTACGGAATTGCAATGCGATCTCTTGGAACTCCGCGACGCTCACGCCAAGCTGCGAACGGCTAACGAGAAATTGCGTCGCGACAAGGAAAGGCACGATCGCGACCGTGATCAAAATAAGCTTCTGATCGGGTCTCTGAAGCGTGCTCAACAAGTGAGTTCGCTTACAATGGTTTTTAAAAATATTTTCACAAAATCTTGACCTGCTTGTCTTTTGCCATAGGAGGACGACCGTGTCGTAACACACTTGCTGGAAACCATTGACGAACTAATCAAGCAGAGTCCGGAGCTATTCCGTACTGAAACGGGCATCAAACCTGAGAAAAGTCTAGCCACACCGACTCCGCCTAGAAGGAATAGGGTAAGATTGCATCTTAGTCTTTTAATTAGCGCCCGACAAAATTAATTTTTGACCGAAGCTGAAAAACGAATCTACCCGAAGAAGCTTATAAAATAGCATTGTCATTTGACAGTCGTCAAAATCGCGGTCGCGTTCTGCGACACCAGAGCAAGCGTTAGCGGAGACTCCGATGGCGACGGGGCAGCGCCTGCGCCGCCTGGCGGACGAGCTGCGCGCGTCGCGAATCGCCGAACGACAACGCAGGCAGCTGACGACTTCATCGCGGCGGTATTTGTCATCACATCGCTCTATATCCACCGAGGTCCAAACTGAGCCCTCGTCCTCAGCCGTGGGGAGTATTAATTGTTTTTTTTTTTTACAGCGCTATGTCGACCGAGCCACGTGACACTATGACGGTGACGTCTGCTTCACGAACACCTTCCCGAGTGCCTTCGCTCAAGAAACGTTCCATCTCATTGGAACAAACGACTAAAGATCAGGTGAGTAGAAAACTACAGTAATATTTGATCTTTACGCTTAGTAACATGTACATTCTAATAAATGTTTTAGTTTTCGAAATGGTTTATTTGGATGGTCAATTGACTTATAATTGTCTTCCAGTCGTCCATTTGGAAGACAGTAGAAGACAGCAGCGTATCGTCAATGCAATCGCTGGACGGAGACGACAGGCTCTTCACGATGCAAAGAGACACCAGTCTAGACAGGTACATATTTCACCAACCATATTTACAATCAGTGACAAAGATGTGTGCTGTCTCTTTAAATCGGAGTGTGTGTTCCAAATCGTAATATTACAATTTTCATTTCCTCGTATTAGTCGTCTATCCGGAGGTTCAGCGCAGAGCGAAGTGTTAGCATCAGAGAAAAAGAAGAAAAAGAGTATATTCGGCAAGTTAAAGAAGCTGACGAAATCCCGGTCCATCGATGATAATGTAGAGGAAGTAGAGTTCAAGCCGATAGGAAATGTTTCGCAGGTATTTTGTTCTTTTTTTATCCCCAATGCCCCAAACACAAAGATGCACTAATGCACCTTACCCATTTAGATGTATGGGTGAGGTGCATTAGTGTTGGTTTGCGAAATTAAATGCTTTTCAGCACTCGTTCATGAGTAGAACTTCACCTTCTATTGTCGTTGACTTCGCTTACGGGCTGTAACTGTCTTATGTAAATGGTAAAGTAAAGAAATTTGAATCTATGTATTAACGGAAATTAATTTTTAAGATCTTTATTAATTTTACCATAAAAATGTGGTTTTTACTAAGTGAATTTGAGGTAGTTCATTAATTTACGTTAATAAACGAAAATAATTACATAGATACTCTTTTATTTTTAACTGGATCTTTTACCAAAATTGACTATAGAGATATTTTTTAAACAAATAAGCCAATTTAACTTCGTGATTATTTTGAGTGGGTTTTTTCTCTTGAAAATTAATTGTCCTAACAGCTGATTATACGTTTTTGTAATTATAGCAAGGCTCCGACTCTGACATGAGCGCGACGGGCAGCAAGCAAAACTTGCGTGGAAGGCTGTCCGATATGTTCAGCCGAAAAGGCCACTTATCACGCGGAAACAGGTGCTCTTTTACACAGGTGCCATTATTTTTACATTATGTAGAGATTTTATATGGTTAATTCATTTTTTCAGCAAAGAACAAAGTCCCGACACAGGATCTGCCAGTGGATCTCGTTCGATACTGCGCAATGCCAGTTCATCAACGCTGCCCCGGTCCACTACGCTCAGCGCCACGGTAATTCAACCTATAGTACAACTCACATGTGGATTCTAGAAGGACCCATTAAAGCAACATCCCCTTAATCTATTCTGTATTTTTCAGACCGACACACAAAGCACTCGAGCCGCCAGCGCAACGCCCGGAACTAAAAGGAAAGGAAAATAACGAAACGGCTTTACTTAGCTTCATTATATTATCCAATCTCCAACTATTCCACATAGCTCGTAATATCACAATACATATCAACGATGAGATTCGAACATGTTTTTGCGTTAGACAAATTATACTATGAACTAGACACCTTTTATATGCCAGTGTTTGTGACCCTAAGTTTGTTTTGTATTCACCTATTTTATAATAAATGTTTATTTAAAAAGAAAAAAAATGCCAAGTCTATCCGTTCTGAAAACCGCGAATCGGAATTATTATGATTTGCAATATTTTATTTGACACTGACTAAACACACATCAAGAAAAAAACAAATAATAAAGTGGAAAATCTATTAAATTTTCAACATGTACAACGTTAATGAGTATGCAAGTCAAATAAATGAAGAGTTCAGCTAGCTCTGATCCATGAGGTTGGAGTCGAGTCCGGCGCCGCTGGAGTCCTTGAGGATGGACTCGAATATCGGCTGCAGCTCGGGGAACGACTTTATCTGCGTCACGAAGTCCATCAGGTGCGGGTTTTTTTCTGCGATATTCATATGACGCAATATTAATGTCACATTTAGTTTGAAATTGACATCAGCACTGTCGCATCAAACGTTGATTGGTCACCGAATAAAATATGCAATACTATTTGAGATAAAAGCGAGACTACATTAACTATCTCTTCTCAAACAAGGGACATAAAAGGAACGAAGAGAACTGGCAAAATACTCGCCGCCCCTTTTTATCGAGAAGTTGTGTTTCTTTTCATGTTACTCCCGATTTATTATGTAAATAATATCTGTTAAAATTGATGTATTGTGATGTGTGTAAATGACTTTTCACTAACCGGCCTCTGGTATTTGCAATAAGGCAGCGGCAGCCCTAAGCGCCGACCGCTTGAGCTCGTCTTGCTTCTCGTACTCTTGCTTTACAGAATTCGCCTTCACCTTCATGGTGCACGTAGCGCGGAGTGGCTCGACTAGACTTTCTAGCCCTGGAAGGTTTAGAGCAAAGATAGTGTAACAATTATTGTACGGCAGGTCGTTATAGGGCTCGAATATACTCACTTTGCAACACGACGGCGGGACACAAGGTGGCGAGTCGGGCGCACATGAGGTACGTCAGCATTTTAATGTCGTAGTGGTCTCTCAGCCCGTCCTCCACGTGCCGCAAGAACTCGAAGACGTCCAGCCGGTCCAGGCACGTGCCGAGCAGAGTGTACATACACTCGAAAGCGGCCTTACGCAGGTCGAGACCGTCGTCCACCGAGTGTTTGAACGGACCCATTTCCACTTCCCGTATTAATTCTTTCTGTAGAATATGTAAGCGCCCGTATGAGTATATTTTATTTCTTCGAATTGGGCTCTAATTAACTATGGTTTCAACGGCTCTTAAACATTTACCTTAACTTTAGTTTCGCTGTAAATGGTAGGTAGGACTTGTGGCAATAGATCCCGAACGAGACTCGGCTTATTGTGAGCGGCCGAGTTGAAAGCTACCAGCGCCACGCGTCGGACGCCCAACTCTGGGTCGCGTAAGGGAACTAGCAGCTCTGCCATGCAAGCGCGTAGTAGACCATCGATGGGTTGAGGCTGAAATGTTAAAAAAGTTTTATAAACTATGAGATCTATTCTTTCAGAATCGTGAATTTAAAGTGTTGTTTTATCATTGTACAACGAAGTAACAATTTTTTTTTAATATTTAAATCTTATTTGTAGACTAAAGCTATTATACCTGATCAGAAATAGTGAATTTAACAGCAGTCACGGCTGTGGTCCTAGTGAGTGGTTCCGGAGATTTGAGGAATTCTTTGAGGTGTGGCAATAAGTCCTGCGGCTCCAAAAGGCATAGCTTTCCTAAGCATTCGGCAACCTAAGGTTTTAATAAAATTAGAAAAATATGTAGGAAAATATTCACGCATTACACAAGAATGGGTATCACAAAATACATACAACATTCCGAGATCCCTCCTCTGCGCACTGGCAATGTTTTGATAGCTGGACCCAGATTTCTGGTATAAAAGGCCTCAGTGCTTCTATACCTTCCGGTGTGGTCGATTCGCACGCAATAATCTGCAAACATCGATGAGATTGAACCGTTATATTTAAATTGCCATAATTCCGAACGACTTCTTTTCTTATATATCAGTAATATAATAAGCTCATCACCTCTCTTAGTGAATGTAACAGTAGATATTGTCGTTTCGGTTGCGCCTCTATTTCGCCGAGAATGAAGGGCAGGAACTCTGGTAAGTTGCCCACGGCCACGGAACCCAATGCGTAGCTAGCGGCAGACTTCACTTCTTCAGACGACGGCGTAAAGGAGTTCAGCAGGACCTCCTTTAAATTCGGTATCGAACTTAGATCCCTAAACGGAAAAGTTTTACATCAATCGACTTTTCTTAACATAATTTTCAGACGAGACGTTATACAAATTGAAAGAACAGTGCCCGTTAGTCATAGGTACGAGTCTCGCCTCTGTCGTCGTCATAAAACAATATGAAATTACGTAACCACAAAATTAAATGAACGTTGTAATAACTTTAATTTTTATTCGCATCAGTAAACATTTGGTCGGATAAAACACTTACAGATGTCGACCAATTTCAGCGATGGCCAGGAGAGCAAACATGTGCACGGTGTCCGCGGGCGGGTCCGCGGCGTCACGCAGAAACGCTCTCGTCGTCTGGATCGCTTCGCTGCCTCCGCCCACTACGACCGCGGCCACGCACTTCGCCAGCGAATGATACGACTGAAAATCGAAATTTTGTTTTTTATAAAATACAATAGCGATGAATGCTTTCTGTACTTTTATATTATGAGACCATTAGGCTTGGACGGGGGGGTTGAACGCTAAGTGCTTTACCTGTTTGATATGATGCGCGGTCGCGTTGTGCTCCGTGGGTCGATGAACAGGCGCAACGAGCAGCGACAGCAGTTCACGCCGCGAACACCCCGGTACGTCAGCTTCCACCAACGCTGATAGGACGCCCACCATCGCCTTTAAGGCTCCTCCTAATTAACAATAGTCCAGAAGCAATTAATTTTTAACATAGTAGAAGTCGTATAAGCGAACTTGTGTAGTTACTAAGATTTATTTAATTGGTACCTTGGAGTAGTGGGGAGTTAGCCAGAGTCAGAATGTTGGGCGTGAGCGCCTCATGGCTCAGCGCAGCCGGACAGCGGCGACACACATTGGACACGAGCGACAGAGCCGTCTGCGCACAGTGAAGATCCGCCTCGCAGACCAGCGCAGGCACTTCTGTCAATACCTGCAGACATATTTATATTTCGCTTTTTACTTTGACTCACTTGAACATATATAAGTAGCTGTATAATAAGAACGGTCGAAACATCTAGCTGCGAAATATCAAGCAATTAAATAAAAAACACAGCAAATATATATATTGCTGCACAATAAAACCTGGCTTTTGGGAATCTCAAAGGACCGAGACATATGTACCCATTGTTGAGGGTTTCCAATAATCCAGGTTTAAAATTATAGTCTTTTCATATACAGAGGCCGCCAGGTTTGTTAGTAAACAAACTATCATAACGTGTTAAAACCTGATTAATTTGTCTCACTTATACAGGTTGATATATATTGAGCTACACCATCTCAATTATAGAGGTAAGCGTTGAAAAAGTTCCATTAACAGAGATCATAATATAATAAAGGAGAACCGGGACCTCATTGCAAATCTCAATAATGGAGGTTTCTCATTTATCCGGCTTCCACTTAACCACGTTTCACGGTATTATACTATTTACAAGTAAGCCCTACCTTACTGAGAAGCTCTATACTGATGTGATTGCTGTAATTTTGGACCAGCGTGTCGAGGAGCACCAACGTCGAGAGCTTCAGCGCCCTCTGGTTCTTACGCAGAAATGATCCTAGGATAGGCACAGCGTCTGACTGCAATTTATATGTCAACGGAAATTAACACACAAGCTTTACGAACATAGAAAATCCTTTAAAAGCTTCATACTTACTAAAATGGGCCGGAGATCGATTCGGAGCGGTGACGAAGCGATCTTCGTAAGCGCTTTCACTGTGGTCAGTCTTGTGATTTCGTTTCGAAGTCTCTCCAAAAAGATCGGCAAACACACGGGTAACTCGTTCTGGAAATAAATTAAAATAATAACGCAACAAACTTGTTCGAGTCACGGCGCGCCCCTTAGGAGTTCTATTGTTGATTATTAATATAGTGGATATTGGCTTTATTTAATACTCATAGATAATTCCAATTTACACTTTTGTATTAACGATATGCCTGTACAAAACTTTACCAAGACCAAATGTTATATTCTTAGTAGCGCCTTATGTAGTGTCCGTATCGAACAACAACCCGTACCTGCAGATAATCGCCGAAGTGGCATATGAGTTGTCCGCAGGTAGCAATCGCGCGCTCCTTCACCTCCTGGTCCATGTCGGTGGCTCTCAGGCGAACCAGGGTGCACTCGTACATCGCAGGAATGAACGGCTGGAATTCCTCCGGCGCGCTCTCGACCTCCACACTTCCATCGATATTTTCAATGTTATCTGGAACAAATCAAATAATGTGAATGCAACTACATCTTGCTACATTTTTATTTATTTGCAACACTGTAGTTGTTACTGTATAATTTCCGAATATCCAAAGCTAAAGCAAAGTATACTGGTAGCAGCCCATCGATAATTCTATGGGCTTGGAGTCTACCAGATACACGGTCATATTTCTAAAAGTACCACTCACCAAGAGGTCTCATGATCTTAACGAGGGCTTGTAAGACGCGCAGCGCCTCGGCAGTGACCTTGTAGAAGGGGTCCGGCACGCAAGCCAGCACGGCGGGAAGCAAGGCCGGAAGGTGAGTGCGCACTCCCTCTGCTCCTGGCCCGCGGGACAGCCACCACACGAATACCAGCGTCTCGATTTTCATTGAGGACGCCGTCCCTTTGTCCCTATACGAGGAACATTACAATTAAGTAAACTATCTCTGTCTGTTTCAACATATTATGGGTAAGTAGGGAAACAATGTGGTGTACAATACACCCAACGAAACATCCACTACAATGTGCCATGGTTATCTATGACCTCTCGAACTAAACGCAAGGCTAGGCGACGCGTAGGCGACGTACAAGTCTTTTATTATTTTTATTCAGTTCAAAGTAATAATGTTTACCTACATGAGATACATAGACTCTACATTTTGCATTTGAATTGTTTTATAGCATTACTTAGTAATCCACATAACCTTAATATATTTTACGAAACAATGTAAAACATTACAATCCATATAAGACTGAATGATATTCCTATTCAAAGATTTCTTCATAGATTCCTTACATAAGTGGGGGTGTCAATGCCCGTATGAGCGTGACGTGGGGTACTCTAGACGTTTGGTCGGTGAGGCAGCCGGGCGCAGCAACCAGCAGTTCGCGCAGCAAGGCGAGCGCCGCCCCACGAGCTCGAACACTGCGACCGCGGATCACCCGCAACGAGGCCCGGACGATACTTGGCACCTAATTTTGTTTTATACATCATTTATTATTTACAAAAAAACACCTGACAAAAAATTGCGACCAGTAAGAAATCGTACAGGATTTGATTTAATAAATACCACCCTGCACGAAAACATTTTCTAAAAAGCCAACTTGGTTTAATATCTTTAAATACTTTTGAGGTTAGATTCAATAAATAAGTTATATTATATACGAGTATTTTTTAACTGCAGAAATGAACATCGTAAAGAGCTAATTTGTTAAGTATATTAAAAGAACAATAAAATTGGATATAATGTTATCTAACGATAAATTCGATATCAGAACTCTAACTTACTGCGCTTTGCACAAAAGGATTAAATAATATCATATTTTGAAGAAAAAATGAATATCTTTTTGATGCTTATAATATGAGTTATTATTAAACTTTTATAAAATAAAAAATAACGGATTTTATAGATAGTCGTTAGGTACGATTTGGCCATTAAAAGTTTACCATATGCTATTTATGTGATGGCAGGCTTTGGAACTACGTACTCTTTGAATAAGCAAAGCTTGTGGAGAGTTGTCTGTTGGCGCGATAGGTATTTGCAGTGCGGGCGGCGGCCGAGTTGCGCGTAAGAGGGCCGTATAAGCACTGAGGATGTCGCATTTAACGTTTTCTTCACGCTCTGCAATTGTATATTCAAATAATCACTTTCTACAACTACTTCAAATATTCAAGACTCAAGCACCACAGCAAATCATGCACTGACCCTTAAACCTGGCTATCAGAGCCGGAGATACTGTTTGATACATTTCAGCCAATAACTCGTGTCGCGTCGAAATCACCGACTCTAAACATTTAGCGGCTGCTCTTCTTACCTACGAAAAACGTTATATGATTAATAACGCAAATATAACACATCTACGTGTGTATGATTATAATGTATTTAATATAAATTGAGACTGTAAAACTAATGCAAACCTTCCATGACATGTCGTCATCATCAGAATATTCCTCAGAATCAGACTCTGCTTCCGCATCAGGTTCAAAAGATTCCTCCTCCATCTCCTCGTCTTCGCCTCCACCGCCTTCTTCTTCATCTTCATAATTATAATTGGGATCATATGTGATCATTTTTAGACACAAATCAATTATCTGAAATTCATAGAAATGTTTAAATTAGTGCTAGACTTACATCATGTTTTATCCCTGTATTGAACTTACTGTAGGAATATGAGGCTGAACTTCTTTGGGACATTTGAGTACAATAGCTTCAAGGGCCTGTAAGCAATGTTCTCTCAACTCTTCATCAACATCAGTGGAATGCTCCAAAACTTGAGGAGCCACTCTCCATAGTTGTTCACCAAATCTGTGACCAGCTTGGCGACTAAAATTGAACATTGGCATGTTTATATATACAGTGTAAACTCTTTATAAGCGTGTCCTTTATAACAATAAACTCCCTATAACAGAGTAGCCCAATTTGGTTGGTTTGCATTAAAACTCAAATATTGAAACACTCTTTATAGCGATACACCATTCTCTATTACGAAGAAATGTGTTCATATTTTTAGACTTGTTTAATCAAGACCATTCCACCACATATCTAGATATATACATAAAATAATACAAAACAAGTACTGGCATAGCAAAAAACGTCAGACGAAATTATTTATCAGTCAAGTTTACATAACAATGCAACAACTTACCAAATAGAAGCAATACATTGTATATGTGTACGGCTAACACTAGCGGATGTCGAGGTACTCAATCCTTCGAGGAGATGGTCAATAAGTTTGTTATATAAGGTTGAATTACAAGACATCACTAAATGTGATAGGGCCACAATGGTCCGCTTACGAACAGCCTAAAATAATAATTACATTATTTATAAATATTTTATTAAGTTTTTCTAGTGAACTACAGTTAACTCAAGCTTATATGAATAGTTAGCTAAATATTAATTAATTCACCTGTCTGGGCGATGCTAGTTGGGGCAGTAAGGAATTAAGAAGCATTGGGTGAAACGATATAAGGAGTCCTCCAAATCTGCTAAGTAAATCTGCCAAGATGTCAAGTGCCTCCAATTGGACAGAGACATCTTCTTGCTAGAAAATGTAAAATATTTTTATTAAGTTAAGAAAAAATACGATGACCACAGAAAGAGAAAAAAAATATTCATACATACCTTTTCAATAGCACTGCTTAATCTACCAGTAATTTTTTTGCAGACATTTGCAGCTAAAGTGTTGGATCCCAGCGGCAGTTCAGATATTACTGTTTTTAATCCAATGCTGCTAATATCTCTGAGCTGTTCCGTATCTGACAACATATTTGCACAAAGGGTTTCCACTATACCCTCAACCTGATACTCTTTCACTTTGTTTACTAGAGGTCCCAGGCTGCAAGTTTCATCGCAGGTTAGACTCAGATAATAAATAAATTTACACTAACAAATAAACAGGATATAAACGTACCATTTCACAGCTAGGTTTTGAACCTCACCATTCTTGTCTTCAAGCAAACGAAGTAGCATTTTTACCACTTTCCTTTCAGAATCATCATCTAGTTTTATGCTATCTTTTTGTAATTCAGTCATCAAATCGTTTGTAGCCATAAAACGAAAGTCTTTGTCATTTGATGTCATCTGTTAAAAACGGTAATCATTGAAATGAACAGAAATATCGGAATATTGTACTCAGTTTGCTAAAAACCATAACACCGGTTACCTTCTCTAGAAGATTTGCGATTTGATATGAAACACTAGCCATTTTGATCGCTTTGGATCTTTTCAATATGAAATGTGTTATCTCGTACAACTACATATGATAGAGATTTTTAAGTTAGTGTGAGCTCATAGAATAAACTGACTAATATTAAATCAATGAAAATTTAGGAACTGGAAAAATCGAAAATGAATGCACAAAATATCTTCAAGGTTTCAATTTTTTCCGAATGCCGTATATTGTTGCCATTTACAAACTTTTACCCTAACATTAATTGTCGTTTGCAGTTACAGCTTATAAATTACCCTTGAAAACTGAAGCAATTAATTGTCAAGTATTGCGGCCGTGCATAAGCTGTGGTTTGTGTCATTGGCAAATGGAAGTAATAACTTTACAACATGTTTACAATAACGATTCATAGGTTATGTTTTGGATTGTATTGAAGCACTAGATGTTGTTTTATAATTATTCCTGTTTAGTAGATAACAAAGTAAAATACTCTTAGCTTAGTTCTAGTACTAAGAAAGCTAATCTTTGATACTTTTTTATTTACACGAAGCAAAAATTATAAATATGGATTTATTTATAATTAATAGGTAAGTGAATTTTCACATGGTATCTGTTATTCAATTCACTCGACTAATAGTTAAAATTATCAGGTATACAGGTGAATCCGAAAACAATAGCAATATCCAAGAAACACATCGTCTACAAAAACTGCAGCAAAAAATTGAGGAAAGGAGGAAAGCCACCACTAACAAAATAAGACATGACAAGTCACTTAAATTAATAGCTTCAAGTGAAGAAAATGAGGGAAAACAAAAAGGTTTAGCTACAGTTGAAACTAAAACAAATCTAGTTAACCATAATGAGATATTACAAGAAGAAAATGACACAAATATAACACACCCGATTGTTGAAAAGACTAAAGATAAAAGTGATTTTAAAGTACTTGGTAATAGTGACTTTGAAAAGAAACAAGTGGTACAGAATACTTTTTTTAAATTCAATTATAAGTAGAAGCCATTTTATTTGTTTATTTATAATTTTATTTTGTAGGTTGAAAGAGTGTTACCATACTGGTTATCACATGCACACAGTATTTCGAAAAACTTGCAAAAGCTTACTTGTCACGTAGTTGACCAGCCTTGGTTACATAGTACTCTAAAAGAAACATTAGCCAATGAAGGTGTCACACACTTATTCCCTGTGCAAGAGCAAGTTATTCCTTTTATATTGAAGGAACAGGGTCTACCGGCTCCTCTTTGGCCTCATGACATTTGTGTTTCTGCTCCCACGGGCAGTGGTAAAACGTTATCATTTGTCTTACCAATTATACAGGTAACATTTTGAAAATATATTTTAGAATACTTTACCAGTAATATAATATATTCTAAGACTATTTACAATTTTATAAAAAACATTCCAGACACTAATGTTAGAACTTGGTCATCACATAAGAGCATTAGCAGTTTTGCCAGTTCAAGAATTAGCCACACAAGTAGCAACCGTTTTCAAAAAATATTGTACTAACACTGGTCTCAGAGTTGCATTACTTAGTGGATCAGTACCACGGCAAAAGGAACAACAACAGTTGCTAAAATATAGTTTGTATCTTTATACATTGTTACAATTTCTTATATCATATAACAAATATGGTATTTGTTAATAGATTACAAATATGCATAACATATTTTTCTTTAATAATTTACAGCTGATTCTCTTGGATGGGTCAGTGAAGCCGACATAATTGTATGTACTGCTGGAAGATTAGTTGAGCACTTACAAAACACAGAAGGATTTTCTCTGAAATATTTAAAGTTTCTTGTGATCGATGAAGCTGACAGAATTATGGATAACATACAAAATGATTGGCTCTACCACTTATATAAGCACATACAGCTGGAGGGCCATGCAGGAAATAAAATTTCACAACTTAACTGGAAATTCATTGATAAATTACAGTGTCCCCCACAAAAACTTCTATTCTCAGCAACACTTACCCCTGATCCTGAGCTGTTAGAACGATGGGGCCTTTTTCAACCTAAACTATTTTCTGTTGCTCCAATATCAGACAATGTGGACAAAAATAAGGTCAAAAAGTTTTCAACCCCTGATGAGTTAAAAGAACAGTTTGTTACTTGTTCCATTGAAGAAAAACCACTGATTCTTTTCCACTTCTTAATGGAACAAAAGTTTGATAAAGTTTTATGTTTTACTAATTCTGGACAGTCAGCACACAGATTAACTGTATTGCTGAACAATTGGGCTCAAGATAAAATTAAAGTTGCTGAATTGTCAGCGTCATTAGATAGAACGTCTAGAGAAAACGTTTTAAAAAACTTTAAACTTTCTGAAATCAACGTGTAAGTAAAATGAGATTTTACTTATTGGTTTTGTTTGATTTGATTTGCATATCATTATTATTTTTACAGAATTGTAAGTACAGATGCTTTAGCAAGAGGAATAGATATACCCAACTGTAAATATGTAATATCATATGATCCTCCTAAAAACATAAAGACATATGTTCATAGAGTAGGCCGTACAGGAAGAGCTGGCAACATTGGACACGCCATTACTATTCTAGTCCAAAATCAGGTTCAAATGTTCAAGGTTCGTCAGTTATAGTAACTATTTTTATCTTGCACTATATACCAAGGTTTGTTATAGTACTGGATCGTGTTTCACTTTTGACTCAAGTAAAGTTTATATCTGCAGGAAATTCTGCAATCAGGAGGCAAAGAGGATATTTCACAAGTGGAATTTACTGCAGATACCTTACAGCCACTTATAGATGGCTATCAGAGAGCGATGGAAGTAACGAAACAATCTATTCATACAGAAATTAACAATAAAGTTAAAAAATCCATTGAAGTCAAAAGAGGTGTAAAGCCTAGTTCACAAAAAAGGAAACACAATGGTTGAAAGATTAATATTGAACTATTGAAAATAAACTTTTCACATATTTGTAGAAAAATATCTGTATATGCTTTATCACATATCATTTGTCATAACATCATAATAAAATATAATTATTACAATAGCACTTCTTTTTTAATTTAATGCATTGTGTATTAAAATACTAATAGTAGAAGACAATAGCTAAAACAATAAGCCATATAAAATATATAGTCGCTTTAGTTTCAATTGAATATGTGAAATATTAAGAAAAAGCTTAAAAATGCAATTCACAGATTATTTAGCAAAATTGTAATGAACAATATTAAAATGACTAGTATTGCATGAGACTGAGGAATAAAAACGCCGATCAATACTATCAATTACACATTATGAGATTTATAGAATTGTGTATACTAATTACTAACTGGTCTATAATCTAGGAATGAGCAGCAATAAATATTTTTTGGCAAGCAATAAAAGGTGCTGGTAGGTTGATACAAACACAGATTTCTTAAATTTAAAAGTAAACATACAAATATACCATAAAATCATATATCTAAAACTGAATTAAATCTTCACTGGACTTGGTAGAGGATACCTGGCTTATATTGTTTACTACTTCAGATGGTGTATCAGATTGCTTTGGCGATATTTTCCGTTTTGGTGGAATTGGTGCATTTTCTAATATACTAGTATGTCCTAAGCTTTTTCCTTGGTCTGTAAAAAATTTTATATCTTTGTCGGAACGTCGGCTGCTCGGTGAAAACTTGGTTCTTACCGGAGGACTAGGTGCAGCTCTCGAGTATAAAGGCCTATTATCAAAAATTGATATGTCTATTGGATTTAAGCTCGATGTCAGAATTGATGTTTTACTTTTCTCTAATGAATAAACTCTATGTTTTTCTTCAGATTCCTTGCTTATATCATCAGTGTAAAACATTGTTTTTGTCTGATAATCTGATCTTAAATGCTTGTGAGCCTCAACATCAGATTTGCTTCTCTCAAGAGTGAAAGCTCCGTTAGTGTGTAAGTGGCAACTGAATGAACTAGTGTTGACCGTACAGGCTGGAGCAGTCGAAAATGGTATAGAGGGCGCCCATAAACAAGCGCCTTCGTTTCGTGGTACCAATAACAACGGATCCTGAAATTTGTCAGTGATTACTTTATATTTGATTTTAAAATAATGTTATGCAGAAATGGGTGAAATAGTCAGCAGATGGTGTGGACTGCTTATCTGGCCTTCTATTAATGTCCTCAATGGAAAATAATAATTAATATAATATTCATATCAAACAATTGGTTACCTTGCCAGTGATAGAATAAACTTTTGACTGAAGAGTATGTAGCTGATTTCGAAGGTATTCATATGAACACTGTCTTAGCTTCAAAACCCATTGCACAACATTATCTTCACTTCGAGCTGCAAATATATGTCTCTTCTCAGGTTCATCTCTGAAAAAGCTCAGTATTTGTAACAGAACACAAAATATATAAATAATCATGCAGTAGTATAGTAGTATATTTCATCTAAAATTCTAGTACATTTAGTCTGTGTATTTACTAACTTACATGAAGGAAATAGAAAATGAAAAAGATATATGATGACCATGTTCCATTTGCACAGAAGAATTCTCCATAACAAATACACCTGCTGGTTGCTTTGTGTCAAATTTCCCCATTTCACTTATTTTGAAGTAAAACAAGTAGTTATTAATTAGTCTGAACCATCGCTCTTTAAAAACTAAAAAAAATCTTCAACTATATTATGATGTTAAATCAACAAATAAAACAAAACATTTGCTGCAATGGGCTGTGTCAGTTATATGTACATAAACAGAATCTTCTAACTTACCTGTCTGATTGCGATAGTTTCCAGACACTTTCTTATAGTTCAGTCTCCCTTCCATAGTGCATGGTTTGTCACTCACAACAGCGAGTTCTCTTATGTTGCATTTCATCTTTTTTATTTAATATGGATAGACCACAAGACGGTAAAGAGGCAAAATATCTAAAATTGAGAGAGTTAAATCACCGAGATAATATAATTAAATACTGGAAATTTTGTTTCCAAACTTAAGTGTTTTGATTAATAACACAGAATCTATTATATTTCGTAGTTTAATTGCTAATTTACATGTTTGTGGCATTAAAGGCATTGTTATTGAATGACCATGTGAAAGGCAAAGTTTAAAAATAATTAATTACACTTAGCAACTGAACAATCTTTGCACACAATACACCTAATAAGATAATTAAGTAATAAATACTGACTCCAACTGCCGCAATACAATCAAAAATAAATATATATGTAAATTTATTGTTTATTAAATATACACTATCTGAAATGTTATATGCCAAATTGACAGATGTAAAGACGTAGAGTCAAAAGTTCCATAGACTGTGTAGCCTAAACAAATATTACAGTAGATACAAAATAAGTTGAACTATTAATTATAGTAAATTCTTTTAACTTGGCATTTTTTTTAAACAAACAATTTTCATAAAATCGTAATATTGTCACATAGTTTACATTGATTTACACTTTAAAAAATCTGTAACACTGGATTATAGATAAAACTAATGAACTGCCCCAAATTCTAAGTGTAAAAACCACAATTTCATTTTAAAATTAATAAAAATCAACAGAAAGATTTTAAAAAAGGATGGATATAGAATCTATTAAAGGTTATCACTAGTTCTCCGTGGTTTGAAATCGGCAATTTTTATTGGCCAAGTTTAAAAAAATACACTATGAGTCTATGAGCTTAAAAGTACTAGGTAATTTTTTTGCTATAATTCTAATTAAAGGGTTGCATATCCATACAGGCATACACTAAAACGCTATATTGTTGTGTAAAGTACCAAGGTTTATTTGTTGGCAGTGTGCAAGGAAATTATAATTTAGCCTAGTGGAAATAAAGTTGTCCATTAAACAATCAAATAATAATAATAAGTAATGTTGTCAAGTACTATGTTTCAAATAATGATAACAATCATTTAGTTGTGGTATTTTTAGTATATGGTAATATGTAGAAAGTTAGCAAGTATAAAAAATATGAAATTTTAATTACTTATTTATTTAACTTTTAGTACAAAATAAAACTAGTACACAGGGATACATCTCAAACCTAGCATTTGCAATTGATGAATAGTCCGAGGCTTACGACAATAAGTCTTCTCATTTGTACTATTTTAGACACTAACGTCACACTGATTAGCTCATTTTCCCCAATTAAAACAAAAGTTAGTCAAAACTGAATAATGCAATCACTCTTCGAGCTCTTGTGAAGCTATGTTCAATGCCATTATAAAGCTAACTCACTTAAGGTAGTTTGGAACCGATTTTTATTTTTACAAACACACTTCTAACATGAATACATCATTTTGAGGTTTGGAGCGGCATTGGTGAGTATCAGGCACAATCAAGCCAGTACACTCCGATGCTTATGGTATACGAATCACGTTCTCTGTCGAGTGTCGTTTATATATCATAAGCATTTTACCATATTATTAACCTTTCTATTAACAATTAATATCTCAAATTTTCACCTTTATTATCACTATTATTACAAGAACAAACATTTTACGACAATTTCGCCTAAATATAATGCAGTTGAGAAGTAGAAGGGGTACAAGCATTTTAAAATGTATTACAACCAATTTGATTTAAGAGTATTGAATCTTAAAAATGAGGTGGATCACAAAGATGTCTATTTTAAAATGCTCATGCCCTATTATTGTAATATGGTCCGCTTTCAAAATGATTTCTCTACGACTCCACAGGTAAATACAATCCTTGTAGGTCGGCCAACCAATGTGTGCAGTACATAAAGCTATTCGGTACTAATTACTATTTGTAGAACTTCAAAATGAGAATTATATATAAACATATTACGATAATCAGATGGTGAACCAAATGTACAGGAGAAGACTCAAATGAATTTCCTGTAGATTTGCCGAGTGTAAATTATATGAATAGCACAACGATTTACGTCATCACAATCGAAAACGTTTTCCCTAAGAATTCCAATTAGACCTTATAAAATGTAAGCCTTATATCTATAAAAAGGCGGATAACTTTCGTGAGCGATAAGTAACAATCGTTACGTTCAATTCTGATATTAGTTCATCAATGTCATTTCATACGATATTATTTAGACGTGAGAAACATTATTTCGAACGACGTTGACCCTGTTTCTAGCGACGACTACGAATTTAACGACTAAAATGCATTTTATCAAAATATAAAACGCATCATATATTTACAATCGACTGTGTACAAAATTTGAAGTGTCCCTAGCGTTCGTATCGGAGGAACTATTATAAGGCTATTGTGCCACCGACGGTGATTTCAGATTAACTAGGTGCCTCTAACTAATACAAATGTACAATTTCCTGTATCCACTCCTAAGACAGTCATTTGTTCACTTTGGCACGTTCGATTAAGACATTGCGCCTGTCGCTTGATTCTCCGTTACAAATCACATCTATTCAAGCTTGCAACAGTAAGTCACTGTTAATTGTTAACAATTGACGATATAAGTATAAAACGTAACACATTTCATTGTTAAATTCAAAAGAGCGATGGTAAAAAAATAAAAAGTTTTATTTCATTTAATTTCCAATCCAGAATATATGTTCGTCGTGAATACATCGGTGTAGTTCCGTATATGAAAATAACATCTATATCGCGCATCGCAGCCGGTTCGAACCGTCGAACGTCGTGCATCGTGTATGGCAGTAAATGGAGCTTCGTGTAAGCGTACTCGCACTGTACAATTAGTCTAACCGCTTGTCCTTCTACTTTACGTGGTATATACAACGTCACTAACGATACGACTAATTAAAAGACCCTCAAAGAAATGATTCACATTATTCAGACAGAGCTCACCGTAACATCAAAAACGAAACACAGAAAACAACAAACATCCATCAAAACCGGAGTAAAAACGAACCGTCGCGTATTTCCAATTCTAAGAGCTAAATGAACACATGAAATACATGTCGACCGCTGCGTCCCGGAATACGACGAGATATAAACTAACGTTAAATAATTACATTTCTTAAACGTAAAATAAACTCATTATTATACATAATTACATTATATATTCGAAAATAATAACAAAACCGATAGTCAACATGCGGAAGCAGTGCGTTGACGGACGCCGCTTCCGAGCGGCAGTGTCGCCCCATCGACGTCGATGTGGAGCCAAGTTATGCTGCTGAGTGGAACTCACAATATCCAATAATCTACTGGTGCGGTACAAGTATTGTACAATTGTACCCGTCTCAGTGGCTAAAGTACAGCGGTTTCGCAACTCGACTAACCCACTTCGAATCGCAACACGTAACGCTGCGTAAATCATGTCAATATCGTGGACTGCTTTACGTGTTACATCTGCGCGTGCAGACTGACATGATACGTAGCATATGACAGTTGCAGGGAACTGTACACTAACGTTAGTTCGTGTACTTTGCCCGTTTGACGATCCAATAATTAGGTACGCGTTACGTGAGCGCAGTTTTAGTTGGCGGCCGCCAATATACAAGAATGTGTGCGCGTACGCGAGCGGCGCTAGATGCTCGAGGGTCACATATGCGGGCGTTCCCAGTCCGACGGCGGTGGCGTACCCTCAGTGGGGGCCGAATCGCCCGTCCCGCCCCACTCGCCCCACCTCGATCGACGGAAGAAACGTTTCTTGAAATGGTGCGTAGGAGGAGATGGGGAGCGCGCTTCGTTAGTGTGCGTAGAGTTTTCGCTTATCGGAGGATCCGTGCTCATCTGTAATGACAACGAGAAAAGAGTTCAATCTCTGAACCGACGTTTTTAAATGTGACAATTTACTTCAATACAAAAATGTTGAATATTTGAGAGTTACATGTACCTCTGTGACTTCCGGTTCGACGGGCGTGGGCGTCGCGGCCGCTTGGACCTGTGTGGAGGACTCGTTCGCGGCGTTCCTCAGGGCTTCGCCGTGCCCGATGCCGGAGTCGGGCGAGGTGTTGCACGCCTCGTCCGACCGCCGCCGCTTGTCCTCCATGGCGGTAGACGCGAACGATATTATTTGGTCGAAACGAAACGCTATGCGGTCCTGCCATTTGCTCTCTTCCACCTCTTCTCCGCCCTCAACTTCTGAAACATAGCGGATTACGTAATTGTTACACAGATTTTCTTTAAAATAATTGTAATCGTATCTTGAATTCGAAAGTTTGTAAGGATGATTAAGACAATTGTACTCTTTCACTCCTAAAATTTTAAACCCGCAAGAGAACTTTTCCTGTCTTAAAACATCGTTTTAGTGCATCCTAAATTCTGTTTCTTCTTTTGTTTTAGAGGAAAGAATATTATTTTGATCTTTTACAATTGTATTTGAATAGGAATTACCAAAGCGACTAAGAAGAAAAGGCCTCACCTGGAGGTCTGTCGGGCAGCTCGTCGACGAGTGGCGTGGAAGTGTTAGAGTGCGGATCGGGCGGCGGGGTGCGACGTCGGGTCGCGTCCTCCGCGTCGGCTGCGCCCGGTCCACCTCCTGCCCCATTAGCTCCTCCAGGTCCGCTACGACCTCGCCAATACTCAGAGGCGAGTACGCGTGCTTGTAAACACGCAGCTAATCCTGCAAAAAATTACATAGTATTAAAACAAGCGTTTCGACCAGTGGCCCAAGCACGAATATTTTGACGTACGGCAACGTAAACATATCGAGTTTTATATTTTTGCATTTCTTAAACGAGAAAAAAAGTAAATTTTGCATATTATTATTATGTTCTAGGAATGGTGATTTATCAAAGCCAAGTAGTAATCCTCTTGGTAGATATTTATACAGCAAAAATGGAAAGAGTCGACCGAAGAATGAAATAGCAATGGTAATGAGGATTGTCTTAAGAATGATAAGTGGCAGAAAATAGCAAGTATATTGCTAATATTACGACGTCTTTTAGATTGACTATCAAAATTGAAGTGACACCACTTTCGAGCATTTACATTAGCCAGCCGCCGGAATTTACGATACAGTACGTCAAAAAACGATTCGTGCTGCCGATCTTATACATTCTGGTATGTGACTTCACCGTTCTCGAAACATTTACATTATGATAGTTGGCTGAAAGTGTTCGTGCTTCCAAATTTAGTTTCTGTAACGTCCGATAGAGGCGCTGTTCATGTTTTCATACAAATTGTGAACTCGATACATTTACATTACCGTACGTCAAAAAGTTCGTGGCCCTAGCACGACAGGGCTGCTGTGAAAGACGTCCAAATTATCTAATGTACTTTGAGTTTAGGTGTTACTATGTGTGTTAATCAAGGGTCGATAGAGCTGTGCAACGTTACATTGTTTATAGGAAAAATGAAATATATCAAAAACTAAATATAAGCCTTTGCACGCCACGTGACATATTGAACCTTGTAAAATCAATTACTCACCTTCAAGCGGTTGATGGGCGGGGGGTTCATGGTAACGGGCGCTCATGTGCACGGCCGCGTTGATGATGCTCTGGTTGGAGATCTCGAGCGTGCGCTCTATCTCGCCGTTGACCAGGTCACCGATCGTCCGCGCGCCGCTCGACACCCGCTCCTGCGACAAATGTCGACGTAGCGCTAGCTTCGCTGGGGATACCTTCACAGAGACACAACTCTTAGCACGTAAATACTATTTCTCTCATTCGACAGAAACCCGACACGGTTCCCCGTTTAATCTTTTCATTACGTTATTAAGTAGGTATTTGTAGCCACACTATCTCTAAACAATGCTAGTTTACCTGCGTATAATCTGGCTGCGCAGCACTATGATTGCGCAAATCGGGCGGTCGGGGTTCGTGGTGCGCGTGCGAGGGTCTCGGCTCGCGGCGTTCATACCCGTAGCGTTCGCGCCTCACGTCTCGGACGTCGCGGGGGTCCCGCAACTCTCGCCCGTCCCTCATGTCCCGTGCGTCTCTCGCATCACGCACGTCGCGCATGTCTCGCGGGTCCCGTAACTCCCTCGGGTCGCGCATGTCACGCGGATCGCGCAATTCGCGCGGGTCCCTCACGTCACGTATGGGTCGCGCATAAGCTTGCACCGCGTTTCCCGCGGACGCCGGACGCGCAAAATTCTGATGCGGCGCCGTCGGACGTACGTACCCGTTGTTGTACACGTGATTTGGCGTCGCTTGTCTCGGCTGTGTAAATTCATTTGTCGCTTTATGGTTTATACAATTATTAGAATATTTAGATTGATGTTTAAGAAAATTAAGAACCCATATATCTAATAAAGTTGTCAATAGACAAAAATGGTATGTCACCTCGAGCCGTGAAGCTTTCCGCTGCTCCTGGTCCTCGTTGAGAACAGAGGTAATGATGCTCTTTAGACGGTCCTCGAAGTTGATCACTTTGGGAGACTCCTGCACCTTAGCGACTACATTCAGGGGCTTTTGCGATTTGCCCGGAGAATGTCGCGCAAGAGGCACTCCGGGTCGGGCGGGCACCTGAGCGCGGTGGACCGCAACTGCAGTCTTTTGTTGCCTACAATGCAATTCACTATGATATTATAAGCCAGATAGTTCTAGCGACGAAAGTCAGTTCAGTCAAAGTGACCAAAATAACTTACCTAAGATCAATGTGCCTATCTGGATCTTTGATATAACCATTGACTATAACATTCGGTTTTGTAATCTTGCCAGCTTCTATTTGCCTGCCCGTCTCCAAGATCTTTTGCGCTAGGATCTCCGGATTCTGTTCCTCTATCTTGCCCACATCGGGGACATCCGGCCAATCTTGCGACCTAGAACGGTGATCCCTGGACTTCCGAGGCTTCGAATTGACGGTGTGGGGTTTGACAGTCGCCACGGGCACCGACGACGTGGGTGCCTTCTGTTGCTCGCTCGCTTTCTCCATTTGAATTATCTCGTTTTGCAAATGGCCGACTTGTGCGTGTAATCGTTTTCTATGCGCGAGAGTCGCCGAAATCTCCTTGAGTATACAATCGTGCGCTATGCTTTGCGTTATTTCTACATCGGGCGGTATGTGCCCTAGTTGCCTGTACTTTTCAGTTATCTCAAAAGTTCTCTGCTTAACGAGCATCGCTTGCTCTAATTCAATATTTGTCACCTAGAATTAATATTTTTTCTTAATATGGGACCGACGAACAAGATCCATTAATTATTATTATAATGAAACTTACCTGCGCCTGTAGTTTGCTCGCTTTGCTCTGAAGTTCCTTGTGCCTCCCGACGATTTCCTTCGCCTTCGCTAAAAGATCTACGGTGTTGTTCGCGTGTATGCCCAGTTCGCTCATTCGAGCTTTCAGCAACGCCACACTATCGCTGATTAACACACTGATTTGCTTGTCCAGTTGAGACGCCCTCGACTTTAATTTTTGGTTTCTTTCCTGTAAGCAAGAAGAGACTCATTTCAAGTGCAATTCTCTAATGTACATTTCGATTGTAAAAATTACAATGACACGAGTATTATGAAACTAAATTGTTCTGGGTACTTAGATAGTTAATTAAAACCCACCCTCTCCTTATCAATTTGGTGCCGTATGTCCTGTGCATATTCAGGAGTGTTCATCTTGCCAACGAAGGCAAGGTACTGATCACGAAACATGTCCAGTAAAAGCTGCAAGCTATAAGGCGTTTGAGGCGATCGGGGAATCTCTAGCTCCGAATGCAAGCGTTCCGGCGACTGGAGCGACACACCTAAGGCGGAGAGCCGCTGCTCCACGCATCCTGGCGGCGGTGAAGTCACCTGCAATTCGACAAATAAGATGAGCTAAACTGTGACCAAAATGTCATCAAATCTATCATTTAATATGAAGTAAGTTCTATATATATTACGTTTCCTGATAGATGATAGCTTGTCAGCGATAAGACCTATTGCATTCCATCCTAGCATACAAACTTGTGTGTGTAGACACTCACAGCGCCATTGTGTATTGTGGAGGCGAGCGTGGTCGAATGCAGCAGGTCCAGACCGGCAATGTTGGGTCTAGCTCCGCGACGTCGCTTGGCTCGAGCTGCCGCTCTCCGCCGGGCTCCACCTGCGCTCGCGCTCCTCTTCGAGTTCCGCCCGCGGCGATCTGCACACACTCGTATATTATACATACGTGTACACTATTAACATCTTTCAATCGGTTTAACTAAAAAAAATTAAGTACCCCGCATTTTAAAACGAAAAACTTTTTGCAAAGCACAAAAAAAATTAAATAGACTTGAATACATACTAAAAACAGAGGTTTTTTATTACCATTGAACCATACAATATGATAGTCAAATAGACTACAATACTTGTTTGTGATTTTGATGTGACATATAGACTTTAAAATGGATAAGGAATGCAAATCTAATTTATTAATAATTAAATAATAATCTACATTAAAACACTACAATTCACATATTTTGCACATTCCTACAAACTAGGCATACAGCTTTGGCGAAATAAAAAGGAGCTGATGAATAAAAGTAACGACAATAAGGGTTTAGCAGGTCATGCAGAACATAAGCTAATTTAGTAAGAGCCGTGAAAGGAGCCGAGGATTGCGGAAGCGTCTTTTTGTGTTAGTCTCGCAGGCTTCTAACTAGCGACATCAAAACAAACCTGTCAAACAAAGGACGCCAAGTGGACGGATGTAGTAAACGTGTTACGATTTTAATTAGGCTCTCTAACAATAATATTACAATGGGGGACATCAAATCCCTTCAATCTTATACTCTAAGTTCTCTGTTTGAGTCCAAACTGTTAAAAATGTTTCCGAAAAACCGAAGTCGACCGTCTCAAACAGATTCAAAGAATCCAGTGATGCACACAAAGTGGACATAAAACCAAGCATTCAGACGGCTGTGAGAGAATAGCTCGTATCCTGCGACATAATTTACAGTTAAAACAATGTATATATTATTTAAAAATCGAAAATATATATTGTCTTAGCATCTAAGAAAAATGTTTAACAGTCATAATAATACTCCACGAGGATGTCGATTATGGTTTAGCCCTTACTCACAATTATATTCTTATTCACATTTATCGTGTTATATTGCACAACAACAAATATAACTAGTTTTACTTGCAAGGCCTATATTCGTAGAACACTTGGAATGAGAGTCAAGTTAGTACACATTTACTATTGAGTAAATGGTAGGGAATCGTCCCTCAGTATACTGTTATTGTATTTACATATAAAGTGGAACGCCTTACCCAACCGAAACAAATTGAGAGGATTCTCCTTGTTCATTTAATACCAAAAAGCTACCAGAGACTCTGGTTTTACAAATGAGCCAAAAGGCGGTTCAACATTTACATACTGTATTAATGTTGGCGATGTTAGGGCAAGGGGTTCGTACTGACTAGAATTAGTTCATACTGACTAGAATCGGATGAGGAGGCCCAGGGCGCGCCCCATTCTCGTGGAGCGGGTTCCGGTCCAGGCGGTGGATCGTCGGTCCCACTGGACTCTTCGTCGCTCTCGTCACTGGACCTTCGAGCCGGACGACGTTTAGCGACTGCTGCGCGCGCTCTCGTCCTGCCGTTTTCCGCTCTGCCGAAATGAAAACATTTTTTATATAACCAAAGATACTAATCCTAGGTAAATGTCAATCTATATAAAATTGTTAAGTTTGATATATTGATGAAGTGTGATTGATCATATTGGCTAAGAATGAAAGTGGCCCATTTTTATTAAGAAATAGTTGCATACAACGAATGAATCGAAGTTTGCTTCAGTTACTGCCCAATCAATATGCCTAACGATATTAATATGAAGCTAATTTTCACCTGATAGGTCTGGGCCTCGCAACTTTCCTTCTCCTCTCGGGCAGGGATCCCGTGCTATGGTTACTGTTGCCGTTCAACAGATCCGGTGTCGACTGCCTCGTCGGCGGTGCGCTCAAGTTTCTCTTACTGCTACCCTCGCCATCGTCGCATCCATTTTGAATTCCCTGTAAGCCACAACACATTCTAACTATTTGTTTGGACATTCGTGTAGTATATTTAATTCATATTATACAATTAAAACGATTGTCCTCTAAGAATACGTGTTTTAGGACATTTAAAATTTTAAGTTTTTTAAAATAGACCGTATTCAATTGAATAATACAGTTCGGCATGCATTAAATATAGCATTAAGTAACGATGCGATTGGAAACAGACCCTTTTGCTGACCTTGAGTTTCGGATTTTTCAGTCTTTGAAAGTATCTCTCTAATTTGGTCCTATCGATTATGTGCAAATAATAAGACACGGGCTTCCCCGTCCAGGACACGGAGCCTTTGAGCGGCGACATTTCACTGACGTGCATGATGGTCCCGATGTCACTAAGATTTCTGTCGGTTATCCTAAAGTTGAGCGGACAAAAGCTCTTCGAGGACACGATCTTCGCTCCGTCCTTCAGGTCTGCGAATCGTTCTTTGAGCTGATGATCGACGTGGGGCCCGAAAGCGAAATTGTTGACGAAAACAATCGTCGCCGAATTGATCTTTTCTCTGTGTTCGTCCATTAGGAAGTCTCCTTTTATCAATTTGTATTCCCCATACTTCTTCCCGTACCACTTCATCCACATTCTAAAGTTTGAATCCATATTCTGAAAAAATAAACAAGTTGATGTAAAGCCTCACTAAAGTTAAAAATACTCGTGGCCCACTCCACAATAGTAAAGTGACCGGTGCTCCCACCTCGGCGTATTTGCTGGGCACTTCGGCTTTCTCGACACCGAAACAGATGCGGCAAGGAGTGGCGGCCGCCATTTGAAGAACGACCTGCCCGACCCCCGATCCCAAGTCCACGAACACATCTTCGGCAGTTATGTCTATTTGGTCTATCATCTGACACACGAGCTCGAAAGAGGTCTCGCCATACACCTGCAGAATTGATAGAATTTAACATTTTAATTATTTCGGAATATCATACATGTTTTCAATTTAAAATCAATTTTTAATTAATATAATGTCATCACGTGCAATAACATGTAAAAAACATTAAAGTTTTTATTAAAATGTGTACAATAATATAACAAACCTCGGGTGAGAACGGCTCATACTGGTTCAGCTTTTCCGGATCGGCCACAGCTTGGTTATAAGTCTGCTGCAAAATGTGTTTCAGCAAACCTCTGGACGGGTACTTGTTTAGGCGTTGAGTCGGCAGTGAAGTACCTTTTTCCTACAAGATTTAAAGAAGATAAAATATGCTTACACTACAAGAGAAACTGTTTGGGCTTTAAATTAAATTCCATTTTTGACACGAACTATTTCCATAAAACTGTAATTAAATAATTCATTCAGTACTTTCTCATTAGGAAATGATTATATCTAATGCGCATAATCCGACGAAATTGTTTTAAATTCATTCATTAAAATCTGGTCATTCATGAAGTAAATATGACCTAAATATAGGAACAACGCTAGTATAATTGACCTCGTATCGGGTAGCGTTTACGGTTTACATACAATATGAAGCAAAAATACAACAGCCTCACTCCGATACAGCTCCACAAACAATTATACTATCGTTGTGTCTTACACGAACCTGATTCCTCTGTTGCTTTAAAAGAACTTAATTTGTCGATCTAGTTTTGTTAAACGCATAATACGTTTTTATGTCTATTACAAATCAAACTTTTGTTTATAATTCTATTGTTTTTTCTTACAGTTGACCTTACAATAACAACTGTCTAGTATATAATTATTCTCCGATCAGATTTACAATGAGGGATTAAATACTCTTCGCCGCCCGAGCAGCTTTATAAACCTCGTAAGTATATTATCTGTAGTTTATACCACTAGTAAATATATAAATAAAGCAATTTTAACGGGAAAGAACGCGAAATATATTTTAACTAAGACCCGACATTTCTAATGCTTTGCAGCAGCTGTGACCCTGTATAAAAGTTTATATATGCCTATATTGTATTTTATGTCATGTTCTGGTTAAGAAATAGGAATTAATCGCCCGAATCAGCATTGCGAAACCATATTTATATGTCATAATAAAAGGATAACTTCAAATTCGTGTTTTCGTGTCGCCGTCCGTTTATTGGCAACTTTTACATATTTAATCCTCTTCTTTTATTTTTTTATAATTTTACACGTAATTTATTTTAATTCAACGAAATTTGAATGCCAAATAAAGCTTAGCAAAAATAAAAGGTTATTAACACTCCGTGAAACATTTGCGTTCGCTCAATATTAGGGTCATTGCCCTCGAGTGTGCGACCCGCAACCAAAATTTTAATCGATGATTATTTTCAGTAATAGACATCGCTGTGCATTGCACAGTTTAAAACAAATATTTAACGCTTTAGCCCCGCCACCGACCGCTAGCTCTTAGAGATATTACGTAGACAGATCCATATTTAAATATTATATGCTTTCGAAACAGACAATAACTCATTACTTATTATCATTATTATATACAAACGAGCTTAAATACAACACGAATCGAATTTAAGAATAAAAATAATAATACATAGGTACATTTTAAGACAATGAATGACCGAAGGCAATCAACTTTTGGTGAGACGTCTGTCCGCGTGTTGAGGTCAATCAACTCGAAGATCACCATGTCCGTGACTGTGAGTGAGAACTCAAAGACTTTCACAAGACATCAAAGATTAAATTCGAATTGCGAGGAGTGCAATGGGCCAAAGCCACGTTGAAAAGGGGGAAGTGCACCTTGATGTTACAGTACACGGAAACACGATACCTATATAGAACCATCACATATAAATCGAAGGTTAAATACTAATGGGCAGATAATAAGGAACCTATATATACGTTACTCAGCTACAGACTAGAAAACGGTTTCCTGTTCGTTGAATCAAGGCAACAGCCGTGCAAAGCACCTGAACGATATGCAATATTCTACCGACCGATGACGTCATAAGACAAGAAGGCGAATAATTAATCCTAATCGCAAATCGCCTAACTCCCTTCTTTATTTTGGATAATGTTACAAGCTTCTGCGTTCGTCGCTTCAGAGAGTGCATAGTTTATTAATAGGTTTCTCTCGAGCACTGTCTGCTACGACCATCGATCGCTGCGTTGCGTCCTCGACGGCCGCCGCCATCTTGGCCCTCATGTCCCCTCTTATAGTGCTCGCCCGCTCCCCGCCCGTTTGCCCTCACTGCCCCACATTCACTCTTTGAATTTTCACTCATAATATTGCCTACCGATAGAGCCGCAGTCGGAATGTACCTCGCTATCTTTTCGTTCATAGTTTCCGAACGGACGCATCTTTAAAAAATATCACATTAATAACCAGGAAATATTATAATTTATAAATAGACCGTGACATTGAAACGTTTGCTACATGTAAACTATGCCAACTTCGCTTCATAAAGATTTTTGCGGGTGTTATTTATGAGCGCATACAGGTGTCATTTCGTATTTTTAAATATGGTTTAGTACGATATACTATACTATAGTGGCGAGAGTTATGAGATCGATGCTATTCATATTAATGATCGCTCCATTTATTTGACTGCAAATAGCACGACAGAAACGCATTGCAAATCAATGTCATGGTGCGCGATAAAGTTGTTTACATCAAGGGACCACGTGACACGAGCCAGCGGGGGTCGCGAGTTACGTTAGTGCGGGGGTCGTCGAATGTCCTCTGCGCCCGACGCCCGGCCCGTTCGCTTAATCCCCATCCAGCTCATATATATAGCTTATGCAGTAATGAATGAAAAGCGAAGGATAGTTACCAAGGCCACGACGGAGTCTATGGCGCGGTTGAAGCGGTCGCACAGGGCTCGCATGCTCTCGTACGAGTGGGTGTCGTAGTCGCTTAGGATGTTCTTCTCCAAGGCGCCCTTCATCTCCGGCAGGTCGTCGCATACCCACCTTTAAAAGCAACACTCACGCTGCATTACGCAATCCATTGTATGGAAATAGAAGTGGGCCTATATTTTTAATTCTATTTGCAGTTAGTATTATTAACGGCGTGGCTTAAGTCTCTATAGCGATATGAATAAACTTAGCCCTGCATTTTTCAAACAAAAACATTAATATTGTAAACAACAACATAATAGCAAATGATAGATTACAAGATTAATGTTTACCGAAGAAACTGGCCGATTTAAAGATAGCATTTATCGAGAACTCGTTTCTTAAATTACGTCAGATAAAATAAGAAAAAGAAAGTCGAGAGACAGGTTTCAAGGCCATTGAATGCGAGTGAGTGAATGTCGAGAGGTCGTCAGGGCTATGCCACCCGACCTCTCGGGAGCGACCCGTGACCCGTTTTAATTTTTCTCATATTAAATACATATAAAACAAAAATATCATACCTAATTAAATCGTGTACTTAATTTCTATTGATAAAAGGAATATATATACCTATAATTATATAAGTCAAAAAAAAATTGAAAAATGCCTTTTTCGACTAAAACTTTACTTTTAACATGTCAATCATCATAATCATAACGAGTGGTCTTGCAAAAATGAGAATCCTTGTAAAATGCCAAAATTCACGATTTATTACTCAATATGGACCTTTTTGTTTGCATATACTAGATATAAAATTTAAATACAAAAACACTTCATAGTTCATTGCACTTTAATGGTAAATAAAAACAAGTTTTCGTGTCCTAGACACTTCAAATGGTAACAACAAACAAGAATGAATAATTAATAAAAATGTCGTAATATGCCACTCGACGCATTCCCCACTGCACGATTACTTCATCAAACTGATTTAGGCATGAGTATGCCCTTAATCCTACTAATAATTAGTATTGCGAAATATTCTGCGACTGTATATCTGTCATTATTTTACGGTCCGACGACTTAGACGACTTTGAGCCAATCTAGTTACCTCACGAAATAACAAAGACTACTTTTAATTCGGACAAAAAATATACACTTATAAGAAACCAAAAGAACATTTAGACTTAAATGAAAGGATAATATTTCTATAATATATTTTACTTGAGTTGTGCAGAATATAAAGGTGTCTTATTAATATTCTAAGCAGAAGTGTTAGTTTGTTTGAACAAGCCAATCTTTTGGATAATTGATTTGAATAATAAAAAGTTGGATAGACCACTTACTGTTAATAGCTAGGCTATATAACATCAAACTGCGACCAATAGGAGCAAGGATAAAATGGAAATAATTGCGAAAAACTATTAATCTCTGAGGGTTTCCGCTGCGGAAACGGTTCAAGAAAAAAAATTCCTTTATAAATGTTTTAAAACCAAGACGCTTACCCTCCACAACTTTTAATATTAACTCACAAATAAAGGGTAATAACAATTTGGTCGAAATTAATGCATTAGAGTTGTATCAACATAACAATATTAATCAGCCGTGTACCTATAATTGTTACGTTCGCGTTGATAAAACGACAACGGCGCGTCCAATACATGAAAAGCAGCCTTAACAGGTTGCGTGGGCGGTACGACTACGCAATCAGTGCGTATTTAAAACGCCAATGAAAATAGTTGCAGCATGTGGTCATTACCCTCAAACAAATGCCCTTTTTTCCAACAGCAACGATCACTATTATAGTCACCAAACTGTTAGGTATCATATATAAATTATAATTTATTACGAACTGTACGAACAATATATTTTTTAGTATTTCTAAGCAAATAGGTGTTTAGGAATTCAAATGGTTGATATAACAAAGTTTTCATGGTATAGATTCAAACCGACAAACAGCATGTTATAACTAAGTATTTTAAGTGTTCTTCCTGAAATATGTCCCTCATGTCTGAGATTTTTTTATGTATAAGTACATTCAAATATAGGGACTACTTTAATAAGAAACCTTGAATAAAATCAATTGTCAATTCTATGCCTATAGATATACTCATGCATACCTGAAAATTAATGTGCTGATACAAGTCTATGGTCCACTAAATCATAAAAATTTACATAATATTTTGCTACATTTCATATTTAGTACTAAAAATTATTATTCCTAAGTAAATGCGATTGTCCATAGCTATACATACTAAATAACATTCTAAAAACATCCCTATTTCATTAAAATAGATTTATTAAACATTCACCAAATCAGCTGACTGCAGAATAACTGACCTTATGGTTTCTACTATCTCCAGGGCCCCATCGTGTTTGTCCTGAAACAATTTGTAAATCTCAAGATTTATGGCTCTAAAGTAAGTAGTTTACAGTCTTCATGACAGTATGTCCTTGATTTACTTCATATTTGCACCAAGTTCTTCAACATAAGAACATATTTGAAAATCTTTGTTCAATTATTAATCTATTTTAGTATTATTACGGATACATTAAAAACAAAATAATAATTATACTAAGTATATCACCACACTTTTACTGTCTCCTAATTATAATAATCACTTCCAACAAAATAAAAAGGTCAAGGTCACAGATACAGTTCCACCAGCCTACAGTTCTAGTGCCCATGCACTAATGGTAATGTAGTAAATAATGATAATAATAAGAAACTTCGAGAGATACACAACTAATATATCTGAAGTTTGACATAATTATGTTCAATGTTAATCAATAAACAATAAAGATTCTCTCTAATTTTTTTTTAAATAATTAAAGTAGGTATATTACTGTCAACAATAATATACCAAGGATTGTGTTGGAGATTTTTCTTATAACTAAATCTTTAGTTCCTCCTCCCATGTTAATTTGCAATAAAAAATAATAAAACTAATAAAAACTTTTGTGAATAAAACAAAAATTGTTAATATCATTTATAGATTGTAATTTAACATGGACTGTTTTTAATCAATTTGTGACGTAAAGCGACATACGCAACGGAGTACGTATACTTCTAAAAAAAGCCGACACCTTGACAAAACACGAGGTCAATACACTCAAGAAATATAGAAGCCATGTGATCACGATCAGCGAATAGTTCAACATTCCGTTATCAATCATTTTCTTTAAATGATAATTGTACTTGGTAACGGTTTAAAGTAAATAAAACCAAAGCGGAATATGCCTTTCAACTTAACGTTGTTTATATTTTTGTCCCTCCTATACCAACACTTCCTATGTGTGGATTATCTAAGATAAAAACACAGTGGTCGTTTGCTATTTTCCGATATCTACTCATACCCTGACGTTTTAAGCAGAAGATATAATAAATAAGTAACATATTAACGATCAAAGTATGTTTATATACGTAATGTATCATCAAATGCATTTATAATGCTTTCCTTACCGAGCCATGACCTGATGTGAGAGGCCATGTATAAACAACGGGTTCCGCGCCTGCTGGAGAATGCAAGCGTAAATCCAAAGCCATTATAAGATAACCGCTGCATTAAAGCACACTTTTTTCACTTATAGGCTAAAATTATCACTAAAAACAATTGCTATTAACATAATTTCACTGCACTTTCACACACACACATTCTTAACTAGGCTAGGCGCCATGTTGAAAATAATATCAATGCAATGATGGCTGACATTTTTGTTACTGGTAACAAAAAAAAATGATAATCTATTGCTAGTTTAAAAAATATAAACACCACAAGCAAAAGTTAATTGAAAAAATTATGACATAAAAATCATTATATTATTTTAAATCTTTCGGATGATTTTTTTTTTGAGAATCACAATATTTCCAATAGTACTAATTATCGTATTTCAAACTAGTTACAAGATCAAAGGAAGCATTGGTCATATCCTGTTCTATTCTATTATTACTGGCAGTTTTTATAACATTTATTTTAGTCATTTGTTCCGGATTATTGTATCGTTTGTCTATGCCCCTTAGAACTCTACAGATAATGATAACATTGTACCTAATCTTTATTTAAATCTCTTACATCTGTGATTAATTGTCAAACGTCAATTTTTTTTATATTTATTTATCGTAAAACATATGCTTTGTTATGTATTAAAGAATAGCAAACAAAATTATAAGGAATTATCATATAAATTAGTAAATTTAATTATAAATATATTTTCGTAGTACATACGTATCTTTATTTTACAAGTAAAATAGCCGAAACCCATAACATTTTAAAGTGTATATAAATCAATTTGTTACATATTTCCACAATTATTAGATAGTATTTCAGAACATTTTTATTATAATTGAAAATCTTGAAAGAATAAAAAAATACTCAAGTTAATGAGATAAAGGTTCAAATAATTATAAAGGTAGGTGTTGTAAAAGTATATAGTACTGATGTATTATAATATTGATTTAGAATCATAAATATATCTAACAGATTATAATTGTATAATATTATAGTCATTATTAATACATATTTTCTTTAATTATTGCAGGAGTTCTACCCTCAACTCATTTAATATGTCATCAGACTCTGAAGAAGAAGCTTTAACAAGCAAAGATTATATGGAAATAGCTAACGAAATTGAGGAATATAAAAAAAATCCAAAAACATCTGGAATGTTTGTGTCTGGTTGGGATGATGATGATGTTGGAGTAGATGTTGTAAAAAATCCAAAAGGTAAAATAGGTATTCTAAAAAAAATTATGTAGTTAAAAAGTACTTAGCTAACTCATGAGTATGAATTGGGTTTATGTTTATACTGTCTGAAATTTGCAGAAAATCCAATTGACCATGTCTTATGGGCTGCTGAAAATGGAGAATTAGAAACCATCACCAATCTCTTATCTTCCCATCCTGGCCTTGTACACGCTAAGGATTCTGATGGGTATACACCTTTGCATCGAGCATCATACAGTAACCATGTTAATATCATTTCATATCTGCTAAGTGTAGGAGCAAATGTACACTCTAAGACAGAACTTGGATGGACTCCATTACATTCAGCTTGCAAATGGAATAATTATGCTGCAGCTGCTAGACTTCTTGCGGGAGGAGCTGATACTGCGGCTTTATCTAATGGAGGTAACCACCCCACTATTTTATAAATTTTACTGTTAATTACTTATTTCTCTATACCAACTATCTTCATAATGTATGATGTATGTAAACCTGTTTCAGAATTGTTACCACTTCATTTAACATCATCAATTGGCCAGTGTAAGGCTACCCTGCTAATTTTACTATTGAGAGAAGAAATGGTTGACCTGGCTCAAAAGCCTAACAACTCAAAAGAGACACCTGAAATGTTGGCCGCTGGACATGGGATATATGCACCTTTATTTGAAATGGTTCTTCCAGAAGCTTCAAAAATTCATTCCTTATCTTTCACCTGCAATCCATACACCAGAAGTTGATACAAATAAAAAAAACACACTTTGCCTTCAAGTATTTTATTAATTATAATATTAATAAATATAAATATAATAAAAATTGGATGTAAGGTTATCAGAACATTTAATAAAATAAAAAGATTTTAATTGTCTTATCTACAGACTTTTCGTGTCAAACTTTCAACTACACACATGGCACTAGATACTAGATATGACTCTGCATGCAAGTTTTTCAAACCAATGATCAGACTTCTCTTATCGATTTTTGACAACTCTGAGAGCTTGTCCCTAGTTTCAGATGCCATGTATGGTAAAATTAAACAGCCTAAAGCAGGATGTTTACATCGAATACAGTTCTTCCATATTTCAATTAAATCGTCGTCTTTTGTTATCGGGCACAATGGCAGTAAGTTTATTGCCTTCAAACAGTTTACTTTTTGCCTATCTGTTATTGGATGGTCTGCTTTTTGAAATGGAGACAAAATAACCGCGCGCCAAGCCGAATAGACAATGCTATCAAAAGGATATGACAATTTTAATAATAAGGGAATCATCTCATCGTGCAGAGAAAATCTTAATAAGTGAGGTACGAGTTCGTGAATTATTTTCAAATTACCGAATCTTTGGGTTAATTCAGCAGTAATTTTCAAGGCTTCCACGTTGGTTCCGGACGTTTGTATTAACTGGTTTATGGCATTTAACTTATCTTGTTTGAAAGAAGTTACTATCCAAGGCATATCGATTCTTTCAAAGTTCACTGTGTATAATAGTTCTAACAAGGTCCCCCAGAGCATATTATGGTCTTTATTTGTCACTTTGAGGGCGGTCTCTTGGTTAACAACACTCATTAAACATTGTAATGCTCTAAGTTTCTTTACCTTATTATGATCATTCTCGTCATCAACAGCGATGCGTGTAAGGTATATAGCCCCCATTTTGGGGCACGTGACTTTGAGTATGTACTTAGCAATAATAAGTTCTGTAGCGTTCAAGCTAGGCGAATGCCTATCTTTGCTTTTATCTAGGAGATTTTCTAATATCTGTATTCTAATTGAATTTATGTTGATGCCATTTTTGTCGGCTATCTCATTAGCAGCTCTGTTGACATTGTAGCGGCCGATTTTTTTCGACAAAATTTGGATGCATATACAAAGAATGAATCAACCGCGTCGGCTCCGTTATCAAGCATATAAACTCTTCACTCGCCCAGTCTATTTTATGCAAGGCGTGCCTCGTCGATAAGGTGGAATGCTGACGCTCCATCTGCCGTACTGCACGATTGCCGGGCTGAACGGCGGCCCACCTTTGCGTGAATTGATAACAGAGCTGTGCGGCGGCTACTTGGTCGGCTCCTCGGGCGCACCCTTGCAGCACGTAAAAGAGACACGCTCCCGCCCACTCCATATTTGCAATGTGTCGGACGCATCGGTGCGCCGTGCGAAGCAGAGGCTCTTCGGTAGAAATCAGTTTCCATATCCCCTTTTCTCTATTATGGGTCGCGTTATTTGATTCTCGCGAAGTCATAGTCTGTTTGACAGCGTTGCTACAAATCATGTCTTTTGCGGTCTGAGTGTCCGCGTTTAGTGATAAACATCCTACTACGGGCAGCCAGCGTTCGTACGTCTCTAATGTTATTTCTGTTTTGAAATTTGCCCACATGTCGTCGCGCATAAAAAGGTGAAAAGGTAATCTGTAATGCCCGATTTCAGGAAAGAGTCCCTTGACAGAAAAAAGTTCAAATTCATACTGTTTTGGGGCACCTTTTCTTTGATATTCCTTGAGAAAATTTAGTATAAAGTATTCATTGAGATATTTGTGCTCCGAGTGCGACGAAACCAACAAGTAGTAGATACAAAGTAACACCTCATAGAAATATGGATTGATGGATATCACGAAGCCGTGAATAGCGACTTCGCCATTTTTCCAAAAATCTTTGAGGACATCTTTCAGGAAATCTTTGTTTTGTATATTTTGCCAAATTGTTAAACATTTCGATACCAATTCGTTTTCTTTGTTTTCCAAGTTAATATGCCGGCAACCTAAGTCGTCGACGCTTATTTTGTACTGAAGGTCCCAATTAATTAAGAGAGAAATTAACAGCAGAGATAAGCCATCGTTGATATTCACGTTTAACGTTTGACATAAATCCACAAGCCTCTCGAAAGTGGTGTCAGGATTTTTCTTTAATATACAAAATAATAAGAGCTTTTCGTCCCAAGTCTGCTCAGTGCAGTCGGGGAGAGCAATTTCCTCCAAGTCAAATTTGAACTTCGACTTCAATATATATTGCGGTGGATACGTTAAAGTGTTTCCGGGAATAGCATTGTCAAAGGAAAACGTTTGGCGTATGGCAGGAGAGGATAAGTAGTACATAATGGATGGAGAAAAATTCTCGCAACGACCCCTTAATATGTCTAGCAAGTTAGTCTTATCACTAATGATTTCAGGATGATTAATAATTTGAAGCAATAGAGACGTCAACGTAACTTGATCGAGGTCTTGGCAAGTTACTACTTTGTGTAGTAGTTTAAGTGCAACCTTTTCTGCCAATTGAACTAAATGTTTATTATCTCCTTGTTGTTTGAAAAAGTTTTGTACTAAAGTCTTTGTAATTAAACGAAGCGTCAATACATCACTTTCATCGCAATGGACGCTATTATTGTTATTATTGACATAAAAATCGACTAAACGGTGTAAGGCCGCACCCGAAGACATGGGTAAGAACACGTAATTAAATTTCCAAATGATGGACAAATGTTTCATAACTGTGCTTACATTTGTAATCGTATTGAGCATCGACATTATATCGGCCATTAAATGGAGACATTCTTCTGGACAGTTCCAAATTACATCACACAGGACACCTTGTGACAATAAGAGCAGTTTTTCGTTCTGGTTATTCTTGAACATGTTAATAATCTCTCTACTGCTACTGTCTCTCAGTTGGAAGCAGATCAACTGCTCGATTATCGTACGGACCGCTTGATTGGTGGACGTTTTGTGTAATAATGTTTCCAAATTTGAATACAAAGAATTAGTAAAATCATGTCGAACGAGATAAGCCATGCATCGACTTCGTCCGGAGTTGTTAATATTGCAGTTTGTTTTCAAACGATTTAATTCGTAATCATAATACTCTTCATTGCACAACTCGTTCAACTGGGCGGTCGCATTATATGAATGTTTCAAATGATACATTTTTTCGAATGTGTTAATTTGCCCAACACTATAATAGTGAGAACCCTTCAAAAAATCTAGATAGTTTCTTTCTAATCCTTTGTTAGACGAACTTATAATGATTTGTTCATATTGATTTACGACACTTTTAATTAAGATTTTCTTTTCGCGATTTGATAACGCGTTAAAATATTCTAACGCGACCTTCGTTTCATTAAGTTTTAAACATTTATCTATGTATAAAAGATTGGCGTAGTATACCGAATGTGTAGGTACATAAGTGATCATTGTTGTTAAATCGTCCAAATCAAAATTGTTCGCGCTTATCAATTTGTGAATGACTGAAGTGTAGTCGAAAGAATGAGAAGGGAAATTATATTTCTTCAGAATTACTTTAAATTGAGCGTCTCTTAATTCCTCGTAAACCGCCTGAGCCAGGTTGCGATCCGATTCAGTGAGAGTGAAGTCGGTAGCCGGCAGGGCCGCGACGGATTTTGCAATTGACGTAACTTTATTGTCCCAGGGCACGTCTAAGTACTTCAAGACGAGCAAAAGACATTCCAATCTGTTTGTAAGCGAATGAATGGCGTTCAGTAAAATTTCTAATCTCAGCCCATCAACACTTCCGCCACTACTTGCCGTTTGCATTTCAATAAAAGAACGTATCGTAACGTCCAAATCGAATTGATATCGATTCGCGAATGCTGATAGATTATCTCTTAAAAACAATTCTAGATCCTCTGTATAACACCTTCTTAACATAATCAACGCCACTTCGGTAGGACTTTGCGACGTGACTTCACTAATCAACATATTGATTTTGTACCTATCTTTCAATTCCATGATGTACTTGATGTGGTCTTTTATGACATCTAAATCGTCAATCGAAATGGGCCTAATTGTGATAGTTTTTTGAGAGGATTCTAGAACATCTATAATAGCTTCTACATACTTTAAACCTATTTTAGGCCAGAAAGTTGACTGTTCTAAACTAAAGATTCTATCAGTGGTCCACTTGGCAACTAAATCAATATTGAAAGGGTTGTGATCTAAAAGGCTTGGGAAAAAATTACGCAGCCATATTACTAGAGCACCTAATTTTATGTTTACAGGAATGGCATACAATATCTTTAGTATATCCTCTGAAGAAGGTGTCATGTTCAACTTTAAAAACTTTAACCAGCAAATAGAAGCTAAATCTAAGTCAGATTTAGAAACAAATAACTCGCATATTTCTATTATATTCATTTTGAAAATATCAACATCACTGTAATGGGTTATAGCTCTAAAGTAAATATACTCCAGGAGGTCTAATTTTATCATTATTTCATGAAAAGCATTAATAACTGTAATATTCTCTGAGAGAAACACCCTTTTTTGAATGGAGCATAAAATAGGCTTATAAGAAATTTTGTGCTTACATAATTTTGATGCCAAGCCTATAAGAAATAAGAGGTCTTCAACATCACTAAATAATTTGTGGAACTGTTGTAATTCCTTCACTTCATCGGACTCTAGAGCCTCTTGAACTAAAGCCTTCAACTCTGCTTGAAGAATATTCTGACAGGTTTCTGGACGTGTGGAAATATTTGTAGATTGATAATCTTGTGAATCAATATTCTTCAAAGATGATGAGTAAAATTGTACCTATAAAGAAAAAAAAATATTTCAGGAACATAATTTTATGATTTCTCTTAACATTACAATCTTTTAGGATTTCAACAAGAAACACTAAGTTGGTCATAGGGCTAAACTCAGTGGTTCATATAATTACTCATTAAACAAAGCAAAAATAACATAAATATATATATTATATAATTTACAGGAAGACAAAAAATTTTCTTACAATGTTGATTACATAATTTACATGTTGATCAGTAAAATGGACAAAGCAAAATGAAACTTCACTTTATGCTAAAAATTAAATATTAAGCTACTTACATTTGTGTCCCAAGAAGCATAATAAAATACATTTTCATTAGAACCCAATGGTATATACTGCGAATTGATTTTCTCAAAATCATACAGTTTATTAAAATGTGAATCTAATAACCACATTTGCTGCTTGCTGGATACTACTGCTGCGTCTTCCCAAGGAACAATATAATCAATATCTTCGGGCATTGGTAGCTTATCAGTTATTCCTGTCACTGGACATGTTAATGATAAACTTCTATCATGAGCACAGACATATAAACCATTGTTGTATTGTGCCCTTACAGAATTACATTTGTAGCTTTGTAGATTTTTTTGGAGTGACACTTGTAATTCCTTAACGCCGTTTTCAAATTCAATACAAAGTTCTTTTTTCGACAATGGTGTAACAAGTCTTTCACCACTTACGCTTACTAGTACAATGTTATTGTCGTCTTTTTCAAATCCAGAAATTTTATAGTTAGCAAAATTGCTAATAACTATTTTTAGAGCAGAATTCAAAAGTAAGCTTATAACATAAACTTCTGATGACTTTAGAACCAGCCATAAAAAATCTTCATCAAACACGTATTGCACAATTTCACTGTCAAAAGTGAATAATTCTTGTTCTGATGTAGTATTTACACATATAAGATCCACAACAAATATGCACATTGAATCTTCAAACACCACAACTTTAGGATACACAAGATGAGCCCTAAGATGATTAATCTCCTTTTGTAACTTAATTTTCTTAATTATTTTATTCATTTTTCAGTAGCCTACTTTTCTTCGCCAGTAAATTATCTAATCCTTGTTTAAAATGTATTTTACACTCTGATCTCACTGCCTAGCCGCACGTTTAATTTGATTTGACTAGAAAGTTTAAACTTTATTTAAGTAAGCGTTAACGAAAAGGTGAATTCAAATTTTTCGGTCAGTGACAGCTGTGTATACAGACTCTACAATTTCGTGCAAATTATATCACAGATGTTAACTCGACATTTTATAAATGGCCAAATACGATTCTAGATCTTCGATCTATGGTTAACTTTTGTGATAACTCGATTAATTGTTTGTTCTATCAACATTTAATCTGTATTATTACTAAATTATCTTTAGTAAGGTAAGTATTACTTACACAGTAAAATGCGGACCTTGCATTATTAGTAAATAATAAAGACAACATTAATATATTATTATAAAGAAACGAATGTCAAATATGTAGGTTATAGAAAGGCTATTTTCTTCTTCTTCTTCTTCTTAATTTGATGGCTTTCCCATTGTAAATGGATTCTGCCAATGTCATGTGTCCAATGAGAAATGGCAAGGTGTGATAGTATGAATTATTATTGTTATTTTGTTTTTTGACCAATGGTATTTTTTTATCTTATTTTAATTTACATAACCTGTGAGTTCTTGGAAGGAACCACTGTCATTCAAAATCTGTCCACAGACGTACTTCAACATATGACGTATTATCATAGAGTATCTACTATAGTAGAATTAGACCCAATTATTTTGTATACGTAATTTATTTTAAGTGATCCTAAACAAAAAAAAGTTCTTCAGTCTTGTAAAATAAAAATATATTTCAGTATATATGAATTTAATTATTGCCGCGTGTTTACTACGATCCATAATAATAATTATAGTACATCATTACCCGTTTACGGACCTATTCTGTAAATTTTACAATCAAATTCATAATGACTATTCTTGTATATACGGTCTTTATAATTTTCTCATAAGTAGTATTAATGAGGATAATATTATTTACTTTTATGTTTTACTTATTTCTGTATACATATAAGTATAGGTAGGTATATGAATAAAGCACACTAAACACTTAACTTCGTTATTAATGATAAATAATTAATTAAGTTTTAAAAATGCAAACAATACATTTACCTAGTTTACAAATATCACTTTTATAAATTACTTAACTTATTATAGAAATATATAGAACCCTGACATTATCTTCACTTATTCCACAGTCAGATCTTTAAAATCTTTTATAGTGTAAAAATGTGGCAAAGGGCTTTATTTAAAGGAATTATTACCATACATAATAAAATACATAGTTTGAACGCCTAAAAATATTAAGGCACGCGATTAGGTATATAAGGTAAGGCCTCTGTTTACTGTTACTATAACATTATACCCGCATTAGAGATATATAATAGCTGCAATAGTTCGAATGTTGAGTTACAAATTTATCTTTAAAATAAGTTTAGTAATCGGTCAAGGGGAGACACGCTAAAAATACGTTTTGCTCACTATACACCTTACGAGTACGTTTCATTGTACATACTTTTGTTACAATTCAAATAGAAATAAGACGTTTTAAGAAGTTATCACTCGCAGCGTCGACATTGTGCCTGTTAATATCACTAAAACTTCCCCTCAGATTCTGAACTTCATTACTATGCAATGGTAATTGTTTAAAGTTTATTTCTATATTAGTCAATGTCCTCCGTAGTCGCGCAGCTCTCGGTTTCCGAGCGGCAGCGTCGGACGATAGTTGTGGAGCAGTTCCATCGCTTCTTCGCCGCAGGAAGCTTCACCACATCTCAACTTGCGCATTAGCGCCAACTGAAATTAAAGGAAAATACTCTATTCTTAATATGTTATATTTTGTATGAGTTGAATGAGAGATGTATCTCTCTCAAATAAATGTGATTTATAAAATATAACAGACAACTAATCCAGACTTATTTATTAATGTTTACGTTTACTAAAATCATAAATGTCATATTTATGGACTTGATAAATTACATGTATTTCCTGACAAGGAATGATTGTTCTAAATATAACATAGGAGTTATAACACTAGATAAGAATAAGAGAAACATTGATTACCTGTTCGGCTGAGACTTCGACGGGTTGTTTTAATAGTATCCATGTAACGGATTCCGTGCAAGGTGGTGTCGTGAGCGAGCCAGGATAAGTCCAATAAGCGCTGCCCCTGGGCAGCAAATTCGCAGGATCCAGGGCTTCAGACATTGTTACTTTGTCCCCTTTATGTTGAATGTAGGGAAGAAGTCGGACTACTTTATCCAGTTCTTCGTGGTTGGAACCCGCCTGAAAAAAGAATTCTTAATCATCATAACTAATTAAATTCATCCTTTCCATACCAAGAGAGAGTAAACTATTTTTTTCTATATGTGTAAATATTCAAACATTACTTGGGGTCAAATGTAATAAATGATTAGCTAAGTGAAAGGTGAAACGAGATAATGTCAAATGCGAAGTGGAAGTATACTTTATGTATGTTTACATGTTAAGTACGTCAGAAGAAAAGGATAACTTGTTATTCGTGTATGGGGAGTTTAGTGTGAAATGAAGGTTTGCAGAGGGTATGAGGGAATACACCAACTTTTTAAGACCACTTACAAGAACACCCATCCAACCAATTATTACGTCACTGCAATAGCAGACAGGTCTTATATATAATAGTGTTATCATAAGAATCTGCTCTCTGCTGATTGTTTATAGTTAAGCAGTAAATACGTTTATATAATTGTTTATCGTCACAACAGTAGAACTACTTGATCCATTTATCTGGTTTCGTACGAGAATAGCTATTGATAGCACGACGCATGAAGCTCGCGGTAAAAGGATTGAGTTGCGAGGCTTCCGCGACGAAGGTAGAAGATTAAAATTATGTCATATATTGAACTATTAAAGGCATACTTAGCAATCGGCTTATATATAAAATAACTTGGAAACTAGAAATCTTAAGAAACCAATATGGCTTATTTTCACGTAGCCATTGATGTTAGTACTTCGTACACATACAAACTTGACAGCCAATCGCCCGCCGCAAACTAGAAACTAGGTGAAGTTGTTTTGGCAGAACCTATAATTGAACTAAGTACTTTTGAGTTTGAATAACCTCTTTCAGTAAGCGTAGAAATAAAAATGTACGGTAAAACGATTATGATGTATCTTTATGTTTGTTTTACATGTGATGTCAAGCTGGGTGCTCTTCAGTGAATCGAGTCCAATGTTCAATTATAATATAAGCATACGAGTGGACGTAATTTGTCGGCAAAGTGAAAGTAGCTTCGGAAGTCGAGAGAGTGTTATCGTGCCCGCATTTATCTCGAGCGGGAATTGAAAGAGTTGAATGGGCGAGTGCCGCGGTCTAAAATTGAATGCGCATAGCGGATGTTTTCAATCACAATCATCTGATTTGAGAACCGACTGCAGCGAGGATGCACTGGAAATATCCGTTTTATCCCTTGCGTTCGCTTCGATATATAGGTCACTCTTATCGAACGAGTTTATGCACAAATGATTTCCGATCGACCTTCGTTTTTTTTATATCAGAGTGGTAGCGATAACTTGTTCGAATTTCGGCACGAATCCTTTGTTCAAGGTTTCAAAATAATTAAAAACCGACCGCGCAACAGTTATACAGACTCTTTTCCTTATAACGAATCTGAGCGAAGGTTGTTGTTGTTGTACACGTATCGTTTTGTGCGCATGAGGTTCTAGATGGGTTACTTAATTGGTCTTTACCATTAGAAAAACTCCTAGTACAGCCAATCCGTCGGGTCGACCCGCAGCCTCGGCGAAGCTGTGGTATTTGCTCGTATTCCAGTGAACGAGATGAAGTTCGCCAGAGAAGGAACGTCCGTCGACCGTGTGCTCTGAACCCTCGCCGTTCTTAGCACCCCAGTGGCAATGCCATTGCTGGAGTTTGTACACGTCCGAGCCCAAAGGACCACCTCGTAGTTCTGGAAACAATTTACTTATCTTTGGTACTTTGGTAAAGTGGTTTATGTGGGATATGTTATAAAAATATATCGGTTTTACTGGTGAATTTTATATAAGTACTCGTTCAGTATAATTTAATTTTCATCGGACAATGCGAGGCGAGGCGTGTTTTATATATATTTTAGTTTTTATAAAGATTGCTGCTTTATATACTTGTCATGAGGCTACAATATACAATGAAGTTTTATGACTAGTAAATCGTTTTCATATAATAACTCTAGGTTAATTTATTATCTGTTTGTTTATAGTGAAACAATGCGGGTACTGCTTTTATTTTAGAAGCATAAACAAGCGGTTCATTGGCTATTAATAAAATGGGGCTGATGAAGAAAACAACACAGTGAATAATATTGATAAGAGGATATGTGAGTCACACTCGGCAATTGGGGAAGTCGTCGGAATCGATAAAAATTGCAAATTGACTCGCACGCACAGCGTGAAGTACTTACTTCCCCTGACCCGCTAATCTATAATAATGTTCTCTACCCTTTCTCTATACTATATGTGTATACATGTGTGCCATGTGCACGTACATTGGTGCAATTATTTACCAATTTTTTTATTATTAATTATATTCCTACTTTTATGCAAAGGTTATAAGGTATAAGACGTTTAAATAGTTAACATAAGGAAATTTTATATTTAATTATTGTAACGTTATATATTAGCGTAATATTTGCGGCAGTATATTATTAGTATTAAATAAGTTTACCTGAGTTGTACCCATTTTCATCGACGCGCCAGCAGTAGCCAGGGTTAACCACTGATCGTGGATGGTGAACGGAATATCTGAAGGTTAGGGGTGGTACATTTCCGCTGTTACTAGCTCTGGACGTCGCTATATCGACTGGGCTCTGTCTTGCACCCCTGGCTTCTGGAAACTTTTCAATCCATGAAGCTGGGCCTAAAACAAAATTCTTATTTAATGTATGTATTCATATGTGTATGATGATCCATCAACCATCTATCATCAATCATAATTTTTAGAATAATCAATCTAAAAATTAACCAGATCTAATATAATATAAAGAGACCTTTCTTTATTTTAATTATTTATCTAAATAAATAGTCTCAGAGGTCTTCGAGGAAAGTAAACATGAATTAATTTCGATTACTCATTATTTATCAAGAGTTTCACATACTATGGCAATAAAACAATTTAAGACCAAAGTAAACAATTTTTATTAAATTATGACTTATCTCTGTTAGCACTGAAAACATTAATATTTTTCCCATGTTTTTGCCCACGGAGGGCCCTTTTTTTTTTAAAATCGAAAAAAATTTGGAAAATTTTTCCCCCCGGGGGGGGGGGGGACCGGGGGGGGGTTTTTTCCTTGGGGGTGTTTTCCCCCCTTGGGGCCCCGGGGCTTCCCCCCCCCCTTCTTTTTTTTTTTTCCCTTTTTTTTTTTCCCCCCCCCCCCCTTTTTTTTTTTTTTATTTGGGGGGGGGGGGGGGGGGTTTTTTGGGGGGGGGGGGGGGGTTTTTTTTTTGGGGGGGGGTTTGGGGGGGGGGGGGGGGGGGGGGGGGGGGTTTTTGGGGGGGGGGGGGGGGGGGGGGGGGTGGGGGGGCTTTTTTTTTTTTTTTGGGGGGGGGTTGTTTTTTCATTAATTTTGATTAGCAATTAGACGTCTTCTGTGCGTGAGGAGTTAGGAAATGTTTGGACAAATAAGGGCGGCCTAACGGCTCCTTGTGAGATGACCTGCTTCCTTGACCAGCAAAATTAAAAAAAAATGTATCGCACTTAAACTTATGACCTTTTTAGTGAAAATACCGAAGTCAAACATCGGGCGAATCGGAGTTCGGAGTTGCCGGATCAAATTTTTTGAATAGCTTTACCCTTCAACGTCTGATGGGCGCTGTCACCAGTGAGCATGTGTTATTCTAACGTTATCACTTGTTTGTTCAATGATAAATCACCGAGATGATTATGCTTTCTCAACATCCGGATGGCACAACGTCAATAAGGCAGAGTGAACACTTTTTAATTAGGAGTCCTTTTACGGGATGTTTTTTGCGTTGTTCATGAAAAGTAAATTAAAATTCATTTAAACATTTTGTATTAGTAGCTAGTACAGCTATTGATGTCGCGTTCGCTCAACCGTTTCAAACGAGACAGTCATTCGTGTAATATTACAGTCGGTGTACTATCGGTACCTATATTATGCGAACAAATCTACATAACTTACAAACAATGCTTTGCTTTGTTGACGATTTAGTTTTTTAGTTGTCTACCGGGAGTCAATCGAGAGGGCCGCATGATTTTCAGTTTTAGCATTCGTACTATTTTTCCTCTATACATCAATATCACCGATAGGTCGGATCGGTCGCCAAAACCAATATCAGGCCGTAAGTAAGTGCTAACAGATGATTGTCGTCGAATTTAAGTATTCATAATCATTGCATTTTATATTATTTATAACTCTTTGATGTTGAACGGGAATAGGATGATGGGACGAATATATAGCTGGACTATATATTAATATCTAAAAGTCTTTCGGTAATTATTTTGTTATTTTAAGCCGCGTATGAAATATTCAAATAAATACCATTATTCACCTACGTCCGGTTGGTAAACGTTGACCATAAAAAAAGTAAACGCGCAATTTCTATTACTTCCTCGTCGAAGTAAGTATTCGCTTTGAATTTAAAGGGAATTAATTGTTAAATGGTGAACTGCGATTAACCTTCATTTCCGCACTGGAACGTAAACGGCGAGGCCACGGCGATGATACCGGCTGTGATCAACTCTCGATTGCTCCTGCGCAGAGTAATTAGTACGTACATATTATATAGCCCCTGATATTTAAATTTTGATTTTGAGTATACGCCTCCCACCTTGGGCTAAATATTTCCGACAATTTGTAAATTTCCATTTTTATAAAGAAACTCACGTGTGATATTTGTTGTTCAGTTTCATATTACATAACGTGATAGCTTAGCAGAATACGATACGAAGTCAACCATTTCTGTACAAAACATCGACCCGTAAAGTAGCTAAGAGTAATGTATTTCTAATATTTTGCTTTATGTTTCCACGACCTTATCTAATTACATGTACAGCTGTTAATTCATTGTATATAATATTGTTTTAAAAAGATTACGTAGGTAAAATTTACATTATACATAGTATTTTTCTCTTTGATCGTCGCCATGGCTCAATGGCTAAACGCATTACCTTGGATTACGTTAAATGTGAGAGGTCCTGGCTTCAAATCTCGTGGAACCAAACCGAAAATATTACCTATTATTGCGGTGGAGCAATGCAAAGAGGTTTGACCAACTACCTACCGGATACATTAAAATGTCTTCGTCCCATTCCTAACGAGTCTGCCCCCTATGACCCAGAAAGCGAAAACTAAATTTTGAAAGAAATAATTAATTATTTTATATCATCCATTTTAGTTTATTATGTGTAATTTCTCGGCGAAAAAAAGTGGTACACCAAAATAAAAACGTGATGTCAGACAAATCACAGCTGCACAAATTATTTTTTATTACTCCAAGAATGTTTTATTACACGCCATTTAATGACCACTCCTCAGATAATGTTCTCCTAATTTATGAGAAGACTGAATGATAGCACAGACGAAACGTCATTAATAACCACCGCTCAACTACAGCAAATAATACCTTGTCATTAATTCATTACCCGACAATCAACAGTCTGCAAATTATACTTGCAGAGATTATCAGCAGCTAATTTTGTAATAAAAACACAAATCAGTGGTTACTACGTAATATCGCATTGTCGTTAATTATACAATTCTGGTCTTTTAAGGTTTGAAATAATCTTTCTAAGTTTAAATAAAACATATTTAACGGTTTCAAGTGCAAAATACATTAATTACTTTATAAAAAATTTAATACTTTTTCACATTACAATAAATAAATTATCGTTAGACACGGTAGCTCCACTGGTTAGAGCAACACTGGCTGCAAATGCCGATTCAAGTTCGGTTCTTCAATTTCAAAAAAGAAACTTTAAATGAAGTTAACTTATATTCGATTTATTTTAACTACTGCCCGATGTTTTTTTTATTAATTCATTACAGAAAGTATATAAAACACCACAGCCGTAAGATTTAAAATCTGTAAATAAAATTAATGTATTATTTTTTAGTGTACCTAGTAATCTGACGATTACTTGATTATATGACTAGGTTGAGTAATAGGATGATAAAATTAATTAAGTTAAGAGAATTTATCTGACGATTCTCATTTGCAAGGTAAAAATGTTTTATTCATGTGTTGGGTTGTTTATCCACTGAGATTTTATGATATGACAAAAACTGATCATTATTTTAGCATATCACTTACTTGCTACTCCTCTTACATTCAGATTGTATTATTAAATTGTTAGTACGGTAATAGAGACATTTCTCCTTTGAAAAATTAAGGAAAATGTTAAAATTATTCTCAAAATTATTTTATTTACTTAACAGATACGAATATTATTATCACTCAAACGGCTTAATAGGCAAACACTAAACCATAATGTCTTAATTCTTGAAGACTGATAAGGCACAGAAAATGTTAAACATGCATTAAGAACTTAAGTAATGCTTATTTGAATGTTTAAGTGATCTTGACTTCAAATACCTGTATTGAAGCGATAGGCACCGAGAAGAATATGAGTTGAGAAGTTTATTTGCTAATAATTGTTATTTACCATATAAAGACGAGTCTGCTTTATCAGCACATACACTGAAAGTGAGATTATACTGATATATCTACTTTCGCTGACTAATTTACTATGTCAACTTAACAAACAAGTAGTACTTAGAATAATATCGTCAAATAGATTCTCTTTTAATAACAGATTTTAGAAAATACAAAAAGTACAAATTGAAATTGAAAATCTTAAACTGTTTAAATAAAAACTTTAACGGTTTAAAACATATATAATTAAACTTTTTAAATTCACTACAGCTACGGTTCGACGTTTTAAATGCTTTACAGCACTAAAATATATATCGCGTTCTAAACCGTTAGTGTTTTATTTAACGTGTACATACTACTCGCGTAAATATTTCCTAATAAATTAATAGTGTCAATTAAAACTAAATTTATAACCGCCACAGATAAATGTAAGTATAAATTGTATTGTTATTGTTAGACTTCATTATTGTAATAATATGTGATAAACGTAATGATTTTCCTACTCGAAAACACTTTTATATAATAACAGAAATGTATTAATGTACGATTTGTTTATTTAAATTATTTTTTATATATTTTTTTCTGATTCTCGCTATATCTATTTTGGAAGAGTCATAATTAAAAAAAAAACTAACTTAAAGAAGTTAAAAATAGATTAATTTTATACCAGTTCCCGTAAAGTATAGTTAGAAATATTTTTCTTTTTACACCTAAAATACCTTTTATGAAAAGTACATATACTAAAAAAGAACTACACTATTCGGTCTTGTATTGACTTATATTGATATTAATTGTTATTAAATACACAACCTTTTTTCACTTATTTATAACACTCGAAACGATAGCTTTCTATCGTAGCGTGATATCAAACTAGATAGATATAATCATCTATCTAGTTTGCACACAGCAATCAGCTCGAAGCCTGCAGCTATTCGTCGCCTGGAGCGAATGGCGAGTGTCGCCCGGCGAGATGATAGTTCATCACGACATCGACATCGGCTTATCGCAGCCAATTACTGTGCCACTTTGTTTCTCGTTTATTGCTGTTGTTAAGTATATCCGAACATGTGCATTTGCTATATTTATCTCTCGCATCCATCATTTAATACGGTTGAATAATTAATCTCTGTTCTTCTATCAGATGCGCTTAAGGTGCCAATAAGTGCCTATTTGATTTCAACATAAATTTATTAAAGGAACCGCTTTCGTAGCTCAATGGTTAACACTTATGGTGCTAATATCTAATCTTATGATGTTTCCTAGAATTGCTTTTATGACAAAAAAGGTCCTAGGTACAAAGAATGGGCCCGGAAAACAAAGCGGCGCTGTTTAGGAATTTATTAATTAAGTAATTAGATATTACGCAAATTATCGTTTATTTACCTTATTCGTTTATTACGTAGAACAGGCCATTACGATTCACAGCCAAGTTAACAAAGTCAAAGGCATTTAGTTATGTTTTGATGACACGGTGCTATCGTAAAGGTAATTTCGAGAGATGAAACAATTCCGACTTCTCTGCTCACTGATAATGACACTATATCTCGTGCATAAGGCTAATTAAGATAAAATTTGACACAAATGTTAATTTATGTTGTTCAGTTCTTTGTTGTTTTGATTAAGATTAAAGTGTAATAAACCCTTTCCACTCGCATTATCTTTTTCTATTTTAACCGAAAAAAAAGGAACTACCAATATTAAAACAGGTGCTATTATTGACGTGAAACAATATATGATTTAAATAACCGAGGATACACGTGAAATATGTTCAAAGTCACAAGTTCTTATGAAATTCATATTGACGGGTAAATATTGACAAAATTATCCAATACCTACGTTTATTTAGTCAAAATTCCCAGTATGCGTACATGTACGTAATTGTCGTAGGTGCAACGCATGAGTCACAGTTAAAATGATTAAAATATTATATTAATTACGCGCACTGAAAACCGCCGCAGGGACCCGCGGCCGACGGCGAGTGAAATCGGTCACGTGCTCCGATGTAAACAAACCGGTTTTTCGTAAGTCCGCCACTTAACAGTTATCAACGCATAAACAGACGACTCACCGTTCTCTCCGGTGTATCCCCAGTCTTGGTCGGACATGGTCGCACTTTTTTGTCAAGCTTAATGAGCGTATCTGCGCGCGAAGGTTACGCGGTTCAGCCGATACTGCGTCCGAGTGCGCGCAGGGTCTCCGCTTTATACATGAAGTAGAAGCACTAGGTTCGAGAGGAAGGCGGAGGCGGGTGGAGGAGAGGACCGCACGCGCGCGTCGTGCTACCGCGAGTGCTGCGAGGGGCTGCGCTCGCGGCCCGCGGCCTCCGCTCGCTCGGCGAACGCTAAGCAACTAAGTAAAATCCATTTTGCTTAGACGTCACAGCGATTAGCGAAGCGACTGTCGCGCTACGCTCCTCGTCTGTGGCGTTCTTGTAAGATCTTCTAATTTCATAATATCTACTACTTAATAGAAGCTAAGTTAAGTATTGCTAAGTATCGCTTTAAATATTACACACTAATTAATCGCTTTGAGTATTACACTAAGTAATCGCTATTAAAATATTACTACCTAAATTTCATTAAAATCAGTTGTGCACTTTACGCGTTCATACATCAACCTATCAGTCAATTTTAAATATAAATTGACATGTATTTAATGATTTCTCGTTGTAAAACAGTATTATAAAGATGTGACTGAAAGCATTAAAGATTTATTAACCACCACTATTGCACCATTTACGGGATAAGTAATATTGGTAAAAGTTGCCTAAATAATTAAAATATGTATTAGTAAGAAAATACAATCTATAGTCTATACTAATATTATAAAGAGAAAAGATTTGTATTTTTGTATGTAATGGATAAACTAAAAAAGTACTGGACCGATTTTAATAATTCTTTTTTCATTAGAAAGCTACATTATCACTGAGTAACATAGGCTATATTTAATACTTGATTACTATAGGTATCTATAGAAAAACTTACTAAAACCAACGGTAGGCGTAAAAAAAATTTGCCGTAAAATGTCTTTCTTCGCATACACTGCGAAAAGTATTAATGATAGGACAATAAAAATGTTCGACAATATTATAGAATATCTACAAAAAACATCGCGAGAGCATATTAGGTCTAACTATTGTAGTTACGTCGCTATAACTACTTTTTTTACATTTAACAAATTAATAGAAATGCCGCTCAAAATCAGACCGTGTTAACCATACCATTTATACATTTTTATCCAAATAAATAATTCAATATTCAAGACTGTCTCAATACCTAATGATTACTTTTTTAATTATTGAAATAGGACATTCCATTTAAATAAAACACTTTAACGGTTTAAAACGCGATATATTAGTTAAACTTATTTGAAAATGATTTTTAACTTCGGCTCGACGTTTCGGATGCTTTGTAGCAGCCGTGGTCACGGGGAGACTGAAGGGGCAGTGGGCTCCTTACGCAGTGGACACGACCGACATTAATATTTCGTTTTTTTAAACAGTTTTATGCGTCACTTAAAAAGTTCTTTTCAGAGCTACTTAGTTTTAGTATTAGGAATCACACTTTGCATAATATCGCTTTGAACTTGAATATTTTCTTTTGTATTATTATTAGTTTATTCTTAATTTCTCTGATTTAAAGTAAATACCTAAGAATAGTTCCCAAGCGAAGCACAAGCGTCGTATTGGAGAAGATCTTCTAAAAATGATCGTCTGAAGGATTAGAGTGTACGCGCCCCAATCGCGAGTCAGAAATTCTATCGTCGAACGTTCAGGTTTGTCTTGCAGAACAAAATGCAAGATCGCGCAGGACTGAAGGAAATAGGGCTAGGAATTCGCACCCACGACCCTAACATTGAACGCTCGGAGCGGCTCCTGACACAGCGAGATAGACAACGGTCGTTAACAGCTAAGACGTGAAATACATTTTTTTTTCTGATTTAGTGATTCATGGTCGTTTTAATTAGCATGCTTATAATTTCAATATCTGTACCTATTTATGTCTACCCGTGCGAAGCCGGGACGGGCCGCTAGTTACTTATAAACTACGATTAAGAGTAAATAAATAAAATATTTAATATGACTAATATTAGCAAAGACTAAAACTTTACTATTAATTATATTACTTTTATAAATCATTGCGACTTGGTAGGTAAGTCGGCGCGTAGAATACGAAATCATTATTTTTTATGTTAGAGTTCAGTCGCCAAATAATGTATTCATTAATTATTCCTTCCAACCAAACATTGAAAAATTTACATTAAAATTTGTACGATTGATTATCATTGCGAAGTCATGAAACATTATTTAAACCTATCCCTAATGGACAATTGAAAACCAACAAGCTAGTAAGATAGTAGCTCGTTACTATCGAGTGAAACATTTTTTGTTTCAAAAGATAATATATTTGTATGTGTAACTTTTGTAAATAAGGTATGTACAAGAATTTCTGCTTTGGACTCTGTCCAAACGTAACAGTTTCCAGAATAAGAATTAAAAGGGCGATCAGAATAAACATTTTAACGATTTGGGTTTATAATCGGAGTATATTTTCGATGCGTACATGCGGAATTCGAGGCATAATAAATTTGCACACACGTATTATTCAGTATCTTGATTTTAAAATTACACTAACAGACGTATTTTTAGGAATTCATCAATTCAATCGAAGCACTCTGGTGGCCTACATTGTTACCCTAAAAAAACTTTAAAATCAGAAATTGGAAAGAAGTTATATCGGTGATTGATTGTATATTTTCTTTGTTGAAAGCACATAAGTTCAAAATGTGATCTAGATTTTTTTGTATCATAGGACATAAAGTATATAAGTATATTTGAATCAAAACTGATGATGTCTGGTATTTATTTTATTTTATTTATTAACCTTTTTATATAATTTATGTCCCCCACTACTATATTTACAATTAAAAAAAACAGTCTGAGTTACAACTAGAAAAGTCTTTTTTATTATATATATATATATAAGGTATTTTTGGGTGTAGGTGTATTGTGTATTTCGGTAATATCCTTTTTTCTTTGAATTGAAATTATCTAATCTAGTTTATGCGAGTAGTACCCATTTAAATAAAACACTTTAACGGCTTAAAACGCGAATTACTCACTTAAACTTATGTACAAATTATTTTAATTACAGCCCGACGTTCTGAATGCTTTTGAACCTTCGTGGTTTCAGCAGCCATAGTTTAAATAATTTGTAAATAAGTTTAAGTGATATAATTCGCGTTTTAAGCCGTTAAAGTGTTTTTTTTAAACATTGATATGTGTTTAATTGTTATACAAAATATTGTTTAACAATTCAGAATTTTACAAAATAAAATTACGTTCGGCCTTATGTTAAAATCGATTGTAATAATCGAAGTATGTATTATCTTGTAATTAATCGTCCATCGATTCCTTTGTGCCTGGAGTGCACGCGTGGACGGATAGCGTGAGGAGTAGAAATTTAGGTGAACTACTTGAGAACTTATAGTTCTTTGTTAATAGGTTGTTAGCTGGATAGTTGACAAGACCTCACTTGCTAAGTGCTGTATAGGCTTACACATCTAATTGCTACGGACACTCCCGCCTTTATGTTTACAATCATGAATAAAATACACCTGGCCTTTTATTTAAGTCTATTGAAGAGTTACTTACCAAACGACATTTTGTACCAAAAATTTAAACGAGTGTAATATGTGTTTATTTACTTTAGTTCAATAATTAATTTATTAAAATAAGTATTGGAGACACAAAATATTCCGTTTTATATACTAACTCGGTGTGGAAATACATTACTCCCACACCGAGTTTTTGGAAAAATAAGCATTTTCAGAGGATATTACGGAAAATGATTATTACAGATTGATTAATTAAGAAAAACAACTACGCTAGTTGTTATTCGTAAAAGGTAGGCAGATTTCCATTACGAAGTAACCACTTGTTCTTTATAAAATTTATAGTAACGACGCCAATAGAATTTTAATAATGAGTTTATTTATACACTAAAATACGTGTACCTATGTCTTTATTTATTATGTAGTTTCATATTAAATTAATTTAACAGGAAGTAGTTACAAACGCACGCGGTACGTACGTACTCGTACGTTTATACGTACAATTTACAGTTTACATAAACATTCCAGTACTAGACTAGAAACTTGAAATCCTCGAAGATCATGAAAGCGTCGATCACAGTTATGACCACTATATAGGGAAAGTAGTGGCCGTTTAAGCCCACCAAACCGCCCTGGAACACATAGCATTACAGGCGAAGTGGGCCCAGCAGGAAATCGGAGCAAACGTATTGTAGTGCAAATAAAAAATATATCATTTTCGTGCAAATAATTATATCTATTTATCTCTGTAAATCGCGACGGATGTCAGTGATTTATTTAGTTTGAAATCACAATGGCCACATAAAACACACGAGCTACGTTGAATTTTGGCTTCACAACGCTCTTTCAATACAAATGACTGGCCGAAACGGTCACATTTGCGAAGACAATGTGCCACATTACATGTTATAAAATATATCTATTGTGTGTAAATTGACTTATTAACATGTACTTAGTGCTTGCTTTATACAGAGTTCTGCCTACGCTGAATCTCGTAACCGCCGTCGTCTATATTGCGTATCAATGTTTTTAAAATTGTTTTATTCAATTTTTGTCGCGTTGTCTAAAAAGCAATAAAACTGAGCGAACTGAGTGGCCGACTGAAACGAGTAATAATTAGAAATCTTTATTATTACAATTCAAGACTTTACATCATTATTCAAACATTTCCTATAAGGTTTTGGTGATGACCTAAATCGTAATTTAAGTTTCTCGGGCCCTGAATGTTTCTTAGTTACTTTCAGGAATAGCAGAGCTACGACGCGCGAAATTGCTACGAAACGCTACGCGCGATTGTTGTTTAATTTTTGCGATTAAAAGACAACTAAAGACGCTATAATAAAATGTATTTTAAAGGCTGCCTCTGGCTATGTACTAAATTCTCATAAATCTTTTCAAAAAAAATCCGACTACACAATGAAGTGTCTTAAAACTAAGCAAAGCATATTTGCATGACTTATGCCTGGAATTGTAAATGACATAATGAATAGTGAATAGCGAGAAAAATCGCTTTAAGTGTCACATGAATTTGCGCAAAAACGTTTAGTACGCAAACGTTAAGATGAATGTCACGTAATCGCAACTTGATAGTCGCCATTCGTCAATCGTGGCTCGCGTGATTAGTGATATAAGGCGAAATTGATAGTCCGTGATTCGTCTTTTCGGACCCGAGTCCAAATTAACTTTATTATATTGAGCTATTAAAGAATATATAATACGCTAATCAGCTTTGACCTTCGTCTAGGCAAGAGCTCGAGAAAATGTATTTAAAAGTATCATCACGGTTACATTGTCATCGGACAAAAATGTTAAAAGAAAAGACATTTCAAAAGATTTTATAAATTTATTACTACATGTTTCCGCTGTAAAATGTAATATAAGTAACTTATATAAAATATTACAATTATTAAAACTAAATACGAATCGTAGGAATACTTAATCTACGAACATTTTTGAACGACAATAAATGTTTGTTTGAAATACAATAGTCTGTTATGTTATCTAAAATATCCCACAACCATTTCTACCTTGTTATAATACACGATTTGACTAGAATCTTTCCATATTATATTTCTAACATAACATTAGTTATTACAACTAGTGTGTTGGCATTTAAAATCACACACTTATCTTGTTTTTTAAATTATCTTAAAATACCTATAACATTACTTAAACGTCGACTAACGAAAGTTTCCTAATCTTAATAAATGCTCGAGCTTTGTAAATTTTTGTAGATAATCCTTGAAAAAACATGAAGGCTATTCGATAGGCAGCTTCGTAAACTTATCTTTACTAGTTTGTGCATTATCATCTCTTTCTTCAATTAAGAAAAAACGAAAAAAAATATGGTTACAATGGTCAAAATCTAAGCGGCAAAGGTCTTGGTATTTTGGCAAGCTCTTATCAAACGTCGACCCTTAAAGAATCATTTTTCGTAGATATATCCACGTAATCCACGACCTCCCAATTGTCCTCTGGCTCTTCTGGCACCTGGGGAGGGAAGGCCGCGCGAGCGTACGGAGCCCCCTTTTCATCCACCGTTAGGTAAGTGCGCAATGCTGCTAGATAATCATCGTCCTCCACAGACCTCGCCCTGGCGTTAAACGGTCCCCCGACGTCTTCGCTTGGCAACTCCCAGATATGGTACTGCGCTGTCATCTTGAAGTTCTGCGATAAGCATAATCTTATTATTCCTCACAACGCAATATCTATGTGAACGGGGCGAAACTTGAATTAATAATAATGCATTTCCGTATACAACTTCCGACATATCTTGACCTATGTATGTAATTAATTTCACATCCTACGACTGGAACGCCTTGATATTTATTCGCCAGTATACAATATAAATATGAGATTTTATATGTTAACTTAAAAAGTGTCCAACGTGACAGACAGACATCTGCCTATTTACATCGGCGTGTGCGCATGTTTCGGTCACAGCGCAAAGAAAATATTCCACTTTAGATTATGACAAAATATTTGTACTTATCTCACTTATCTCCTAACATGGTCGCGGGTATTGTTTATTAAGCACATAATTAGGACCGACTGCGCCCGTCAGATGACGAGACTAATATATCACGGCTCCGTTTAAACATCAAACGGCCGATTAATCTTGACAAATTACTGAACAATTTACCGTAAATATTGGTAATATCTCGAGTATGACGCACAGACATGTCATAAAGCATGCTGTTTGTTGTATAAATAACCCGCGAGTTCCGTGACGTCTGTCGGCTTCATCATTCGGCTGATGGATGGGTTTGCTGGTAACTGGGTCATTGGGAAGCTAACCACGCACTATACTGAAGTAGATCCCTTTCAATTGCCTATATATATAAATCAATCCGTATTTGGTGCAATGATGGAATTGAGTATTAATAACACACACCCTTAAAGATATGTTCACTTTTGCGCATTGAGTTCGCTAACATAATAGGTCTTTCTTAAGTTTAACATGTTCTTCAAAAAGAAGCTCATTTACCAATATGTAAATTCAGACAAATTAGTACCTAGCGTCAGAGGTGTAAAATAGCCTAGCGGTATAGTGTTATCTCAAAGCCAGTTTATGGTCCTATTTGATCGACTAGCGCGCGAGAGATGACGACGGCGTTGATAAAACAATAGGATTAATGCGGTCGCCGAACAATTATTTTCCGTTTATGGCTAAGCATAACAATCACATTATCCTGGACAAGCCTTCACTTAATCTTTATGTTCCGTGAAGCTTTAATTGCCTGAATATATCACTGTACTATTTGCGTCGTAGGTAAATTTGCTATATTCAAATATGTAAATAATAAAAAATGTAATAAGAATCGAGCTAAGCTAATAACCAGTCGGACTGAATATTAATGGAGATTTCGAGATTGTCGTTTTGACTTTGAAATTATTGTTGTAAAGCAATAACTTAAATAGGTAGTTTAGCGAAATGAATGATCTTTTTGGTCCGCCTGCATAGATCGAAGTTTAACGGGTAGCACTGCGATAGCACCGGGAGAAGATTCATTGTTTCGGTCGGGTGAAACAGATCAAGTCCTTTCCTTAAATAAAAATAGTTTCTACATTTTTTATTTGTTCTACTAATATTATAAACACGAAAATCTCTGAGTGTCTATATATCTGTTTCTCATTCACGCTAAATCTACAAAATGTTTTTAATCAATCTTTGCGACAGTATACCTGATTATAAAACTGAAATCGTGTAATAAAACTTTGATAAACTTTTGTGTTCGTGGAGAGAAACTCTTAACGAAAAGAAAAGGATAAAAATGAATAATGTGACCTTTTCTACTAGCGAGTTATCTGATATAAGTGCTGTGGTAATATAAGACCTGTTCTATGTGTTGAACTTTATTTGTTTTAAATATTGCAGTTCTTCGAAAAAAATAAAACTAAACTAGACTAAACTAGAGGTACCCCGAGGGGGGCATCTACCTCCGCTTGGACCACCATAATAAGTGTTAGCTGGAGGAGTTGGACGAAACCTTCGCGGACGATAGGCGACGGCGCCGAAGGCCGTGAAAAGCGTGTCTTTGATTAAGCCGTCGGAGTAAAAAACTGTTTTATCACATACCTCAGGCAAGCAATGATGTTGAAGACAATAGTAGTTGGTAGAACCGTCGTGATGACACCAAGTGCCATCCGGGAAATAGGGATCCAGTCCAGCATCGTTCAGTTCTACTCGAGGAGCGTAGAAGCCGCCGCCAGACGCGCGCCGACAAAATATTGCGCAACCCATCCACATACGAGCTGGAATAACGATATTAATTAAACGTCAGGAATTTATTTCTGCATCCTAAAAACTACTAATAATCTACAAACACGTCACAGATACATATTTAAATGTTAATCTGCTACTTATAAGAAGAAATTTGTAAGCTGCCATTACGTTTTATTCTTTCAAAAATAAAACCGAACGAACATTACGTTTTATTATGCATAATAATTACAAGAACTAATTAAACAAAGAAACAACTGGCACGATTTTCCCATGCATTTTTGTAGTGTTGCTAAATTGTATTGTTATTTGTTACTGCCTGTAGTACAAAGAAAAAGTACCGTTATTTTTTGTACTTCTTGGAATTAGCTGGTAAGGGATTTAGTGTTTTTCAAGAGAAATACAACGCCTCAAAAGTAAATTCGTAATGTTTTAATCTGATTGTAAAGATTAGTACATATTGGTTGATCGCTTGTTTAATACTAGTCCTTGGTATCAGAGTATAAATTAGTATCTGAGAGAGAGGAATATATATATATATCTAAAAATTTGAGTTTTTAACTGTAGACGTTGAAAATTAAAATTGCTGTTGATTAAAAAGCTGTAGCACGTACTAGGGTCGTGGGGTGCTTGCAATCCACCTCCGTGAGGGTCCAGTGTTGGCATCTTTGTAGCGTATTCAGTGCACTTTCTCGCAGCCAGCTCGTTTGCGCTCACCCTTTTTTTCTTGCCACAAACCTGAAGTTGGTGGAGGAGTTAATTACTGGTCATAATAATATGTAAAAATACAGATTTATTTCCAAGTGCAACTTGGTTAAACTAAATAACAATACCATAACTAAAATCGGACTTAGTCGACCTTGTGTTTTTCCACATGTATGTGTAAACCGTTTGTAGCTATTTGCCTCAATAACTCCGTTTTAAATGTTAGTTAAATTCTCCTTTATAATAATGGTTCATTGTTGTCTATTGTTTGTTTTGTTAAGGGCTTGTTGTTTCTGCAGTAACATTTATAGCTAATAATCAACTGTGTTCGATTCGCATTGGGTCCAACATGTTTTTAAAAAACACAAAAACACTTTATTAGCATTTTTTATTTATTTAATAAAAATTCTGTCTTCAAGTAGAAACTGAATTTTGATGTTATAGGACTGGGGTAGTAGCACCTTTGAGAAACTAAAGCGTAGGGTTTAATCTGCCTATCCTTTTGTATCATTAAAAGCGGACATTTAGCCAACCTTGTTGTCATCACATAATGCGACATCATATGCGGCTCCCGTGCAAGTGGCTGATGCTGGACAGGAGCGTCTTCGCTCACGAGCACCGCGTCCACGCTGAGTACACCCAGAACGACACTCCCCAGAGGTCCAGGCGCTCCAAGTATTCGTGTCGTGGCCGTGAGATGGCGCCTCTGTCATTGGCTGGTAGGATGGATCCACAGCAATACAAGCGCCACCATCACACCACTATAAGTAATCAAATAATTTATAAACAGGCCACATTTCTGCCTAAGTTAAAAATAATATTGTGGGGTCATGTTTAGCAATGAAATTGAAACTTTTTCTCATTAGACACATATAAATAATATTCTAAGGCACTAATGCAGCAGTGTTTTACTTGTTTAAAGAAAGAAAAACTAATCATTCAAATACCAATTTTGGATTACTACAGCCCATTTTATTTAGATGTTATATGGCTGGGGGTTGACCTACCTTTAGGTTAAACCCCATGCCTGTCTGTCTTTCCCCATCATAAAAGAAATCAATAGTTTGGCCAAAAATGTACATTCATTTTCTTTCTTATTGTATAAATAGATAATAATGTCTGAGATACCTTTTTTAGAACCACACGATGTTCCGGGTAACGCTGGACCCGAATAGTAAAATCCAGCGCGATGTGGAGTCCGACAAGTGAGTTGTGCACAAACATTACTGCCCACATCTACTGGCGCAGCATCTTTATCTCTCAGTAGCACCTTGAATACGTAAAAAACACATATTTATAAACATTGTATTAATTAAACGATGTTAAATAAAAATTAGTAAGTTAATAAGAATAAAGTCCATGTGTAAATAATAAAAATATGAGTATAAATTACCAACATAGCGTTCGACTACATTGGAAAGTGTCATTTGCTAAAATAACGCCTACTAACACCAGAAATTGCAAATTGCTTTGTCATTGTCAATATCAAAATATTGTTTTAAAGGGCAGAGAAGGACAGATAAGAATGAAATTCACTAGGTGGAAGGGGAATACCCTAGCTATATAATATCTAAACGAGATGCCCTGTTGACGTATGATGTCCTCGGGCTTTGGAATAATAGATTTGAAGTTTTATTATTCGGCCTTTATATTATATTGTCTCAAAACGAATGTTACTGTCCGAATAACATAACCAATAATTCATAAAAGTGAATAAAGTTGTCTTGAAAATCTAACCTCGCATTGTTTTTTCGCACCCCAACTTGTTCCCGGATAGCCGCCAAACCTATTGTGCTGAAGCTCATTCGGCGTGTCTAAATCATCATCTCCGTCGAAGAGACACGTCGCCCATCTAAAATCAAACTGCCCGTTACAGGTTATCCAAATTTACATAATGTATGAATGTAGTTTTACAAGTTGTACCCTTTTATATACACGTACACCCGCGGTCCCTTTTTATAAACTATGAATTATTCTTACTACGACTATAATCGACTCGCGTACAATAAGAGGTAAGATGATACACTTACTGTAAATCGGCTGCTACTCGTGCACTGCAGTGCGACCACGTCGCTTCACCATTCGTCCCCCGGGAAGGAGACATTATAAAGCCATCCCGGGCACAGGAGTTGCCGGAACCATCGTGGTGCATACCCAGGCTGAAACCGTTCAAAATTGGATACATAAAGACACTATTTAATAGCGATATCGTAGATAGATTTTTTTTTTTTTGATAATGGTCGACAGGCAAGACTGGGCTGATTGGAAGGTGACATACCCAAGCCAACATCTAAACAAGATGTGCTGACGAAATATTTTTCGATATTCGGAATTCTACAGCCTGAAACCGAAACACGAATCAACTTCACAGCTTTTCATCTTTGGACGCTGTTGCTTGACTCGGACGGAATTTCGATATTCCTACCGCCCATTAACATAGTCCTGTTTTTAAGGTATAGATTTGACCGGTTATAAATTAAATTTTACCGTGTCTTTATAGATCTTATAGTAAAGTTTGTCATTAAAAGAATGTTCATATCAAGGTTAAACAGACTTGTGTCCTATTTCATGCGCTAAGATGTAAACGGACGTGAAGCCAGCGGACGGGTAGGGCCTGCCCAAGGTGTCTGTTGTCCCAAACTCCGAAACCACACAGGCGTGAGCTGGTAGACACACTCCGCCCACCGGTGCCAAACCCATCGTGACTCCGTTACGACGACCGCCTTCCTCTGAATAGAAGTCCAATCTGAAATGACGATTCACGTACACTTAGTATTCAATATTGATGTTAACGGTGCTTTTTACCAGTCACAAACAATTTGGGTATATAAGCATTGTCATTACAATAAAAGTTTATGCAAATGCAATATTTTTTAATCGATGACAACAATTATTAAAACACAAAATTAACGAACCCAGAAAGGAGAAGAGCCATGTCCCAGTGTTGTGGATCGTCGTCGTCTTCAACGTTAAGCGACCGCTGATAGGCGCAGAAAGAGTCAAGAAGGCGTCCCCGCTCTGCGTGAGGTGGTAGGCCTTGTGGTTGGGACCGTAGTAACGTCAACCGTACCAGAGACAATTGTATGCGAGTTCCCAATGACGGATGATGGTACAGGGCTTGGACCTGGCGATTGATAGTTTAATATTTAAAAATTGATTTTAAATACAACAAATATTGCGACACAGGCAGGACTTTTTTGAGTTTTTTTTATAATTAACAAAATTTTTAATATTTTTTAAATTTCTGTTTTGGTTTACATTACCAATGTGTACGTGACGTTAAAATAATTTTTAATATACAATTATTGTAATCTTAATAATACATAGTAATAAAGATACTAAACAGCGCAGTTATTATTATGTCTAACAATATTATCACCGATAATTTATTTATTGGTTTATGTAGGTACTCACGCCGTTAATGTAAGCGAGTAGCATGTCTCGAAGATCGGCTTCATTGTGGTTAAGGTACGGATGAAAGATTTTATAAGCGGACTGATCGAGGAACAGCGCGACTTCAATAGTGTAGGAAGACGGCGCGGGCTTGGCCGGGTGAACGCGTGGTCGCCGCGGGCTGCGGCGCAGCGGTCTGTCGTCGTCGTGCGTCAGGGGCGGCGGCGCGGCTCGCCGGATCATGTGGGCCGTGCGGCCATGCTTCGCGCCCGCTCTGCCCCCGCCTCGAGCCAAGGGCCGCACTTCGTACGTCGAATTGTCCGTCACGATGAGGCCGTGCTAAAGAAACAAACATCAATAAGTAAGTAAAAAGTGACACTTTCGTGACCCTCAATGCCATTCCCGACTGGCAATATTCATTGACACAACCGAAGCCGAACGTTCGATTCCAGGATCGACCAGAGCTGCCACGAGACTAGGTTAATACTACAAAAGATTAATTGGCAGCAAGCTACGTAAAAAGTATGTGAAATTGAAATAGGATGAATTAAATTTGTTTAACAAGCAACAATGAAGTCGTTTCATAAACCTGCATCACCTTGCTAATAATTAATAAGCAATGCAGTTTGATAGTTAAGACCGAAGACAATTAAATTGTATTGTGTTATAGTATTGCTAAAAAAATCTAGTCTCGAGTCTAGGGCTAGATATGCAATGAATAGTAGTAGTAATAATCTAATACTATCTTCTTACAAGTGCATGGTCTCTGCAAGCGGAAAATGCAGCAACAGCGTCTACTCCGGCGTGCAAAAAGTGGCACGTTGCATCCACATCAGACAAGGATTCTTCTTCTCCATTGTCAGACCACACTCGAAATTGGGGAGAAACCAGTCTTCTATTGGGAACTAACTGAAGATCGAAATTTCTGAAACCAAAGAAAAAAACGGCACTGGAGTTATGGGACCTGAATTGCGTAGATTTTTGTAGATGATAACAGCGTAAAACCTTTTGACGTAACGAAATGTCACACGTTAATCTTTGAAAGATTGTGGTAATAGGTAGTTGTGTAATGGATTGGAGGTTTAGTGGGCAGTGGCCAAGCTGGCTGACCCTACACAAAAAAAAAATGGACACTCGTATAAACAATACTTTAAAGCAATTATTATCAAATTGGTAATACCAATACCTAAAGTTGTACATGCATTCTGCGCGTACACAATTGGGTTTGATAATTTTTTATAACAAAAGTAGCAAATAAAATTCACTCTAGCACACAATAAATTTGTAGTTAATGTTACAAACCTGCCAAAGGCATTGAAGCTATAAGAAAATGGGACATCCTCTTGGACGGATTCGGACGATGACAGCGCTTCTCGAGGCACCAGCTTTGGTAGATAAACTATTTGCACATCTCTCAGTCCAGGTTCCGATTCGATAGACATTAAATTGTCCAACCACGATGCATGGAATGGTAAAGTGTTCTGAAATACGTGTGAAGTTTGAAAATAGTGGACAAATCGGCTAACGAGCACTAAATTATTATTGCTACTACATAAGAAAAAAATGCTTAAACTTGCGTTATTAGAATGTCGTTTCAAAGGAAGGTATATGTAATTTTTTCCAGTAAGACAACCATTGCTATGTATAAAGCGCAGAATACATTATAAATTCAGCATAGAATTACAGAGAAGCAAAAAAAAACCGTGTCATTGTATAAAATGGCACACTTTCTTAACTGCTTTTTAATAAGTAAACCCACTTATGATAAACATAACACTCGACCCGAGAACATTATCTTAACGACATACGAAAAATGCGCCTGCAGATTACTCATGCGAAACACAATACTTTCATTAATAACAATAAAATCGATGTAGGCATCAAGATTGAGTTAACGTGAACTTTCAGAAAAGAAAACAAGGTCAGCGCCCATTTACAATTTGATTTACTAGTCACCGCGGTTTGTACGTGTTAATCTAATGAGTGGGTCACATCTGGATTGACATACGACATTGCGCGCTTCTATTTCTGTATCAATTGATTTGATAAGTCTCACAATGCAGATGAACAAAAATGGAGCAAACAGGAAAATATCTAATAACATGGAAAGGCTTGGTCTTGATAAACTTGCTGACATGTACGGTCTTGACATACAAAAAAGAAGTATGGTGGAAGTAATGTATAGAGCATTTCGTATACGGGTTAGTGAAACCGCAATTGTCACCACGCGAATGAGCATTGAACATGCCATCTACACATTAGCGCTTGTGAGGCGTGAGCCGGCTAATAAGGGAAAGTCATTTTTCTTTTACAAGTTAAAGCCTGAACAAAGGTTATTTGCAATCTATCGCTTCTAATTAAAATATCTTTTCTGGTTATAAATAAGAAACTTTGAATTAAAAAACAACGTTTGAATACTTTAATATTTTTCACCTGATATTGCACATGATGGCATTATATAAATTAAAATCTATTATAAATTGAAAAACAAGGCTCTTGCCCGGGTCATAATGTTTTCAATTTTACAAGATTAAACAACTTTAAAAATGAAGTTGATTAATCTTGAAATATTTAAGATAACTAAGAAATAACGTAAATAAAATATATCTTGTAAAATTTAACACGTATTTAGTGGCCAAGTTTATGGTCCCCGCGAACTAAATGTGATCGTCGGTATTTCGTATTCCTATTTCTAGATCGCAAAAGCACTAAGATCGATCGCGTGAAGAGAGAATCTGCCATCGCGTCGCCCGCAGTAAAACAAAACGGGACTATGAATCATCGTCTTTCGATTGAAAACTCAGTAGTTAGTTCGTGCCGTTAACGCTTGTGTAACTTAGTACGTGATCCAGTACACAGCCATAGTGCCGCATCGTCTTATGTAACGTAATTGCCAAAATAAAATTATAGATCCCAATTGTTACGCGAATCGAGGTGAAAGTAATTTTGTCTCATTTTTGTGTTACATTATCGATGAGTATTTATGTTTCGTAATCGAAATTTAAGATATTTTCAACCAATACAAAAGAGACTTCAGTTAGCCATCAATTGTACACATCTAAATAGTCAAAAAATTTCCCTTTAGAGTGGTAAATAAGTTAACACACGATCTTGAAATTCAAAGATAGAAGGATCTACTATATAAACATAATATAATTACATTAACTTAATGAAACATTAAGTGTTTATAAACATGAATTTGTCGAATTAGGGTAAATAATTCTCTTCTGTCCTTCGAGACGTTAATTTTCAGCAACTTTAGCTTCAGACAAAGTCATATAAATAAACAAAGACCCTAGTACTTGCTTGGTGTACACAACTTACATACCAAGTTATTATTACACACGTTACTCACTCTGGTAACGGTGTTTTCGATATTTACATGTGCTACACATTGTTTTTCAAACAAAAACTTGTTGACGTTTTAAATCTTACTTTTAACCGTTAGGATTTTGATTTTTTTAAATGACCGACTGACAGCATTTAACACAGCATACAGTATATCACAAGCGACGGATATATACCTAATGTCTCCATGCGTTATACATATTCCATTATTAGTAATGTAAATAAGCTATAATATTTTAAGCAATTATTATTAAAATAATTAACAACCCTACTGATTTTTTATTATAATACCTACTTTTAAAATGTAACAGTACGATCTTTGTGATATTAAAAATCCTTATTCCTTCAATTCTAGTACATATAATACACGAAAAATATTTTCAAAGGGACTATGAGAGCAAAAAAAAAACAAAGCGAGATCGAGTTGATAAAATTTGTCTAAAAATTAAAAGCTATCTTTATCAGAGTTAAAAATATAAAAGTTTATTATTGTATCATAAAGAAAAAAGCAAAGAAGAATGTATTTAATGCAATTTGGAAAATATATTTCCTATGTACATATGATGTTATGAATATTATCTATTACACATTTTATACAAATAATGCTCCGGCAATTATAAAATATTCATAGAATGTAAATAAAAATGCAGGGGCGCCGCCCGCCCTAGCGCTCGCTCGTACTTACGGGAAAACGCGCTGCTGCACCGGCCCGTAGCGTGAAAAACAATAGAACAGCCACAGTTTGAAATTTAAGCGCCATCGTCATTTTGTAACATTTCACTGCAGACGCGTCTCGTAAGTCACCCGAAGAGCTGAAGGCGCTTCTTTATAAGCACGGAGCGTCATGCAGGTGCTTTGAATATCGGAAAAGCGGACGATGCACCGTGTAACGACTGGCAAGGAATCGGTTCGACTGTTATAGATTAGAACGCGAACACTTTTGCCTCTCGGCTACCGAAAGCGAGTACCCATTGTGCGCCCCCAGAGTACCTTTCGCACCTCGGAGAGAAAGTGGAAGGAAAGTGCAGATTTTGGCTGTCATGTCACCGCCTACGCTCGTCCTCTTAGGAGCATTGTATCGAGCCATCCATCACTCCGATCCCACGGGTGTCGCTTATCGGACCTAATCAAATTAGGAAACTAATTACTCAAGTCTTTCAATGTTGCTATACTAAACATGCCACATATAATAGATAGAGAACTACATTCCTGTATATAATATTATAGTGTATAGAAAGAAAACTTATTCGTTTACTGTTCTGTTAGACGTTGCTTTCTAATAAATTTCTTTCTTATCGACAAGATATAGCCCGCATCACTTTAAAATTGTTGAACGTCTCGAAAATAAATATGATAGGTATGTAAATTATACAGTTTTAATGAATATTTAAATAAATACTTTTCTACAACTACTACTACTAATTTTCACTTATCGATAAAAGGGCACAAGTGCCTAATAAATTACATCGAGAAACTTGTAAGAATAATTAAAAAAAAACACTGTATGAAGCTGTTCAATTAATTTATTGCTAGTAATTTGAACTACTCTGTATAAGTGAGTAAATCTTAGTTTTCAGGAATTTATAAAAAATCGTTCAAATTATTATCAATCTAGGAAATTTGCTATGCACATGTAAGTTACAGGACGCATCGCAGTGGTGAATCCGTTGTTTTATGAATCATGACACTACAGCTATTCAAACAGAACCGTATACAATTGCTATTAGGTTGAATATACTAAGGAAGGAGACTAAGAGCACGACCGGCACAGGCCTACGGGTCCAGAATAATAATATTGCGAATGTCATAAAATAAGCAGTCGATTAATTTTTCGCGCATCCACTTCATAATAAACCGAGAAGCCAGACTAGGCCCATTGAACAATTGTAATGAGGCGTGCGCGTTTTAATTAAAGACGAAGCGCTGAAACCCGTTACGATATCTGGGACCGTTCCTTATGTGCACATGTTCTTACATTGGTGATTCACTGGAGGCAAAAAAACAAAGGGACGTCGGAGAAGGCAAGTGACGCGGCCAGTCATTGATCCCGATGCGGTCCCCGGCGGCCGACGCCATGTCGGAGCTCCGGCCGGCGAGTCCTGTGGCTTCCTTGTCTCCGCTATTCCCGCCGTTCGCCCTTGGGATTTTTATAGCGTCCGTCGCCGGCGCCGCAGCCCTCGTCAACTGCGCACTCGTTGCCGTCCTGATCAAAAGGATAAAAAACGGTAATTTTTGTTTTTTAATATATAACTACAAATAATTATTATTCAAGTTTGCTCTAATTTAGCTTAGGCAATGTATCTCTCGATTTTAACGAACGAAATATACCTACATTTATTATATGACCTCCTATATTCAAAGATTTTGAGCACCCATATCGCTAAATACTTCACTCCAACCGAAACTTCGACTTCGGCCTGGTTTAATTATTTGCGAGAGTGACACAATTTCCTCAATAAATGAGCTAGTCAAGAGCGACACGAGTGTAAAACGAGCAGTGGGTTTATCTTTCCACCCGCATACGTAAAGACAAGTTTATTTTAATCACATTAGAATTTCAATTACCCCTTAAATCAATTTCTTAATGAAAATGTATATAGATAACAAAATAAAATTCTCATACAAACTAACTTTAGTAACTCCAGAATTTATTTAGTCCATCTACGTTCTTGGCTCTTATGGTGCAAAAAAATCTCTCATAGTTTCAGGTTTGGAATCTAGGCAGTAAACAGACTTGCCACGATGTGTCATTTCTGAAGTAATGTTTCCACAATCTATTCTAAATTTATTTGCAGGTGTGTGTTCTCTTATCGCCCAACTAGCAGTAGCAGACTTGATGGTGCTTTTTACAACTGTCGGATTCGAATTATGGACAACCAACGAGCAAACGTGGGTCTTTGGCAGAGGAACCTGCATAGCCTACAGGGGCCTAAGCGTATTCGCTACTACGGCTTCAATATATTTAGTTGCTACGATAGCCTTCCACACATTAGCCACCATTAATCTTGAAAAAAATCTGGTAACAAGGAGGATACGGAACACAATCGTGAGCGAAGACGAACTGAGGTCCTCCCGTCACAGCCTCGTGACGAAGAGTGACTCTTCCACTCCGCCGCGCACAATGAACGTGCATTATCGCTTTTCGGATAAAGTCCCCATTACTCCCCCGTCTCTTTTTATATGGTTCCTTAGCGCGTCCCTGAGTATACCCGAATTCGCCATGGCAACGACTGTGCGAAAAGACCATAATGCAACTCTATGTACTTTAACAGATTCCAGTCATAAGCTAAGCATACGTTTAATGCTAGCATTGTTCAATTTCGTTTTACCGACGTTAATTATGACTGCAGCGGGGGTTCTAGTAGCATATACAATAAGATCAAAAAGCCTTCGCAATATTGATTTCGAAGAATCCTTGTCTGCCTTAAGATTATCGATATCGTTCATAATTGTATATTTCATAATGTGCTCACCCAGCTCACTTCTGTATGTCTATAGAATTTACACGACATACAAAATCGATGGTGAAAAAAATGACTTGAACGAAGAAAGAATATTTTTACATATTAATTTAATATTTAGTAGTTTATACCTAACGTCTACATTATTGCGCCCCCTTCTATGCATTTTTCTATTACCAAAAATTAAAATTAAGTTCTTCGGATTAAGAAACACGACTGTAGATGATGTATAAGGATAGATAAGTTAAATTGTTAAGCCCATGACAAAGACAATAACATTGTATCACATTGGAATAAAACATTAAAATGAATGTCTATTTCTTTCATACTTCCAACATTTGAAATAAGGAGCAAATACAATTTGGAGATTTACTTTTAAAGAGCTATTACTGTATTCAGTGCCTGATGCAAATTAAGTAGATAGCACTTTTTTTATACCATGTTAGTATTGCACCAAATGATTCGACCACTTATATGGGTTGAAACCGAACTTAAATTTAGCTCAAAGTAAACACATTTAAGCTGTACTTCGCGTAAGTACTATTATAATCTGCGCTTTGCTATGCTTGGGCATTACTAGAACAACAAGACAGTTACATTAGCATAATTAAATGGCACTAGAGCTAGACTCCGTGTTCTTTCTCTACGCTTTCTCGAACCAGTCTCATTCCCTACTAGAACAGCCAGATTCCCGATATTTTTAGTGTGAAATTAAAAAGTTAAAAATCTTTTAGGGGTTAATAAGGTGGCTGTTTATTTTCAATATTGATTTCTAAAACTAAAAATTGTATTTAATACAAAAGTTTATTGGTGAAAACATGAAAAATATAATAGATTAATAATGGCTGATAAAATGCAGCAGAAATGTTACAATATATTTTGTTCCATCGTAAATCTATTCGTCTAATAAATGCCTGAAAATTCAGAATGCATACAGTGAGAGGGGCACAACAAAGTGGTTAATGTCGACCGCACACAAAAATTACCTTTGGTTAATTCGATCAATAATAATGGAGGACGCCACGAAGCCACAGACAGACACTAACTAGTTTTTTGTGCCCAAAATACAGCCATTATGTACAGTTGCGATTTATATTATGAGAGTCTAGGTTTCATCGGGTTATTATTGGGCGCACAATTTAACAATTTTCGTAAGAACTAATTGCATAATTTTTTAAACATTCACCATCATGATTTCGTCTTCATTTCACTGCGGACATGCGGCGAAGGGAATGTTGTTCGGGGGCCGACCGGGCTGAAGTTTATTACACATTAATTAAAGGAAAACACTTTTAACTTAAGAAACCGTAATTTTAATAACTTAAGTTATAAATATTTATATTCATCAGGTCAGCTCGATATCTGTAATCCAGTGTAAATACAGAAATACAAAACCGTCAAAGATGACACATAACATTTAATTTTAGACGGATCGCAAAGGTCCGCTGCGAACGACATGTTTTTAACATTTTTTTACAAGCGACGGCTCGCGACACCGGCCAAGGCCGGTCCCGCGCGGCGTTCTCGAATGTTACTTGTTGTCTTATAAAACACCGATGAGAACAAATGCGTGTGGTGGGGCGGGACGCAGGCGCGAGCCGGTTAGTTGTCGCCGCCCTCTGCGGGCTCGTCGCCGTCGCCCTGCGTGTCCGACGTCCATAGCGTCAGGTTGTCCCGCAGCAGTTGCATGATGAGGGTGGAGTCCTTGTACGAGTCCTCGTTTAATGTGTCCAGTTCGGCAATTGCGTCATCGAAAGCCTGCAAACATCAGACAGACACAGTCACTAACTAGCTCTCTTCCCTACCACTAGTGTAAGTAGTTAATACCAATCTAATGTACCAGTTAAATATCCTTGTGCTGGCTGGGTCGAGTATTAAGATGGTTAATTGCATTGCAGGGCCATGCCAGGAGGGTATTAGTGATTACCGAAAATGACAATTTATCTCATGCAACATCTATCCGGCTCATGTAAGTTAGTACTGGGATGAAGTTATATAACCGCAGCACACTCGACACGTCTGTGCAATATAGTGAACCTGTTTGGCTAAGTGGCACGCCCGAGCAGGGGAGTTGATAATCTCGTAATAGAAAACGGAAAAGTTGAGCGCGAGACCGAGCCTGATGGGGTGTGTCGGTTGCATTTTGGCCTTGGCGATGTCGAACGCCTCCTGGTATGCCTTCTGCGAGTCGTCGACGACCGCTGCGGACAAGCGATTACACAATTACCGAACTGCGTCGGAACGGTGTCCTCGCGCCAGCCAGCACAGAGCCTAGAAACTGACGCAAATAATGACCTGTTTGGCGAGATGACACGCTTTATCTGGTGAATTTAATATCTCATAGTAGAAAACTGAGAAATTTAGTGCCAAACCCAGCCTGATTGGATGTGTGGGTTGCATCTTTGCCTTGCTGATTTCAAAAGCATCTTGGTATGCTTTCTGTGAATCCTCTACAACAGCTGTAATTCAAATTAATCAATTATATAATACACATTTCTCAGCATTACAAACTGAAATTTATATTTATGAAATATAAATTTAAAAAATAAACTATATTTGGTTAAGTCCTAAGACGAAATATTTATTAAACCACTTACAATTTCTGGTTTCTCCTGTGGCCACTTCTGCGAGGTACCTGTAGTAATCGCCTTTCATTTTAAGGTAAAATACTTTACTTTCTGGATTACTAGCTTTAGGAATAAGGTGTTTGTCGAGTAAGCCCTGTAAATAAGAAATATAATAAACTTGTATACTTAAAATATATTTACATTGCATAAAACCGTAATTTAAACTAGCAGAAGGATAAGGGCAACGAACGAAAGAAAGGACAGAAGCGCGCGCAGTGACGCGGCGCAATACGTCACGGCACTCGCCCCACCCGGGCTGCCCCGCACCGCGCCCCTTCTTCTACACCCTGTCTTAGACTCACCACGTCCCCCCCCCTTGTCTACCCCTAAATATCGTTATAAAAATTACTGCCATGATTGCCTCATTACTCAAATTGGCAACAAGTAAATACGATGACGTCATTTGCGTAGGATCGCAAAAATGACATCAGTAACGTCCAATTCAGATGAAATGCGTAATATCCGCGCGAGTCTGCGCGAAGTAGCTGTAACCGTTAGAAAAAATTACTTTCAAAACTCACCAATACGTCATAGCAGATTTCTCTGAGCTCCTTTTCTACTTTAACCCTATATTCTTTAGCCATCTGTTGCTTTCTTTCTGAACCTTCGGTTTTCTGTTCGATTGAGGATATGACTCGCCATGACGACCGTCGAGCGCCTACCACGTTTTTGTAGGCGACGGAAAGGAGGTTTCTTTCTTCGTTGCTGAGCTCGACGCCGGTCTCCGTGACTTCCTTCATCGCAGCCGCCATGTCGTCATATCGCTCAGCCTGCTCCGCCAGCTTTGCGCGTTGCACCAGTTCCTCCTTGTCGACGGACATTGTGGATGATGTGTGTGACGACTATATTACTGATGCCCCTGAAATCAATGAGTTATGTAAGTGAATAGGACTCGATCGAGTCGACGGATGCGCGTGAAGAGATGCCTCAGAAAGACTAATCGTTAGGCGTCACTTTCACAAAGTGAATCCAATTGGGTATGTGAGTCATCATGAGTTGGCGCACCTTGGAGGAGGCTCGAGAGAGCGCACTCGCGCAATGTAAAAACTCAACGCAGCTCAGAGAGCGACCCTCACGCCAAGCGCGACATCGACGCGGCGTCCATTCGGTCTGACAGCATCTCACAAACTCGGGCGAGTCGAAGGCACGCGCCGTCGCCGCGCCGCCGTACAGTTAACGCCACTGCGCCAACGTTATTGATCTGCCGACGCGGGATAACACTCCAGACGAAATACGACTAGCGCGACGCTTGCACACCCCCGCCACCCCGGCCGCTTGCACCGCGCCCTCCCGACGACCAGGCGCCTACCCCTAACTACACTTAGCTACCTATACGTGTCTACTCTCTGTTCAATACCCTGTTGCTAGGGACCGATCGATATTAATTGGCCGACATCTAACATTTTTACATAAAAGTGTAATATCAAAATAAAATATGTTTTCACCCTGTCTCTGTTGAAATTATTTCTAACTTTAATTAAACAGCAAAAGAATAATGTTTTAGTAATATGGGTGTGGCACTCAGTTTTGGTAGGTCATCTGACAGTAAATTTATTGATAATTGCACACAAATGATGGATAAAGTTTTACGACTTATAACTTAAAGCCCACTGCATGCAAAAAAAAATCCTATAATATGGATGTAAATTGGAAAAAAATGTGATGTCTTAGTGATGATTAGTTGATGAAATTATTGTTTATTAATAATTTTTGTCAAAGGACAAACATAACAAATATTATTTTGTAACAAAAATCAAAAGTGGTGTTTTTTACATTTACATTTGTAAGGATAATTATTTAATGGTACCAATACAATTAGGAGAATTCTTTTTACCTGTATTATACTTATGAATGCTACTAATACTGAAGCTTTGTATGATACATATAAATGTGTAAAAAAGGTGCCTCATTTTTTTTGACAATTTTTTTTTGCATAGTTTATGATAAGTTATAAATTCATCTAAGTTTTTCAAGATGTGGTAATGATTTATCACATTCTTTGGACAAGGAATATATTAATTATTTTCTTGTATTAAACCAATGTCTCTCCCAATATCCCAAACAGAGATAATCTATTCTTACCACTCCTATCCAAGTGATTACTAATTTGTAAGCATAGTGGTTTAAAAGATTTAACATGCGTCATAAAATTAAGGTTAAATACATAATGATGCTAGTCATAAAGACTAGCTACAGGATGATGAAACCAATGTAAAAAGGTTAGGTTCAAGAAAGAATCTATGGTGATGACCTTTCCGTATTCTGTAAACGCGCACGTGCCCGGTCCGATAAAATGGCTAAATTAGTAAAGTATTTTATTTTTTTGGCAATAAGCTAACGCAAACGTTATTTTTAACAGTCCTGTAAATCGACAAGATCTTAATGACATTAGTCGTTATCAAGAGATAACAGCGTGATGAAGACGCGAAGGCTTTAAATTACGACGCACTTGCTATTTATCACTGAATCACACATTAAAATGCGGAATAACTAAAACGAATGTATTCTAGGTCAACCAAATATATATTCTTCTAAATCTTGTACTAAAATAGACTCTTTCTATGGAGATAGAACAAAAAGAGTACCATGCACCAATAGAACAGAGGGATAAAACAACTCACGTTATTCAATTGCAGTTCTTAAATATTGTAGTATATAGAAGACCTCGAAATCTACACAAATAAAAACCGACAACCCAATCACATTAGACTTGGAATACAAAAATTTTGATAATAGCTAACCGCACCGCTGTCCGCAATATCGTGTCGCCGGCTCTAGCAAAATGGCTGCTGCAAAGGGACACTCCTTTTATGCGTCACAGTCACAGGGGAACTATGGAGACGGCAATGAACAAGGGCACTTTAATTACACAAAATAAATATCACTCAATACTTAGTTCTCTACACTTACTTGTGAAGGGAATTAAAGTAATTAAGCCAGCGATAGCAACACAATTTCAAGTTTTCTCTTGCTGGGTACGATACACTACACTGACGGCTGCGGGGCCAGAGGGGAAACAAAAACGGAACGGGGTTCTCAAATCGACGCTGCCATCTTGAGAGACTCCATAGATTTTAAAGCAGATTATATACGATTTGAACATTATATTCAATTCAACGGTAAATAATCTGTGACAATATAAAACAACACTTTAACGGTATAAATCGCGATATATTTTAGTTAATCGTGGTCACGGGGAGAATGCACGGCTGCTGCAAACTTCGGGCCGTAATTAAAAATACTTTTCAAACACGTTTAATTAAAATATATCGCGTTTATATATAAATATATCATGTATAATTCAATGGTTTTAAGCAGCCACCTTTATGGTCTCACAGGCAATATAATTATTAAAAGAAAGTAAAGTGATTTTCGACCATCTCAATGTTTTATCTACTTGAAGATAATTTGACATATTGTGTCATTTTCACGCATTTGCCAAATGTCAAATTTGTAAGCAAAAATCAAACTACCACGCTGTAGCCGCACGCGCTGAGTTATCAATAAACAGGGATTGTATTGCTTATTTGCTTGGAAATAGGAAGGCAAATTTTTCAATATTTTGTAACGTTGTTAACGTTTTGTGAAGTTTCCCAGTAAAATAAATCAGAAAGCACTATGCCGAAGTCAAAGCGAGATAAAAAAGGTGAGCTAAATGCGTTAGTTACAAGTTAACCTACATTTAATACAGACTTACATACATACAGGTTAAGCCCTATAATGTAAATAAAATTCCTTCTTAATTTGTTTTTTTAGTTTCACTTACAAAAACTAACAAAAAGGGTCTTGTATTGAAACAAAGAATCATAGAAGAGGTAAGAAATTCGTTGTCAAAGTATGAAAATATATTCGTTTTCTCTGTAAATAACATGCGCAACACAAAGCTAAAAGATTTGCGAAATGAATGGAAGGATTCAAGATTTTTCTTTGGGAAAAATAAAGTAATGGCTGTGGCTTTGGGTCGAAGTAAAAGTGATGAAGTAGAAGAACAATTAAATCTGGTAAATCATATTATTATTTATTAAAATTATATATATTTCAATTTTTTTGCTTCTTTTCGATTTTAAGCATGCGCACTGCAGAATTTCTGCTTTTAAAATATTTAATGTCACTTGACTTATGGTTATCTTTTATAGATCTCAAAAAAACTAAAAGGCCAATGTGGTCTTCTTATGACAAACAGAGATGTAATTGATGTTTTGAAGTGGTTTGATGATTTTGAAGATTTAGAATATGCCAGAGCTGGTTTTGTCGCTACTCGTGATGTCATATTACCTCAAGGACCATTAAAGGATTTTTCACACACAATTGAACCCCACCTTAGAAGACTAGGTCTTCCGACTAGTTTAGAGAGGGGTGTAATTAATTTAATAAAAGAGTATCAGGTATGATTGATCTTATGATTTACATAAACTTAAATTTTAATGCAGTTATAATTTCTGTATTGTTATTTTATAGTAAATTGATTTATTTATATCTCATATTGTAGGTATGTAAGAAAGGTACTCCATTAACCCCAGAACAAGCGAGTATCCTTAAACTTTTGGGTATTCAAATGGCTAATTTTAAAGTTGTAATCAAGTGTCACTGGAATAAAGCAAAAGGTTTTCATAAAGACACAAATACCCCAAGTGATGAAGAAGATAGTGATGATGATGATGATAACAAAAGTAATACCCTGAAAGATGTTGCTATGGAGGAAGAGGAAACATAGTATATGTTTACGATTATTATTATATCTGGACAGTTATTAAAAAAAGTACAACTTATGTTGTTCCTAATTTACGTAGTTACCAAACATTTATTCAGAGTTTGGGATGGGTTGTTTAATAAAAAAATATTTTAATTTTCTAATCTTACATTTCATACAAAGCATAATCGATTTAAATTGTTGAAATCGCAGCACTATTGTTTACATTAATCACAGAAAAAAATAATTGAATAGAAGTAATACATACAATATTTTTCATTTACTACATAAATCTAAATTAAATCATTAAAAAAATAATTACCATATAACTAAACACAATTGATATAAAAACATAAAGAAATTGACGTGCCATGGCTTTGCCTGCGGAGAGCGAGCTTGAACTGTGCTTCACTTTATTTCTCATTAAACATAACTTATACATTAATAGTGATCACAGTCTAAAGTAAAGCATAATCTTTTCCTTGGCATCACAGTCTATAGTCACACGCAAACCAGCAAATTGAAACAAAAGCGACTTAAATAGCAGTCTTCAAGATGCACAATGCTAGGCGTAGAGCTACTCTCGGCTAATTATCGTCAAAAAATATGTACGAATGTATTGACGACTTAGAACTTAAATAAATCAGGCAAAATTACACAATCTGGGATCTAAATCACAAGCCCATCAACAATAATAAAAATATTTGCAGCGAGCCTTCCTTAATATATATCTAACTATTATTTTGAAGAACCTATGCATTCCAGGCTTGAGTCGTACATTTACTATGGATTTAAAAAATACTAATGTAAACTGCAGTAATATTATATTAGTATTACACTGAGATCACTCATATCACAAAGTGCTCTTTTTAACATAAGTCAGTATAGAAAACAAAATTATGTAACATCAATTTCAAGTGACATAACCACAAAATTATGTCTGCTCTTTCAAAAAGTAAACAACTGCATAACCGCTAAATTCTATATGTCTAAATGTAAAATCCTCTTTTACTCCCAAGGTACATACAATAACATAGTTATTGCTTTATTTACGAGTATAAACCCTTGTTTCATTACATTTTGGGTTGAAAATCCAACAAATTACAATTCACACGACACAAATAGCAAATTTTATTCACTGAAATGGGCTATCATAAAAGTTTGAGTCAATATTAAATTACTTAAGCCCAACTGCACCAATAAATTATGACATAGATTAAAGTTGACCGACTGTTATAATTTTGGGTCTTAACGGCTCCAGGCAACCTACATTTAGAAACTCAGCTGTGCAAATAGCGTCGCGTCGTATTTATTTGTAATAAAGTAGATCTTGACGATTAGTTTTTGACTTGAGGCAAGATCGCAATAGGTAGGTCGACAGCATCCAGTTCAGGGAGAGGTTCGCGCCAATACACGGCTTGTGAGAATTCATCGGTTGGCTCACACAGCACTGGTGGGAACACTTGATCTACTAGCACGCTCATATGCGAGTACCTGAAAGGCATAATTATTTCAGTGGCGTAATTTTCTAGTCACCATCATCAGTCTCTGAGTTTTAGTCAGCGAACTTTCTGTAACGATACGCCGAATGCGTGTTGGTGTATGCTATACACATTATACTCGTGTCAGAATGTTTTTCATTCTCTAAGATTTGTACTATGAATTACTAATAATACTACGTGATGTAAATTTCAGAAGTCAATAAAACAAACAAAAATAGACATTCCTCAATGTGGAAATATAGACAGTGAATAAGAGTAAATGTTTTAAATGTGGGATATAGTTCCGAACGACCTCCGCCGAACGCGGTTTGTAATTTTTGTGGTGACCTGAATGGTGACGCCAGAGAAATGTACAGTCTAAACTCAATAAGGATAACTCGGAACTACAGCCAATATATGCGTTGGTACATATTTACACGAGCACAAACAGCAAGTAGACCAGCACCGTTACCAAGAGCACTTAAATTTTTTGTAGTTAATCTCACATGTTCCGATAAAACTATACCGCCATAGCAATTATAGCGCCAAGTAGAAATTAGTAGCAGTAGAATTTAATGTATTTTAAAAGTATTAGAAATTAGACAAGGTACTTAAATAAGTATCTTATATTAGGAGGTAACTGTAAAACATCAACCCTGTATGTTAATAACTAACAGTACACACATGGCATGACATGTCGATGATGGCCGTGATTGTTATTCAGTTATCAAGTAAGCTAGGTTCCAAACGATTCAATTTGATCCCGACATAATAGCTAACAAGCGATTACTTCACATATTCCCCGACTTAAGCCCTCCCTCATATAAGGTCCCCGATTGATTCCATATGTCCATAAGACCAATTTCACCAAGATAAAATAGCAATGATAAGAATTTATCAACCGTTACACCGGTTATTGGGTGGACATCAAAAAAGAAATAAATTGGTAATTACTTTTTGTTTAAAGCATTATTTTGGTGAAATTAGGTTTTTAGTACTCGGTGTCTTTGGAGAATTGACTGATACACACAAACATCTTAAACCCCAGTATTTTTTAAACAATCTTAACGGGAACATAAGCTATCAAAGTGAATAGTCTAGAAGGATATGTTAGGGAAATATGAAAATTATTATATGATTGCGCGCTGTGATAAGTTCCTCAGATCATGCCCTCCGGCTTACCATAGTCGCGTTTTTCCTTTAACATAATATCTACTAATTATCGCGTTAGCTAACTACACTATTGGCTTTCAATGGTGGGAAGAAATCATCGACCATGTCACTTTGCACGTGGTAACTGGAATAAAAGTATTAATTAAAACTTATATAAAAGCTATGGGCAGAATGGTGTAAGTCACAAAACATATATGTACCTATCGAGACATCGTATGAATCATGTATTTTTATTTGGTCTTAAATTTACTATTTTTATACTTGGCCGGGAAGAAAGGTTATAAAAAAACCTTTCATTCCGGCCAAGTATAAAAAGTTCAGTGCTCGGACACGAATAAGCGTCGTTATTTACATTGCAAACAATGAATCTATCTACTTACGTCGATTGGAATGTTTGTGTCAGTTCGTGTTTCAGCTCGCCCTTGTAGTTGATGGTGAATATCCTCACTATAGGAATGCCAACCGCTTGGTACGCCCAAACGTCCTGTCAACGAATCATTTCAATTTTAACGAAACATTACTTCTATAAAAGATAGGTAAGTTGAAAACTCGTGTACTATTTCGAGTATTGATGTTAACAGTATCTCATTTTCTCAAACGATTGAAGTAGTTAAATTACAAAGCTTGTAGGTCTAAAACCAAACAAGTAACTTACGTTGACCCTGTTTCCGTATCCCGCGTAAAACGGATTTGACCCCGCGGGGAACAGCGCCTTAATGTCTGCAAGGCACTGTATCTTAAATTCCTCAGGCTTCTTCTCGATCACCTCGCGGTGGAAGGCCCGTAACAGAGAAGTGGGGTTGAGTAATAACGGTCCATCCGGTAAGCAGGTCTCGCCTTGCTTTATTGAACGGAGGTATTCACGTGTTACCTGCAATTTAAAATACAAACAATGTTATCTAAGAACAACAACGGAAAACGTAATTATTAAAATTACTTAAACATAGGTATATTTGTTACTCAATATAAGTCACTAACTGTGGCCGCGACTTCGTCCGCTTATATATATTTTGGGCACCAAAATATTTTTTGCAAACCTCCGCCCTATATTTATAAATTACCTACAGCTGTCCTCCGCGTCCCTTTATTCTCTTGCAAGTTAATCTTAATAGATAGATATACAATGTCCAGGATATCTTCTGAGATCATTTAAAAAGGAATCATTCTTTCATATTTATTTTTCGGGTATTTTGAACTGTTTTCACCGCGCACGCAGTGGAAACCATTAAAGAGAAATAAATATTTAGTTTTTTCCACATATCCTGCTCTTTATTCGTTGCTATTAGTCTCAATGCTCCAACCAACACAAATAATATTTTTTCAATTCGAGCCAGTAATCCCTGACTCTTCAGCTTTATGGGTATACATTAAGTTTATTTACTTACACCGGCCTGCCCAATGGCTCTCGCAGAGAGATAAAGAAGCTGGTAGCCATTATTCTTGATTTTGGTAAATAGCTGCGCGACACCAGACTGGGCCCAATCCTTGCCCACGAGTGGAAAAATGTGTCCCAGCACGTCTGACCTATACGTAACATATTTTTTATTATCTTGCTAGAATGCAGTAAAAAGGTTAATATACAGTAATAAAAAAATATATGAGTCACATTTGGCGAGAAGTGTTATAATTTAATTTAGATAATACCCAGACAACAAAGGCTGTTAAAGCTCTATCGGAATAGCAGCGAAGATTTAAATCCACTCGTTTCATTCATGAACAGCACGTACCCCAACAGTGATATGCGAGTCCCTAAGAACGTTATCGCAAGAAAATCACAAAGGCATCATGCAGCCATTACGCATTTGCGGCGGTTTTATCTGTGGTTAGAAACACATAGACTTGTTCACGATAACGCCGCGCAAGGCCGCGGAAACACAAGAACTGCGTACGTGGTCATCTTTATCGTTCGAGTGGTTTGGTAAACTTGTTGTTGTTGTTGTTAATAGTTTAAAAGGGTACTAACTTGGTTATAGTTCCGTCTATGTCTGATATGACGATTTTGTGGTCGTATCGCCAGCGGAACACGTTGCACTTGCAGCGCGTCGTGCCTTGGTAGGCGGTCGTCACGCTGAAGACCATCTCGTTAATGCCTTCTCGGAGATTCAGGTTTTTCTATAACAAACATATAGAAACAATAAATAACCTTTGTAGCATGCTATTCTTGATCATTTCTAGCTCTAAAACCATTCCCACCGGTGGGACTTGAATTATGACTTAAAGGCCTGGCTAAATGTATGTCATCTTTTTTTATTTACTAAACCAAAACGGTTCTTATAGACTATTAATAAAAAAGACAGTAGTCCCGCAATAATACGTACAATTTGTTCTGATGAAAGTCTCAGTGTTTTTCTAAAGGTGGAGTGTCGTCTAGAACCATGCTGAGTATCTTGATCTGAGTCCGATGAGCTCTGATCATGTCTATCACCTGTTTGAAAGTAGTATATAAATAAGTCTACAGTGTAAATCACTTAAAAGAACTATTATCTTTTCTTTAAATTTAATTTGAAATAACATAAATTCAGACAGGGCGGTGTAAAAAAATATTTGGGATGATAATACTCGCTCATATAGGCAAACTCTCGTATTGCCTTAAGGACCATAAGATATATAAGAAGTATTTTTTCTATTTGTGCAGAAATGTACCTTGATTGAAAATCTGTTTGTCCTCTAAGCTTGGAACGTGTTCTATCAAATCTTCCGGTTGCATATCATCTATGATATTCGTGTCTTCAATTTTGTTATCCATTACTGCATCTTGAGCATCTAATTGGTCGTGACCGGCAGGGTCTAATTTTAATGGAGCTGTCGATTCAGCTAAAGCTGCCATTTTCAGTTCATCATCTTTTGATGATATTTCTGGCCTAAAACAAAGATTAAGTTTTCTTTTAATAGTGATGTGTCATGTGTGATTTGGCTAATTTTAATGAACAAATAAGCTACCGTACAAATTGCGAAAATACAAAAAAAACCTTTGTTATCGTTTAAGATATATCGAGTATATATATTTTTCCATATCTATATGCAAACAGGATACAGAATGACTCATATTATATCAAATGAATATAATAGAGTATTTTACTAGGTATTTACTGTCAGCCGTCGAACGAGTAGATAACGACTTTTGTTTCGTAACGCGACGTGTCGGAAAGATGATAATATTTAAATAGGCTATCGCTTGGCTCACGCTCTCTCGGTCTAAGCCAAAGGAAGTCTGTTAAATACGCGTGCTATCAGGTGTACACTTTAGGAATTTTAAACTACACCCTCTCCAAAACAAACGCACCTATACGTCTTTATTATAACTTTACATAATGCTATATATCTAGATGCATCAACTGTCGTACTATTTCGTCATTACTCATCACGTCTCCATAATAATGCATGGTCCCGCGATGTTGTTGTGCAATAAAATATAGTTATGTTGTTTTGTTATTGTACAGCGTAATATGAAAAGATCTTTATAGATCCAAAGTACGCATATTGCATATAATATGTTGTCTAGACACAACAACATTTTTATTGTTTGTATCATAAAATGTGTTTATAATTAAAGTCTAATTACTGTATTTACTTGTTGTTTATCGGCTGTCCAAATATTTTAGTCGAAACAAATTTAATTGTGCCAAAAGATTTGCAATTCAATGACACTAATTGCTTGATAAAACATAACAACGAATACGAATTAATCTAATTTAGTAAATGCTGATTCGATAAAAATAAGGAAATCGTTCCAATGGCAGATCTCGTTTTGCAACCCTCGTCGACCCTGGGATTACACGTGCAATAATTTGACCTTCACTATTTCTGTTTAGTATTCGTTTCAACAAAAAAATCTACGGTAGATACTTCTTTGTTTGGTAACCGTTTGTTTTGAACAACGAGTATTTCCTACAAAACAGTAGAACTAGATTTTTTGTAATCTTATGTTGATGACATTACTTTGCATAACCAGCGCGAACGTTTATGTAATGGTTAGTTTTTCAAAAGCATAAATAGATAGACCAATTTTGATAACATAATGCGTAATTAGAAGCGAATCAACCGACTTCGTCCACAAGTAAAATAAAACAATTCTAACCTCTTATCCGTATTGGATCGTCTCCAGTACCACCAGGAATACGTTCGAGGCTTTGCTGCATCCGTAGGCTGCGACTCGGAGGATTCCTTATCACCTTTGTCAAGAGATTCTAATACCCGCTGCACAAAAATGTCGTCATTATAATATGTACATGCACGTACAAGCTCCTTCTTTAATTTTATTATTTATTAATACTAACAGATGGCAGGGGTCTCCTGAAGGCAAGCAGAGAAAGAAGTAAGGGACCGGCAGTGCGCCAGGGCAGTGTACGCGCGCCTAAGCGCACCTCTAGTCTGCCCTCGCCGGCAAGCCGCCCGCCCATCGAACAGAACTCTTCATAGGAAAGCACGCGCGACACGGCACCTTCCCGTGCGTATACTTCCACCTCGCCTCTGTTACAACGTTGAAAAGTCAGTTTTTTTATGTTAGAGGAGGATAGACACGCCATATAACATTTACATCTGAAAAAATCTTAATATCTCATGCGCAAAAACTTCAAATATTACACATACAAAATCAAGACAGCATATATATAACAAAAAAAATTGTTTTTTATTGAATAGGATAACAATTATCACGATAGATACGTCATCCGTTTGAATTGCATTATGTTGTTTACAAAAAACTGCTGAATAAAAGCAAATATTCTGTAATAGATTAAAGTGATCCATAGATAAAAAAAAAAAAATAAGTATATCACAACATAGAAAAACTAATTAGGTACTCTGTACAAGTCACAATATTCGGTAATATGAATAAGTCTTATTTTGGTACTAATAATATTGAATCTTGGCAAGGCTTAAAGCCAACGATTGTGGCAACGGATCACAGCCCGAGTCGTGTTTAGACTCAAGTTATATAATTGACGTAAGAAATATAATAATGCATAACACATAATTACAGTATTGTGATTTGTAAATGTATGAATTATATCGACTATTATGCTCGTTGTTATCTCGACTTAACTAAATCTTACGTACTTGGCTAGAAGTTTATCGTCGTCATCCGAGTCGAGAACGGGTGGTTCGAGCGACGCCGGTGACGCTGGTGAAGCGGGCGACTGGGGCAATGAGGGACCATTGCCCGATTCGTATTCTTCCTCGGTGGGACCGTGTTGCGCGCCGCCACTACCTCCTAAGAGAGATTATAAATAAAATTTGTATTCACGTCTGTTAAGAGTTTTTCTTTTTACGTAGTGAAATAAAAACACCGTTCTTTCTACGTTATATTCTCGTATGTACATATCTTTTTAATTTATTTTAAATAAGGACACGGATCAAAGATCAACTAAAAAACAAAAGCAATGATCTCAATGATAAGATAAAATTTACGGCAATTAGGTATGACCTACACAAGTACCTGTCCGATAACGTTCCGTGTGATGCTTGGGAAAGTAAATATCTGGATCGACTTGTCCCTTATCGAGGTCATCCAGGTAAACGCCCTGAACCCCGGGTTCGGTGGCTTCTCGTGACGACATAAACCTGAACATTCCGCTCAAGACGCCGCGTCGACCGTGTCTCTCCTCGTCGGAACTGAGGGGCTCCGCGGGTGAAGCGGGTTCGGCCGGCGACGCAGGAGACGCGGGGGATTCGGTCGATTCTGTCATCTGTGTGCTTCGAATCGGTGGTTCAGGCAATTCGCCCCATCGCCACGACTGCGATGACTTATCCCCGGACGTAGTGCGCGCCAGTTCCACTTCTGTATCAGACTGTACAGGTGTGCCATGACGAGATCCCTTCCTGTGACAGATAAGAAGTAGTTAATTCAACGAATATAAACTTGTTATTCAGCTTTAATACTTTTGCTAGTACCGTCTCAAATACGTTTTTATCAAAATGAAGGCCGTGTAATAAGATTAACAATTTCACTCGATTTACAAGTGATTTAGTGGGAGCAGCGAAATAATAATAGATACAGTTTCTGCCAAAGCACCGCAATTAAATGCGTTAGAATCCGCATTCCTTTTCCACTTTATTCATTGTTTGAATCAGAGACGAATCGCGGTGGAAGAGACGGAATCATTATTACATACCAATACAGATGAGCAGGTAAATATTTTTATTTGGAAAATTTTACTCGATATAATTACGTTCTAGCAAAAAGTAGAATAAAATGTAATTGAAATATAAATTACGGTAATTAATTATAACGTTAATCGAAATTACAGCGAACGTTATCGCGATCGAGTAACGTAGGTACGTGCGAAAGCGTGACTATTTGCGTACGAAGTATATCATGAAAAATAATAATTAATAATGGTAAAGCGTGGTGTTATATTGCCAATCGCGTACCTGCTTCGTGGCTAATTAAATATGTACACATCGACAATCCACGTGACTACTGAAATGGTACGATCACACTTCGTTCGGGCTAATTAAGTATTCGATCATTATACTTTGTCTAACGTAGGGAGATAAGTTTTTTTAAATTTATGTAACCTTATTAATTTAAATAGGGGGAGTGCGAATCTCTTATTATATTGATTGTTTTATTGAAAAGAAGCCGTAAGTGATACTCATTAATAGGAAATATAGTTTTATAGAATTACAGTAAAAATACACATAGCTTGCAATCGACGTTAAAAACCCTATAAATAATTAATAAAAGTATAATCCGAATACTGACAAATTACTTTTTATAAACATGGAGGTAGTAATATTGAATAAGTATATAAGCACTCTATAATCTTAATATTAAAAATATTATGCAACTTTTTCAGCATAAATTGTTCAAGAACTCGTCAACCTCAATTAGACAAAATACCGGCAACGTGGCGAATACTGACGTCGTCTATGCGTAACGTCGCGTACTTCTGACATCTAGATCTTTACAAATTCATAACTACGAATACAAAAGCTTCGAAATAAATCAATTATAATTTACGTATGTCTGGAGGCATGGTGCACCTCGAACGCTGTGTCAGACAACGCCAATGGTATGCGGTTTTCACCATTCAGCTTCAAGTTGGACATCTCTTCGCTGCAAGGAGATATCCCGTTAGCATACCAAATAACATTAAACGGTACTTTATCTCTACATGATTTTAAGCCAATTTAAACAAGTCTTTATACGTCAAGTCAATGAGTTCAGTAAACGCAGACAGCTACAAAAAATCTTCGTTTCAGCTGTCATAGATGTATTTAGAATTGAGTTGAGCGTTTATTTATAAAGTCGGACTTACTTAAGAGCAGCAGCCTCTGTGTCGCTGAAGAAGTGAATATCGGTGACGTTGGGAATGGCGGTGGGTTGCGTGGCTCGCGCATCGCAAGCCGTGAGATCGGACTGGCTCGAAATAGAACTAGTCGAAGATTTCCTTTGGTGCTTTTTCTTAGAGCTAACTTTCCGCGTTTTCTTTTTCTTCTTTCCGTTTCCGTTCTGCTTCGAGTCGTCTAGGCTAGCGGGTGCCTCTATCGGTCTGAAGTCATTGTGCTCGCTGATCTTGAGCACGGTCTGGCTGGCTTCGGTGCCCGCCCCGCCGAGTTGCGTCGCCGAAAACGTCTTTGGTTTGGAATCCGTCCAGTCTGTGACCTCGTTGAGGCCCTCCATTTCAAAGAGTGCATCGTGCTCGTCGTTTTTGTCTTCTTTGGTTTTATTCTTTGAAAGCTTACTGAGGTCCGGTTTCTGCATAGTTTTTCCGTCGGCGGTGTACCTGCATCGTAATGAAAGAATATAAATCTACTTCGCCGATAAGAAGACAAAGGAAAACATCGCTCGGCGCCGGGACGCCAATGCCATTGCCAGACATTCAACTTGTGTGCACTCACGCACCGAGCGTTGAAATTAAATCCTGCTTAACGGGCTTTAAAATTAACTTGACACACTTTCTACGAGCCGCACATTTTTACGTATACTTGCGACTGAAGATGCAATGAGCATTAGGTAAATATAATGTGTGTTTCGTTCATTTGTCTATATTAAAGATATAACTTATTTTAACGTTGCTTACCTCCGTTTCGTGTAGTCCGAAGCCTGCCCATGGTCAGGTTCGACAGCTGAAAGGGAGTTCCTGCGTCGGGGTTCATATAGGTCATCGAACCTATTCGCCGGTATGGGAGACGTCGCCAAGTGTGCTGAGCATTCGGCTTCATCCTCACCGACTTCCACGACAAAAAATGCCTCGCCTGACTCACCGAGCTTCATATGAATCGGCAGAGGCTCTCCGTTAAGCTCGAGGTCCACCTAAACAAAATTTTTTCTAAATACTGTCTATAGTTTACGCGAGTAGTACACATTTAAATAAAACACTTTAACGGTTTAAAACGCGATATATTAGTTAAACTTATTTGAAAATGATTTTTAACTTCGGCCCGACGTTTCGAATGCTTTGCAGCAGCCGTTTCTCCCCGTGACCACGGCTGCTGCAAAGCATCCGAAACGTCGGGCCGAAGTTAAAAATCATTTTCAAATAAGTTTAACTAATATATCGCGTTTTAAACCGTTAAAGTGTTTTATTCAAATTTTTTTCTATTAATAATTGTTAAGACGCATGTTTTTTACACATCCATAAAGTTAAGTCTAGGGTCAGAAGACACATTTCTGTTTCTGCTTAAGTGAACTACTATTTAATCACCGTCAAGTAATTGACATCGATGCTTTGCCCGGCGACATTAATTTTCCCGGATTTCGAATAACGAAGGCAGTCAAATTATTCATAGTAGATAGGTATATGCTTTTTCCTTTTATTACTATTACTGATCAGCTTGGCGTAAGTGTGAGAACAGGTAAAAATATACAATACCATTTTTGCTGTGTCATTCTAAAGATTCTATATAATTTCATCACTATGGTCCACGCGGTTATCACTCATACGGTTAGTCATATTGACCGACCTTTGAAATGTTGTTTCCTTTGTTAACTACAATTATACTGTAGGTAATTATTAATAGAGAAATGTCACGCATAACTCGGTGGGCACTAGCTAGCCGTTCAGCAGTTCTCGTAAAAATATAACAGGTGGCCCCATGAAGACAAAATACTTGTGCCAATTTTTTCATACAATTCTTGGATAGGAATCGCATCCACGTTTGGCATTTCGCCAATTTTAATGTGAATCAGCCAAAGATTTCCTCTCCCATTTTGGCAATAGATGTATAACTAACCACAATATATAATATTATATCTATTACAATATTAATATTAGCAAAAGTATGCATACAGAAAGTCTAATTTTGGCCGGCGAGATTGCTACAACTTTCAAATTCTATGTTTTTCTAGAATGATCTAGACTCGTCTCTAGCCATATGTAAAGAGTTCTAAGATTTGCCGCAGCGACGTTATCCAACCAGTTTATATCAAGTATATTACAGTCCCATACTTATATGTCACATACAGTGTCTTCGGAAGCTTACACTTTTTCGTAAACAAAAATGTGATTCGTGACTGCCTTAGCAAATAATGCGTGAAATAACATGACGACAACGATAGTACGTCATTTCCTGCGTAAAAGAGGACAATATTATTGCTCATTCTGAATGATAATTATTAGTTACTTATTGCACATGTCTAAACATGTGGTATTACAAATATTTTCTAATTAATCTCCACAATATACATATATGCAATAGTAACATACACATGTTTTGTGTATATTAAGAATTTGAGAATAAAACTCATTTGAGAAAATCATACTTAAGACTTAATTACAAGATTTTTTTCTTTTCTATCTACTCAATGCTTATAAATAACCAATAGAAACAGAATCTCGCTTAAATTAATCGTGCACGCAATTTACATAGTGTTATGTTATTGATTAATACTATTGGCCACATGGAGCAATATCTTCGCGTTGACATAAAAACGAATGGAGTAATGTGGTTATATAATTATTGTTCAACGGTTATGGCCACATCGGCGAAAAGATAAAAACAAATCTATCTTCGATTAAACGTCTAACGCGTATAATAACAACGTGAAGTAACCGACAAGTCCGGGTCGGACTTTCGCACGGAGGGTTTCGTACAGTTGAAACGGTTCTTAATTTCTATATTGTAAGCTCTTTTTGTTATTTCAAGTGCCTGAAAAGCATTGCTATAAAGCAAAAAACGCATTATTGTTTTGTATGTTTAGTTTAAACTACACATTTATAAAAATGTCAACTCTCTAGCTATGACGGTTCTTGAAATGGAGGCTTGTGACAGACTGGTAGGTCCTAGTAAAGTCCTGCTACCGTTTAGATTACGGAACCCAAAAAATATTTATAATCTTGAATATTTAGCAGTCGCTACACCAAGGTCATCTGCTACATTAATGTTTCGATTTGACTGATAGCGATATTATTAAGATCGCCGCGAAATTCGTAATCGGAAGGAAACCTTGAGAGATTTAATTTAGTTACGTGTATTTGAACAAAACAAACGACTGTTCGATAATTTTACGTTCTTCGAGTGTGTCAAGGTCTTCGACGCGAAATTGTTCTCTGAGCACCTCGACTTCGTATCAGCCGATATTACGTTCAGGGCACTTTCGATAATGTTCTTATAATGGGCTCTCATTAATTTAAACCGAATTAATTACGTTGCGACAGGCTAACTGGTTAGACTTTGGTAAAAAATATCCACCCGTGCTGTGGCCCCCTCTAGTAAAAAACAGCAAACCTCTCGTAACAAACCCAAGGCCATCAACGAATCTTAACGGACCCCCATCTACACTAGTAGTAGTTTCCCAAGTGTGTGCGTGAACTCTATTTGTGTTTAAACGTCGCCGTTCTCATTCTAACGCCTATGTATACATAGGGCAAAGATACAAACATAAAATACGGAAATTAATTTCTCTTGCATGCTTCATGTCATTCGTCATGGGGGGTTGTCCACAGATATGTGTTACATCAATAAGGCTCTTACAAATACTTTTTAAGGATTACAAAATGCTCGTGCACTTACAACTTTGAACCGGGAGCGGAGAACACCTAGTTTCCCAAAGCGGACGTGGAACGGGGAACAAGTGAAGCTGCCATCCGGCTGTTCGACCACGATCACATCGATGGCTCCAGTCAACGTCGCACTATTTATTTCATTGTAAAACTTCTTGAAGAATGTACCAATGTAATTCATAGAATACATGATTAATGCGGGGTTATTCTTCGCCTCTTGATTGCTTATTGCCAAATAATTAGTCTATTTTCTAGTTAACCCATATGGATATCTGAAACAAAATAAACATGTTTACGCGTCTTCATCGTTAGCACTCTACAATATTACCCCAGATGTAGGTGGGGGTACATCGACCAGGTTGGTCAAATACAGATCGATGAGATGCAGTTGAATTCCTTTCCAAGGACGTGCAAGTTTAATAACGATTCCCTTATGGGCTTTCTAACGACAAAGCTCATCTCACATTGCCGTCTTCGTAGACATCTTACAATGATAGGAATAGGTAGAGACCCCCTATGTCCGGGGTGCAGATAAAGTCAGGAAACAAGCATCCATTTACTCACTGAATGCTCTGCGCACTCGAGATTAAGACAAATGCATATGGGTTCGGACGAAGTAAGAGACGAAATCATCAAAGAAATAAAGATGGAACAAATAGTAAGATTCTGCAAGCAAACCGGAAGGTTTGAAGGGGATACAGCGAGAGATGAATAACCCAAAACCCTCTGACAGGAGGAAATGGGGAAATTGGTGAAACGGTCAGCTGATGGCGCGGAATGATCACCCGGCCTTCTACAGGTGTCTCCGATAGAAAAAAGAAACGACTAAGCTCAATATTAAATCCTAAATTTTCGGTCTTATACTTCCATTAAGTAATCACAACTCCATTTTCAATGATTTCCCAGATATTGATTTGTATTGTTTTTTTCTAAGCTACACTTGTTGATATCGTTTGAGCTATTTTTGTCGTGTCAACTGACTTTATACCTTGAAGCTTTTGTTTAATTAATAATAACATTTAAATAAACTTTCGTATTATGCTAATTCATTTAAGTTTTTCCCTAAATTGACTAATCTACTTAGGTAGTTATATAGTTAAAGTGATAAGTCACATGTGGACTTTTCTTCTTTCGATGTATAAAGATAACTAAAACCTGTTCCATTTCCGCTTGTATAATAAATAAGTAATGTAAGGCCTTCATGGTTAAAAACTTTTTTTAGGCTTTGATTGTATATATATTAATTCAGTTGATAAGGCTAATAAGATCAGTTGTTTTTTTTATGAAATAGGTATTGTCAAAGACAGCCTACATTAAATAGTTCCAAATGCATGTGTGCATGATGCATTTCCAACTGTTTCTATATGAACATAGGTAATTAATGACCTATATCTATTTTCTATACCTTCTTCTATCTCTGTATCATTTACCTACTATAATAAGCTTTATCGATCGTGTAAAGGTCAAACTACGTCAATGGAGATTATGACCATATTCTAATGACATGATCTCGTTATGTGATAACATTTCGCAGAAAATTATTTTAAACTTAATTTATATTGTATCGAATATAAGAACACACATAACATACTAATTATATACACGAAGCTTAAATATATGCCAGATGTATACGAACATAAAAAATAATAGGAACATAATACTTTAAGATGTACTGCAATAATTAAAATATGTAACTCAACAAAATTATAGTTCAGATAAGGGCCTATCTAAAGGCAAAATAGGTTTAGCTTGGTGCAATTAACCTTTCATCGAGACGTCCAAGAAGCCCGTGCTTGTCTATTATCTATAATAATAAAAAATTAAGTCCCTACATATATAAAATATACTTATATACATCGTTCAGAAACTTTTATGGTAAGACTTGTGTCGTTATTGTGTTGTGTATGGTAAGTGTTGTGTTTAATGCTCGAGTGAATACTTTTACTTTACTTGTACTTTTAAATTAATGAATTAATAATTATGATAGATTTAACGATTGTATAATTAAGAATAAAATACAAGAAAATCCTAGACATCTAACGAACAAATTCTCGATCGGTTATTGTTGTATTGTGTGACGAATGTGTAGTATCCGTTTCAACAAAACAAAGTTCTTCGCCATCTAAAAAAATACCTGGGAAATGACATGATGAAATCCAATTCGAGAGCTCACAAACAAGTATTCACACCCGTAAAGCGATTAAAATACAATAAGTCTTTTGTTAACGTTTGTTTTCTGTAACAAATTAACAATGAACACACGAGATGAAACGGCAGAGCGTGTACCCACGTCGAATGCTTTTATGTACTGCTGAATGGCTGAGTTCGCCTTCTCCTCAGCTGCGTGTATTGCGTTGGTGTTCAGTGACGTCACATATCGGTGTAATCGAACGACTACTCACACATACACACGTCGGTACTACATGTAGTACGATACTGTTTAACACTGTGGACTCGGCTATCTGTAGACCCACTTGGACGAAACCAACGAACATATTTATGAGTGGAATCGCTAGAATGTTCATGGCGTGATGTCGTACGATCCCACAATGAAAGTAACCCAAAATAAGGAGATGAATACGTTAAACGACGAACAGAATATGCTAAATCGTCTTACAACTTACGGTTAAGGATTATATTTTATCGTTAACAAGAAATTTAATTAAATAATAATGATATATAATATATTAACATGCAGGTTTCCTGTGCTATTTACAATTTTCAAGTACCATGTAACTTGTTAGTAAGATGTATAAGCAAACCTAATAAATATTACGATGGCCGTTTTTTTTATTATTTACATTACACATTGTTAAAGTCGGGTACATAGGTTGATAGGAATAATGACAAAGAAATTATCACCTTGGTTGGATATATATTTGTTTTGTTTTAAGGTAGGTTACCTATGTTCTGCGCGAACCTTAATAAGAAATAATTTTGGTATCAGTTCAAAAGATTACGTAATAAAGTGTTGTTGCTATATTTTTAGAAAACTTAAATAACAGCTGTTAATTTGAAAGAAGAATAACGCGTTATGCGTTACATTGCTAAACTAGTTGCAGTCCACAATAACAGGTAGCCTATTCGTCTAATAATGGGTGTGTCGTGACGCGTTGTTTACGAGAGGTTTATCTACGTGCCTATAGAGTTATTATTCAAAAGCACAAGGCCACCACAATACGCAATAATGCAATAGCGATCTAATATGATACTTATCGCTGCTCAATATAGTCGCATATCGTGAAAAAAAAAGGCTTTTGATTTTGAAACCTATTATTAGTTGAACATTGGAACAATTATTTAAATAAAGTTGTTATTTAATTAAGCCCGGTGAACACAAAAGCAGTAAAACTTCAAAAAATTAGGTCTGAGTTAAAAATTAACTTAATGTAAATTAATTAAAAATATATTTATACAAATATAATATATTATCATAAGCAGTACCCATTTCATCACGTCACAAGTGACCTACTTAATATAACTGAATTGCTTATTTTTCAAATTAGCCAAATCAAATTTTAAATCCATTGGTCTATTTTAATAAAAATATTTTAAGACTACTATTAGTTTCAATAGAGGCGGTCAAACTGCCTCTGCAGCTAAATGGTTTTACGTGTTGCCTGGCAGTGTGTAAAGCACGATGTAAAGGTGCTGGGTTCAAATCCCAGGGTAACAATAGATTGTTTCGGTTGGACAGGGCACAGAAGTCTGATCAACTACTGGCCTGTAGATAAAAATCAATCAGTGAAAGAAATGTGTTAGCCCCATGCCCACGAGGGGAAACGGGATTTGAAACACATTAGTTCTAACATTTATTTTTAAAATAGTATGAAAACAGATTGTGTGTCTTTAACCTTTTCTATTAATTTAATAATATAAATTCCAAGTCGGATAATCAAGCTCTACGAAAGTCATTCTCAAAGCCACTATTTTTGGGACACCTTGAATAGAATTCTAGATAGCTTTGAAACATTAGTTCTAACATTTATTTTTAAAATAGTATTAAAACAGGATTGTGTGTCTTTAACCTTTTCTATTAATTTAATAATATAAATTCCAAGTCGGATAATCAAGCTCTACAAAAGTCATTCTCGCACTTTTTTGGGACACTTAGAATAGATATTCTAGATAGCTTTGAAACACATTAGTTCTAACATTTATTTTTAAAATAGTATTAAAACAGGATTGTGTGTCTTTAACCTGTTTCTATTAATTTAATAATATAAATTCCAAGTCGGATAATCAAGCTCTACAAAAGTCATTCTCATAGCCACTATTTTTGGGACACTTAGAATAGATATTCTAGATAGCTTTCTCGCTTTCTAAATTGTATTATTTTATTTACAGAAGGTACTTAAAATTTTATTATGAATAGTTTATTGAAATGAAAAAAGGACTATGAAATAAATTTACAAAATAGTTATGTAAAAGCCTGAAGAAATCTGCTAAATAACTGAATATTTATTATAATAAGTAATTTAAATTATTATAATCATCAATTGTCTTTTTTAAGATTCTTTATTTTTTATCTGTAAATTTAACTAGTAAGAACAGTAAAATTTAAAAGTAAAAAAAATCATATATATACTAATAGTAATATATATATAGTAATACACTTATATAGTAATTAATAGATAGTAGATACCTAAACTCAGCTTAAACTTGTTTTCATAAATGTGATGCGAAAAATCACGTTCAAGAGGCATTAAATGATACATAAAAATTAAATTTTACGTTTGATTTAGAAGTAAATAAATAGATTTTATTAGTTATTCAATAATAATAGTACATTAAAAATTAATAGCACAAACAACGAGATATCCATGCAGTTACTTACATTAAGTGCGGGAAAGCCATTAATAGTTAAATATCTTCAATTTATTTTATCTGAGTATACTTAATGTTAAAAAAACTGATTTTAATAAATTTCAACTTTATAAAGAAACCATAAGCACCAAATAAAATATAATAACTATTCTGATTTTGTTATGTAGAGGAAGCAATGTTATAAAGCTGTCACGTTTATTATTATAGAATAGAATAGTGTAAAATTAAGTATTAAGATTTTTTGCTACGGTTTTTCCAGTCAGTTATTGACAATAGGCAAAGACAACATAGACTGCTAACTGAACTATGTCACAGAGGTAGTAGAGCACTTCAGCTCCTAAAGCACAGATGTCATATATCAGAATGTACCACAGTGTAAAAACTATGGTGATATTTATTTTTCCGTGTGGTTAATTATTCGAGTATTAAATATAAACAAACATGGGTTCCTTAAATACTGAGAGTGTAACGTTTAATTTATTAGATATTTTGGCTATATTTACTCTCTAATTCGATATGAAAACACAACTTACCTTCAGGGCAGTCATATTTAAAAATATCACGAGTACGATTTTTAAGTCAGTTATTTCGGAAAAATACTCATAGAGTCTCGACGTCGCCAAAAATAATGCTACAAGTCCGCAACATGATTTTCAATAAAACGATAAAATAAAAATAAACAATATTCTTTTTAATATACAACAATTATTACTATTACAAGCATTATAATGTTTATATATCTAGAATAATAAGGTACATATAATAAAAAAATTAAACAATATTTCCTATTATATAGATAAAATATGAGATATTTCTCAACCTGATTAAGCATATTGTAGCATGTGCTATGGACATGGTAATTGTGACTGATCTGCCGTACTCTCGACTAAGTCTTCCACGCCGTTAGGAAGGTTATTGTCATTTTGGGTTGCAATTAGGGCACATTGTGACTTATTACGTAACTCAAAAACTTGGGTTATTGCATCTCGAAAGCACAAAAAGTTATAATCTATGACACCTGAAAGAAGTACATTAACTGACTGAAATCAAATAAACAGACTAAATATGCATAGTTACGCGAGTAGTACGCATTTAAATAAAACACTTTAACGGTTTAAAACGCGATATATTACTTAAACATATTTGAAAATGATTTTTAACTTCAGCCCGACGTTTCGGATGCTTTGCAGCAGCCGTGTCTCCCCGTGACCACGGCTGCTGCAAACCGTTAAAGTGATTTATTTAAAATAAACTAAGACTATTAAAGCACAGTATAATAAATGTATATTGAAACGCGAATTATGTTTACCCACCTTGCTTTTGAAAATTTTCCTCTCTAAGTATGCAAACCAGAGCTAGAAACTTGTTAACTTCTCTTAAATATAAAACTGTGCCATTATTCAGCTTTATTAAACTTGAACTTTGGTTGTTAAATGTATTTGTTTCCGTTTCATCAATCATTCTAAAAAAGATCATAAAGTGGAATAGTTTGTTTGAATGTGCCAATCACAGGAACTACTGGTTCTAATTAAAACTTATTTTTGTGTTGGGTAGACAACACCAAGCTTCAATTTAGAGGAGCCAAGGAACACAAGGTAATGTGGACAATGATTAATCTTTTAGCATTTTTCTTGCGTGAGCTGTGAAAGCGGTTTAAAGATACCCAAAATTTATTGACTATTTTTTGAGATTGTTTGCCAGATCACCTAGTATTAATTTAAACTATCTAACAATTTAAATCCTAAAAAATGTATATCCATTTATTACTTTACTAAACATGATAATGATATCTCTTTCATAACTAGCATTGCAGAGTATTTATAATAATTTATGATACATACCCATAAATACATGATATGTCAATAACAACATCTATCATATCACAACAAAGTTCATAACTTTGCATATCTACTGGTGAACTATCAGTTGCAATGTATATTTTTGAAACAACATCAAACAGGAATGCTTTTTCTATGCCAGAATTCTGCAAAAAAAATGAATATTAAGTAAGTAATTTATTATTGAAAATTTAATAGAGACATTACAAACACAATATTTTATCAAAAATGATATAAATTTGACTAAATAATAGGTCATTAGACAAGAAAAGAGAATATATAGAACTATGTTATAATTATACTCTATATTTTCTAAAATTATCAAAATAAGAGAAAGTACATACTGATATGAGAATATTGAGTAGATTTTCTAATGTCGGTAATTGAGGAATTAATTTTTGTACAACTTTACTAAATGCTTCAAAAATAGAATGATCATAGATAGATGTCAAGTGAAATGATAAATGAACATGCTCTAAGCCATTCTCTGCTAAATCTTCAGTAGCTCTATGGTGTATGTCTCTTTGAGTTTCCATTTTATAGTCATCATTGAGTCCATCGACCTGAAAAATTATGTTTATAATTACTGAAATGATAACTTCTTATAGAAGTGAAAACCATATTCTTAAGTAACAATTGTTTATTGATTAGATACTGACTTTAATAATGAATTATTCTACTTAAGATTGCTTAGCATTCCAAGTTTTTTAAACTATATTAGTTATATATATGCAATATACAAGTGACAAAAAGTTTATAGTACTCGGTATAAGTTTAACTATGGTCAATCATGTATGTTAACTTAATGTACACTTATTATATTATTTTATAAACATGCATTTGACACTGACATCCATAAGAGTTTAATTTGAAAATAATGTTTATTGACCAGACTTTAAAAAAAATTACTCACTTTATGAATAAAAACTTCAAATTTTATGTTACTATTAACTCTGTATGCTTTTGTAACTGTTTGTTGCAATTTATCTAATGCGTCTTGGTAATCATCCTGTAATTTAAAAAAGATAATGAGGATAGATATATTTCTCATTTTAATTTTGTTAGAGCAATAATAATTAGGATTAAGCAGTAATTGTGAGTGTCACCTGTGCATCAATGACAAACACTAATGCACCACATCCTCCAAATATTGTGTCTGAATCAAAAGTTGCATCGAAGAAATCTATTTGACCAGGAAAATCCCATATTTGAAACTGAACGAAACTACTGTTATTTATATCATCCTTTACAATTTTGTTGGTGGATTCTAAAAACAGTGTTTCATTTGGGGACATCTTATGAAATACAACTTTTTGAATAGATGACTTTCCTGATCTGTAACGTAAATTAATCAATTAATTTGTATTCAGCAAATGGTATGGTGAAAGAATTCACAATTCTTCTTACGACACCTTCTCAAACCCATGAGCAGAATTCTTGGTTTGTGGTCTTCCTGTAACGACGTATTATCACTTTCACCATTTTGTTCGAATGGTCCATAGCTGAAATCTTTTGGAAAGGACCCTACATATTCATCTTGATAACTCTGAAAAAATTTATAGTTCGATTTAATAATCGTATCGCTAGCAGTGTACATTTTAAACATGATTTATCTTTCTAGCTTACCATTTTCATTTAATTGCTTAGCTTACAATACAATGTATCACATTTCATACAACTTAACTTTTGGCGTTTTCTGGATTAACTAGCTAAGGCAATTAAATAGAGAATTACAACTAGGGCACAACAAAGAAAAAATCACGCAAAATATAACTTTCAATCCGTGTTTATTGTAATTACTAAAATCCTAAGATCAAATCATTTTGACAATGACATAACGATTGTCTTTGTCATTATGACATATGGTTTTTATAGATTTAATTATTAGGAATAGGGTTTATTAAACTTTTAACTTATTAACTGTATATTATGCAAGTCAGGCCATTAAATACACCTAAAAGTATTAAATACCAATAAATATCAAGAAGAAACAAGACATGAAAGCAATTTTTAATAATTTTAATTGATTCTTATTTAATTGACTATAAAATAATATTCAAAAGACAATGAAAGAGAATTCTTAATTCAGCCTAATTAACATAGGCAAATAACTGATTCTTTTTAAAAGATAAGGGACGTTTAGTTAAATAGCCCAACATATATAAAAATCGAAATTCGTTCCGTGCTCTACGGAAACGGTTGATGACAGACAGACAGAAATATGTATCATTAAATACGAAACACGTGCCATACCTTATGTCCAACTATTGTCGTTTTGTCACGATAACTGGTTTTATATTTTAAAAGTTGATAGAAATACATTTTAAAATTAGTCCGTGTTCGCTATTCGTATTTCTTTTAATTTTTTTTTTAAATTTGATTCCACTATTTATTAGGGTTTGCCGCTACTATTATATAATATATTAACTCTTTGGTCTAGCTGTCGTTAGGTAGCATATTGAAGCAAAAATAAAATCGCATTAAATATAAATGAAAAAACGTTGAACGATGACGCTAGCCACTACTTTATTTAGCCGAACAGTTAGTCTAGATTATGAAGATACAAATAAATATATTATTTATTTATATGGTAATGATTTAATTAGATTAAACGTGTATCATAATAAATATTACAAGTCGATGGTTTTCTGTATTTACAGCGACATTCCCTCAAAGAAGACGAAATGTTTGAAGATGCGGCAGCCGTCCGAAATGGTGGCCGCAACGGCTTTGACGCAGCAGTTGCTAGTTTATCAGCGCTAGTGCAAGATTGAGAGGGGCGTAACCTGCGCTCTCGTTCCAGTCGAGCTCGTTCGACACGTTGCGCATGCGCCACGCTTTGTTGTAGGCCCGCCAAACTATCCGTCTTTGCGGGAAACCTTTCTAAGCTGTTCGACACTTCTCCGACCTCAGCCGTATCGGTGTCGACGATTTCTTGGTGATCCAGGATCATCCCGATATTTAATTTTAAGTTTGTCGAACCGTCTCTAAAAATTAAATACACCGTAGCTTGGTCCAGAACTTTCAAAGAAAAGTTTTCGTTGATTTTTAGAGCTTTCATTTTAATCTGGAAGGGTTTGAATTTTTGTGACAGTTTTTTACTTTTTTCCTTTATAAAATTGTCAAACTCTATTGCAAGCATTTCTTCATTGTCATGTCGCGGTTTGTCATCGCCCGGTCCACCCAGCTTTAAAATATCTGGGTCTTTATGAGCCATTTGAGTGTCAATCATAACTTGCTGAAGCACAGGTGGATCATTTAAAGTGTGCCATTTCCAGTGCGATACGGGTCCTATGTTTTTGTCCAGAACAACTCCTTCGGTTTGATTGTATTTCAGCCTAAAAGTTTTAAAAACAGAGGATCAGTGTGTCGCACGTAATTTTTGAGAGAAAAATGCATGTACCTTATTTTGCCGCTGTGATCGAAGACGACGCCATTGCCCAAGTAATCAAAAGTAGCCAATATTGTGAAAGGGCGCGAACGACCACGTTCGTCGGGTTCGCCGTTACTATATATAACAAATCGCTGTTGCGCATTTAATTCTGTCAAAAAAAGACATCATTTATATTTTCTTAAATACTTAGGCTAGTTAGGCAGGTAAGTTTACAGTTACCTTCAGCATCGTAGTAATCTAGAGCTAGTCGTCCGTTCCGATAAAACCATCTACCTTTTCCATCATCGTCAAATTCTGCAAGTTTTTCACCCGATTCATAATGCATTAGTTTCTTGTTTTTGTTGTGTTCGAACCAATCGAATTCGGGATGCGCCGGTCTCATGCGATACACATTCATCTGTGTAACCAGATAAATATATTTTTAAGTAAAACTACTAACTCTCTTTTGAAGCACATAATATAAGAAACATTACTTTTCTGACAACTTTTTCAGTCGGTAACATCGTCCACCCCTTCTCAATAAAGGAACGGTCAGATAGGGCGTAGCGTATGACTCCCTTTGAAGCTTCTGGGTCTACCTGTTTCATATTAAATATTATTCAAATCAAATGTTTTTATACCATTATTCATATCAATAACCACGAATTGTAGTCCCATATTTCATAGGGGTCTCAGTAACAAAAACAATCGTCTGAATGGACTATAACTAAATGCTATCAGTTCTTTAACAATTTCCAACCTTCGTACTAGTATCACTTTTCTTTGTTTTGGACATCGTTCGAGAAAGTAAATGTAAAAAAATTAGAAATAATTACAAAATAAAAATCTCCAAAGTTTTAAATCGTCATCCAAAACGATATGCCACTATTTTGAAGTTATATTTGACATTATATTTTCAGCCTAGATGTTTTTTAATTTTCGTAAAAATATGTATCGAGTGTGACGTAGAATTAAGTTAAAACTTTTTGTACCGTACGAACAATAAATGACTAAGAGGACCACCTGGTTTGGTTAAACGCGTTGATCCTAACGCGCCATGCGATTAGAATAATAGAATAAACAATATGGATCACCACTCACACGTTTCGTAGCTTGCGGCGAGGGTTTGCTCTCATCTTTAACCTCAGTTTCAATATTGTTCGGTGAAGGTGTTTCGGGAACAAAAGTGGATTGAAAAAGTAAAGGCTCAACTTCATTTACTTCTTTTGTATCGTCCGTTAGCGTTCGGTACACTTTAACAATTTTTTGCCCCACAATGGCGTCAGTCTGTTGGTTTCCGATCTGTTTTCGATTTTCACTGAAAAAAATATTATCTACATCGAGTTCTAATTCAGAATCATCGCAGAGTATGCAGTGATTTCCGCGATTTAATTTATGGTTTTGATGTGCCTGGAATGTAAGCGGAGATACGTTAATCTCTGACAAACGTTTCGATCTAACGCGGTCTTCTTTTTTTCCTTCGGATTGCTTTAGTTTGACTAGTTGTAAAATTAAATTATCTTGGGACGGTTTTCTTAATTTTACTTTACTTATATTCAGTTCTTTAAAGGTTGTGTCTTCCTCTTTTTTTGGCCTCGGTTTACTTTTGTCTTCGATTGTGGAAGAATCGCCTATGTCAGCCAGTTTTAATAAAGCTTCTTCTTTAAATTTTTTTTCATTGTGTTCCTGCATACGTTTGGCATCACCGCTTTCCCGGACAACTTTTTTTTCTTCCATCTTATCATCCTTTACAGGTCTTTCTTTCGGTTTTGGTTCATCTTTAGGTTTTTCCTGAATCTCACCCTGTTTACGTTTATCTTCTTTCTCTTTTTGTAACTGGTCAGCTTTCTCTCTTTTGAGTCTTTCTTTCTCTTCTTTGTCTTTCAATTTTTGCTCCTTTTCGAATCTAAGCCTTTCTTCTTTTTCGGCTTTCTCTTGCATCTTTTTCTCCTTATCTAATTTCGAACGCTCTTCTCGTGCTTCTTTTTCCTTAAATTTTCTTTCTCTTTCCATGGCCAATTTTTCTTCTCTTTCTTTTTTAAATTCATCTTTTGAAGGTTTTGTTTGAGGCTTTATTTTTTCTATAGGTGATTTCTTCTCTTTCAGCTTTATTTTCGCAGACTTTATACTTTTAGATTGTATACTTAATTTTTCACCCTCAAGGTTATGGTCTGCGACGATAATTAGTTCTTTTTTTTCTTCAACCAATTCTTTTAGATTTGATTTAGCTTCTTGTTGAATTTTTTCGATTCGTGCTAAATGCTTTTTTTCTTTTTCTTGTTCTCTTTTTCTCTCTTCTTCGTCTTTTTTACTTCTTTTTAATTTTGCGCGTTCGCTTAACATATCAATCGTGTCTTTAATTATTTCAGAAGAACTTTTATGGTGCCTTATAGGATGTTTTTCACCCACCTCTTTCAGAAAGAAGTAACTAAAATTCTGATCAAGAGTTTTTTCCGTTAAATCTGAGATTGAAGTCTTAAGAGTTTCTAAAGAGTCAGGATCGACTCCTAATGTTTCAGAGCTTAACTGTTTACGAGTGCTTCTGCTGTAATCCGGTCGCTTATTGCCCACACTTGTCCTTTTCGCTGTATGACTTCTGGGATATTTTTCTTCACGATGCTTCACAAAACTTACTCTATTATCGTCCTCAAGAATCACATTCTTTAAAACCTGTAATTTGTCTTGCAACAATGGCATTTTTAAATGTATGTCTGCAGAAGACACAGTGACATTATCGTCAGATGTATTTAACGATAAAATTTCGTTACGTGTTTCCAGTTTAGTTTCGGAATCCATAAACTGTGTAGGCTCAACATTATTAGTGTATTGGGGGAAATCCTCTAAATACCTAATTCCACGTTTTGTTGGTTTTATTTTTACATCGGTTTTTTCACTTCCGGGAGCCCTTATTCCTTCGAACATAGGCTCCAGTTCTGGTTCACGACGTTTGCTTCTAAACACTGTATAACGGGATTCAACAGACGAAAATGCTCTTCGTTCAGCTTGTTTCGATAGATTAGCTCTTTTGTAATTAATCAAATTGCTCTCTAATAAATCGATTATTCGAGAGAGCCATAACTTAACTTTCTCTCTCTTAAGCCTTGCCGCTGAACTCTCCTTTGTAATTGCTTTCTTATCTATTTCTCTTGTTTTGCTTGACTTACGAAGTAAATATTCATTTAAGCAATGATCACATACATTTTTACAATATATTTTTTCCTGTCTTGTTATTTTACGGCGGTAGCATTTGAGATTAAGTTTACATCTTGGACATTTTATATAATTTTCTAAAAGTAAATTTTATCATTTAATTTCGTAAATGTAGGTGTTTAAACTCAGGAATGTTTTACATTTGGAAAGCTTACCAAGCCTTTTAATTAAGTCATCATTTTGGTCCATTACATTATTATGTAAATGTTCTTCATTAGTCATGATGAACTGAAAAATATATAATTATAATTAAACTCCATGCAACTCTAACATTATTTTGATTAAAACAAGTCTAATTCAAATTAAACAAATAAATCAAATCTATGAATTTCACCTTCTTGTAATGGAATCCTTTGTTAATTCGCTATATTTTTATAACACTAAATCCTACTATCAAAATATGTTAAATATTCCTTTGAACAGTAAATATTAGCTTGTTAATAAAATTCTAAAAACTTAATATAACACTAGCATAGAAAAATATCATACCAACAATGTCACCATGACAGCATTAATTCATAAACTTTCTTTTTTGCATTGTTTTTTACTGTAAAGTCTACTTGTGCCTGATAGATAAAATCATATCAGTTGTATAGGAAATGAAAAAACATATAGAAATCAAACTTTAATACCTACCTTATTATTAAAAAACAGGTTATTTCTTTAATTATGAATAAATATTTTTTAATAACACCTAATTGGTGGCTATTTTTTCACTTTCACAAACATATTTATAATTTTTTGGCGTAATGAAAGAGCTCCCCCAGCTGCCTTTAACACTAATTCTTTTGTACATATATTATGAAGGGGACCGAATGCCAGTGCGACCACAGTACAAGCAAGACATATGACATTATATGGCATACTGAAGTCGGGTGTCGGCAGAGATACCATTGCACCATTTGTTCTAAATACCGCTGGATACCCTGAAAATACAATAAATTGTCAATGTCAATAATCATTTTGTTGCTTTATAATAAACTGTGCCTTTTAAGAAAACATGCTGCTTTGCTTTATTTTTAGCATTTAAGCTTAATAAAAGACTGCCTTGCCTTGCTTGTAATTTCAAAATTGATCAGGGCATAGAAATGTTTTGCCAAATGCTGTTTCATTTAAGGCAATTTTAGATTTTTATGTACACAGAATTATAGGTTTTAGGCTTCAGTAATAATTTCTTTCTAATTTTTTGACAAATCTATTTACATAAATACTTACATGCTTTCGAAGCATTAATAACAGATTCAAATGTTACACCATTAACAGGAAGGCTAGTGTAATTTTTAGCAGTCGGCAATTTTGCCGAAATTAGTGCAGATCCAATATAGAAACCATGATTGGCATCTGGTGGATATTCCTGCCATTTTAAGAATACAAATTCAAAGTCAATAGACACTGTTGTAGTTGACTTGGGTGGTAATTTCATAAGTAACTCTAAGTGATATGGCTTCTGTCTACTTCGACCGGGTGAGTAATACTGCTTCATAACTAGTTTGCTTTTGGCCTCACCATTTATGCGAAGTGTGCTCAATTGTATTGGTAACCACCATGGTGCATTTTCCAACAGAATAATATCTATGGGAGCCCAGTAACTATTGGTTATTTCTGTAACTATTCCTCCAAACTCTTTGCCATATCCTAGCACATAACGATTAAAGTATAATGGTGGTGGCGGACTCACTAATAATTTGTTGTCTGTACTGTATTTGGCAGCAATGTTCAACATAGGACTGTCTGGACTTATGTCATACAGTGCCATCATGGTGTCACTTCCACCTTTTAGAGATTTGATAACACTACTGGGTTGTGGTGACAGCTTGAAAGGAATTGTGTCATTTGATGTTATATCAATATATACCTTGCTTGATGAAGATAGAGGACAAGCACCAAATAATCCTTGTCCAAATAACAGCTTAAATGACCAATTGTTACTATTAATAATTTTGAAGTCATATACGAGGGCAACTGTTTGTTTGATTTCAAATTGGTATTCAGTACAATCCTTACTGGTACAGACTTTTCTAACATGCACTCCAATTGAATGATAGTTAGTGTTATGGATTAATCTTGAATTCAATAAAGATGAAAATCCAAAATTAGATTCACAGGGCAATAATTTCTTCCATGGTGTTAAATTTTCAGTGCACACTATTTCTCTAGGTAGGGATGCATACCTTAGTAAATCTGGAGTATAGTTAGCACTTATATCTACAGCCCCTAAAGGTGACAGGGCCATTTTAGGGGTAATTGTATTATGGCCATCTATAAAATTTAATGAAGCACAGAATAGGCCCGAGAGAGTAGAACTCAACTTTTTCCATTGCTTGTCAATATTGGTAACACTTGGAGAAAACCATGCATAAAGTTCGGCCCCTGGCGCAGCATCTGTGACAGGATAACCCCATTGTTTATGTCTCCACTGACCCTCTGTTAATGTTAAATGTAGTTCTTCTACTTGAAAGCGAGTCATTATTTCCGTTATAGAGCGAGGTGCTAAGTAGGAATGTTCATCTGTAAATAATCATGATAAAAGCATATTAACTTTATTAGTTTTCTATGAAATTAATTTAAACAAATGAAATTGATAAAATTTAACAACTTACAGTTACTTCCAGTTATAAGAGTAATGAATTGAAAGTATGTATACAAATGCATTGGAGGCAAAGGTTTAATATATATTTCTTCTTTGAAATCATCGCCGCAAACATTTAGGGCTCCAGAAAACAAAAAGATAAGAATTAATGTGTATCGCAACTTTGTCATTTGTATTAAAGCTTTTATTATTAAACTAAGGTTTAGAAAACGACTTCGTAGCGCTTATTATTATTAATTGATTAAATAATATCTCGAAGCCTCTTTTGAGTTTTGACTAGTCGAAGTGTGAACATTAAATATGAAGTTATGAACAAAAGTGTAAATATGACATTTGACAAGGATGACAAAATTGACAAATATACCGGCAATATCAAAGTCGAAATATGCACTGGCACTATATTTATTAATATTGATACTTATTGGCCAGAAAAAATGAGAATCAGGTATAACAAAGTAATGTCACACCGATGTCATTGAATGTTTACGATACATTTGGTCATGCATGAAAACATTTACCATCACTACCCACCCAGATAATATATGCCAATAGGGGCGATACAACTTACTACAAAAGAAATTATTGAAGCTTTAATCACCCAAAGATAGTATTCAGACAAGGTGTATCTTTAAGAAGTTTATATGCATACTTGCTCCTTTTGAATAAAAATAAAAATGGATAATGAATTTCTGGATATATCCACAAGTTTGAAATTGCAACTTGGATACGGAATAGGGCATGTATTAAATGATGTATGCGCCAGTTTGTGGTTTACATACTTTTTGGTGTTCTTCCATTTGGTGCTCGAGTTCACAGCTTCTCAAGCTGGATACCTAATGTTAATTGGACAAGTAGTTGATGCTTTATCCACTCCTTTTGTGGGGTATCAATCTGACCACACTGATAATGCCATTAGTGCATGGTATGGCAAGAGGAAGCTGTGGCATTTATTTGGTGTGTATATTACACTTTTTTATAATGTAATATAAAAATATTAATATTTTTCACTAATCCCAATTGTAAATATATATTTTTAGGTACTATATGCGTGGTGATTTCTTTCCCATTTATATTTTCGGAATGTGTGGGATGTTCCTCGGCACACAAATGGGCTCAAATGTTTTATTATGCTGCATTTATTTTAATATTTCAAATTGGATGGGCAGCAGTGCAAATATCTCATTTAAGTTTAATACCAGAATTAGCTGAAGATCCACATATTAGAATGCATCTAACAGCAATCAGGTATTTGTCATAATGTATGTTAGGTTAATTTTACTTATAATATGATCTATGGTGATGAAATGCAAGTATTAGTGTTGGAGGCCATCCAAGAAATTTGGATTTGCCTTAGAATTTGGTGCAGATAATGATGCCTGTGTGTCTGTGGAAAAAAAGAGAACATCTGTTTAAAAAATGCTTGTTTTCAGATGCTCCATATATATATATACAATTAAACTAAATCAAAAAATTAAATTATTTTTACAGTAACAACAAAGGAATTTTGCGACACATTACAAAAGAGGGACACCCCCAATAAATATTTTCTTTTGCATTTTTTTTGATATAACAATAGTTATTATAACTTAACTGACCCAAAATAATAAAAAAAACATGTAAAATGCCAGATGATCTCTTAATCTGGCTCTGTACTGGTAATATATTTGAATTAAATATTGTAACTAGTGCATATGACAGATTGATAATTCTGTTCACAGATATGGGTTTACAGTTTTCTCTAATGTATTTGTATACCTTATTACTTGGGCAATTCTGCATTTCACTGGAAACTGTGATAAGGAGGTATGTCAACTTATTATTTTGAGTAATTTAATGTAACAATAAACACATATAGCTTAATATTAATACATTTACTTACTTTTCCAGCAAGTAGGACCAGGTGATGCTTGGAAGTTTAAAGAGATTATGTTAATAGTCATAACTGTGGGATCACTGGCGGCATTCCTTTTTCATTTCTCAGTTAAAGAAAAACAAACAAGATACTCTGTACATGATGATACTGAAAATATCCCCATTCATTGTCGTCTATTTAGAAGCATATTATTGTATCAGGTGAAGTTTTAGTGTTATATATTCAATTCATGCTTGTACTTACAATTTTTTTTTATTAACAGTAAGTTATAATAGTAGTCTGCGTAATATTACATCATCAAGTGCCAATTAGTATAATGCTATGTTCTAGGTAGCAGGTATATACATGAGTACAAGGCTAGTAGTCAATGTGTCGCAGGTGCTAATACCTCTATACCTTCATAAAACATTGGGTTTAGCCGCAAGATCCCTTGCCGTAGTTCCATTGGCTATGTACCTTGGCAGTTTGATGGCTGCTGGTGTACAAAGATTAACACCAAGATCAATGACCAGAAAACTTAGCTATGTGTTTGGATCCATCTTTTCACTGTGCAGTTATATATGGATATTTTTTGAATCCGATTCAAATAATTTCAAAATTTACTTCATATATGTTGTTGCTGTATTCATAGGTTAGTAAGCCTATTAAATAAATACCATATTATCTTAAATTACTAAATCTGTAGGACAATTCGAAGGAAAAACGAAATTCTGATAATGAATATTATTCAATTGTAGGATTTGGAGGTGCACAAATGTTAGTGACAAGCTTGGCTCTAACGGCTGATCTAGTCGGTGAAAGCACACAGGCATCTGCTTTTGTGTATGGATTGATGAGTTTCACAGATAAACTGTCCTGTGGAATTGCTATTGCTGTCATCCAATTGTAGTAAGTATCACAATAATAGTTTAACTTGCTTATGTATTTTGATATTATATCCTTCCCTTTTTATTTTTAGTGCAGAGGAATCAGACACGACATATTATCGATATGCATTGTCAATCGTATGTGGCGCAGCTACTTTAATGGGAAGTGTCTTTACATTGTTCTTGCCAAATGTTGCCTACAACACTATTTCAGCTACAAGTAAGTGTATTGCCCAATAGTTTTCATTATCAGTTACCTTTGTCTACATATCACATTGACTTTACACCTGTATTCTCTTTCAGATAACCTCTCAGTTAATATTTCCGATCAAGAAACAGTACCTTCTGGACCTGACATTTAACATTAAGTGTGCCTATTGCCTAACACCTATTTTAGATGACATTCCATTTGTAAATATATAATGTTATGTAGGTTAAAATTTATATTGACAAATATTTATTAGATTATTATAGCCAAGTGATATTAATTATAAATAAAAAAGAATTATCTTAAGCTCAAAATAAAGTGTCTTTATACTCCTCCTATTTTTTACTATATCCATATTTTGAATTACAATGAATTCTGCTTATTCATTGCATTTAAAAATACAGAGACCATTACGTTAAAATTTTATGATTTAATATACATAAGGGGTGTATACATAAAGGTATTATAGTATGTGGTTCAAAATTGAAAAACTACATTATACTCAGATATATGCTCAAAAAATTAAAAAGAAACTTAAGGATAAAAAATACTTTAATATCACATGTAAAAGCTTGCACAGTAATTTTTCAAATGGAGTTAATAATCTCTCCTAAGCTGGCAGTCGTAAGCATGAGTGGAAAAATAAATAATTTCAAAAACTTTGCTCCTTTTAATCAGTAGCAACCAGAGCCATGACTGTGAATCTTACTTCATTTGGGTCTCTAGCCATAAATTCTTTACAAATTTTAGCAGCATCTTCTAATAAGGTCTCTGCTGATGTTGAACCATGATTAATAGGAAATGCTTTGCGACCATCTAATTCATATAAAACACCATCTTTCTCAACAAACGTTATAAAATGATGATTAACGGGTTCATTGGGATTAGCTTGAGTTTGCCCTTCTTGAGCCAATTCTTTATGAGCATTAATAATGCCTTCACTATTATTAAATAAAGCACTGCGAGCAGCAGGATCTAAGTCTTTTGCTGCCTCTAAGAATTTTTTCAGATGTCCATCAGCAATTTCAATTTTATCAGTATTATTGGCAACAGCATGAATTACAGCTATGGTCCCACAAGCATTACTAATATTCTGCTTCATATAAAAGAGGTTGTTGGAGACTTCTTGACCTTTAGAGAGAATTTCTGCTTCCTCTTTACCCTTATGCTGTTCATAGGCTTCCGAAATCGGAAACAATAGTGTCACCGCAGCAACAGGGCGAGGAACCCAAGATAGCATCTCTGGTTCGAGTCCCATTACATCGACGATATTCCATTTTGTAGGAACACCATGTTTTTGCAGGAATTTGTTAATAACGTCTGGGTTGGATTCTAACGGAACTAAAGCTTCAGCAGCCATTTCGATCCTGTTTCGGAAAAAATAAAAGATAGTGGAAGTCTTTAATATTATATGCCCAATCCAATCTATAATACAGTACAGAATATTTATGTCGACTTGTGTTAGTAAATTAACTGTATTACCTGTTTTTCCTGAGCAATCAGTATGAATACCAAATCGTATTGTACGGTCCGGCAAGATTTAAATTTTGTGATTATTGATTTATCATTGGGCAAATTAGGTTTTGGCACTGACACTTAACTCAATTCTCAAAAATTTGCAAGTCACCTTTGGGCGATATTTTATTAATTAAAAAATATTAATATAAGTATCCTTTATTAAGGAGATTAGTAAATTTTTATTCTATTATATATGCAAAATATAAAAAGTTACTTTTCACTACCTACTTTTTATTTGTGCCTGGACTGATTTTTCCGCCACGTCTGTGTTCCCTATTTAATCTGTGGTCGCATTCCTCATTTCCTTAATCATTAAAATTTTGAACAGTTTTATATCATTTTAAAACTATGTATATCTTCAATAAAAACTTTTAATTATAATTCGTTCAAAACAAATATCGCCTAAATACTTTTGCATTAATAATGCGGACCAATAGAAGTGAATTGTGGCATCCAGCGTCTTTTGCGAAAATATGATAATTTTATGAATATTGCTTTGTTTTTGCGATTATTGATAATATAAAACTTAAGAAATGGCAGTTTGTGGTCTTAGAACGATTCTTTTGATTGTTTGTATTTTAGAGCTAGTAAGTATAATTGTTACTGTTGTTTTACTGTATACGACTACTTGTTTAAACCTAAAAGTTGGTGTTGAGTAATATGATATTAAGATCTACGGAGTATCCGGGTTACTTTGTTGGTGTTGAATTACATACATTTCATATAATTGGTTTATTTGCAGATTGTTACTATTCAAAGACAAGTGTTTGACTTCTTGGGCTATATGTGGTTACCTATAGTTACAAATTTTATAAACATTCTTCTAATAATATTTGGTTCTTTTGGAGTTGTCCAGTTGGTAACGAAATATCTTATTGCTGTAAGTACTTTAGTTGGTCAATTAATAACATATATTCTAATTTACTAAGTTTTTTACTGTCACATTGTCAAATTTTACTTATTTAATAGAAACAAATTTTTTAGTATGCAATATGGAGCTTAATGTGGTTTGGCTGGAATGTCTTTTTGATTTGTTATTATCTGAATGTTGGAGTATTAAACCGGGTAAGTTTTTATAAAATACATTATTTTAGTAATTTTAATAAAGTTAGCAACAGTTAGCTGTTGAAAATGTTCAGGGTATAACACTGAACATTAACACAGTTAAAAAATTTAGATATGACTTCTTGTTGATGTTATTTTTTCTATATTAAATAAATAAAATTCTTTTTAGGAAAGTGGCTTATTATCCCTGGGAACAGGAAGTATAAGTTGGTGGGAGAGTAATGGATGGGGTTGTCAACCTGTTTGGGGTGAAGTTAACAGTCCAGGAACTTGGAGACCCGATAGAGTAGATGGATGTTTCTTTCCATGGTATCACGTTGAATTGGCGCAGTCTTCTATTGCTGCATTTCTTACTGCCACAGCCTTGCCACTTACTGTACTTCTTGCTTGCCGATCTTATAAAAGACAGAAACCGACTTCAGGTATATTATTGTTCTGTTCATTGAACACATCTGTGGGTCAATGTTGAGAGTTTTCCTTTTGAATTTTGGGCAACTACAGTCACTCAGAAGTTCTATCAATGACCTGCTTACAAATATGTCTGTCCAATGCCTTGCTTATATTCAAGAAATAACAGTACTTCACTTGATTTTTGCAATTTTAGATACAAAGGATGTCATATTAAATCTATACTAATGTAAAAAGTTTAAGAGTTTTTTGTACGCGCTAATCTCAGGAAGTACTTGAAAAATTATTTTTGTGTTGGTTAGAGCATTTATCAAGGAAGACAATTAAACATTGTGCTGTGAATGTGATAGGAGTGAAGAAACGGCAAGAAATGTGGAAAAACGGGGAAAATAATTCATCTTTGTAGGTTTCCGACCGCCTCTGCAGCTAAATGGTTAAACGTGTTGCCTAGCATTGCGTTAAACGCGAGAGGTCCTGGCTTCGAATCACGGCGAAACAGGAAATTGTTTCTGTTGGGCAGGGCACAGAAGTCTGAGCAACTACTTGCCTGTAAATACAACCTACCAGTGAAACGAACACAGAAATGTGTTCGAAAGGCTAAAATATTTGTTGTGTAAATTATGTTTTGTGTGTTTCAGACAAGGGTACCCTGCAACGTCAAGTATATACTATAGAATTAAGCCCGACCGAAACAAATATAAGTGAAAGTTCTCTAAAGCCCATGACTCCAAGACGAGTGAAGCGGCGATCTGGTTCGCGAGGCGCGGGGTCTTCGGTGAGGCGTTCGCGGCGGTCCTACAGGAACGCTGGTTATATGGCATCTAATGCTTCCTTACCGTCCGAGTCTAGGCCTTCCCGTCCCACTTCAGCGCATTCTTCTTATTCGAATTTCCACGCAGCCCGCCCGAATTCGTACCACCCTACCGATAGGGAAGGCACACTACGGTCGCAAGACGCGTATGAACTGCCACCGCCGCCTGCAGAGTCTATACCAATCATTACTAACCGGTATGAAACAGTGCGACGGAGCGTCAAGTCGGAACGTGGACACGATGTAGTCGGACCTTACAATGAGCCAAATAGATACGACCCCCCGCGGAATTATGAAAATAATGGAAAACCTTATGATAAAATCGGTCGAGTTTATGACACGCAAAGCTACGAGAGCAGAATTGAATCTATGTCCCCAACTGAACCCACGTATGGTGGAAGTGGTTACTGTATGAGCGGTTACCCAGTCGGTGATGGAGGTTGGGAGGCCCCTCCACCTCCTGCGCCCCCCTACAGCGCTCGTGCAACCCCCCAGGCACCCGGCCCTCCAGCATATCAACAAGTAAACGACGCTTACAACAATATGATGCCTTAGTGCCTTTCCAGTAATGTTATGTTACAGCTCAATTTGCACTATTTTTTTATAACAATGTACACATTTGTTATCAAAATACTTTTAAGATATTATTTAATACATCACTCTTAAGACGAGATATAAGCGTAAGTGTACTTTGTAACTTTTAAGTAATTGTTGTTGTTGTATTTAATACACTTTTGTTGAATGTAGGATGAATCTTTGACAATGAATATTTTGTTGATAAAACTTAGTTCAAATTTAATCTCATATATACACTTTACTGTAATTTTTATATTTTTGTATACCAGTATTTTCCTAATGAGTACTAACATTCCATAAATAAATGAAATAGATATGAATGAGCACAAGATATTTTCATCCGTCCATTAAAATGCTTGTAAATGTAAGTATCATTAAGACCTATACATTTAGTATCTATATTTTAATAAGATGTGACTGGTAATATCTCCACCTGATTTTATATTACGCCATGTTGTTAAATTAAACAAATATTGTAATGATATACAAAATGAGCTTTATTAGTTAAGTTTTAAATGTAAGTTGGAATTTAATTTGGAATTTTTTATACCAAATATATGTATGTACTTATCTACTTCAATGGGATAATTTGTTTTATTTTATTCATTTAGCTTTTTTCCTCTTTTTAGCAACGACTCACACATAAGATTTAATTAAAACTTTCAAACTATTCATACTTTTAATGTTTAAGCCAGATAATTTCATTTAAATGCAACCAATTACATAATATTATTGCATTAACTTAATAAAACAACATGTATTTTATGAGCACTGTAATTATATTACTCACATAGGCTAGAAAATAAACAAAATATTCAACAATCATTCATTATGTTACAATAAAGAATAACATACATATTAATATTTATGACATTGGAGCTCTTTAACAAAATACATAAATAGTAATGAAGTACATGACTAGGTGATAGGGTTTAGGAAAGGAAAGTCACGATTTTTAGAGCTGATAATTACTTGTTATACTTTGACACTGCAAAATAAACATGCTGCCAACAGATACTTTCACGCAGACCTAAGCACACAATGCGATATTGTAAGAAATCTAGGACCACGATAGACTATGAAAGAAGAGCGAGTTCAGTGTTTTCGGATAAAGGATTGTATTCTCTCTACTGACTGAATTATTTAATTTTGGTGAGGTTGGGTTAAGAGTAATAAGAAGAATTTTGTTTTAAATAGCGGGTAAAGTTCGTCGCTCCGTTGGTGTGAGATCAGGGTGCCAGACGTCAACGATAAGTACGAGTCGTGAGCCGGTACCGTTGTGCCACACCTCATGTTCGAAACTATCGTCGAATATAAACACTTTGCCTATCTCCCATTGCCTGAAAGCCAAAAACATTGAAATTTAACACTACAATTTTCATACCAAAAAAATAAACTATTCACTTACCTCGTTTCCTGGCCCACTCTAATAAATGTATCTTTGGTATTGCTAAGCCCGAGGTGCATGCGCAGCCGGCAGTTGGTGGGGCCGACGTGCGGACGCACATGCGTACCCGGTTCTATCGCACTGAACTTGACTTGCCCCCTTCTACATCCCGCCGCAGCCGCCTCGCTCTTAACTATAGAACAGGTCACCGGCGCCCTCTTACATCTTCCGGGGACCTCCTTACCGCGCACGATTATATCTAACTGCGACCACTCCCCGCGTTCCTTCAAACCTTCCTTCTCTTTTTCATAGAATTCCTTGGCGGCTAGACCCTCTTTCAATATCTCCCGCCACGAGGTCTCGAGGGCGCGTGCTAGTTTGATGTACGGCGTCGTTTCAATCGGCCACCAAGGCCGACTTTTAAGCCGCGGTACGTTATACAGCGAGCGCTGCTCTGGTGATAGAAAGTGACCCTGGGCCGCACCACGTTTGTGCACTTCATGGGCCTCTCCAAATTTTCCCAGCTGAAGCAGTGCGTCGCCCAAATGGTAGTAAAAGCGGGGCTCGTTCGCTGCGCCGACGTCGTCTTCTAATGCTTTCTCTAAATATGTCACGGCCTCTGTCAATAGGTTGTACTGATTCTTAAGAACGTATCCATAATGGCCTAACGCAATTCGGTCATCAGGCCAGCGGAGAAGAGTTTCTTTGAGAACCGATGCCGCTAAGTCGGCCCTAAAATAAAAAGAATAACTCAAATTGAGTAAAGTTTGAATAAATGTGGTAACTAATGGATAAGTAATACATATTTTTTAACGCATCATACCTGTTAGCCATTAAGAAAGACACTGTTAAATTATTTCTGTAGTGTACATTATCGGGAAATCTTCGAATCAGTAGTCTGTAGATAGGTTCAGCATTGAGATAAGTTCCTGAAAAAAGAGACGAAATCAATCTGATTCCAATAGAGAATTAAAATGGTTTTTGAATCTCTATTGAAACCTTGACCAAGAAAATACATCATTTTCAAAATTACCTCTAAATTGTATTCTGTCTATAGCTCTGTGCGCGACGTCAACTAGCTTTTGATCCGGTAGTCGCTCGTTCTGTTTAAGTAACTGTAGGTAGACGGCGATTGCCCGTGACAGTATTTTGTTGTCTCTTTTCGCTTCCGCCATGAAGTCCAAGCACCTGGCCACAAGCCACTGTGCGCGCGCGCAGCTTCCCAGCTCTGCAGCCGAAGCGCGCCGCTCACACGAAGACCACGCCCCCTCAATACGTTAGTACATACATTCACACATATCACACACCCACTCAACTAATCTACGACTTATGTAATAATGGATGCTAATAGGGTTAGTCGTCCGAAGACCGTCAGAGGGACTTTGCGCAGGGTGCGAGCGCGCAGCACTATCTGACGAGTCTCGGGACAAAAAAGGGAAATATAAAAATGGCACAACGAGCGAGTTAATTGTGTTGTTATTCCAACCAATCCTGTAATAAAAATTTAGAATGTATTTTAAAACTCGCGATAAATGTTTGCAGAGCATGTTGTTGAACCTCATAACGTTAATCACAACAATGTACATGCTCAATACAGGAGAAAACCAGTACCATGCTCCAAAACAACACCTGGGTTAATTTACGTCAAGAAAATCGTGAGGTCACTAACAACATTTAATAAATATTACTATTCCTGTCTTTTGTGTATTGGATTCTTCAGTAATAAGTTATATAATTAAGTTTAGGCTTAAGTACTCGCAACAGATATTGATTTTTCCTGTGAATTGAGATATAAAAGGGCTTTTACTTACGGCACTAAATGTGTATCCTTAAAAAGAGATTTAAGAATACATTATAGCAGCATACCTGTCGAAGGTCCTCTTCGGCAAGATCAAGTTGTTGGCTCCAGTAAGGATCGCTCGGTTCTCCCGGCCAATTTTCTTCAAAGGCATTACCACCGCCTTCTGCAATTAATATTTAGTAGCAGTTAACACTTACTTACTGTCTGTAGTTTACGCGAGTAGTACACATGATTTTTAACTATGGCCTGACGTTTCGGATGCTTTGCAGCAGCCGTGCTCACAGGGAGACAAAGACCGAAACGTCGGGCCGTTTGAAACCGTTAAAGTGTTTTATTTAAATGATCATTTGTAAAAAAATATTACAATAACATTGACCGTAAATTTTAATCCAAAATTGTATGAGACGATGATTAGACAAACGATTCAATTATATGATGAAAACAAAGCGATTTTGAGAAACGAAAAACAGTTAGTGTCACTCACATTGGTTAGTCATGCGAAGTGCGTGTAATCACTAGGTTATGCGCATGCCAAGGCTATGGTTATGATAGCGCACGCTGACGAGGTTTGTTTACTGTATATGCCGGGACGTTCCGGTTCCGGCAGACGACCGTATTTAGCTTCTAATCGACTCAACAGTTCAGTATCGTCGACGTCCGATATCTCTTCCTCTACTTCATCTTCCTCGTCCTCTAATTCTTCTTCAATTTCTTCTTCGTCGATAATTTCTACATCTTCGTCGTCTTCGTGAGGATCTTCAGTAGAAGGAAGAATCACTGGCATGATTTTTGTTTCTTTGACTTCGGGTTTTTTAGGAACCTCTTTCACTACCTCTTCTTCATCTATGTCTTCTTCCTCTTCTTCACTAAAAAGTTCACTTTCATTATCGTCATCTTTGACATATACTTCTATCACCTAGCGAACGAAAAGAGTGTTAACGTCATTTTGTGTCCGATACTAGTCTCAGTAATTTCATTGTACTTACTTTTTTAGCGGTGTTTTCACTCTTGGTAGTATCTTTCGTCACCGGTTGCGGTGTAGTCGTAGTTTCTATAACTGGAGTAATTTTTTGTATGATATCCTCGTTCGAAACCACTTTGGTATTAGGTATTTGTGGGGTGGCCTGCGCTTCAGGTATAAGTGTCATACGTCTATCAATTACGGACGGTCCTTCGACATTTACTTGTTCTTCGGTATCCGGTTCATCTGTCGTACCAATTATTTGGTTATTATTTGAATCGTATAATCAGGTAACTAAGACAATCGGTTTAATAGTATTAATCTGTACGCACCACGAGGGGCCGAGGCGCGTCGCACGACCGCATGTGTTGCGACCAATAGTGCGCCGCCCACCACCAGCTTCAGCCACACTGCAACATTACCCGCTATTAATCCTCTCGTGTTCCTTTACTACTTAAAAACTCGAACACTAATTGACATTTACTACTGAGACGCGGCTACAGGCATTATGGGTTCATCATCTTTGTAAGATATAATACAAGTGACCAAAAGTTTTAACCGAATCCAAATTTTGTCGACGGACCTAATTAGCAACGGGTAACATTTTTCCTATTTCTCGTAAACTATTCCTGGATAAGTGACACGGTTTGAAAATAGTGACATCGCTTATTATGTAAGCTTAACATTTACCTTCCATACGAACGAAGCCATTGTATATGTCTAATCCGATGGAAACTATGGAATTCATGACATTTATTTGTGAAATGAATAAAACGAATAGTTCATGCGGGCACGTCGCACTTTCGTGTTGACTGCGAATGAGCTCAATTCACGTGAGGTGCGTGGGCGACACAAATTACGCCGGCCGCGGAGTTGGCTACGCGGTATTTCTGTTTTACCAATTGTTCATAGCGCCTAGGACCTAGTCATATACGATTCTACTTTATCGAAAACGTATAATGACAAAAAGACATACATGCTGATTAAGGATACCGGATTTGTTATATTTTTTCGCGGTAAGCGCACAGGTCACCCATAAGCAAAAGCCAAGGTTACAGTGTTAGTTATATGCAGACTATATTAGTTAATTCTAAGTAATAATAATAATTCAGACGTCAAGTAATCATAAAATAAGATAAATAAAGCAAGAATCCTTTATAAGTAAAGGCAAGTAATTTTTTAAAGTGGTAAAATCTTAGCATAGCTGTAGTAAACATTGAACAATTTCACTTACTGCTTTCTGAGGATTGTGCTTCGCGCTCTTTTTTAAGTTCTTCTTGTTGCTGTTCATACTCTTCCTCTTCAGCTAATGTATCTTGAGTTTTCTGGATGGTTTCTTCTTCTACCTGTGTTAGTATTTAAAAAGGTACCTTAAACATTTTCAAATTATTTTAATATAAAAATTATTAATAAATATTTCAATATTTCCCAAAACCCAAAATTCTCTTTTTAATTTTATGCTAACGCCATTTGGCATATCCCCGAATCGGCGATAAGTTCATCAAAACGGCATATTTTTATTCGGACTAACCTCGGCAGACCCATACTTTTACAAAGGCCACATCTCAAAAAGTTACCTTGTTTCATGAGAATTTCCAAAACTAAGAAGCCTAAACACAGTATTTGATAAAAGGGCATACCCAAAACAAGGGTGACTCAGTACACTTCATGATTGGGAGAAATATTACAAATGCGTTGAAATCTTTGCCAATCTTCAACATTCATTAAAACAGCTAAGAAAAAAGCGCACCTTTACTTCAGAGAATTGGCACACGATAGTTTCTTCGACTTAAACTCTTGGCTGCTGGTAACTACACGTTACAGAAGATGGAGAAAATTGAGATGGGCAGATATAAATTTGATTAAGAAATGAAAACTCTTTTTTAAGACTTCTACAGACCAGGAGTTTAAAGTCAGTTCCCACTTGACCACACCCAACTCTAAAATATTACCACGAACACAAAAAATTTATTCTTAAAAGCTAAATTTCCAGATAAAAAAAAAATAGGGTATTCTTATATCAAAGTATTATGAAGCTTTTTATTCTAATCTTTAAAAATAGTTAAATTTGTTACAGAGAGACTTACTTAAGCGTAAAATAGTAAGTAGCAGTTGTTAATTAATAATAACATGAAACCGCCTTTTTAAAATTGTGCCTGTTGAGGTTTTAGAAGTTTTAATGTTTTGTTTTATCTTATTTTTTATGTGGTAAAAAACTTCTTTGTAATAAAAGTTGAGTTTTTGATTTGTTTTAAAAATTACATAGTTCAAAAGCAAGGATTTTTATTTATTCTTTTTAATTAAGATTTTATCTCCTCAACATATGTATGATGAAATTTTTAATAATACACTTTTATTTTTTCTTACTTCTGGCCTTTTATTGAAAATAAAATTTGAATCGTAACAAATATTTTATATGCAAAAGGGACTTATGTGCTTCTACTCATCTTCGCTTACATTACCCACAAAATTACACATTAACCATCTTACTATAAAAACAAGCATTAAAAGTACGAGTGCTAAATATTAACAAAAAATAAATAAATAAATTATAATGTACTCTCCTCAAAAACTCTTAATTTTGAGTTGTGGCCCTTTTGTTTATAAGCAGCGATATGTCCATACAAAAATGTTACATGTGAATGTTTATGACTTGAATATTTGACATAGCATGAAGCATTGACAGGTAAGTCTAGCCACTTGTGGGGGCAACAAGTCCACAAAGAAAATTTTTAATATAATATCACAAGACTTAAAGTAAGTTTTGTCGCATCATATTAAAATTATAACTTATGTCTTTGAATTATAACATTTTCTGTCTAATATATTTAAAGAAATACTGGCTATGTGCATTATTATGAAAAAATTGATCTCGCCACAATGTAAGTATGATCTATAATAAAATTATCATCAAACCTCAGTGTAAGGATTTCCAGTTGATGGTACAGTAATTTGTTCCACTGGCGGTTCATCATCATCATCTTCTATGCTATTTTCCTCAATATTATTTTTTTCCTTTTCTTCTGAATCACCTGAAAAGGCATTAGGTGCATTTTTCGCGAAAAGAAATGGAATAAAAATACCTTTATTACACATTATTTTGAAATAATTGTTGCCACCTAAACAGATTTTATTAATATAAAATCGTCGAGAAAATAGGTTTGTCACATTTCTACCTTGTCCCTATTTCTATTTGACATTGACTTTTAGTCAATCTGATAATATTAATGTGACTTGAAAGGTTTATGTTCCATACTCACCATCATCTTCTGCAATATCCTCTATTTCCTCACGAGTAGATGCTTCTGCTGAGAGAATATCTTCGTCTGATATTTCTTTTTCAATTTTTTCCACTTCTCCATCATCCTCATCAACATCATCTTCAGGTCCATCCTCCTTAAAAGTAAGTCATTCTTTTAAATCAGTTAACAAAGTTCTACAATCAATCAATAAGTTTTACATAGGTTTTGTAAAAAATATTCTAAATTGTAAAGCTTCATAAAAGACAAACTTTTATACTAATTACAATACGATAATATAATATATAACATTAAAAAAGTATAATTTTCTTTACACTAAGCACTTGGTTATATATATTGTTACAATAATATATACTTGATGCTATTAATTCATTAAAAGGAATAAATTTAGAAAGCAATGCTGGTTAAATGCCAATCATCTAATATAAAAATAATCAATTAATATATTTTAATTATCTTCCACATTTCACACAACATATTCAATTTAGATTCAGACAATTGTTAAGTATTATTTTTTTATTTTTAAATAGCAAACTACATAACCCATGACAGCACACATTTATTTAAAATATGTTTGAACCTCATTTAGCCACTCATCATCATCTGCAGCATTTATTTCATCACTTTCTTCAATCTTATCGTTACTATCCCTATTTTGGTTTAACTGTTCTTCTGAGTCTACTTGATCTTTGTTTTGTTTGTAATAATAATTTCTGTTTTCTACTCCTTCAATATCATCATCATCTTCATTTAAATCGCCTTCAACATGCTGATCTCCAAATTTTTGATACAAGTTATATTCAGTGTTATCTTCATCAGCCTGTGTTATTACCATTATTATAAAATAAGGAAAGAGTTAAAGGAATAACAAATATTTGTTTGATAATAGACAATAATATTAATTTGATCACCTCCTCATCACTTTGATTATTATCAGCATCAACTTTATTATCTTCATCACTTTCTTGGATGGTTTCAGTATGGTCGTCAATTTCGCCTTCCTCATCATCTTGATCATCGTCCTCATCTTCAGCTTCACTGTCTTCGTCATGACCATTCTCATGTTCATCATCTTCTTCATGGTCACCAATATCGTCGTCGTGTACTTCGCCATCATCATGATCCTTTTTATTTTTTTAGTGTAGAAATAAGTTTACCTAATTCTCTTTCAATTTCTATGTTACATAATAATCTTACATTACATAGTAACGTAAGCATTAACCATTCAGATAATATTATAAAGTTTAACAAAAGATCTAAGGGTATGAAAAATATGAAATTAAACAAAAGCTTTCTATAATTAAAAAGCAAAAAGTAAAGAGAACCCTTAACAATTATTCTATACACAATTTTAAATACAACTTACAGGGTTTGTTAATTCCAATGTGTGTTCATCATGATGATCATCTGGTGTATCTTCAATCCAGCCTTCTAAAACACCAGAGTATCGAGATTCAACAGCATTGGCTTCCACTGCAGTAACATCAATTGCAAACTCATACAAATGACAAATAAAAGATAAATAAAACAAACCAAACTATTTCTATATCTTACGTTCAGTTAAACCTCGATTTTCCAGAATGATAAGTCCAATGAGAGTGACCAATACAGCAAGCAGAGAAAAGAAGATAATTTTAGCACACCAATGTCCCCCTGTACCATGTTCATGATAAGAATGAATGAAAACATCTCCTTCACCCAATGCTGCAGCTGTCCCTCTGGGTTCCTCTACGCCGAGTTCATCTGAAATAGCATTTCAATAATTTCATTAGAAATAAGCAATAGTTTAAATTAGCTAGGAATAACAATATATGTCCTAGATTTTGTTTAATTTAAGTTATTAATTAGCATTCTTACCCTTTCTTTTTTTCTTGTCTTTCCGTTTCCTTGGTTGCACGTCTCCCGACATTGTTCAAGTCGCCTGGCGCTATTGTTTCATAACACTAGGTAAACAAAGGATAAACGAATAGGTGTTTGGCAAGATGAATTGGATAAAGTGCGCAATTTATATTAAATACTAATTAGTAATGACTACTACGCACGTTTATATGTCAAAATAACCTACAGGAGAAACGCACCACCCTCGCCAGCCGCTTTAGAAATGTACCACCGTCGCCCGCCGGTTTATAAAATTTATTTTAGAATATTAACCTAAAAATAACCGGCGAAACAGGGCTAGACGTCAGACGATTTTTTTTCTTGGCTCAAATCATAAACAGCTGTCATTTGACAACACTGGGTAGTTGATTCTTTGGACAATATGACATTAACAAACAAAAATTCCACTATTATTATTATTTTAAGTTGTTAGACCAATTATTAATAATGTTACTTTTAGACTCATACAGAGCCAACAATTTAAACATTCAAATTAAAAGCTTTTGAATGTGAAAAATTCACAGGAGAACTACGGAGTTTTTAAGCCACCTTTATTATATCCTATCTGCTGAAAAGAACTACCGGCTATTGCGGTTTCCATTGCCACTGGCATACATAGAGTAGAATAATTTATATGAGATTGCTGGCATATTACTAAAATGTGTGAAGTGGCTGTGTTACATGATGGCTATTCCAATATGAATGGTGACGGCTACATGATAGCCAACTGTACCTGTTCTGTTATAACTGGTATCAATAATATAATAGTTGATACCATGACACCTTGGGACTCCAAAATAATAATAAATTGTAAGTATTTCTTTGTCATTTAATATCAGTAACTAATAATACATTTTACTTAGAAGAAAAGGATTAACCCATTAGTAAATAAAGTAATCTCTAAAATGGACTCCATCCCCATCCATGCTATGGTTTGAACTTTTTCTAAAACACATTTTACTTCTTTACAGCTTTAAAGAAGCGTGAACTGGACTGTGAACAAATAGAATATGTAATATCAACCCATGGTCATTCAGACCATATTGGCAATAACAACCTCTTTCTTAAGGCAACTCATATTGTTGGGTGGAGTATTTCATTTAAAAATAAATATTTTATTCATCCATTTGAGAAAGGTAAATAAAATGTCACTATGGTGGTTCATTTGAAAATCATTCTAAAATTTGAAGTGAACTGAACTGTGAACTGTTTTTGATTGACTCTTAGATTGTCTAAGAATATTTGTTGCTACAATTGTTTCAGGTGTGTCAACACAAAGATAGAGAATCATAAGTCCAAATAATTTCTGAGAATAAGAAAAAGATTTTGAATTAATGTGCAACTGCCATTACACTATTAATGATATGTAGAAGGAAAATAATTGTAAGTTAAACATATTTGCAGGAGAAGAGTATGTAATAAACGGTAGTGTCAAAGTACTTCCCACTCCAGGGCATACATTGTCTGATGTAACTGTTCTCGTGAAGACTAAGGATGAAGGCACTATTGCTATTACAGGTGATAACTTATTTTTATGCAGTTGATTGCTTTGCTCGTCTTACTTGGCAGACAACTTAGATTGTGATATACATAAGGTCCTGGGTTCAAATAACCTACTGACTGTTAATAAAATTAAACAGTGAAACAAAGTAAACAGATAAGATTTTCTAGAAAATTAATACTAATTACATAAATTGTTACATTGATTGTTGCTGCTATGTTTATATATTTTTCCATTGATAGTTAATAATAAATTAATTGTAGGTGACTTATTTGAAAAATGTGAAGACATAAGTAATGAAACATTATGGAAAGATATGTCTGAAGATCCTGCAAAGCAGTCAAACAATAGATCAATGATAGCTAATTTAGCAGATTGGATAATTCCTGGTCACGGGCCAATGTTCAGAGTCACAAATGATATGAGAGAAATGTTAAAATCTCAAGCTACTAATTATAATAACAATGCATAACTATTATCTAGTTTTGTATCTAGTAGGGTAACATAAATCAATTCTCAGAGGGGCGATTAGAAACAACATTTTGCTTCCATTTTAAAATTTTATTAATCATTACAAATTTTGTTCATAAAAAAATTCTGATACTTAATTTTTTACATAGTAATCACATTTTTTAAAGATTGAACCTGAATAAACAATGGAAAAAAACTTGTATTTTATTATCAGCTGTTTCGGAAAAAAAAGGGACAAAAGATTGGCAAATTTAACTGTACTAACAATTTGATTCCCCTATAAAATGAAAAGGGCAGAAGACCATTTGTTATAAAAAATATATTGATAAGTTAAGCCTTTTTTATTGTAGAAAAAAAAATCTTTATAAATTAGTTCAGATTTGTTAAAAGAATAAACTTGAAAATTAGTCTAATAAAAGTGTTTGCAATGTCTAAGCATGTACAGATCAATAATAGAAATACATACTTCCTAAAGAAAGAAAGTAATACACTAAGATAACTTTGCAAGAAAAAAAAACAATAGTCAATAATTGCACTAACCATTTGGCTTCACAAACCAAATATCACAATGAAGTAGATCAAAAAGAAATAAATATTACAGCAGATAACAACCATTTGGTTTGTATTAAATCCATTTAATGGAAATGAACATTTTTTATGTGACTACAATTTGAGACAATCTGTTTTGTACTCAACTCTGTATTGATGATTGTTTGACGATAGTCATAATACTATTCTATGGTAAATAGAAATAAATTCGTACTTTAAACTTATAGCCTTGTGTGCACTCAGTATTTCAAACAAAACATTAGCCAAGTGCACCAAACTCTGTACTTTGATAAAATTTGCACACGACAAATAAAGCTACGCTCTTATCCTAAAAGTGGATTATGCAGAAAGTTTCATTATAAGTGGATGACAAAGTATCTAACACTACTTAATAAATTCAAGTAGTTACTTAATAGATATCCAAATGAAATTTAAGACTATTAAAATATTTGCTACAAATATATTACATTATACAGCCGTTTCCACTGCTTTTGGACACATTCTGAATACTTCGAAATTAACACCAATCAGTATTCTTCTTAGGTGAACAAATATTTGACTTCACCATTCCGTATCTAATTTTAAAAATTCGTGGCACAAAGAGCATAGGTTACATTATACATACTCGACAATTATATGTTACTGCCAGTTATACCTTCTACTGAAATCCTCGTATCCACAAGTCCTGGCCAAAGTTGCTGCGTGCAATAATTAAAAGCAATGTTAAATTCTTCTAATTGAACTAATAGTTAAGACCTTATATCACAGACGATGATCGACATAGCTAAAAACTTATATATTCCCATATCCATTCCGAACGCTAAAAGATAGCTGCAACCAAGAAAAAATAATTTATAGTCGCAAAATTAAACGAAGCGAGTACTGAAGCGATGGAAAAGGATTAAAGTCTCATAATGCCTGTTGTACCTGGGGGTCGATACTTGTAGGAACTGGTTGAGGCTCATCGATACATAAATCCGAATCGGAATCAGTTCTTCGGAGACCGTTGTTATCCTGAAACACATCGACATTTGCATTTCATATTTGATAATCTTATTAAACATGCTTTTGAGAATTGTTAGAAAGACTCGTCTAATATAGTACAACAATTCGTGTGTGGTGTAAAATCTTGCATTCCTAATTTGGCAGATATATAGATTTTCAGGGGTGCTTAGAAGCTAGGTTGGAAAGGTGCACTGTTTTACTTACTCCTTGTGTGTATTGGCGAGTCGTAGTCAATAATCGGGCGAGTGGCCTACAGAATCCAGGCAACGTCTCTGTCAACGGTGGTCTCGCGTGCGTGAGCAAAGGTTTCAGCAGGCGAGAGTCCAAGGCTCCCCACAACTTGGCGAGGCGAGCCTTCTCACTGCCACTGTCCCCGCTACCGCGCTGGCTCTCCTATAGAAACAGAATGACATACGATATAGGCAGCTGTTAGACAACCGAGAGTAATTCTGTCCTATTTTTTTGTGCTGAACCATATCTCTATCTTGTGCAAATCTGATGACTGTTATTAGATTAGAACCATACAGAGAAAATCTAGTAAAGAGTTATATAAATTCGTTATTGTCTAGTGTTATTTGTATTTATTAGTATATTGTAACAGCATTTAAATGAAGTATAGACTAAATATAATAAAATGTATTACATACTGCTTCATAGTTTAGATGGCAAGGCATTATGACGCCGCTCTCGTCTTTGCCCCACTTAACTACCATGCGGCCGCTCTAGACATTGAAACCAAATAATTTGATAAAAGTAAACATGCAAGTTTGCTTAGAGTGGATAGCGTGCGGTAGGATGGACGAATGATTCCTCGCTGTAATCAGGCTTTTAGATCATGAACATGCTTAGATGTGGCGACTGAAATATCTGTCAACACTGTCTGTAGATTACGCGAATCATACACATTTAAATAAAACAATAAACAGTTTTAAACGCGTAATATATGAATAAGCTTATTTTACAGTTTTGATGCTATGCAGCTGCTGCAGTCACCCCGTGACTATGCTATGAATATATTTCGCGATCTTAACGGTTAATTAGTGTTTTATTTAAATATCTATCGTCAGAAACTTTTATTTAATAATATGATGAATAACGTTGCTTAACATTTCAGTCATGAATTGTTTAACAAAGGGAGAAGAGTTCCGTGTAGTTGAAGAGTACCGTAAGTTACCAAAGAGCATTTTTTCGGTTAATTCGTGAGTACTTTACAGAGCTAGCATGAACAAACACTGGGGGACATGCTCATTTCAAAACATGCACTTTTTAATAGTTTAGTTATTAGGTTAATATCAATTCAATTGGTTAGTAAAAACCATCAAAATTTCCGCATGCTGTTGTGTTCTTACGCATGATCGGTCACAACTAGTCGTCTGTCTGTCCATATTGCGAAGCCCCAAACTTATTTCGGCAGGCTGACAACAAAATTGTCTACATTACAAGTGCTTCGTGAGTTTTTTACACATGTCTACAGTTTGATTTTATAAAATAGTGTTAGGAAAGAGACAATAGTTTAAAAAAACTTGACGTTTTAAATGTCTTAGAAGAATTAGTGGCATATATATGCTGCAAGGGTTATATGGGTTCCGAATAAGCTACACGGAAATTTCTCCGGCCCTTTTCAACACCGATGTAAATGGGAGTAGTGATGGTTCACGAATATGTGACGTCAAAGCACGTTAACACATTAGCTCAGCGAATGCCTCTATACGTACCGGGCTTCCCATGTCCGTGGCCTGGTACAGCTGCCACAAGAATTTCTTGTTAATCACATACGAGGTGGAACTCGCGTACCAATAATATTCAAAATCTTTCAAAATATAGTTATCGAAGGGTGAAACTTAGTATTCGAACTGCATTCTCTTCAGAGATTAGATGTTCTTTTTTTGGCGAAATGTAAAAGCGCGCACACGTTTAAATGAATGATGCAACACTAATATGAAAGAAAAAACACAATGCAAGGAGTGGCATCAAAAATTCAAAACTTTTAAAAATCCACGTTCATTATGCGATCCCAATAAAAATCGTCTTGTCATAAAGCTGTATCTACACGAATAACATATCATTTTTCGTATTTCACAAACTAGAGCATGTTAGCACTATGTTGTACAGTGAATGAAAATACAGGCATTTAACAAATGCTTAGAACCTAGATCCCAAAGAGGAAAAAGTCTATCAATACGTTGCTCTGTGTTGAAGATAGCTAAGACTAAAGCTTTGTGCATTTAGATAAAATAATGGAAGCTTATTGACACTTACATTTCTCACATCCCTATAAGGTAGCGCTTCACTCTCCTCTGACTGTCCTTGGCTGAAAGAGAATTAACATTTGTTTAGTATGAATATATCATTCACAAAGAGTAACTATAATTATTCCGTATTAATATTATAACGAAGATATATCTTTTGTGTCTCTCCTTCACGCCTTAACTCAGCAATTTTTTCTCGGTAAGAGTTTATAGGAGTAAGAGTAGAGTAGAAGTAGGACGTGGCCTATTTTCGTCTATGTCTATATGCCTAAATATATTCGTAGTTTTACGGGAGAACAAAACAAAGAGACAACCACGGGGTTCATTTGAAGGGAGTTAAAATACCCCAGCCTATAACATCTACACCAGATGTGTTGTCGACCTGAAGCCAGACTGAAATCAAAACGCGATTAATCTTCACGGCTTTTTCATCTGTGGATTGTGGTCATCACCCATACATTGCTACCATAAGAACAACGCGCCCGTCAAAATCATTATTAGTCATTATCGTACAGGTGCGATCTATTCCTTCTATCTTTTTGTCCTGCAGAAATAAAGATCTACTAAAAGCTGGCTAAAAGGTGTATTAAGCTTTCATCACGATGAGTTAGTAATATAGAAGATCGTTCAACCTAAGGTCGTACCCAGTGGGTATGCGCAGGTAGGCTAGCGCGTGCGTGGCGGCACCGCCCTGGAGCACCACCGTCGCGATGACTATGAGGGACGTGGTGGTGAGCATGGCTTGGCGCGCTTCGGAGACAGTGTTGCGGATCGCAAGAGCGAATGACATGGCTCCACGCAGACCTTCAACGAAAGAAACGAATAAGGACAATTACTTATGTATCAATGAACTAGCTGTGTCAGCGACTACGTCCGCGTGCTAATTATTTTGGACATGCAAAATTTGTTTTCGGAAACCTCTTCATCTCTATAAATTGAAGCAGTTACCAAAAGTTGTCGTAGTGTAGACATATAGTGTCGTGGATATTTTACATCATTTCATTTCATTCGGAATCATTCTTTGATACATATTTATGGGTATTTTGAATCGTTTTCGCAGCGTACGCATAGGCACCCACAAAGATGAATAATATTCTTTGTTTATCCCATTTCACATTGTTTCTTCGTTCCCGTTAGCCGCAGCGGGATGTATTATAGCCTAAAGCCTTTCTCGATAAATGCTATAGCCGTCACAAAAAGATTTTATCAAGTAGTTTCTGAGATTTGCGCGTACAAACTCTTCAGCTTTAGCCAGTTAGTTGTAATTTTAAAACTTATGAATACTTTTATTAAAAACAGTCAGGTAGTCATAGAAGACACTAACCCGAGAAGAAGAGCATGTGCTGGAAATTCATCGGAATAGGCGGTTTACGTCCAAGGTTCAATAAGAACGACAACGGATAGATGTTTACTGCTCGCCCGAGTGTTGAGGTTAGCTGTGACTTGTTGAGGATTAATTACTCGTATTTTCTTACAATTACGCAACATAATATACATAAATTGAGTTATTTGTATCGTTTAGCTAAACTGTAAAGAACTTGTTTTATAAGAGATCAGGAGAAGCAACTTCAATTAACTTTACAAAAAACTTTGTTTTATTTACTACTAGCTGTGGCACCGACTGCGTCCGCGTAGAGTAGTTATTTTTGGCATCAAAATTTGTTTTTGCAAACCTCATATATATATATAACTGCTACCCACGAAGTCAGTCTCGTCGCTTTGTTCTTGAAAGTTAATCTTAAAAGATTGATGCTCTAACCGACACAAAAAGTAGTTCTGTCCTGTAGTCCTGAGACTCGCGCGTTCAATCAAACTCTTCAGCTTTATAATATTAGTGTAAATTACATGAATATCGATTTTACGACTGGATTTTACCTTTCTTTGTCATGGGATAATAAAAGTCATCTATATAATATAGTAAAAAGGATACAAATCCAGCAATAATAAACCAAGGGTCGAAGTGGTGTTTCGGAAAGGTGAACATCGATACACCGATGTAAGTGAAGATAAAGTTTTCGGCCAAGAAGTTAAGCAACTCGAACAATTGTTTCGTTCTGTTGCGGGAGTCCGTAGAGAGATTATTATACGTGTAATGCGCTTGACATATACCGCAAAACAGAACGGCCACGACACCTGAAACAGGAGAATATTAATCTTCAGAGGCAGTAAAGGAATATGCATTGTCTAGCACCCAACTAATTAAAATGATCTTTATTAAAGATAAAACCCTCGTAAAATATTCACACATTCACGAGTCTTAATTACCTACAAAATTAGATAAGATGTTTTACTGGTTCTACTAAATCTATTCCTCATAAAATAGACATGAATTGGCTGGCAAATAAGGTTATTTTGTAATCGAATTAGCGATAAATTGGTGGTATTAAAAATAATGCCCTACATTATGATGTATATTATTGTGAGATAACTTAGACAGTTATCTCACAATAACCATTTTTTAAATCCTAAGTATTTATAAAAAATATCCTTATCCAATTACGTACAAGTACGTTTAGATGAATATGGCCTTTTATAACATGTTATTTAAATTAATATTTCTGAAGAATTGCAACCGCGCTAAGCCGAAGCGGATTGCTGTAAATGTTAAAAGATGGAATTGATACCGACCTGTTAATTCACAAACTTCTGCAATAAGGAACGCCGCATAGGACATGAGAACGAACAGCGCAGATTCCAGCAACGGCCAATCACGTACGTGTGTAAACTTAGTCATGTATAGCATTGTTAAGGAAGTAAATTTACTACGCGTTGTGCTTATCTAGTTTCATGTGGTGTACTTGGAATAAAATATTGGAAGCTATGTTACATATCCTATAGGACACAGGACCCACAAAGTTAGTTTTAGACATAGGTAGATCTAAGTACTTCAAGCAAGAATTTCAAGACAAAAGCCCTGAATCCTTTCTCTAACAATTAAACATATTTATACATAGTGTTGTTTTATACTATAATTACAGACTAGTGATTCGACAAATTACAAGGGGACGGCAATTCAGGTAGGCGAAAGGGTTTCCTTATCACATTACACGACACTTTTAGTTTAAAATTTCCTTTAGCGTTCGGTATCAAATGTTTGTAGTATAATAAAAAGGATATCAATGCCGTTAAACATCCCATGAGGGCGCCAACAATAAGTGACAAGCTGAAAATGCCAATGAAGTCTCCAATGGCTTGAAGGAAAGCTGTTATCTCGAATTCGCCATCAGTCGAGTACCTCTTCTCATAGTTTTGGATTGCACTAAAAATTATGTTTCAAATTATTGTTTTGAGAATAATTAAACGCATGTATAGAATAGAAGAACAGAAAGCATACAAGTAATATCATTTTGAACTGCAATGAATTTGGCCAGTTTGTTCCAGTGTTAGTGTTAGTCTAGTAGACAAATTTTGCATATACAAAAAACATTTGAAACAACTAAATATAACACAAACTAGAATCATAACAGAACGCATCAATTTAAAAGTACACTTGTAAATAGATGTGAGACATATCTACTAGGAAATGTATAATTAGAGTATTAATCTACTAAATTTCGTACGTGAGATAAAAAACATGTGATTAAATAATAATGAATAGCTAGTTACATATATATTGTGTGTAATTTATTTCAAAAGTAATATTTACCCGCTAAGTACTAAAGCAACAGCATCATTGAGAACACTTTCTCCAAATATCATAGCATATAAGTTAACATCAACCTGAAAATATTGCACTTTAACTACAAAAATCCAACTTGGTATTCATAAGATTCAAAGAGATAATGGTAATTTTATATATCTCCTTGACATTATTATGGCTTGTAATGACTTATGATAAGTATTGTCTAGAGTTTATGTGATCCCACTTGTGACTAAGTACAATAATATAAATTTAAAATGAGTTAACTGATATATTTCACGTTCCAAACTGTTAAAACTGTTTTATTTAAATTAATTCTGATTATTGAGCAAATACTAAGGCAGTCTCCCCGTGACCACGGCTGCTGCAAAGCATCCGAAACGTCGGGCCGAAGTTAAAAATAATTTTCAAATAAGTTTAACTAATATATCGCGTTTTAAACCGTTAAAGTGTTTTATTTAAATGTGTACTACTCGCGTAAACTATAGACAGTATTTAAATACTAAGGCAATCAATTTATACTTCACTGATGGTGGTTCAATGTACATTAGGACTTATTAGTTATTATGTTGTAAGATGTGTGCCTTAAAAAAATAGTAAAAGAAAATGCTACAAGAAAGAACTAGATTAAAGCAGTATCTACGGTAATCCAAAGATTCTGTCTGTAAAATTGGTAGTGCTTTGACAAACTGTAATAAGTTGAAACCATAATTTTTTATTATCGAAAAATTTAAATTAGCTTTACCTTAAGTTGAGAAAAGATGGCAAGAACTGTTAAGGGATCTGTCGGTGAAATAAGAGCACCAAAATAGAGTGTGTCCAAGAATGTAAAGCTTGAGGCTAATGATGCCGGCATCAGCTGAACAAAACCATACATCAGAGCTCCAATAACTAACGCAGAGAGTGCTGTCCCAACCATTGCAAATGTTAAAATGGCACCTAGATTACGAAAAAAGTATTTCTGAAAAAAAGGGTTACTTACAAGGCTCCACTTTAAGGATTAATTTAATAAAATTTTTAGGAATCAAAACCATAGTTAATGACATTACTTAAGTCTTTTCTACTTAATGCAATGTCATTGAGCTACAGCAGTTGTCATATTTATTGGTCAAAAAATTAAGACTTCTGACTTACTCTTTTTAAACAATACCCTGCATGAAATATAATAGGTGGCAAAATAATATTAAAAAATATTTCAGGATCAAAAGTCGCTTTCAAGTCAATTTCATTCTGCTCAACATTCACTATTTCTCCTCTGAAACTATATGCATAAGTTTTGTTTGGTACAGGAGCATCTGTAAAAATTATGTTGTAACCAATCAATTACATAAGTTGTCCTGTAAAAATTTAATTTTACCATTGTATCCTTATCCTTATTGGATAATACTGACCTCCAGTTACTTGTATTTTATCAGGGAAATGAAATCTAACCATATCTGGTGGTACAGATAGGTTGTATTTGGAGTCTGGGTCAGGATGAGCATCAATATAGGTGATCTCATTTGTACTGCTCCCATAGCGAATTATGGCACCTACTATTAAACCTAAAACAGATTTTAAACTTATTTCATTGTAAAATAGATGAATTAGTAAACTACAAACAAAGCTGCCAATAGTAAAAAATATTGCCAACCTTGTTTTTTATTGACATACAAAACAATTTTGATCAATATCAAGGCTGGAATAAACAACTCAATAAGAGTTATAAGCATCATACTTACCATATATCACAGCTAGACCTGTTTCGTGTAGCCAACTGACACGGCGATGTTTAAATACCCAAATTGTGAGCACGGTTAAGGTAAGAAGACAAGTGTAAATTAAAAGATTCAAACTATCTATACGATGTAACAAGGTAGCCTTTGCATCAAGCGCTATGTCAGTTCCCGATGCATCACATGACACGATTATGTACAAAAAGAAATTAACAAAGACAATAAATAGATTCATCTTGCACAACGAACAAAAATATCACATCACCGGAAAAATCGATTTGAAACTATGTTTAGCACACATAACAAAAGACTTTTTGACTATATTGTCTAGCTCATTGCTAACGACACACGATAGTTTAAATGAAATAGCTATTAAATGTAATATTATACGTTGATAAGAAACCAATTACTTATTAAATCGAGGAAAATTGCATTTTATACCCGAATATATTGGAAACTCCGACGTTCGTTTTTGATAAGCATTAAACTTATAATGACTTATGACAACGACTCGGATGACATATTATGAACCTGACAGTTTGATTAAATGTCAAATAAGCACTTCACATAGACTGTGATAGAATTAAGAAAAAAATAAGAATTAGAGAGAAGATACGGCTGCCTACTAAAACTGTTAAATTAAATCTACATATTTTTTAAATATAACCACACTCCACATAAGTCATTTTATTATTTACAAATAAAGAGATCATCTTTGATGAAAGGTATTTTTTATATTATTAGGATATTTTTTATTATGTAAATACATGAAAAAAAATGTTTTGGGATGGTTTGATCATCACCCTGTACAAAGTTACTAGATATGTACACGTAAAAGAAGTTCCGCATTTAAATATTATATATTAATAATTGCAAACAATATAGTTAACCTTTACGAAAAGGGATTATAAGCTTGCTTTCAAGTTAACAATTAAGTTTGTTATAAAAATAATAACATTATTGTTTATGATAGCAAAGCACGTTTATAAGAACATACGTGTATATATTAGCTATGTGTGTATATTAGGTATGTATAGTAACGTAGTATTCAAAGTGAAGGGCGGAAGCTAGCGCATGTACCTACGAAGGTAATAACTTTTTTGTGTAAAACTTAAATAGCTATTACCGGTCAATCACATTATAAACAGACAAATGCAGGAATCTTAACATAATTGCTAAAAGCATAATATATCTAATTCATAAAACAATCTGTCTGTACGTAGACAAAAACATAGCCTGTACCTACGTAATGATTAATAATATCGTTTCGTAGGTATACTTAATTTGTTTTTATTGTTAATTGTATTAAGATCCGGAACTCACGACAGAGTTGTAATAAATTAATATCAAATAAGCATTATTGTCGTAGTTGGCCGCTAAAGATGAAGGTCTACTAAGAAAAAAGATTTCCGATTTTACTGAACAGAAATATATAAGTGCGAATAAAACAATTTATATTTTAAATTAATAAATATGTATAATCCATCCTTTTTCCGTAGGTGAAACTAGATTGTCAGTATAAGACTAAAAACGGTACCAATTCGTAGCTACGTATTTACCATTTATTCTTAATATGAGATATTTGAAATATCGTGAGAAAAAAAAATTTAACAAACGTGAGAACGTAATTGTATAAAATACATTATCGTTAATGAGTGTTGACTTAGGAGTTGATATTAATCACTTGCCTAAATAAACAAATAATGCAACGAAAACCGGACTAAATGACTACGACATCCACGTATCACAGAAACGAATAAAGTTTACTTTGTTTAATCATTTTTTATTTCCTTAAAGGTATTTCGTGTCAAGGTGATCTTAATGCAGTAAGATTATAATTTAGCTTTTCTATAGGTATCGCGGTGTACACTTAGATTAATGCATATTACTGATAGCATACCAGGTTTTTACTGACGTTTAATTACCGGGTTACAAAATAAATACTTTGCCTGCTAATGCTATGGTAATATATGTGACAATTCAGTCATTTTAGAATAAAGGATACGAAATAATAATTTATTTTTAGGATTACCGTAGATGGTATATTCTTGATGTCTATTCATAATGTATGTGTGGGTTTTTAAAGGTTAATAGCTATTACTAGGCGAGGGCAAGGGACGTCTTTTATCGGATCTTCAAGGACGTGGAGACACGTAATGGGAAAGTCCCTGTTATATAGACATTTTACAAGTATTTTAAGCGGTCTTATAGACACGTAAAGACATTGAAAAATGTCTATGTATTTATTTCGTCAATAAATTTTATAGAACAGATAAATATTGTCGAAGAGTCTCGGAAGGAACTGTGCTCTAAAATAAAATTTGCTTCTTTATGAAAGGTTTTCATTTTATATTGTAACTTTTTTAATTATCCACACTGGGAATATTTTGGTTACTTTACTTTTGACGTACTTTTACGTACCTATTATATTACAGTATGACAAAGTATTATAGTTGGAGAGAGTATCGAGTTGGGTAACGTTTAGATGAAAAAAATAATTTCAACGAACACTAAATGTGTCCAGCCCTTTTTCCATGCCTAATTTCATGCACTCGTAGAGACAAACGCGATTTTGATTTACAGTCTCGGAAAATAATTATATAATAATAAACTCGTATATTTACTCGGTTATACAAGGATAATGGGAGTAAGTATAACACAAAAGATTTATTGAAATTACAGTCCTTGCTTATCCCAGAGCGGAGTCCCTAAACAGATTGTGCCGCGGAACCAAAGGAGATGACAATCTTAGTTTATTCTGCCGGTTGAATTGATAGCTGGCTTTATAAGTTAAATATGTTTAAAAGTGCAGTGCGCGACTGTTTCGCGCGCGTATTGCACGCGACTACAGCCTTCAAACACGCTCACTCTGTAGACTCATTCTTACACAAAACAAGTATTGTAGCTATGTACACGAATTAATTTGTAACACCAGTGATATTACAAGTGATATTTTGTAGAGTAATAGTGAATTCCTAAAAAGATGAATACTTTAATTTTTTTCATTGCCGGTTTATCGCATATTTGGTGAGTAATTTTTCGTTTTATCCAAATGTTGAAGATATAGAATTTACCCCTTTTGTAAACTATTTGGCGTTCCTAGTAATAGTCGAATTAATATTTGAATTATATAATAAGCACTAGTCAATAAAACACACCTACTCAAACTTAGTTGTTTGTCATTGTTAGTTCCTTTCTTTCAATTCTTTCTATCTAAAGAATTAATAAGTTACAATGATAAGGGTTAGAAATGAAATGGGTATATCATGTTCAAGTTAATAAGTAAAATGTTTTTTTTTTATTTTAAATGGTTAATTTATTCGTTTTTTAATTTAAAGATACACAAAACTTCTATGTATTGTTATTTCGTCAGCCTCGAATATCCTACGCAGACAATAGGTAGTAGATTTATGACATAGTGTCAACTTTTTCTTATCATGAGAAAAACTTAGGGAACAAATTCTATTTTTATATATGTCCTTTAAAAGTACTCTTCATATTCTCTTCTATGAATCAAATTAATTGTGAAAACATTATTTAAAACTTTCAAAAAATAACTATTTATTCGGACCCTGAGTCTCTAGCGAAAAAATGATGGTTCAAAAATGCGTACTATTCAATCATTTCTAAAATGTCTTAAGACTATAAACACAAATCTAAAAAGAAAAATAAGTGTTAAGTCCTATAACATAATAGGTAGAAAACATGATAATTTTTTCTTGATTATTCTGCGGCGATGATTTATTAATTTTTTTATTTGCAAACTTGAATTGTAGATATATTGCTTTAAATTGCTTTTTATGGAACGTTATTTAGTATTTTTACTTTCATTAAAATACCGACTTAAACCTTATCTGTAAGGCAATAATTAAAACTAAGATAATTCAACATGAGCACGAGTGAATTATGTTTGTATGAGGCATTCGCGAAAAAAAGTTGCCTTATCAAAAAGTATTAAACTCACAAGTAGTACTTTAAGGTTACTCAATATTAGAAAGCACTGGACAACATATAACCTTCTTATCTCACACGTTTGATTTTCCGTTAATGACAATTGAAGGATTTCCTTACGGATATTACTGATATATTATTCGGCTCTGCCCTAGAAGTTGGTCTATGAAACGTAAGCTATTTGAAACAATCAAATATTCTTGTACTTAAATTAAGTATCCTATGTAGCTAGTCATTACTACAAGTTCTGTGCTGTAAAATTAATGGAGAAATCCGCCTAATCCATGATAAGACAATGGCACTAAACCTTAAAACCTCCACAATAAACAAGACAATCACGTTTTATGATATTTGATAGTAGTCTGTGTCATTAAACCTTCCACAATATAATAGTCGACCTAAATAAATAATATATACCTATGTCTAAGATAATAATTAATCAATTTTCTGTCACAAGTCAATATAATAGTTGTTATCATAGTTATCTGTGAAATCTAATCTTACAATGTCGATTGATAAACTACTTTCCTACTTTTCCCTAATACAGAACAAAGTAATTTTTATTATGTTTATATTTATAGCCATTTTCGCATTTTCGTCTAATTTGTTTGGCTTTAACGTTACTTAACTATTTTTATTTTTAATAAATAAATAATCATAGATCGATGAGAAAAATAAACAAAAAAAATTTGCAAACAATAATTCTTATTATGAGGTAAAATGACGATCCTTTTTGCAGGAATGGGGATGCAGTAAACTTTTCGGGCGGACTTAAGTCGAATTACACTTTTCCCAAAGATTTTGTGTTTGGCGTTTCGACAGCAGCAATCCAAATCGAAGGAGCGTCAAACGAAGATGGTAAGTTATTTTAAATATTTATTAACCGCTATCAAATCCATAGGGGACCTTATTTAGGCAATAATCTATACTGATTACAAGCATTTTCTTTTCTACCTTTAGGAAAAACGGAAAGCATTTGGGATAACTTAGTGCGCACAAACCCAAAATTCACCAAAGATGGCTCTACTCCAGCTGTGGCGGCCGATTCGTATCATCTATACAAACGTGACGCGGAAATGGTCCACGAATTAGGCGTAGACATCTACCGTTTCTCCATATCTTGGCCGAGGATACTGCCCAACGGTCTAGCCAATAAGGTCAACAGTGCTGGTATCCAGTACTATCGTAACCTGATAGACGAACTAGTGAAATATAACATAACACCCATGGTTACGATATACCACTGGGACTTGCCACAGAAGCTGCAAAATCTGGGAGGCTGGACGAACGCTCACATAGTGGACTACTATACAGATTACGCTAACATTTTATTCGAAAACTTCGCTGATAAAGTGAAATACTGGGTCACGTTCAATGAGCCGATGCAGACTTGTTTAGAAGGTTATGGAGGTACCTATAGGGCTCCGGCCTTAAACAGACATGGTATCGCCGAGTACTTGTGCGCGCACAATCTGCTGAAGGCGCACGCCAGCGTTTACCATTTGTTCGATAGACAATATCGACCGATATATGGAGGTATTCATAAATCGCTATTTTGTTTTGCTCGTGTTTCCGGTTTGGTTAATAAAAAACTCGTTTGAGAATTATTGGCATGTTGTACTTGTTGATTATGACTTGTGATTGTGACTTTTTTTATCGATAATTACTAGTATGAGGTATAAACAGCATTCCATTTAATTATCACAATTTGTAAGGTGTATTATTGGGATATGCTATCTGCATTTGTTTTCAGGCAAAATTGGAATGTCCCTCGATTCGAATTGGGCTGAGCCGAAAGGTAACACTTCTAGTGATGTCAAAGCAGCAGAGTTATATTTAAAAACACATGTTAGTAAATAAATAATTATTATTCATTTATTTATATCTCTAGAACCGCGGTCATCAAAGATTTAACATTGGTTATTAAGAAGGACATTTCATTGGTTCTTTAATAAGACGCACGAGCAGCTTATCTTCGACTTGACCTAGCCTTTGGGAAATTACCAGCCATTGGTCTAAAACACTTATTAGATCAGTAATTAATATAAGTGATACATGTGAATTCTTAATTAACTTAATCGATATTTTTCTAACTTATAAGAGTGCAACGCACTTCATATAGCACCTCGTTGGAAATAATATTGTTAACAGCCTTCTTTGAATTTTTATCAAAAATCGTTGATTTTTTGTTAATTAGATTTTCGTGTTTTAGTTGGGCTGGTATGCGCATCCAGTATATTCTAGTGAGGGAAACTATCCTCCAGAGCTCATTAAACTTGTAGATGAAAAGAGCCGGCTGCAGAATTACACCCGCTCAAGGTTGCCGAAGTTCACACCTGAAGAAGTAGAGCATATTAAGGGTACAGCGGATTTCTTTGGGTTAAACCACTATACGACGTATCTATTGAGCATGGCTGATGGAGAAGTAGGTCAAATACCATCGCATGAAAACGACGTTGGAATAGTAAGAGTTCAAAATCCAAAATGGCCGTCGATGTCATCGTCTGATTGGTTGAAGGTAACCGTTAAATTTACATATCTCTGCAAATATTGTAATATGTTTAAAAACGTGACTTTTATTAGTTACTAGCTGTGTCAACGACTTCGTCCGCGTAGAATAGTTATTTTGGCCATCAAAATTTGTTTTTGCAAACATACTCTTCATCTTTATAATTTTAAACTGCTATCCGACATCGACATTTCGTTCGGGTCCCATCGTTCTTGCAAGTTAATCTTCAAAGATAGACAAGTAGCGTCGTGGACTCTTTTTAGATCATTTAAAGAGGAATCATTTTTTCATACATATTTTCTGGGTATCTTGAACAGTTTTTTGCAGCGTACGTATAACGATTAATAATTTTCCCAATTTCTCGCTGTAGGTATCTTCGCTCCCATTGGTCACAGGGCGATGTTTTATAGCCTATAGCCTTCCTCGATAAATGTTCTGTTTCTGAGATTAGCGCGTTCAAACAAACTCTTCAGCTTTATAAATTAGTATAGATGTAGATGCTTTCTAGAATTTCCGTTCTTTTTCCTCCTTTCTTTTGTTTGTGTAATGTAATCATACAAACCTAAACCTTAAGTCATAATTTAATTGCTTCAATAAAACCTTAAAGTAAACAGTTTCTTGAAACACGTTCTCCTTGTCATGATAAACTTGTACAGTTTTTCTTAAGCGTGTTTTGAAAATTAGTATTCAAGTGCGTCAAGGAACTTGAAATACCTAGGTTGTACATAATTTGCCTATTAAAAATATAACGTATAGCTTCAAGAAATTAATATAATTTATAAAACTTTCATAATCAAATATAATATAATCGTGGCTACGACGTAATAACTTGATTTTAGTGGACTAGTGTGATAAAATCGGCTCCGTAATTTTGGTAATTACTTATAAACTCTGACAAAATATTACCCTTGATTTTGCCTTGATGTCTATAAAATAATATATCTTTAAAAAGTCAGCACGTTGGTTCAGTCGATTAGAGATTTTGTCTTGCAAAGACGTAAATAAAATGTATGTAATGTAATGTAATGTAAATGTATTTTAAAGTACTTTACTAATTACTTTCGAGTTTTATGAGTTTTTGCTAACACAATAAAATATAGTTATAACTAAGCTAAAATCTAGACTTAAGATTAATGATAATACTAGTGATCTCGATTTTATGGCCTTGTTATTAATGTATAATTAAATTAAACAATACCTGTCTATAGTTTACGCGAGTAGTACACATTTAAATAAAACACTATAACTATAAAAATGTCTCCCCGTGACCACGGCTGCTGCAAAGCATCCGAAACGTCGGGCCGAATTTAAAAAATCATTTTTAAATAAGTTTAACTAATATATCGCGTTTTAAACCGTTAATTTATTTAAATAAAAACTACTTTTAAATAAATCACTTTAAGGGTTGAAAACGCGATTTATATTAATTAAACTTATTTGAAAATTATCTCCCCTTGACCACGGCTGCTGCAAAGGCCTTTTTAAAGCGTTATATGTGTACTACTTGCGTAAAAGTGACTAACAGAATTTAGTCAGTTATTACGAACGCAACGAATCTAGTATATTTCCTAACGGAGTTGCATTCGAAACGTAACATCAACTGCATTGGAATAACCCGCTGCACGATCTGTGTTTTCCCGTTCTTTATAAAGCTATGCCCAGAATGCCGGTGTATATTATAGCAATGGAGACAATTATCAACATTAATAAAATATTTAAAACATAGTAGAAGGAGATAGGTAATACGCCGTTGCTCTACCAACAGAGCCTTCGTTTCAAAGTCTGACGGTATTTTTAATACTACCATACCATTTCAGTTTAAGAAAACTCTCGTGTGCGTAAATGCACACGACTGTTGACTATTCAAATTAAATACACAAATTGGCTTGCTTAATAATGTATTCTAGAGGTTAACAAGTGTTATAGACGACAGCGATTCCCTTTGAAATAAAACAACTTGTTGAGCTTTAAGGAACCAAAATGATATGTACAAAATATTTAAGGGTCACAATTTTCTTGTTATTTGTTGAATTATATCTCTCAATGATCACTTTAAATTGTTCCGTCGTCGTAATGTGTCGTGAGTTCTGTTCCCGGCAAGAACAACATCATTCGTGGGGTATTTAAGTCACAGGTTAAACTTATGACTTCAGTCTAAATTATATTCTAAACAAGAATGTGTTGTATGTTGTAAGAAAGTGTGTACACACGAGAGCAACAGCACGGAATGCAGTGGATGCCGGTTCAAATGTTGCCCGTGTCGTAATTTTTTTCAATCTGTAATCTATTATTTTTATATAGTACCATCGTGTGAAAAATATTGAAATTTTCGAGAACAACAATAGAAATTCTTAAACTGTAGTCATTAAGTTTTTTTATTTTTTTATGTGGTATTTAAAGACATGCTTTTCTACTTCAGGTCGTTCCATTTGGCTTCCGACGTCTTCTGGCCTGGATAAGCAAAACCTATAACAATGTTCCTATTATTGTTACGGAAAACGGATATGCCGATTTCAGTGGGATCCACGATACTGCGAGAGTCACGTACTACTGTCATTACTTGAATGCGCTTCTGCACGCAATACACGAAGACAAGAGTAATGTGCACGGATACTTCGCATGGAGTCTTATGGACAACTGGGAGTGGGATGATGGCTTTGTGTAAGTATATTCACATTTTGCTCAATTATTTTACATTTCTATAACCTACACTAACAGAGTATCTCTTGCAAGCGTAAGTTTCATCCCGAAGCTAATCTTCTTCTATTATAAACCCAGAAATGTAAGTAGTCTATATTCTCCGCCCCTAATATCCACATTTCCAGATCTAACATGTTATAGATTGAGTAGAAACCCAGTTCGTATTGAACCCACGACTCCTTATTATCCAAACATAATACCATTAGACCGAGAAGCCCGCCCGATTATCTTCAGCAAAATAGGTCGACGCGCGTCTTGCTTAGTTGTTATATGGCTGGGGTATTGCTCCTACCATCGAGCGAACCACATGCTTGTCTGATCTTCTATCACAAGAAAACTCTGATTACTAGTTTTATTATATTTTGGTAATGATTACTTTGTTTCACATAGCGATCTATGCGGAAGGCTAAGTCGATGACTAAGCCTAGCCTTATAACAGGTGCAGGCACTGCTTTTAAACATTATTACTAGACCCGTAAGATTATTTTCACAAACATTGTAAAATTACTTCGTGCAAATATGCGTAATTAACTTGCTCGACGTGTGAGAAACATATATCGTTATAATAAAATATAATACTAATACAAACATTAACTTATAATTTTTTATACACAAAATATCAATTTTGAATCTTGGACAAATAATTATATACCTAATCATAATTTCGGAATTTTGTTTTTATCCTAAGGTAATATTGGAAATATTTTTCGATGTTCTTGTTTTCACAGCTGACTTAAATTGAGACAGAGACAAGTGTTTATTTGTTTTCTCCTAACAAAGTGACTTTGCCACTTGAAAAATTCGAAACTTGGTTGTTTATTGCGCTTTGAATAAAACATGTATACCTAATTTAAAAAAAAGTGCAATATAGGTTTTTTAAGGTCATACTTGAATAACTAATAAACTAGCCAATTCCTCGCTGAAATGCTCAAAATCTTCGGTAACTTTGCAAACAACTTTGTGAGAATCTCAAACACATAGATGGTTCAAATATGTCTCCATCTGTCATGTGTATATTGTCATTATATATTGGTGTAAAAGTAGATTTATTGTTTATCGTGCAAGCCCAGGTCAAGGTTTTCCTATATTTACCTACATTCATTTATCGCGTTTTATCACAGTAAATGATCTCATAAGTCAGATTTTAAACTTATAGAACTTATAAAACTGCAACGAACATAATAAATTAAATGAAACTAATCGTTTTAGAAATAAATATTTTTTGGTACTAATCAAGCTGAAAGATGAATAAAAAACAGCAATTCAGTAATTCATGATATATTTCACTCGTCATGTATGTAAATGCATTTGCAGGTCCCGCTTCGGTCTTTACTTGGTCGATTTTGAAAGTAAGAATAAAACGAGGACAGCCAAGGACTCGGCGCGGCTCTACTCGAGTGTGGTGTCCTCCAGGGGCTTACCGGACAACTACGACCCCGAAGACTATTCCGCCTTCTCCGGGGCGTCCACTATCCTCATTCCTACCGTCCTCCTCCTACTACCCATGTACAGATTACTACTGTAATGCTTATATATACCTCTGTATATCGAACGTATAATAAAATTAAGTATTTAATATCATATCTCGATTTGATTGATCCTAACGTTTACATATTAAGTAATTTTAATACTCGACAGTCATCAGTTTGCTAGCATTATCGCGGGCGACGTCTCTCTTCAATTGGGCTTGGATGCAGGCGAAGGATTTGCCTTTGGTCTCGGGCAGCACGGCCAACATGAAAACGAGGCCGAGGATCGAGAATACGGAGAAACCCCAAAATACTGTGTAAATGCCCCAGGCATCTTTCACCACCTGGAAATTAACATCTTTAATTAGTAGTCATATTGTACTAAGATAGTATATTTAATTAAGACATAGAACAAACACGTATATTAATAATGGATTTCCATTAAGTACGTAAAATAGGAAACGATGGATATATACGTCGTTCCGTTCCCATAAAGATCGTTGATGTATTGTAATAATGTTGATAAATTTAATTTGTTTATTACAACACGTATTTTATGTGAAATGTTAATAAATAAAATGATATGATTACAACTATTAAAGATATGTTTGATACGGTCGTATAGTGATGTAATTTAGAGTTGATATAGTGTAATGCCTATCAATATGAGTAATTACCTGAAACAGCTTCTGAACGGCGAACATAGATACGCCAGTGTAAATATGTGCGACACACGACGCGTAAAGCTTGACGTTGGTAGGGAACATTTCCCCGATGATCACATACGGCACAGTTGAAAGGCCGACGGCATAGCACACGATGTAGATGAGAATGCCCGTTATGGGCAACCAATGCAGGCTTGCAACGGACGCTTTGTTAGATATGTAGAAGTAGAAGTACGTTCCGATGACGCCGTTCATCAGGCCGACTCCCAATGCAGATAGCAATAAGAGAGGCTTCCTGCCGACCCTATCCACGAGCAGTACCGACAGACAGCACGTGGCGACTTGTACACAACCCAGGTATATGGTTTCTTGATAGGGCTCGATGTGGCTCTCGGTGACTTCGAAAATAACTTGGGCGTACGCTACGACGGCGGCGCTACCGCAGAATTGTTGGATCGTGAATATTCCCAAGCTTATCCAGAGAGCTTTTCTGTTTGTCGCCTCTGTGATCAAGTCGCTCCATGTGCCTCTATTCTTCATGTCTTCTTGGACGTTTATTTCTATGTTCTTGAGTTCCAATCGTATGTCGCCGCTGCGCAGGTGCCGAAGAGCCCGCTCCGCTCGCTCCGAGCGCTCGAATTTCAGATAATAGTAGGGCGATTCGGGCAGAAAGATGAAGGTAATTACGAACGTAATTGGCAAGATCAAGTTTATGGCGGCTAAGGTTCGTATCGTTACAAAGGGTCCGATGCAGTATTGCGAGAGAATTCCGACCTGAAAAGAGATGTTTACATTCGTTTTAGAATGCTCATGGGAAAAAAACAAAATATAATTCATTATACTTTTTAACTGACGTAGCCGAGAAATTTACAGTGTTACAATGCACTCATCGAACAGGGGCTCAAATTGAGTAAATTTTAAATACAAATATAATATATAAAGTAGGTGAAACTTTATTTCACAACTGCTTCATTAAAACGAAATAATTTTATTTGTTCAGATGTCCAACGGATGACCTCAATCCCGAAAATGACGCATTAAATTTAATGAGATGATTATTGTAATCACTTATGGTGATTGTATATAGAGACAATAAGAATGTATGATACTAATATTAATTATGAATAAATTACCTTGTTCATTAATGTAATGAGAGTAGAGAGGGCGCCACGGACTTCATTTGTGGCTATTTCGCCCGTGTACATGGGTGCCACTGTGTACACGATGCCATACCCGAGACCAGAAAACATTCTGGCTACGTACAAAACAGCCACAGACTTGGCCACGATGACCAGTAACCAGCCCAGGATGAATGGTATGGCTCCAAGGAGAAGAGTGGTTTTTCTTCCAAAACGGTCAGCGAAATAGGCAGATGGGATCGGCGTTAGTGCCGAACACAGAATCATGATGGATACTATCCATGATCCCTGATCTGATGTGGTCGGTATGTGGCTCTGAGGTGACTGGAGATAGTTGAGGATCGGAGATGGCCAACCGTAGCAAGTACCCGCTGTTGCGGTGATGAGTGTCGCTGGAAATAAAAAAAGTTATGGTAAGTAATGATATATCACAATTTTAGGAGTGCAGTTACAGTGAAAGGAAGGATATTATAATATATATCTACACCCTTAGAATCAAAATACGGGCAAGTACTAGTGGGATTTATGCATGTTTGTTGAAGCATCCCTTAAAAATGTCGCAAATTTATCTCTGTAAATGATCACACGGCCACAGAGTGTCACCAGTAGCTCTTAATAGCACGATCATGATATGAAAACATAATAATTTTGGTAAGTAAATGTAAAAAATGATTGAATATTATTTACAGAATTCACACATGTACAATATTTACCGTGGAGGATCAAATAGCTTAATAATGGTCGCTCGGCGTGTTTGACTAAAACCAACGTGGAGCGTCCGATAATTTTCCACGATTTCCAAAGGATTGATGTATTTATCGAGGGAACTAATGTTGACAAACAAACATGAAAATGTTTACCTAAAGATAACGTGTCCGTTAATTGGAAGACAGATAAAGGACGCACGTACCCTACTTCATCAGTTACGAAAGGTGTTTTATTTATTTTAATAGTTTACATGTGATAAATTCGTGGATATCATCAAATAGATTGTCAGAGGCGTTTATCTAACGATGTGTGAACGTACCAGTGTAATCTTTATTAATACGTCGCTCATTCGATTAGTCAAGTCGCTATTATCGTGTACATGCGATATTTTCGTGATAAAAAACTTAGCAGTTAAGGGTTTAGATTGGTCTCATTTCCGTTTTATACAATGATGAAACACTTTAACGGTTTAAAACGCGATATATATTAGTTAAACTTATTTGAACATTATCTAGAATGATTAATCTCCCCATGACCACGGTTGCTGCAGAGCAGCCGAAACTTCGGGCCGTAGTTAAAATCATTTTCTAATAAGTAATATAAATAGTGGTTTAAACAGTTAAACTGTTTTATTTAAATGTGTACTATTTGCGTAAACTATAGACAGTTTTAAAGTCCTTTTTTCGTTACTTTCTCTATGCAGTGTGACGAAACCCGCCACGATTTTTATCACAAAAGTAGCCAAATTTATATATTTAATATTAAAACAGTGTACACGTATTTTTTAGCTCAGGGTTAAAAGTCATCGTAGTCAGAGAGTTTGTATTATACCAGATTTCGGCAAGAGCCAATAATAATTGCGCTGTACGTTCTCTTATCTGACTTTTGTGGAAACTTCTTCGTCGATCTGTGCATAAACAGTTATTACGCGGAAATAAACTCGAAGCGTCACTAAACGTTATCTTTGCGTACATTGTAATTATTATAATCTCTCGAATGTCAATTCAACGAGTGAAAGCGATCTCTCTTCAATAACGTCGCCGCATTTATCTTTTATTATGCACTCGAGTTAAGAATATCAGATACGATCGTATTTGGATTACCTTTTGTCCTGTACATTCAGTTTGGCTAACTCTTTAAATTGTAACTTAGTTGGCTTTTATCCTATTGAAGACGGTTCAAATTACAGGAAGCGCTAACGGATAACGACCATTGAGTAAAAGCGAATTAAATGATTTGATGAAACTGATGAGATGAGAGCGGAAACTTAGCAATTTTCTAAAGAAAGGGTTAGGAGTGTGTGAAGTTCTCTATTATGTATCCGTTGAGGGATTGCTTGAGATATTTTAAAATATATCCTCATTAATGTATTTAATAATTATATATACAAATGAAATTATAATATAACTAGCTGTGTCAGCGACTTCCTCCGTGTATACCTTTAGTTATTTTTTTGGGCATTATTATTTTTTCATAACCTCATCTTTATCAATTACAGCTGTTATTCACGTGACGTGAATCTTAAAAGATGGATATATACTGTCGTTGCCATTTTTTTAGATCACTTAAAGAGAATAATTCTTTGATACATATTTCTTGAGCCGTTATCGCAACGGATGCAACTACTACGGTTTCTTCAGTCCCTATTATCGTAGCGTGATGTTTTATAAGCCTGAAGCCTTCCTCAATAAAAGTTCTAAACAACACAAAAAAATTAGAACCAGTAGTGTCTGAGATTACGACGATCAAACAGGCAAACTTCAGCCTTATAATATTAGTATAGATAGCATTGATAATTACGGAGTCACCTTACTTTAGGATCACGGTCACCGTTCCTTTCGTAGTGAAAGACTGATAAAGAGCTAATATCAATAATTAAGTTCTAGTATTGGTAGCTAGAGGACAAAGAACGATTGCCAATTGGCACGGTTCTTTGAATTTATGTTGTCGTGTAAACTTCGACTGCGCAATGCGATTACACTGATTCCTAAATGTATTTACGACAAAATTAAAAAAGTGTGGAGTAATGTTTTTCCTGTCCTAAATAAACCTTAAAACGAATAATACAATACAACATTGCTGTATATGCACTTCTCGTAAAATACTAATTTTTAAATTATGCAAATGAATTAATTAGTCGCTTCCTAATAACATATTAAGTTATACATATCGCGATACGAAGAGGAAGCTATACTAATTAAGTTAAAGTTATTATTTGGCTTTATTTGATTATAATATACACTATTTTCAGAGATAATGTAGAGGCAGGATACCGTGACACTGACTAATAATAGTAAGTGTAAGTCTAAGACCTCGAGTTGCCTGCATTTCCTCTTTCTGTTTGTCTGTCTTGTTTTATTCTAAATATTTTTATATCAAAAACGATGAAACGATGGAATACCTATAGTTTGTTATATTAAATCTTTAAATTGAATATATGTATGTTTAAACTTATTTCCTAAAACTAAATGCGTCAAGATAAAACGGAGATAATAAACCTTTAGTTGATTGCGTCATTCTATTTTATAGTTGAAGACTGAAATTGTACTGTAAGGATATTTTGTGTTTAAACTTATTATATATTAATATTATATTTTTTACGTACTGCGCTGGACTGTTTCATGCTTATAAATAGGATGCACGTGCCAGAGTCACGTGACATAGGTCAGAAGCGAAGTCAGACAATCTCAAACTTTTTCTTTAAAAAAATATTTTATTATTCTAAATTAGTGTTTAAATAAAACACATTAACGGTTTAAAACGCGATATATTAGTTATCCCCCCGTGACCATGGCTGCTGTCCAAAGCGTCCGAAGCGTCGGGCCGAAGATAAACATCATTTTCAAATAAGTGTAACTAATATATCGCGTTTTAAACCGTTAAAGTGTTTTATTTAAATGTGTACTACTCGCGTAAACTATAGACAGAATCAAACTTATTCCTGCGAGTCCTAAGACTCGCTTGTGTTTTCGTACTGACACATTTGGAACGACGAAGTAGGGGATAGCATGTAGTAGATTTACACATACAATACATATTTATGTTGTCTCATTAATATTAAACATAGTTATTTTTAGATTATCGCGTTTGCCGCTTACATCTCCCAATTAAATTAAGGCGTCATATTGTAATATTTTCAGAAGACGAACCGCGAAACGCCTATTTGAGAACCACCAATATTTTTCTTAACGTCTCAAGTACTCGATTTCGTCGCACTTTAAACTCTACAATTATAAACAAGTGGCCAGTTAGGACTTTGATTTTCTTTAATAAAACACCCAAGAAGCGTCTGATGTCTACATCACAATGAGATGTTCCATCCATTATCAATTAAAGCCAAATACAATACTCATCAACGAACGTCATTGTAACGGTTTTTGCTGTTTCGTGTTTGCTTTTAAAATTTGCGAAAGTACACAATATGATAATTATATGAAGTGATAAGATTCCTCTATAAACTACATTTTAGTGAATCGGGTAAAATAATCTCTGACGAGGCTCCTTTACTATACTATAAGGATACCAATCGTAGGAAACAAATTGATTTCTTAAATGCTACATTTATTTTTAGGTGAATCTTCTGAATTCGTGTGCTGATTAAATTTTATTCACCTATAATTCGGCTTCGAAGTGGATTGTAGCATTAAAACCATAAAACGTATTTAAAGCTGTGACAAACACGTTCGTCAACTTGTAAAGTGTATCATGAGCACAGTTGACTAGTTGGGAACCCGCGCTCTCCCAAAAAATAAACTTATTGAGAAATAATTTTGGTTTGAACCCAAAGCTTTATTTATTAATATTGAAAAACGTAATGTTTATTACATACTTGAACTCAACGGAAGAAATGGCCCTTTAAACAACATAACCCTTTCCAAAATTACAATTTGTTATTAGTTTAATGACTAATAAGGAAAAGTGTCTAATCTGAAGATGATAAACGTTATGATCTTTACTCTTACGCTATTGACATAACGTTTTGATAATCGTCTGTCATAGCAAGATTATTGAAGCAATTTCTAAGAAATATCGAAGTATTGTAAACCGCAGCGGTGTTTGTAAACTGTTCATGGCGAGTTGCTCTCACCCTATGTATGTGTGAACGAAGAGAATTACGACTTGCTGTATATGTATATGCGTCATTAAGATTGATATCTCAAAGTACAAGTAAACATATAATCATACACCTATAGCGATACACTTGTAGATGGAACACTTAAACATGAAAATTATTTTCCTTGAATGCTTTCTCAGTCACTAACTTATGTTTTAATCTTCAATTTAATTAGTATATATAAGATGATAGACTGAAGGATTAAATACTGTCTGTAGTTTACGCAAGTAATCCACATTTCAATAAAACACTTTAACGGTTTATAACGCGATATATATTAGTTAAACTTATTCGAAAATATTTTAATTACGGCCCCATGTTTCGGCCACGGGGAGTCTAACGGTGCGTAGTTAAAATCATTTTCAAATTAGTTTACTCTTAATATCGCGATTTGAACCGTTAAAGCGTTTTATTCAGACTAATGATGCTGATTTCCCCATAATCCCAATTTAAAATATGTTTTTCACAACAGAGTAATGATGTTTATATAGAAAATACATCATAATACCGGCTTTGTTCCGAAAAACATTGCCTGATAGATATGTTAGGGTCGCCGCGGTCGCCGTGACCCGCCGATAAATAAATAGTTTGGTAAATAATTAAATACATCCGTTCATATTTACTTGTATTTGTATATAAGTTCTAAATTTTAGGAAGGAAATGGCTTCTTTAGCCACTTATGGCGACTAGCATTATAAAATTACATTGAAAAATAATAAAGAAGTACATAGAGCTATATTTCATTCATAGTGTTAAATTAAAAACAGTGGATATTTTGAATAGAAATAAGTTTTTTAACAAAGTTTAAATAATTCTTGACGCCGTGTGTGTCCAGTTGTACAAAACTACGAAGTCGATTTTTAGATAAAATATATACCCATAATGCTTATGTCGTAGTTGTGGTTCCGCTTATGTAAGAACGATCACAAAGGTAATGTGCATTGTTACTAGCTTAACGCTTTGCTTATCTTTTGTAATAATATTTTTGTCCCTGAATTAATTAACCATTCAGTTGAATTGCCACAAATAATGATTCCCATGTGCGGCCATTAAATATAACAATGTAAACAAACAGCCGTACTTAATAAGTGGGCTTGACGAATTTTTTATATAACAATAAGACACCCTTACAACGATTATTCGCGCTCATTTGCCTAAACGAGGACGTAACGGCAATTAATCAAAATTGTGATTTTCCAAGACTGCTTCAATGCAATAATAAATCATTAATTACAAGAAACCTTTCGTCTGAAGAATTCAGGAACAGATTCTTATCAAATACCACTGCTCTCGCATTTGGTTTTGAATAAATGTACACTTTCAAATTCAATCAATCAAGTTAAGCAGTGTTTCGAACCAGAAAAACGTGAGCAATCAAAACCAAGAGCGGTTTTAAAACCTTAAAAGATGCATTAAGATACTTTTATTTTAAATTTGAGTTAAAGCTATTAGAAAGAGCTACATTTCTGGAGAGCAATAGGTACTCAATTATTATCTTGACGAGGACTTCGGACGAGGGACTTCTACCTGACGATCCTTCCACGAATCTAATAAATAGTTAATACGAATATTCGTGTGGGATGTTTTATTAGAAAAAGTATGCGCAACAGAAAAGGTAATTAGGTAGGCAATCGTACCCGAAATCATAGGTTGTCGTAATAAGTTAAATGAAATATATCGCGTTTTGTACCGTTAAAAGTTTATTTAAATGTACTATAATACTTACTTTTCAACTTTGTTTTGTGCCTACAGACCAATTTTAAAGGCCTTATTTTATATACATCGTTTTTAAATGTAAGTTTTTTCAGCTACAATAGCGACTCTATCTGCTACATTCAAATGGAATTTCGACCACATAATCATTATCACGTTTGGCTTATCATTCACCTAGTATCCTTTATTCATTCGTTCACTAGTTCGTGTTAGAGGTGGTTAAGGCCATATTTTCCGCGTATAACACATTTTTATCGGAGTAGAAGACATATTAGTTTTGTATATTATATCCTCATCCATATTCCTCATCTTTTCCTGGATGTTTTAACATTATCCTAAATCGTATTATGTCGACGCGAACTAGGTAAATAAGCAATCGTTCGCCTTGAACCTTGTCAAATGGTCTATCAGTGTAGCATTTCAAGTGGCAATGTGTGGCAAGAATGACTGGGGTCGTAGGATCATGCACGATAACAATATGACTGGGAACAGAATAATACAAAGCGCCCACGTTAATTATCAACCTTATTTACCACATGCTGAGAATGCGACACGTTTCAATAAAATGTCGACTGCTGACTAGACTTCCGACCGCGTACGTTTGCAAAAGACTATTGCGTTACATTATTTCAATAAATTGAGGTTATTTCTTATGTCTTGTGAATATTAAGCGGGGACTTAAGGTGGATTAGCGTTATCCTAATGCGAATAATAATGTGGGCCGGCTGGCGCCGAATACACACATTCATAGGTTAGAAAATGTACTCACCACATAGCGCCGTTCCGTATTCCTTCCAATGTGAACGAGTTTTTGCTGTCATTGTATTATTATTTTTTAAAAACGACTCTTTAAAATAAACTGGGTTTGGAATGAGATTATCTTGAGCACTGAATTTTTTAAATTAATTTTTCTATATATTATAATTCGAACTCATGGTTACATATAAATAATAACAGGATAGACTAACTAAATATCACAATAATAATATATTCGATCTAAAATTTAATGGATTTTTAAAAGTAAACGTTATAACCGATTGGGCTTCATCTTGAAAGGTTTATGTGTCGGTATGCTGGTTCATGGTTTGCGAGAAAACGCGTAGAGTGTGTTAACGCGACGGAGGCGAGTGAACAACTGAACGAAGCACTGGCGAGGCGAACGAACTGAACGGATCGCGAAGATCGGAACGGAATGAGGTGAATCGGCGTAGGCGCACGCTTTTGGTTCTTGTTTATCGGACGGGTCGGTTTGCCGGCGATTCAAGCGGCTCCCAGACTGATAAGAGAAACGTTGATATCATAAGCGCTCGCTATTCCCGCGTGTATGGAGCCATGCGCGTGAGTGACTTCACGCTTTAGGCCGCACTGCAATATACCCTGGTAGCGGTATTGCTGAGACAAAACTATTTTTAGTTAATTCAATCCGAAAATAATTCTGACAATACAACGCTCGAAGGCAAATGTGTTTATACGTCTTCAAAACGAGAGTTACACGCGACAGTTTTTCAGTTTAGTAATAATTAGTAAATACAATAATTATGTTTTGCATATTTCGACTCTCCAAAGTTGAAAAAGATTGACTACGCATCTTGATCTAAGATTACTAATTCAATATAGTAGTCTTATATATTAACAACTTTTATTTACACACAAATTTCCTTTTTTATATTTTTCTTTACCTTTTCATAAATTCTAAGCACCCTTTCACTAATCATTTATAAATTAAGTCAACACACCCTACAACTTTCTATTTATTTCCCCATTTCCTATACACTAACTATCTACACAACATCTAAACACACCTCAAAATCCCACCCATTTTTTAGACTAAGCCAACACAAGCGAAACACCAATATTTACAATCTTAAACATCTCCACAAATTTAATTTTGAAAATCAAATCCAATACATTGAGGAAAACTTAAGGGATCAATTTTATCTTTTACCAATACCAATCTAAATTTTCCGAAAAGAAAATCACCTATAAAGAGCTAACTACCTCCATTGAACCCTAAAACATCAGTAGCGGGCCACCAACTCCAAAGGGCAGCACAAGCTCACTCCCACCGAGCCCGACACACCCCAATCCACCCGGGCGCTGGGACTCGGCCAGAGACGCCACCGCTTTAGGCCATCCCCCTCCCTCGGAAAGGCCATGCTCCAATAATTAGTTCAACACTACAATTGTGATCAGTTGGCCACGGCCACTTAAAAGTGATGTTAAGTGCAGTGGCGTGCATAATTTCGTGTTCGAAGAGTCGGACGAGGGTTTATTTAATCTACAAGTGTCGTCTAAAGGTAACCAACCTTATTTTGTTAATTACATAGATAAATATTTATTCTTGTGAAGTAGATACGGGCAGCCTATATCGGATAAATAGGATACCTATAGAGTAATTTTTTACATAATCATTTTCTATAATTTAATGTTGCGTTCCTACTCGATCTCGAATTAGTCTCTAGATATATTGAATAGACTACATTAGGGGATACGAAAGTTAAGTCATTGCCTTTATATATTATAAAAGGAGGTGCCCTCCTTTGCTAGGGCGAGACTGATCCCATTAAATATTTCTCAAATTAACTAAATAAATTTACGACTCATTTGTAAATAAATTGCAGAAAGAATATCCTAGGTCTTCTTACAAGCTAGTACTTGTAAGAACCAATTCAATTACCTTCATAACAACTTACTAAGACCACCCCCTTGCGCAACGAACGAGGCCCGACTCAGCAGAGCTCCATCTATCCTAGAATATTCGGACTATGGACATTTTCCCTTAAAAAAATGGAGACATACTATTTGTGGGGACTATAAGATAACATAAATCCTAAATTAAAACGAGACTTTTATCCGCTACCTCTATAGATGAGTTATTCGCTTGCTTAAGGGAGGTATACAATATACTAAATCATTTATCTCATGCATACGAACAATTTTGCTATCTGAGGATTCTCAACCTTACCGCATAACCACCCACAAGATTCCACCTCCACACCATACGGTTTGTTTGTATACGAGAAATTTCAAAAGTTGATGGAGGAAACTTCGCTTCTATCTTGTTTTCTTAATACATCTCGTCACGGGTTCTAGTAAAACGAACACATTCGTAACTAGAGCGGTACTCGAACGGTTGCGCGGTATGGGACTACCGTTAAACTTAATAAATGTAAATTTTTGCAAGATAGTGTTAAGTACTTAGGTTTTATTATTAATAAGGACATTCAACCACCGATAAGTTGAGTCTATTTCGAATCACCACACCAACAATTGTTACTTAAAGGTTTTTTAGGTATGTTAAACTATTATGGAAGATTTATTGTCAATTTAACCCTTTGTTACACCCATTACACAATTTGTTAAAAAAAAATGTTTCATGGAAATGGGAGATAGTTGTAGGGATGCTTTTGTAATGTGACGCATCTCTTTTAGAAGCGTTTAGCACATTACGAAGAGGGACGCGACTTGGTACTGTCAGTAGATAGTAGCGCATACGGCTGCCCTCTGGCGTCCTACCCGAGGCGCCAGCGCCCTGACTTGTGTCACCACGCTTAACTTCCAACCAACTACCCACAAAGGAAGCCTCCCATTTTTACGGGGTCACTCATCTCAATATCTTTTTGAGGTTTCATTTTACGTACTGATCACCAGCCGTTGCTTATATTTTCGGGAGCAAGGGTGGTATACCCAAACGGCGGGAGCCGACTCAGAGATGGGCGGCTCATTCCCTTACGATTATAAAATTGAATTTGTACGTTCGGCGGACAACGGTCCGGCCGATGCGTTGTCGCATTACCGCTCCCTTGCGAGGGTCGCTTCGAAAAATGTTTAGACTATTTGAATTTAATAGCGGATTCATTACCGATATCTTATAAGGATATAGCCAAAGAGACCGAACGAGATAAGCTGTTGAGTAAAATTAAAAGTTATGTTGTATTCGGTTGGCCGTGTGGTCCGAGTTGCGACGAGGAAAAATCATACTTTTCTAGAAAACACGATTTAAGTGTTGAACACGGGTGTGTTGTGTATAAATATAGGATCGTCTCCTAGATTTGCAAAACCTTTTAACTACACTACGAAATGATTCCGGGGTACTTCTCCACCGAAAATACGTGTCGGGAGCGTCTCCTTCTTCCTACCCCCCACTCCTAGTTTCCCTTACACCCGTGGCAGCGACTTCATCATTTTCTTAGGGATATTTGATCGTTGTAGACGCGCATTCAATGGATCGAAGTCGAAATAATAATATACCAATTCTTCGTTACTATTAAGGTTTTAAGAGGTATTTTTCATGTTCCTCCACTCACCATCACCCACCATTTTCGTCTATAATTTAAGATGTTTTGTGACAATAATTGTATAAGATACACACATCGCTCCCTACCTCAAGGAAACGGGGCACGGAAAATCTTAAACGTTAACAACTATTAAAGGCTTTTCGACGGATGTGACCCACTCACAAAATTTTTATTTAAATATAGGAACTTGAACACCCACCACCGTTCCATATATCTTTGCAAGGGGCGTTGCGGAGCTTGACGCTCTCGACCAGACCTCGCCGCAACGCGCGAGCGGCAGGAAAGCAGATGGCGAGGGGCCCAATAGGTCACAAGGTAACGGGATCATTTGGCGAAGACTCCGATCAATTAATAGCTTCAAAAAAAGATTTTCTTTTCGCGTTTAAGTTTACCGCCAGGTAAAATTCCGATCTTGAGGTCGAAGAGGGCGCTGGCTGAGAGGGGAGGATGTAGTAGGGGGGAGCCTATTTCGTTAACATCTGATCAGTCCCCACCAACCGAATCGAGCCTTCACCGTCGCAGGCGAACAGGTAAAGTCCCCGAACATGTCCGCTCGAGCACTGCGTGCATTAAAGGGGCAAACAAAGCCGTATAGTTTAGTATAGTTTAGTTTCATAAGCTTGTTGAGGAGAAGTGTAATGTCGGTAGATTAATAGTTAGTTCTTATTTAGTGTTAGTTTGTAGGTAGCTGTAACTTGTATGTAATAAACTGTTGTTCTATGGATCCCGCGTTTAATTGACGTATCTAGTTTATATGATGTTATGTAGGCGGAGATCTTCTATCATATAAGGATGCACCACCTTGTTCATCTATACTCCTCTGTCATGAGAACATTTAAGTAGAGTAAACGAAAATAAAAAAGACAGCTTTTCTCTAAAAGTGTTATTTACTTTTCGAGAAAAGATTTATTGTTTACCATACAATTAATTTGCGATTTACATTTGCTTCGATTGAGGTACCTGTACCTATACGAATAGAGCTTCATTATCTTCTTGTAGCGTGATTGTGATGTAAGCCCATGATAAGACTATCAGATCTCACTGATTAATTATTATTATTATGAAATCTGGGCAAATAATTTTTCGTACTTCGCGTAACACGTACATGTTTTTAAATTTGTTTTAAACTGGTATTAAAAACCTAATGACGATTGGCACCAACGGATAATTTAAATATTTAAAAAAATAACGCTATATGAAATTATTAAATAACCTTTAAAACAATAATAATACCATACTATTAAAATAGATAGTAAAATAAATTATAATAAAAGCGAAAATATTTGCAGAATAGTCTTGTTGCATTAAATAAAAACAATATCACATGTATAGCACACACAAAAAAAATGTGCATTACATTTGTTATTCTCAATTGTTTCTTTATGACATAAGAGGACAGATAAAATTCACTTTATGGTAACTTGTTGGCTTTGGGTATTCAGAAATTTACAAACTAAAAATAAAATGTGGATTTTCACTTGACGATTTTCATCGCTAAGGTCGATCAAAATTCAACCCACAACCCGTCGATTTCGCCATAGATTCCTTCCATAGGACCAACGAGTATATTAAGGTGATATCTTGGACCCAAAGAGTTCTTTTATGTACACGCTAGGTACTATAGATTCTCTATCGCAAGAGTTTAATCGTCTGTTGAACAAAGTCAGATTACACGAATATAGGTATGGAAACGTGTTTACCATTCGAAGTATGACGTATTTATACTTCTACTCGTGAATAGATTAAATTTATAGCTTTGACTCAGTATACACTCTGAGTACACTTTGTCAAATTTAAGTAACTAAATACTGACTTATTTGTGTGCCTTTTATTAACGGAATTAGAACCGAGAATTTCATTTTCAACTGAGCCAGCCTTCTTATACATTAAACTCCGATTCCCTGGCGTAGTTTATAGGGAAGACACATTTCTGTGTTAGTATCTGTGATCATAGTTGTTGACCAGACATTCTGGAGGCGCCGACCGAAACTATTTATTTCTTACCCGGGATTCGACCACCACACCTCAACGCTATGCAACTAGCCTAACTATTGTGCCAGATAGATAGTAGGATATTAAAAAGTGCCTGTGCCAAAACGATGCAAATAAAAAATAAATTCTTTACACAATATTAGAAAATAACATAAAAACAAAAAAAGCATGATTAAAAGAAAATTATAATCTGTACAATATGTTCGATATTTGAATTTAAAAAGAATTTTAATTATTTATCTGTGAACTATATACCTTTTGTTCGCTTTATTACATAGAATCTGTCTAAGATGGCCGACTTTGAGCGCGAAATTATTCCTTGCTTTTCCGTATAGAATCAGTGCTCTTTAGTTTGACTATGTGTATGTGTGAACTGTTCAAATTAAATTTGCTAATATCGGTGACTTGAAAATCAATACTTCACTCAGTTCACTGTAAGTATATTTGTTAATTTAAATTTGATGTTAGAGAAATTTAAAATGCTTTCACAAACTCGTTTAAAGGTATATGAATATAAGTTCCACATACGTCGTAAATTTAAATGCTAAAATATTGTTTGAAAAATTCATTCATATCTATGTTTATTTTATTTACGACATAGCTTTAGTTTAATTTATTATCATGTCTGTATTTACGTATTTACTTATTATATGAAATACCTGATGATTTGCAATTATTAAGTCCTATATTTTTTTGGGTTTCGTTTTTGTTTCACTAAAACTAGTTACACTTTACAAGTAAAAAGTTGAACAGTACACCATTTATGGCGACTTCATATTGACTACAATGATTTCTGGTATACTAGATAAGTTGGTTGTTTGTATTGTAAAGTTTTTGATAAAGTTTATGGGTTATAAAAGATTAAGGGTAAATCTATAACTTCTGTATTGCGTAGCTTTAATGGAATTTTTTGGATGACATTGTTATTATCAGTTAAAAAACTGTTTATGATTTCATAAATAGCTAGCAAATATTACCTTTGCATTTAAAAATATGTAATGATGTTCTTATATATAACAGCTGTATAAGTTTTCATTTTAATTCGATTAAAAACAAGTTAACCTACTTTTAACAAACTTTATTTCATATTCATTGCACTTAGTTCTGTTGCGACTGTTGTAAGATTCTTCATAAATGAAATCTCTAATCTTAAGAATATTTAAGTATTTGTTTGTTACAAATAATAAATAATCCATTCGTCAGCTCGTTATCTAAGTAGTAACATGCCTCTTTAGGAAAATATTTGAGGGAAAATTTGGATATGTTGTGTAAGTTTACACAACTTGTTTGCCTAATGCACCCATGATAGACTGTTATTTATTGATTACGACCGATAACGTAGTCAAAAGATTACTCGAACGTGTTTGTTAATTGTCAATAAAAACCAGCACCCTGTATTACCTATTGATAGTACCCCATTTAACACGTTATAACTGTCGTCACGTTCTTCTTAATATTGAAGTAATTCATAAATCACACCCTCGATTATTATTGGCCGACGTACCTATCCCGTCTTTTAAAAAAAGCCCATAAACCCGGACAAGTCGTAATTAAAAAGATGAAATGTCTTGTCTCTTTTTACATCATTTATAAGCAAGAATGTGGCAGTGGTATCAGGCGCTGAATGCGTGACGCTCGCTTCACACATATGCAACATTCTCATTGAGCATGTGTGCCAAATTATTCATTACGTCTACATTTAAACATAAATCACAATGTGTGACAGTCGACAACCGCACACATGTACAATAATATTCGGGGACGTACTCAGATATCTTACGGTTCGTTACCAGCGAGATCTGATGAAAATTATGGACTTAATTGTGCAAACTCAGTCACTTTATCTTATCACATGAGTTCAGTATGTGTATATTAATTATTGTTCAATTGACGTCGTAGGTCGGTATAAATAAAACCGTGCTTAGACCCACCTATTTTGAAGAGTTGCGTAGTGTCGATTCGGCAATATACTGTCTAGTTTGGAAAATATATTGCAGAAAATAAATGTTACTTAACAATCCCAAGTACGGATCTGTGCCGCATGACGCCGAGTGCAAAGTCCACTAATTCAAAGCCGCGTTTCAGTCGAAAATTATTATAAGTACACGATGATTTCTGGTCATTTGAGTTCGATATACGTAATGGCCATTAGTTTCTGTTGTAGGTAAAAATGTCGGTCCGATTAACCTACTATGCTAAATGTCACATTGGTCGGAAAATATTTTACAATTCTTTTTTAAGTAGTATCTCTTTTTGTTTAATTGCTTAAGTATTACAAACATTATCAAGATGTTTTTCTATATCTCACGATGACGTGTCGGAACACACCCGCAAAGATAACGACTTACTTTATGTAGATAAAACATAACCTATCTCTATCATAGCCTTTTAAGAGAGGGTGCCATTTCCTTATATTAGAATATATTAATCAAAAATAATAAAAATGAAACCAGTTCCTGGGATAGCTGAGCATATTAGGGAGTAAAAAACGAAAGTCAAACATCAACAATCAATATGTTTATTCTCTCAATATTTCATAGGAAAGGATCCCTTTTTCTCAGATCAATGAGCTTCCACAACAGATGATAATGGCACACATGGCTTATGTAAGGCACGAGGAATGTAAACATCACAATATTATACAATTACAAAAATCTTTGAGCTTATTTTACCTACCTATGTACATGGAAAGTCCAGAAATTCTTATCTGTGGATATCTGTTGCTGTTTTATTTATCTATTTTAGTATAAAATTTTCGATCCTTGATATTGGAAATAATTGTTAATTGATCGATACATGCCTTGATTAATTACATTTTATTAGAATATTAATTACTAACTGATCTCTCCACAAGATAGAATCTCATACCCATTTTTTCGTCGCATACATGCATTAATGTAAGATTTATAAATTAAAACAGACACTGCATTCCTAAAGCTATTACTTAACAGTAAACCCCTTTTTTAGTTGATAAAGATATATAAAACTTACAAACTATATTACACTATTTATTTCTATTAAAACTTTTGTTGATAAAAATATAAATACTCTGTTCTTACTTTAATTCACATACATTGCAATGATAATGAACAAACATATTAGAATTGAAAAAGAGCTTACGAGCGACTTTCACAATAGGTACCTATTATATTAAATACAAAAAAATCATGCAGTTGATTACTTGTTGAAAATTGAATTACAAATGCAGTCAAAAATTATTACTATTTTAGACTGCTGATTTAGATAGGCATATGACACGCGAAGATGAAGCGGAAATAGCGTGTATTCTATGAATTATCCGTGTGATTAAAAACATAGCCGGGATTATAAAGTTTTTAAAACCACATTCCTGATATTATACTATACAAACTGCAACATAAAAACTAATCACAGCTTTATTTTAACTCAACTTTGGCTAATTAAGGATTCGCAATCATGTTTCTTAAGTAATAAATAAATGTGTCTATTTTACATACGTTTTTAACGATCAACCTTTTTACTTATTTAAATATTGCTATTACAATACTGAAATTCTAGATGATCCGTATAATATTAAAGGCAGGCATTCTGATTGACAAGTATTATATGCATTTTACACCTACTACTTTACAAATTCGAGAACATTCTTAATATATCTATAAAGAAAAATATATCTTTGTACAAATATGTTCCAAGGTTATGAGATGTAGATTGCAATATAATGAAATGTAGTCCATTCTGGGTTCCTATTATTTAAATGTGACATTTAAAAATGTAACATGGACGCTGAATGTTATCGGAATGCTTTAACGTTCAATAAAACAAAAAGAGGACGGAAATATTAAGTACCAGATATCTTAGCACCGTTTAATTAATTGTAAGTTTCTAGAAATTTATTTGTACCCTAGCTACCTCTCCGTCCCTTTTCTCGTACACTACTTTTTCGCTACAGTATAACTTTTCTTGGATAGCAGCGAACGATTGCCCTTTGGTTTCAGGAAGTAACATAAGTATAAAAATAACGCCACCTATGGAGAGTACGGCGAAGCACCAAAAGGCTACGTAGTTCCCTAAGTTGTCCGCAATGACTTGGTATAACTTGGTTACAGCAAACGTCATCAAGGCGACAAATATTTGAATGATACACGTAGCCTTAGACTTAATGTGAGTTGGAAATATTTCCGAAGTGATAGCGAAGGGAACGGTAGCCAGACCTATGGTGTACGAGAATATAAATATCGGTATCACGACAATAGGAATAAAGCCGAGGCCAACCACGTACTCATTGTTCGCATATTTCATAAAAAAGTACGCTCCTATAATAATGTTCGCCAAGCCGACGCCGCAAGACGAAACTAAGAGGAGAGGTTTCCTTCCTAATCTGTCTACTAAGAGGGACGATACAGCAGACGTTAAAAGTTGTACTGAACCAAATAATATGCACGACTCTCTCGGCCCCAAGCCGCCTTCGGCGGCTCCGAATATTTGCTCTGCATATGATATTATAGCTGTGCTCCCACAGAACTGCTGGGTGAAATATATCCCTAACAAAATAATTAACCCCCTCTTGTTTCCACCCACCGTTACGAGATCCTTCCATCGGCTTTTTTCTTTCATATTCTCATTTACAAGGTGAGTCATGCTCTCCAGTTCTTCCATCATGTACTCCCGACCTCTGAGCTTCTTCAGCGATCTTTCGGCCAAATTCGTTTGGCCCGATTTGAGGTAGTAGTATGGAGACTCTGGCATAGTACTAAACGTAACGACGAATATGATCGGTATGGCGATGTTAAAACTCGCCAAGCCCAACATCGATACGTACGGTCCTATGCAGTATTGCGACAGGATTCCGAACTGCAAGAAATAGAGACATTTTATGATATCAATATCAAAATTTGGAACAAGTTTCGAGTTCGTGCAGATATGATAGGAGTTGTAGAATGTGTAATTGATGAGAAGTAAGTTTGGCCCAAAACGCGAACCACCGTCCACAGATAGATATTTTGATTGTCAGTCCGTGGATATCTAAATTTCCGTAACCAAAAATAGATCGAAAGCGCTCGTGGTTTGTATCCCTTCTATAAGGAGAACACGATTCTTCTCTGCGTCGAAAACAGAAGAAGAAAAGAGATTGCCCAAAACAATGAAGACTTTACCTTGGACATTACTGTGATAAGAGTGGCCATTGCACCCCGAACGTCATTTGATGCAATCTCGCCGAGATACATTGGGGCGGCTGTATACGCGATGCCGTAACCCAGCCCGGAAATCAGCCGGGCGGCGTATATTGTGGGAATGTTTGTGGCCAGCATTACTAGGATCCAGCCCAGAATGTAAGGGATCGCGGCGAGAAGCAATGTCCTTTTTGTGCCTATTCTGTCTGCCAAGTAAGACGCTGGGATTGGGCTGAGAGCTGAAAAAGGCAATTCGTAACATAAATCTGACACATGACACATCATATTTCCAATTACAATGACTATTTGAGATAAGGCGAATCAAAAAACCGCTACATTGAAAATAAAACATGATATCAATACCTTTAAACGTTATTATTTTCGTGTGTTAGCTTTACATAAATTCCAAACATTAAACTTGACGGCTTTTTTTATCTCTGAACGGTTTGGTTCGTAAAATTGACGGAATTTAGATATTCTTACCACCCATTTAATATCCAGATTTCCAGACGAAGTTCAATATGTTTTAGAATGGATGGAAAAATTTGTTAGTTAATGAAAATAAATACAATTGTTCGTTGGGTTTCACTTTGTAGTTTTTTTTAACATTGTCACTACTCTAAAACCGAACATTATTGCGGTCAAAATATCCAAACTGTGATCATAAACGACGAAGTTTTCGCCGAGGTTCTCTAAATGCCTAAAGACACCGCTACCCGTCTTCGAGTGAATACTTGTGTTACACTTTCTTTTTTATTTTATTTAGCATTCATGTTAAAATGAAATAAAGCGAGAGATTTTACCTGAACTTAGTATCATGAGAGAGGCGATCCATGAGCTCTGATCTCCCGAAGTCGCGATCGGCGAATCTTTGCTCAAGAGCTTCGGCAGAGTGGGCGACGTCCATCCCACCGTGGTCCCAGCCGCCGCCGTGATCAAAGTAGCTGGAATATTCCAATGTATAAATTAACTTTCCTCCGTACAAAGTTATGTCGATATCGTTTATAAAGAATATTCTAGAGCATAAACTATGTTATTATCATCTAATAACCGTAACGACACGTTTGATATTACGTAAAACGTGTATCTTACACACAACGCGAAGATATATTATATTCCTGGGCAAGGAGTGCATTTAATTCAGTTAAAGCAATAGTCTCACAAAGTACACGTTTTAGATAAACATTAAATAGAAGAACAAAGGAATATGTGTTGAAATACCTCTGTTTGCTTGGCAACCGCACTATTCGTGTCTCGAATACGTTATGATATTACTTTATTTTGTTTAATGGTCCTTATTCCTAAATTCAACAACATCGCATCACCGGAAAACCGAAAGTAAATAGTAGATTAGCCATAGGTTTTGCCGAAAACTACGTAGGAAAGTGTCATTTAAATTGATCTACTTTGGGCGTTAAAATGATAAGTATTTTTTTACCTAGAGAGGTCAATGATTAAATAGTAAACCGTTGATCCGCAATATACAGAATTAATTATAATTACAAACATCACATAAAGTGAGTATGAGAAAATATACAGGTGGATACCACCAACCGGCTTTCGTTTGTACAATATATTTCACCTATAGTTCGCTACAATTAAGTTTTAATGAGTTTTCTCGTTAATAATTTTAATGTTCATATTTCTATAATTTTTGTAGCATTTATATACAATTATAAATATGCACTACAACACTCCTTTGTTTCAGTCTTGAAGTCATTGCTCTTTTAAATTTACAATGTTCTACTCAAGAAATTGCCATACACCCTCATACATTATTCAAAATAAATAAACATTATCATCGAATATCCACGGCGTCTCGTGTTCTTTTAAATAATAATAGGTAGGTTTTTACTGGTCGATTACAGTTGTTATATACTTACCTCAGTACTCATTATGTCATGTCACAGTTCTACACACAAAAATTATCCTTTGTTTAATATGCTGACTGTGCTAGGAAAACATTCAAACAAGAATATATATAACTATAAGCAGGTACCACAAAGAAAATAACTAACCTACATCAGCTATTAAGTTACGCTAGTACGCACTCCCTTACCTGAGTAGGTATAGACCTAAAAATAAAAAAAAACGCCCTCAAATGTGTTATGCTAATGCCCTCGAATATATAATGCTGTAAAACCAGTTATCTCTTTAACATTTATAATTAATCTCCGTGTAGCAAACTGAACGAGAAAGTAATAACATAATTACAACATAAAACAAATTTAAACATTTAAACACCATTCACTGACAATCTATTTATTGAGTAAATAACTTTATGAAATGTATTATAATATGTTATTAGGTATGTGTTGATCTGCCGATGTAAGAGAAATAATTTATACAATACGTTAATACTTAAAGTATGGTTAAGGCAGATTTAAAACAGATGGGAGTTTTTTTTATTAAAATACTGCCTAATATGAATACTATTTATGCTTTTAGCATTCTTAAATCCAGACACTTAAAACGCACAGAATAAAAACTTCATAGTTTCTCTATTTGTGACCAGGAAGGATATTCGATATTCTTGGTATCTTATTGCTTATATATTATTGGTACAATGAGCACGTCAAATTCCTCAAATATGTGTTGTGAAAAATGTGAATTTGAAGGTGTTTTCTGCTATGTCTTCGTTGTCCGTCTGGAAACAGTCTCTTTTCAGATTATAACAAATACAGTGTTCTTTTTCTGTTAAGACTGTCTTTCGGTAAAATAAGGATTTTAGGTCCCTTGAAACAAAAACATAATGATTAATTTTAGATAACCCAAGGAAGTCTCACGCGCAGGTAAGATTTGTACTCAATGATAATGAATATACTACGACAGTTGATAAAATACGAGTTTAAATCAATACCAGAACACGTAAAAAATATTTCCAAATAAAGATAATGCCATGATAAGGTTTTTTCTTTCAACAGGTATCCATTATGATTCAGAAGCTCTTGACCTACATTCGTGATACTTTTTAACGTTTCATCACTGTTATCACATTTGTGATACTAATTACTGAAAAAATCGATTATAGTTAATTATGAACTCATTGGATTCAAAATGTATTAATTTTGTTTGTTTCTATTAATTATTATCACGTTTTAGATTAAAAACGGAAATCTATCAAAATGCATATATTACAATAACATGAAATATTTAAAGATCTATATTAGATACGAACTGATTATCTAGTTCAGCACTTGGCATGATCTGGCCTAGAAATAACAATAAACGTGATGATTTGCGAAATAAATACCTTGTACATGACTTTTAGATTTTTTTCTGTAGAGAAACCATTTTAATATTCCGTTTACCTTTTCATTTCTGTTGGAATAATACTTTGACTAAGATTTCGTTTGTCACCTCTATCAACGGAATCTTCTGGTATAATTCAATTACTTTTTATTTTTTATCGGACTTTAACTTTAACATGAAAATGCATTAAATTTACGTATTATGTTAAATAGAAAATAGAAACCCAATTAAAAACAATAATTAGTCAAGGAATAAAATTGCATTTAAAATTAAGTAAGAGGAAATTGTCCCTTAAAAGGGTTGATAAGGTTATATTAATAACACATTACTTTCCTAATAAGCAAAAATAGAAGTGACTCAGAGATAAAAGCCTTAATAGAACAAGTCGTATGAAATATTTTTTATTACATTTTAAGGCCGGTAGTAAATCAGTCAACCAATTTATAAGGCACAGTTTTTATCTTAGCGATCAAATCGTTTCGCATAACATATACATATCTATGTTTTTATTATACTTCCGTATTATACTTACTACTACATAGCGGTGTGTTTTTTTATTTAATAGCGACTAAAATTACTAATCTAGTTTAATTTGAGTTCTAAAACTATCACCATTACTTTTTGTTCATTAACCTTCTCGAAACTAAATATTTTAAGCTTTTCATTTAAGCTTTAATCTGTACGTTACTAAAGTTATGTTAGGTGTAGGTATCAACTAAAACATCGAGCACTGTGCAAAGAATAGACGACTGTAGTGTACGTAGTACATGACACATACATATTTTTTTACTGTTTAGTACGCATTTCAAAGACAGTACCAATACTAAGAAGTGTTTACGTTCGACAGCGACATAACAATTACACCAATTAAGCAGTTTCGATTTTATCTACTGTGGAGATGTAATGGGACCTAGATGGGACGTTATCTGTTAAGCTGGACTGGAATTTCCACATTAATTGTGTCCTGGTATAGAGGAAATATTTCGTTATCAAACTATTATAATTAGTACACATTTATAATATGTTTTGATAACAATTATATCAACGCGTTATTAAATCGAATTCTGCTAATACAGGGGGTTTATCCAAATCCCAATAGGACTTATGTAAAACCAAAATCAATATAAAATTCTTGTCATTAATTACTTTTAAATGCGGGCTAAGGTGATATATTGAAATGGATGCCGGGACAAGAACAATAGAAATTATCTAATAATTGCGATTTCAATAGAATTGTTAATATCCATTTTACATTCCATTAAATCGTGTAAAGAATAATACCTCACTAATGAGATGCGATATTGCACTCGTGTATCAACAACACACGCTTAATCTTAAAAAACGATAATTGTTTCGTTTCTTCTTCGCATTATTAAATGTTATTATGTTATTTATATATAAAATAACAGTTGTCAATTGAAAGATAAAGATTTTGTTAATTCGTACGCAGATTAAAGATTGTTGAACACCAATTAGTTTAAGCTGCCGCAAGAGGAATAGTTCACAACGGATCAGATATAAACGTGTCTCACACGAGTCTGAAAAGTATTGTGCAATGATTTTGCTGACGTGAAACACGGCTAACAATTTCAAATACAACTTCATTCGGACCTCCCTTCGTGGCACTACTCTTCTCCGCTGTCACTCACAATTAAGTTATATTGCAATAAAGAGACTAATCAAAAAGGAATGCTGCCGTCTGCTCGGCTTACTCTAATAAAGTAGTTTAATTACGAGCTTCGTTCTAGAACATTCTGCGATAATCCTATTTTCATTCGAGACGTTCTCGTTTTATTATGCTGATGATAGAATTCTGATTGTGCATCATCATTATGAAAAAACTGATAACAAGTAATCTGAGACCGTCCACTTAGGCCGAGATAAATATATCAATTGTATAGATTGAACGACAGGTAAGTGATTGTTCATATTTCAAGTTTTAGCTAAGAACACGTATTACCAGAGCACACACAAAACCATGTAGTGTTAGATTAGGCCAAATGTATGACGCAGCAAACGTGTTTTAATTAATGTTTATGTTTACCCTCAAAAGCGGTATAATCATATTACTATGTTTCATCGTATTAGGATTGTCAATTACGATACACGTTAGTGCAATGTTCGGTTTCCGCTACAGATAAGATTGCGAAGGGCTTTCAAAATATTAATATTTAATATGAAATATGGCCTCAGAGTCTTTTAACTTAAGTGCTTATACATTTTTGGCGGGCTGACCAAAGTCAAATCTACAAATTTCTAAATGATTGAATACGCGAAAAGACGTAATCTTAATCATCATGATTTTGACGGGCTCGTTGATGCAATCATAGCGATGGATGGTTTATAATCAAGGAGTCGTGAGTTCGATTCCGACCGACTCCAACGTGTTTCTAATCAATTTATAATTTTTCAGAAACATGTTGGACTTCGATAGGAGTGAATGATTTTAAATACTGTCTATAGTTTACGCGAGTAGTACACATTTAAATAAAACACTTTAACGGTTTAAAACGCGATATATTAGTTAAACTTATTTGAAAATGATTTTTAACGTCGGCCCGACGTTTCGAATGCTTTGCAGCAGCCTGGTAACTGGGAGACAAAAATCATTTTCAAATAAGTTTAACTAATATATCACGTTTTAAACCGTTAAAGTGTTTAATTTAAATGTGTTCTACTCGGCGTAAACTACAACAGTATCCAAAACTCAGTCCGAATTTAATGTTCGGTTGAAGTCTGTAAATTTCCGAATATTATTTAAATGTTATATGGCCGAGGTGATAAAAAAATATTTTACTGACATATTATTCTATTCTAGTTCAAACGTCGCTTGGACCTTAAATAATTAAAAAGACGTCAATGATTTCGACCATTAAATTTCTATTAAGATGTGGGTACCTGCTAATCATTATAAATTGGTATAGATGCGATATGGTTTTGTAGAACACGGTGTTTTTATATTCACGTTTGTCTATTATTAATTCAGTACTTGGCCGATATGTCGTTTCAATTATTCAATTATTTTCTAACATACTTGACACCACATATGCAAATCAAACGTTGATTTTTAATGTGTTTTTACACGTGACGTTTTACTTATCATATTAGTAGAAATACACGTTACGCGTATGCGATAATCCATTAATAGCTTTAACGAATTAATTTAATCCAGTCTATTAATGGTGGTTACGGAAATATTTTTGTTAAGGATAATACTTAATAACATCAAGCACTCGTAACGTTGTTTAGTGGAATAATTTCTATGATGTATGTAGTACCGACATACTGCTGAAATAATCGCAATGCCAATTGATATGCCAAGACGAGTATGTTTGTGTATTAATCTAATACCTAATTGATCTAATTAAAAGTCGGAGGTACTCATTTAACACATAGATGTAAGTAAATCTTGTACTCTGAGTCTTATAAGAAATTCGAAAAGTTTTTATTCAGTGTTGCTCGTGTGAGTTAGCATAGAGTTAACAAGAATCATCCAACGATAGACTTACCGCTGAGTGCCGTCACATATTCCCTCCACTTGCGGCTGAGGACCATTGTTTATTTTCACAGAGTCTCTTGAAATCAACATTTATGTATGTTCTGCGCGGGCAATACAGTCCATGTGGGCGATCACTCTGCGATATTTTGGAAGCGAGTATCGTCGCTCTAATATTAGCACGCCACGTGCTGTTCGCGTTTCGCCGTGATCGTGAATGGTTTTTCGTAGTCAGGTAATCGTTTGTGTTTATGAGGAATGAATTCTCGTTTGTTGACAGTTTCAGCTGTCAATATTCGCTCGCAGACGGCCGATGCGGGGCGCCGCCGGCGTGCCTGTGTGTCGGGTCGCCACAGATAAAGCCACGCTAACGCTGGCTGCTTATTTCGCTTTATCATTCATTTGCTGCGGCCACCGAGACTGATAACGTCACGGGGCGTCGTTTTAGCGTATGCTTGTCTTGCGAAAGAAATGCAAGAAGGCAATTCTGAGAATACTGTTAGAATTACGCCGACAGAAGACAGAAGTCGCATTAATTGTATCATCTATCACTTTTTTGAGAATTGCCCTCCAGGGCTACGTCCAACTTGTTTGTTGTTAACCTCGTGTTTGCAAGGCAAGGCGTGTTATGGGCCGCGCAGTTGTTTCTGATACAATTATACTTGTTCTATCGATAAATGTAGGTCTGTGTCGATGTCATCTCGGGGCCTTACTTCTTCCGATATGAAACCTTACGAAGACGTAAGGTTTCTTTCTTATCATTAGTAGGTTATTGATAAAATCTAAAGGATAACTTCTACTTTGAATTATGCTAGATTAGACTCCAGTAGCTGTTAAATAATCTATTTGGAGTTATAATAATTTAATTATCATACGTGCACTATAGTGTTTAAATTTGCAGTAATATTTACAGTTAACTCGCTCGATTTGTCGAGCCCATAAATCAATTTCAATTAAATTGATCACGGCGAGTTACAGTAATTTCATTTTTCTACGCTGATAATGTGCCTTATTTCAGTGATTTTGAGATTAGCCGTTGGCCATAAATTTTAGTTATCATTAAGAGACACAAAATATATTTATTTAACCGTTTACTTTCAGCACGCTTACTTGTTAGGTATGTTGTTACTATGTTTACATATTTCCCGCTATGTTTTACAACTCCAGTGATGCGAATCAAAATGATTCATTGTTGGAGTTCACTGAACTAATATAACTATGCATGGGCAATGTTACCATCTACTAAAGTGGGAAGAAATTTCGTTTGGGTGAGAGTTTTTTTTGTCCATTTCAATAACTATCGTCGATTTTAATATCAGTTATATGGTTTTCTATACTATATCGATTCTAACTGTCTCAATTTTGGGTAATGTGAAGAAGCATTTTAACTGTATTTTCCATATTTATCACTTCATTACGTTATCGACGTTTGAGGTTAGTAACCGACTTCTAAATGATAATAATTATTAGCAAAAACGTCAAGTTGCCTCTGATTAATGTATACTTATTGTGTTTAGTTAACGGAGATCTATACTGCAGTTACTTTGTATTAGAATGTAGGGTATAATATTTGTCATAGAAAATAAATAAAAACGTCTACTGAAAGCTACCTTTGTTACTTAATGTTAAAATAAGGTTAAGAAGTAGATAAGTTAAAAGATAAGATAAGAAAATTACTGGTTATTTCTAGTACAATAATTATTAAATACAACTTAATTGTTATTTCAAAATTGTTTTTTTTTTTCAATTAAAATTCGTGCAGTAAACTATTTATATATGACAAAATATAGTTTACAAAGGAACAAAAACAAAATAGGGAAAACTAAGAAATAACATTATACTAATTTTCAAAATTAATCTGTTTTTTTCACGTAATAATGAAACTCCGAACATAGACAACGTCAACGAGAAGGTGCTGTCGAGTTTTTTCACGTAATAATGAAACTCCGAAGATAGACAACGTCAACGAGAAGGTGCTGTCGAGTCAAAGCAATATTTAATTTTTGGTATACGTTGATAAGCGTTTATTTAGTAAGATTAGTACTGATTTTTACAACAGAGGAGGAAAAAGAAGCATGAGGGTCACTTGACAGGTGAACGGCCATATTAGATGTTAATAAAAGACACTGTCAACTTATTTTTGAATTTCAAACCAATAAATACGCAGCATGGACGGTAGTTCGCTACTTAGACGGAATTTTCATATTCCATAATGCATTTAATGTCTGGTTTTTCAACATGCATTTTAGTTTGTGTTGATTAATTATTATTAATATGTAGGTACGAGGGAAACGATAAAGACAAAAACCTGTGGCCAAATTTTGTATATTTATTTACAGAAATCCTTACAGCTAAAAGTACATTTTTTCTTATAATTAGGCGATTAATTACGCTAATTGCAAAGATTTACAAATAATAACATAATACCAACCCAAGTGACAAGGTTGTATATTATAGGTGAATAAAACAAGAACTGACGTATCCAGGGATGGGGCTGTGTTTTTTGCATGTATGTATGTATAACTTGAGTGTGGCCCCGCTGTCCATACTCTAAGGACTTACTGAAAATCAGTTTCAGGTCAACAAAGGGCCTGATATAAACTGAATAAGAGCCTATTCTACTAGCAGCACACGACATTATCCTATCTTGTTATATTAACTTATACTGTTAAGATAAAATTGTTTTGTTTTTTTTATGTTTTAGTAATAAGTGTAATATGTGTTTTTGTGTGCCTTAGTAGTAAATAATTTTTTCTTTCTTTTTATAAGTGTAAGTGAATGTGAGTATGTTATTGTTTTTTAAAGCTGCCAATTAGGGCTTTCCGAAAGGCGTGAAAGATTAAAAGTATCTATGGATGAAAAATTTTTATTGTAAAAATCGGACAGTGGACGCGTACGGAACGTAAAAAAGATTTGTGTGTCTAGTGCGAAGGCTTGAGACTTGAAAGAAAATATTACGCAATATGTTCGGGCAGTCAAGTTTGTTATGGAGAATGTTGTAAAAATGTCTGCTATATCTCTTCTGTCTTCTAGAGCGTTATTATGATGTGCACAAGCTTCGTTATAATTATAAGTACCTGTATAAAAATATAACATTAGTAACCTGTTTCTGTGACAAAGTTAGTGTGGCCGCCAGATAGGACTTTCAAACTCAAGACACATCGTACATAAGCATATTGTCTAATTTTTAGTTTTAATACTATAAGTAAATGTAAAGTATATTTAGTAATTTAAATAGAACACTTTAACGGTTTAAAACGCGATATATTAGTTAAACTTATTTGAAAATGATTTTTAACTTCGATATAGACAGTATTTAGTATTAGGTAGGTTTTACTTATTTAGTCTGCAAGCAAAATGTATTGTTTCAATAGAATTTAGAAATAAAAAATATCAACTGGAAAAAGTTACGTCCATAATTTTTAAATACTTTTCTATTTATAACTACAATGATAAATGAATCTTGTTCAATTGTCATAGTGATTTTAATGATTTAATGATCGGATGCGCCTTATTATGAACAATTTAAATTAATGAGGACAATTACAAAAGATATTGAACGAGCTCTGTTTTTTCCTCGTGTTAGAGGTTACCTAAGATTTCTTCCGTTTTGCTTTAAAAAAATCTGAAAACGTGGAAACATGATAACAATTTATAGATAAGTAATATCATAGATTAAGGGCACAGATATGTTCTACGTGTGCCTATTTAAAAAGTACGCGTAGATAATGATATTAAATATGAATTTTGCAGCACATTTAAATAATAAAAAAACGAGAAATGCTCATACATTTTAAATGTTTTTTTTTTTAATTACGACCCATATGTGCACCGATTATTGTATGTTTCTCGTTTTGTTCTGGTAAAAGAGTTTTATGTATTCGCGTAAACTACAAGAACTACTTCTATCGATCGATGATAATGCGGATCTTAACTTACTTTTTATTTGATTTTCATCTTATCTGTAAACATAAAGATAGAGAGAAAGGTGTGCATCACGGTTACAATAAAGTTTATTGCTTAGAAATAAAACCAAAGGTTTTTTCACATTCCTACACACACGTGTGTAAATAAATTGATAAATAAAATAAGAGGTAGAATAGATGACGTATTAGAAGTATAAAATAGACTGCCTCGCTTTTTAGGTGTCCCGGGTACGAAATCATTATTAACAAGTAAGTTTCGACTGAGAATTCGGATACTTCACTTATTTACCGAGTTACTCGTGTTTTATACTAGGCCTTAGCTTAGATATTAATTTGATAGTTTCTCCTCGTAGTATAGAGGTTCTCTATATTCTAAACTTTGAATAGTCAAAGGACGCTTCCGCAAGTTTAGTAATTTCACATAGTGATTGGCAAGTGCAAGCGACAAACTTTGTCAATCTATGCGATTACTGTTGAAGACTATTACAAGTGAAGTACGAGATAACGTTGGTCATATAATATGAGGAGGTGAAACTATTTTATGAGTATTCGTAGAGACATTTAACAATAATGATCCCGTAACAAACACTAAAAATACTAAGAAAGAAACTCACGAACCAGAGTAAACGCAGGTTTATTAAACAAAACTTGTTCTGGATATATAACCAAATAATAAATATACGCAAGTACACATGATAAGGCTTTAGGTAAGTTGCTTTCTGTTGCTTTTGAGGAAGGATCGGGGAGGGAGGATGCGTGGGTATTTAGGACGCGTCGGTCTATCTATTGAAGTGTCATATATCTTGATGGAAGGTAAAATAGTCTAGCCATAGAACATATATAAAAGATGTGCCCTATTACGGCTTTGGACATTCGAAAATTAAAGGGTGAACATGATACGCGTTTAAATTTCATGTATATTTATCTATGGACGGTGGATGGTGATTCGGAAGAAATTTCACCAGTCCTACATGTCTTACAAATTATACATAGATTTTTAGAAGAGTTAATATCCATTACTAAAGTGGGCTTGTTGGTCTATTTGTAGCTACTGTTGATATTATTTGTGACCTAAACTGGACATTCTCTAACTTAATTACTGTCTGTAGTTTACGCGAATAGTACATATTTAA